ATTCATGCTGTAGCTGGCACTGTCCTGACATGAAGTTATATTTAAAGCAAAATATCTTATTTTTATTTACGGTATGTGTGGACATAGGCATACTGCAGGATAACTCTTGCTTGTGTATGGCCTCATGGGATAGGCCTGCATTTTAAGTAGGATCCAGTTATATTGAATAGTCAGAGAGGCTCATTTAAACCAGGGCTGCGTAGTTCCACTTTCTTATACAATTAATCTGAAAACTAAACTATTTATTTGAGTTAAGAGATCAGATAGTAGATCTGTGAGAAACCTGCTTAGCTTGTGATGGAAAGTAGATGGTTAAAATGAAATGCTTTCCCAGTTAGCAATAATAAAAAAGTAGTGGTCATTGGCAATAGGAGTGAACCTGAGTTTTAAATTGAATCACAAATGTTTTAAAACAACATTTCTGGATTCTAGCTTTAAATACTGACGTCAGTAACTGGTAATATATTTGTTTTGATTGACGGCAGTAGCGTTACAATACAGGTGGATTTTAGAAATGAGTAGGCTCACATCTAAAACCCATGGAAGAATAGCCAGAGGGCTGCCATCAATATGCATTTATTTCACTCTACTCTAATACAGCCATTCCTGATGTACTGGCATTTTATTGGACACATCGTTTGTGTTTCAGAGTTATGGTTGTCCCTCTGGAAGTCATCAAATAACCTTGAACAAAACCAGTGAATGTGAAATAGTACAGCAATAATGTGTCAGTGCTAGAAAAAAATTCACACAATGAGACCATGACAAGGTGAAAGTCAGACAAGTATCTAAGTTTGAAACAAATTATCCCAAAGAAATCACTAGAAAAATTCATGTCTTTGGGAGACAGGAGCTGTGAGGGGAGGGGGACTACACGCTAGTAAGGCTTGTATACCTGTAAGGGAAAGGGGTTTTCTATGTTCAGTCAACAGGATGCCCTCATCCCCAACGTGGACCTTACTAACCGAGACAATAAGCAGAACAGGGAAAAATAGTCTCATAATCAGGATTATTGGGATCTTGAACATTTGGAAAGTGCTGTAGTTTGAAATATACACATAACTGAACAAGCCTTGTTTCTTCATATTCCTTTTGCATGAGATCCACTACATGGAAACACGTATTGGGACACTATAGTCACCAAAACAATGTTAGCTTAATGAAGCAGTTTTGGTGTATAGATTATGCCTCTGTAGTTTCACTACGCAAGTCACTGCCATTTAGGAGTTAAACCACTTTTGTTTTGGTTTATGCAGACCTAGCCACTAACTGACTGTGACAGCCTGCATGAAAACAAAATGGTTTCATTTTCAATCACATGTAACTTAATTTAAGTTGTTACATCCTGCTCTGTAAGTTGTACTTTAATCACGCGCAAAAGGCTCATGCAGGGTCTAGCGAGCTATTAAACAGAATTTTCATTAAGGAAATATAGATATCTTAGGACTCTTTGCAGGAAGTGTTTAGGAAATCTGTACAAGTCACGTGCAGGGCTGTGTGCCTAAGGCTGCATAAACAAAGGGATTGAACTCCTAAATGGAAGAGAACTTAGCATTGAGACTGTAGGAGCATGATCTATATACCAAAACTGCTTTATAAGCTAAAGTTGTTTTGGTGACTATAGTGTCCCTTTTAAGGATTTTTTAATCATACCTATTGCCATAGGGAAATGGGTGACGCTTCACCACCCTTTGACCAAGCACTTCATTGTTTAACTAGGAGTCTGGCAAACTTAGAGACTCAGGTTGAGACTCTGAAAGTTCCCAAGTTTTCTCATGTTGCTTCTTAGTCTATCCAGTGGGACGCACAATGCGAGTGGCTTAGGCGTGCAAGCACGATTCAGTAGCAAAGGTGCAGAAATGGCAATGTATCCTACAATTTAAAGCCTTAAAGACCACTATAGTGCCAGGAAAACATACGCCGGGCTCTAGGGGGTGGAAGGGGTTAAATGTACCTCTTTTCTCTGAAACTGCTATGTTTATAGAAGAAAGGGTTAATCCTAGCTGGACCTGGCACCCAGACCACTTAATTAAGCTGAAGTGGTCTGGGTGCCTATAGTGGTCCTTTAAAATTAACTTTGACACTGAACCCACTTCTTGTAGTTCAGCTACTGTCATTTTTATTGTTAACTCCATCAATAATTACATGATTTTGCCATTACATGACGAAAAGTCATGATTTTATTAAAGACACGGAGGCGAGTATTGCATATCCTTTCTTTACTGTCCACCAATAGCAGCAAAGAATACAAACAGAATGGAAAAAATTATGAACATACAGAACATAGGCCCCTCCCCGCTCAGGTCCCAATATAATAGGCAGCACTTCCCTTCCATTTCCCTCTTTCTGAAGATGCGACCGTGGAAAACAATGTCCAAACCAAGAACTGTGATAAAGTCCAAAAGGTAGATAAATTAGAACTGAAGAGGATAACACATCAACAACCGGGAAGCGTGACCAGAGGAATCATAGGACCAAAGGTTATCAGCGGGGGGAGTCCTCACAAGCTGGATAACGGCATGCCATCTTGTCAGATTAGGCTGTGAAAACATAAAGGAACAGGAGCCGACAGGTTGAAGTTGATACATTGCAACCAATGTTAAGGTCAAATTGAGGAAAAAATCCCACATATATACAGTCCCACACTTTAAGAGTGATTAACCATTAAGGTACATAAACACCAGTCTCACAGCACGGCACCCACTTACCGTAGGAAAAACATTCGATGTGACTCGTTGCAGCGTGCACCAAACTGGGTGGGAAAAAATTATATAACCATAGAAATATAACATGGGTGGGACAATACTCGCCTCCGTGTCTTTAATAAAATCATGACTTTTCGTCATGTAATAGCAAAATCATGTAATTTTATAACAAGACACGGAGGCTCATATTGCAAGTTTAAAGCTGGTCCACTACCGCAGCGAATGTATGTGGGGCTGGGTGAAAGTAAAACTCCCGGAACGTAGACTCCCTTGACCAATCGGCCCTCCTCATAAGGTCCTCCAGACGCGCGCCTGCATTCATCATCAAAGAGGCTGAGGCCCCCCGGACCGAATGGGCGCCAAAGACCGTGGTATCAATGCCTGCCTGGGACAATAACCACTTCACCCAGCATGACAATGGGGTGCTAGAGACTGGGTGGAAAGGAAGAAGAAAGGATAAAAATAGCTGTGGAGAGGTAGCGGAGCGATGAAGGTTGGTGCGAGTTTCGTATTCGCGTAGGCAAGCCACTGGACACAATGCCGGAGAGGTAGGGAAACTAGGATAGGATACCGATTTGATAGAGGTCTTTGTCCGTCGGCTGATGTTGAACGTTACCCCGTCCGGGGTGTATGACCTGGTGTCGAAGTCCAGAGCTCTGACATCCGAGACCCTCTTGCATGAGAAAAGGCAGAGCAGGCAAACCAACTTGGCTGATAGTTGTTTTAAGGAGAGCCCTGAGTTAGCAGGCCAGGATGATAGGAAGGACAACACAACTGAGACATTCCAGGTCGTGGAGTAGCGAGGCCTGGGTGGTCGGGAGAATCAAAAGCCCTTGAGGAGTCGGCACACTAAGGGGTGTTGTCCCGCTGGACATCCATTAAAGCCTTGGTGAATCGCAGAGATGGCAGACCGGTAAAGGTTGATAGTCCTGTAAGCCTTCCCTGCCTCGAAGAGGGACGTCAGAAATTGCAGGACCATGGTTACAGAGGCCGAAACGGGATCCGCGTCCCTAGCTCGCCAAGCTGACCCATATGCCCGTCTAGTGCCGGGAGCCCATGCCTCCGCCAACAGTCGTCTAGTCGTGTCTGAAACTCCTTGGATCTCCCAGGGTCCCCGGAGATCCGCCATTCCAGGAGTGGAAGGGAGCCTTCCAACAGGAGGGGGTGACATTGTCCCATCGGGTCCCGCAGCAATTCGTGGAACAACGGCAGTAGTCGGGGATTGTCCATCGTCATCTCGAGCAATTGGGGGAACCACAACTGCGTTTCCCAAAAAAGGGTCACCATGACCAACTCTGCCCGGTGTCTGCAGGAGTGAGCGGAGAACGGCCTCCGCTCCAGTCTTGCAGGAAGGCGTCTACTGCCTCTGCCGTTGGGTCTGGCCTCCAACTGAAGAAGCGTGACAGTTGGGTATTGAGCCGGGAAGCGAAGAGGTCGATGGTAAACTGGCCCCAGAGAGACGATATACTGGAGAACACATCCGTGTCCAATCTCCAGTCGCTGGTGTCTGAAAGATATCGTGACCCCCAGTCCGCCTGAACGTTGTGCAGACCAGGTAAGTATTCCGTGTAGACCATCAGGTTCTGTTCTAGGCAAAATTCCCAAAAGTCTTTCGCCAATCTGGCCAACACTGCCGATTGTGTACCGCCCAGGTGGTTGACATATCTCACTGCCGAGACGTTGTCCATGCGGAGTCGAATGCATGTCAGGGCTCGGTCCCTGGCAAAGCTGCGGATGGCGAAGCAGACTGCCAGGAGTTCCAGCGCGTTGATGTGCAGCCGGCATTCTGATTCCGACCAACGGCCTCCTGTTGAAACTCCCTCGCAATGGGCCCCCCACCCGTGGAGACTTGCATCGGAGTCGATCGTGAACTCTGGCATTAAGCCAAAGATCGATTTGCCGTTCCACGCGGACAGGTTGAGAATCCACCATCGCAATTCGTCCTAAGTTTCGCTGTCCAGTGACACCAGGTCCGCGTAGGATGCACCGGCTCTCAGGTGCGCAATCTTCAGGCGTTGTAGCGCTCGGTAATGGAGTGGGCCCGGAAACACTGCCTGTATCGAAGAGGCCACTAGGCCGATGAGCCGTGCAAGTTGACACAAGGTGAGCTGGGGCCGGATGAGGGCCCTGCGTAACTCTTTGCGGATGGAACGAATCTTGGATATCGGGAGGCTCAGCGAATCGGGGGTTAGGCACGACTTTTCCCAGTTGATAATGAAATCCAAGTGGGAAAGGAGGCTTATGGACAGCCGTAGATGGGTAAGGAGGCTAGAGCGCTCCTGAGCCACGAGGAGGATGTCGTCTAGGTATACAATTAGACGAACTCCCCGACTGCGTAACCAGGCCATCACAGGTCGTAGTAGCTTTGTGAAGCACCACGATGCTGAGGAGAGGCCGAAGGGTAGGCAGGTAAATCGCCAAGTCTCGTGCAGCCAGTAAAAGCGTGGGAGGTACCACCGCAATCGGTACCGTCAGGTATGCGTCTTTGAGATCTAGCTTCGCTAGCCATTCTCCGTGAAGGAGAAGATCTCGTAGCAAGTGAATACCTTCCATCTTGAAATGGCGGTACCGGACTATGGCATTGAGGGGGTGCAGATTTATGACGGGTCTCAGTTGACCGCCTTTCTTTTCCACCAGGAAAATGTTGCTTATGACACCTGCGGGGTTGAGAGGTGCCCGTTTTATAGCCCTTTTGATAAGAAGGGTGGAGAGTTCCTCGTCGATCAGTCTGCGATCCTGGAGTGAAAAGCAGATCGGTCGAGGAGGGTGAATGTGTATCAGATGTTCTATTAGTTCTACGTGGAAGCCCCAAATAGTGGCCAGCACCCAGGGGTCTGATGTTATTTGTGACCAAGCTGGGAAAAAATGTCGGAGTCTGCCCCCTACACAAACCAGAGAAGAAGTATGAGGTAACTCACCGTATGGTCGTCTGGAACTGGAGTTGCCCCGGAAACCTCTGGATCGCCACGGACGTCTGCGTGACGGGAAGAAGGTGGGACGGGGGTTAAATTCCTGGTACTGCGTACGTTATTGGAAGGAGCCTCTTCCCGTGCCACGGGATTGGGAGTAGTTACGGCTGGACAGACGGCTCCTGAATCTGCCCGCCCTAGTGGAGACCCGCCCCTGGAAAACCCATCTCATGGAGGCCTGGGCCGTATAGAGGGCTGTGAATGCCCTAACAAAACGCCCTAAATCTTTAATAAAGGAATCGCCGAAGAGCAATCCTTGGGCGTGCTTGCCCGCCTCTGTGAGGGCGAGATTGGCCAGTTTGGGTTCTATCTTAAATAAGATGGCTTTACGCCGTTCAATCGAGAGGGAGGTATTAACACTACCAGCAATACATATTGCTCTCTGGACCCAATCACGTAGGTCTTCAGGGTCAACCATGCGGTTCTCCGCTCTGGCGTCTTCCGCCAAGTCAAATCATTTAGCCAGGGGGCTGAATATGTACAGGTGTTTATCCTGGCAGGATTTTAGTGCAGATTCCAGCCCCTTACGGGGGTTCCAGCCCAATTTAGTTCGGAACTGTGTCATCTTGGGGTCTACCTCCGGAGTGTCGCAAACTTTATTGGGCGCCACAGGCCTTGGACACTCCGCCCTCAATCTGTTGCGTGCCGCTTTACTAAGGGGGCGCCGGACCCAATTTCCGAGATACGTGGCAACGTGGTCGGCCGGGAGCCACTCTGCCGATCTCGGATGGTGTAGGTCATCCGGGTCGAAGAGTGGGACACCCGAAGGATCCACCAGGGTGGACCCCGCGGCCGCGGGGTGCCTAGTCCCTGTATCACCTCCGGACATCTCTGCTTGAGCAGAGGTCAAAGCCTGTATCAGCGGCATCCGCATCAGTCACTTTTCCATCTGCCTGGCACAGAAAGGCTCTTTTGTGTGGATGGGACACGCTTTCTGGGGCGAGCGTAGGTACGCCAGTCATGGTGTTTCTGGAGGCAGAAGGGTGTTTAGTCTTATGGGTAGCCTTTTTAAGTGTTTCTCCCTGTGGGTTCACAGCAGGACGCGATAGAGGCATCGTGGAGCCCGAGTATTGCTCGTTCGAAGGACGTGGCAAGAGGGCCTGTGAAATGGTGTGGGAGAGGGTAGATGACATAGACCCCACGGCCGCCATAATAGCGGCTGTCACCGAGCGCTGTAGCGCTAAGAACTGTGCCCCATCAGGGTAGGTAGTTCTATCTGTCAGAGTGGGTGAATTTCCTGAGGTGACCCTCTTGGTATCACACTCCCCAGAGGGTGTGGAACCAGAAGTTAGTCTGGGTTTAGGCATGATAAGTGTAGCCAGAAATGAATCCCTAATAAACTAAAGGAATAGTATGGGTTAGTCACCCAAAACAGCAACAACAAGGAAAAAAAAAAAAAAGCAATACTGTATAATACCAGTTACCAATAAATATCTAAATAATAAAATCAATAAGAAAAAAACTAGAATTGAATGTCAATAGGACAAAATGTGACATGTACTTATCTTTGTGTCTGAGCAGCAAACAAAGAGGGAAATGGAAGGGAAGTGCTGCCTATTATACTGGGACCTGAGCGGGGAGGGGCCTTCTTTCTGTATGTTCATTATTTTTTCATTCTGTTTATATCCTTTGCTGCTATTGGTGGACAGTAAAGAAAGGGATATGCAATATGAGCCTCTGTGTCTTGTTATAAAATCCTTGTTTATCTTTTAAAATGGAAAATCCACAGGAGGTGAAAGATATGTATGAACATTTATGGACGCTCTATACTGTAACCAGGCACTATGGCAGACAATGCGCATTTGAATACTTTTACAAAAGCAATATCAATTGTTTACAAATATGACCAGTTACACTGTTATTTGCATTCCCTTTATAGGTGATCTGTTTTATTTTGAGAAAGACGGACTGTGTTAAATAAGGAGCCATGCCAACATGTTAAAGAAAGAGCAGTCATTGACTTTTAGTTCCCTTAATCACCTTGTTGTAGGTATTACTTTGATTCCAGAAGCAGTTTTGATTGAACTTGTTAATACACCACAGCAAAGTAAACATAAGCCACAAGCTAAGCATTATCCTTTTGAAGGCAGAAAGAAATTCCAGCTTCTGGATAAGTCAATGATGCCACTTAACGCAGTGCATTGACTTTCAATAATAATCTGGAAGCACTCAGTCTGCTGGGGCATTTGTCTAAAGGTTGAGGGGGTCTGTTTATAAAGGTTAAAGAGATGCTTGTTTTGATTCATGGAACCGGTTTTCCGGATATATTAATTTAAAAAAAAAAATCAGCTGCCTTCATAATGAACACGAGGAATAACTTGGATAATGTAGAATGCTCAATCGTTAATTTTACCACCACTGTCTGATGTCCGGCACCTTTTTACTCTGTGTTTCAGCTATAACCGTAAAATGTAATGGATGATGTAGATCAGTATGGGAATTTTGATTTGTGCATCCCTAAGTATTAATGCAACATGATGGAAGAGATATGAGATAAATGAAGGAATTTAGGTAAATGATCTAATACTGTGCACACGAAACTTTGGCAGGTTGTGGGCTCGATTTCCTCCTGGAATGCTTTGCTGGTTGGCTTAGCATGCGACACACTCTGTAACACCTGGTATACGAAGTGTTAGCCATCCCTGAACTTGCTTACTGATACAGGCTTGTGTCAAAGGATCTTCTAGAGTTCATTATACTGCCAATGTTTCCCTATTTAGGAGGGACAGTCTATATTGTTTACCCCCAAATCCTTCTATCCCTCCTTTCTAGCCTAATGAAGCTCTTTTCCAGGAGCTCCATATTGTAGGTGGGTCTGAGTTCATAACTGAGCTACAGCAATAATACAGTATTGTGTCTTTAAAATACAGTAAATGTGTTTAGAAATCAGTCTGGGTAAACAAAGCTATATTTGTGTTTTTTTTTTCTAAATTATATATTTGTTGCTTAAATTGTTTAGTAAGTCACCTAAAAATAAATCATAACAGGCCCGCCCTTATCACATTCCGAAAATTAAACTCTTCTTTTTAGTCCATTTCAAATGTTGGGAGGTATCGGTCATACATTCTAGCTAAAGAATTGGCGATGCGTAAAGCCCAGTCTGGTGAGAGGGAATCGATAATTGGTATCCTCAGACTTTGACACTATCTACACATATATCAGACCATTCCCATTTAAATCCAGGATTACAATTTTAAAAATCATAAGGAGAAGACACCTGAATCTGGATTTTACTGATCACAAGTATGACGTATGCATTTTTCATGAATGCTCCTGATTAAAATGGAGATATATTTATTATAACTAGATCTCCTGGTACAATATGTCCTCCTGCCCCCTGCTGCTCTCCATTTGTTAACGATTTTATAATCACGTGGAAGCCTATAATCCTAGACAGTGCTTTAAATTTTCAGCAGTCCATCATCCAATAGAACATTTGTAAGATCAGTCCTGGAAAATCTAGCTGTCAAGTGGGGTAAACAAAAATTACATTTCAAAAATTTTAATCTTTGCAGACAAGTGCTCTTGACTTGTAACTTTTTACTTTTTTAAATCTTGGATTTGTAAGAGTAGTATTTTTCTAACGTAGTTTATGTACTTATCTGTTCCTTTATTACACTTATCACATGGTATTTTATAGGAAACATACCTCTTAATAGTTAATTTTGGAATTTCTGTAGTATGGGCCACAAAGTAAACAGAAAAAAAATATCCCGAAACAATTTTACACCATTATTTATGTGATCCTTTATTTTATTTATTTTCTCTATACCTCCTGCTTGCATCGGGTTAAACTGAAAGCTAATTTTTATGCAGTTTACGTGCTACTTGGTGAAGTGTAGAGCTTAAGAAAATCTGGCACTGCTTTTATTAGAAGTCTTAAAGATCAAAAAACACTTCTTTTTCTACGGATCTTTAAACCTTTGATGGAATTTTGGCTCCTTACATACAGTACATTTTTCTTTCTGCGTGCCTCCACCTATCTGAAATATTCCATGCAATGTTTATACTGAGAAATGCACTCACTAGTCACCAGCTACAAGCACTTCATGTTACAGGCAAAGGGCCACTTTTCTACTCCACCAGGAGACCAAGAAGAGAAGATAGCGGTAATGATAACATAATGTTTACATAGCGTCAAAATCCTTGCCTTTAGCTAAACGAATAAAATCACTTGATAGCCATAGCTCTAAAAAAAAAAAAACATCCGCAGACACAGTTGATTCAGCATTGCTTTACCACGGGGTGCAAGCGATTTCATGTCAGATCTATTTGTAAGAATTGAAATGCATTTTTTTTTCTTCCATGATATATCATGCTTCAGCACAAATACATGGAGCAATCCTGACATCACAGTTTGGAAATGTGTTTGGTCGAATTAAGCTAGTGTGCACTTGCACTCAGAAACACCCATTACTTTTGTATAGTTGAAGAGCTTAACGCTGACAGGAGAATTCAAAGAAATAAGATTACCATGGGGGAAAAAATGTGCAGATGGATCAGTATCATAATGAAAAAAACTAATTCCACAACAGATGAAAGCTTCTCACCACAGAGTTTCTTTTTCTGAACTTCCGGGGATGTGATTGAAAGAAAACTTTGTCATCTCTCAAATGTCCTTAACAACAAGTGCAGGGTCATTTTAATTGTAAAAATATACATTGTGTAAATATTTATAAGCTCTTTAACGGAATACACTTGATTTGATCATTGGACTCCCTTTTGAAACACAAAAAGAAAAAGCCCTTACGTTTGCCTATAATTCAGTACTGGGACAAACTCCTCTCGGCATATGTGATCTATGGTGTGGAGATCCCGATTTTATTAAAGGACACGGAGGCTCTTATTATGCTTTCCTCTTTCTTTTATTTCTCAGCAGCAAAATAAATATTGTATATATATTCCATGAAAAAAAGAAAACAATTCAATAACACCACATCATAACTTCTAAAGGGTTAATCAAATACCACATAGGAACCAGTGTCCCCATTACAACAAAGTCCCATGTGACCCTAAGCCACTCATCTTTCTTTTGCTGCTGCTGGACTCTGATGATTATAATGATGACTCTAATGATAATCACTTGCGGGACTATAGCTATAGGCACGGACATGGACCATAAGAACGGAGCTGACGACTCCGCCTTAGTTGACCCTCAGGGCGAACCATTATTCGACCCGGACACCCTACAGCACCCGAGGTCCTCAGAGTGGTACCCTCTGGACTACGTAGCGAAATATATCGCTGCCCGCATCAGAAAGCCACTGGATAAGGTGGCTCGAAACAAGCTGCGGGCAGAGTGCCCATGCCCCACGGTCCCGGATATGGCATGCGCCACCCCGGAAGTGGACCCAAAAATCGCCCAATTTTGGGGAAAATCAGTCTGGAAGGCCAAGAAGGGCCTGGATTTTGCCTGGCGGAATTGCCAGGATAAGGTATTGGACATCCTTGGACCGATCGCGAGGATGTTCGATATGGTCGAAATCGCGTTGGCAGGGGGTGCACCGCTGGACCTGGAAGCCCTCAGGGGGTGGATCCAGCGTGCCGTGTGTCTCCTGGGCAACGCGAATACGGCGGTGGCCACGGAAAGACGCAAGGCGATTTTAATTAAAATTGAGCCTAAGCTGGTAAACCTAGCTATCTCAGAGCCGGGTCCCCAGGCTAAAGCCCTCCTATTCGGGGATAACTTCGTAAAAGAGCTAAGCACATATGTAGGCACCTTTACGGCACTGGATAAGGCTCAAGCCAGCATGAAGCGAGTGTTCCATCAGAAGGTTTTTGGCGGGGCTGGCAGATATCGGGGCCGTCTGCCCGGCCGCTCGCCCCGGGGCTCTCGTGGTTCCGTGCAATCTAGATTCACACCCCCGGAACCCAAACAAGCCTCACCATTCTTCCCGGTTCGAGGCAGGCCGTGGCAAACCCGAGGACCCAGAGGCTCTTCATATGGCCGACGACCTTATGGTAAGTGCACTACCTCCTCATATGTCTGCATTAACTATGGTGGGGGGCAGACTGGGCCATTTTGTCAAAGCATGGCACATGATCACTGCGGATGCCTGGGTGCTCCACACGGTCCGGGGTTATTCTATAGACTTTGTGCAATACCTCAACTGAAACCCCCCGGCCGAATGGTGTTCCCCACTCAGGACCGAGAGTTGATAACCCAAGAGGTCCAGGCCTCCAAGGGGGCAATTTATACAGTTCCCCCTGTCACACCAGGTTTCCTAAGCAACCTATTCTTAGTACCCAAAAAAGGCAGAGGTGTTCGCCCAGTCATCAACTTGCGACCTTTAAACATGTTTGTCACGTACCACCACTTCAAGATGGAAGGTATATACTCCCTTCGGGACCTCCTCCTCACAGGGGTCTTGATGGTAAAACTCGATTTGAAGGACACATACCTCACGGTCCCAATGGCCGACGACTGCCACCACTTCCTGCAATTCCGCTGGGAAGAGACCATGTGGCGATTCCAATGCCTACCGTTCGGTCTCTCATCGACCCCCTGGTGCTTCATAAAGCTCATGAAACCAGTGGTCGCCCTCCTACGCAGCAGGGGCGTACGGCTCATAATATACCTGGACGATATCCTCATCATGGCTCAGGACCCGCTTCTGTTGCAAGAACATTTCTCTTGGACGAGAAATCTGTTAGAAAACCTGGGCTTTCTGATCAACTGGGAGAAGTCGGTCATCGAACCTTCGCAAGCTATAGAGTTCCTGGGATTCACCATAGACGCGGTGACCGGAACGCTCCTACTCCCGACGACCAAGATCAAGGCCATCAAAAAGGAGCTCAAGCGGACGCTCACACGTCCTGTCCTTACTTTGAGGCAGCTGGCCAGGATTGTAGGCCTCCTCTCCTCGCGTCAATTCAGGCCATTTTTCCCAGACCCCTACATTACAGGGCACTTCAACGGTTAAAGGCAAAATACCTTCGTTTGGGGCACTCATACTCCGCTTCTGTTCCTCTCGACTGTGCCGCCAAAGACGAAATCAAATGGTGGCTACAACACATGAAAGCCTGGAATGGCCGCGTGATCTTCGGAACAGCGCCGGACCTCGTAGTGGAATCCGATGCAAGTTTGCTCGGTTGGGGTGCGCGCTGCGGACCTTTCTCCACCGGAGGAAGATGGTCCAGGGAGGAACAGGGACTTCATATCAATTGCCTCGAACTGTTGGCAGGTTTGTTTGCTTTACGGAGTCTTTTGAACGTGTCGACCAACTGTTCCATCCTGTTACGCATGGACAACGTTTCAGCGGTTCGATATATCAACCACCTCGGGGGCACGAGGTCGGCAATACTTGCGGAATTAGCAAAGGATTTCTGGCAGTTCTGCCTGGACCGCAACATATCAGTGCAAGCGGAACACATCCCGGGGATGAGCAATGTAGTAGCAGATTGGAACTCCAGACATCTACGGGATGCCAGCGACTGGCGGCTGAACCCGGCCATCTTCACCCATTTGCAATCGCTGTGGGGGCTGCTGGACATCGACCTGTTCGCGTCACGACTAAACACGCAATTGCCGAAGTTTTTCAGTTGGAGGCCGGATCCGGAGGCTCTAGCGACGGACGCTTTCCGACAACAGTGGCCGAACACCAGACATTACGCTTTTCCCCCCTTTTCTCTCATCGCAAGGACCTTGCTGCACCTCAGACGACACCGGACGTCTCTAATCCTCGTATCTCCCTTCTGGACGTCTCAACCCTGGTTCCCTACACTCCTGGAACTGTCCATAGACCTGCCGAGGTTATTACCGGTACACAACAACATCCCCCCTGGATCCCTATCGCAATCTGCACCCTCTCATACTGCAGGGACATCTCAAGCTTTTGGCATGGCTCCTTTCAGGGGACTCGATGACACCCCAAATGTTCCACAAACAACTCTGGACCTCCTGGCAGGAGCTTGGGCCCCGGGTACAAGAAAATCGTATTTACATGCCTGGAACGCATGGTATGGTTGGTGCGTGGAACAACACGTGGATCCCATATCTGCAACTGTGAGTCAAGTCTTGGGTTTCCTCACTTTTCGACCACGGCCTGGCGTATCGTACAACTATATAGATCAGCTATCTCGGCAGGCCACGTAGGTTGGAATGGAATTCAAACAGGGAAACATCCGATGGTGTGTCGACTCCTACGAGGCATAAAATTTGCACGACCACCACGACCTCGGTATTCGGAGGTATGGGATGTGAACCTCGTTCTCCGACTTTTTGAAAGTTGGCCATTCGGCGGTCCGAGATCCTCAATTTGCGGACCTATTCCTGGCCATTCGACAACCGCATCGTCCGGTTTCTACAGTCACCCTATCTCACTGGGTCAAATGGATCATCACGTCGGCAGGCATTGATTCCTTACACATACGGAGCACATTCAGTGAGGGGTGCGATGGCATCAAAAGCATTTTCATTAGGCTGTAAATTGGAAGATCTTCTCCGAGCAGCCGATTGGTCGAGAGAATCTACATTCCGTGAATTTTATTTCCGTCCGGTTTCCCATTTTTCCACGTCAGTGATCACATAGCTTTGAACTAGCATAATAAGAGCCTCCGTGTCCTTTAATAAAATTACCAGATTTTACTAATTTCATGACGTAAAGTCATGATTTTATAAAGGACACGGAGGCGAGTACTATCCCACCCACTAAAGGTAAGTTGCCCTCCTCTGGGAATATAATGTATGTTATGGGACTGGAACCGTGTGATAATGTGCTATTTTATTTCCATTTGAGTGACTAACATGAGAATGATTGTGTTAAATAGTTTTGGAATATGAACGTGGAAAAATATTATCCAAGAACACATTTTACCATTTCGTTTCTCTGTCTTACAGCTTCCTAATTGGAGTGCCATAATGGTCCAGGCATACCCACAGGTGTGCGGATGGAGGATGACCAGTTTTTTCTTCAGGATTTGTTGGTTTTTTTGTCTGACGTCGTCTTCTATTGGATTCACTGTTTTCTCTACACGACTACTGGTAGTTTTTTCATTGCCGAGTTTTGGTGTGTCCATCAGCAACACCAAAAGAAAGAGGAGTGGCTTAGGGTCACATGGGACTTTGTTGTAATGGGGACACTCTAATTGGTTCCTATGTGGTATTTGATTAACCCTTTAGAAGTTATGATGTGGTGTTATTGAATTGTTTTCTTTTTTCATGGAATATATATACAATATTTCTTTTGCTGCTGAGGAATAAAAGAAAGAGGAAAGCATAATACTCGCCTCCGTGTCCTTTATAAAATCATGACTTTACGTCATGAAATTAGTCAAATCTGGTAATTTCAGGATCCTGTCCCACTTCCATCTGGGGACACAAGGAAGCTGTACTCGGGCAGCACAATACAAATGCATCATGCACTTGGACCCTGCAGACAGTGCTTCCTGTACAGTACTTCAGACAGGCCCCTTCAGTCCCTCATAGGGCCAGGTTTACCAGTTGGCATTCTCCCAATGTTGGGATATATGGGTAATTTTCTCGCTCCATCATATAATCTAGTGCTTCTCTATGAAGCAGTGTTTTGGATCATCTTGCTGGGTGGACATGATATTCAATATGTGAACGTCTTATGGAGGAAGCGCCTCAGACTGAAGGCAACTAGAGGCTTACTCTCTGACAAACATAGACATTGCCATTGAGTCATTAAGATGGTGCTTAGAGAGTGTCCCCTTAAATATCAGCTTCATGCCAGTATGATATAGTGGCGCTTTATAGAGCTAAAAATGTTATTTATGTACTGTACTAACCAATGAACTATCAATTGTATATGTAGCATTTCAAATCTACTTGGATTTTACAATTATTATAGTCATGACCTTCTGTGCATGCCCACAACATGGCTGCATGTTATCCATTATGGGAATCGCTGCACCACAAAGTAAATGTACATGGATGTCACTTGCAGCCAGCGCTAGACTTTAAACTTTTGTCTGAGTGAGACAGCCACATACCTCCCAACATTTCAAATGGGCAAAGAGAGACACTTTCATTTTAGGGGTGCGAGTGTGGGTATGGCCAGGGTCAGGGCTGTTCTGGATCATTTTAGGAGACTTCGTAATAACAATTTATGGAACTATGCAGCTCTTGTTATACACTCAGACACACAAACCATATGAAACTCCTAGAAAAGAGGGACAGAGGGATTTGGCCCCAAAATAGGGACTGTACATCCTAAATAGGGAAATTTGGAAGTATGCAGCCAAGTGTTTAGTGCTCCAGCTGTATTATCTTGAATTTGCAGATGATATTATTATTTTTATTACTACTTATTTCAGAAAGACTGACACTGCCTTTCATGTTTCCAAAGTCAATAAAATGAGTACAGTGCAATAGGGTAACATCTGAACCCCAAGACATTCTTAAAAACTATCAAACATTAAATGTACTCCTTCTGGTTAACTGCTTTGATATGATTATTATTTAAATCATATACATATGCTAGTGATTTCACCAGTACAAAATGTACAGAAATTACATTTCATAATGTTACCTGAAGTGGACCTTGTCCTGCACATATTTTTTAGATTTATATATTTAAAATTTTTATATAGCTGACAGGTTCATTTAAAGGGGACCTGTCACTTTTCTGATAAAGGGGTATTGTACACATAGGAACTTTCCAGCGATCATCAGTGAGGGATCTCTACCTCCTCTTCTCAAATAAAAAAAAATGATGTGTTTCAACCCTTTCCAGGTTTGATAAAGACATATTACATGGTCATATTATGTTGACTAAAATAAAGATATTGGATTTCATTATTATTTTTTTTCTCATAGTGAAAGTTTCACTTCCCATCACAAAAGGTTATTGAATTGTCTACTGGGGTGAAGAGTGCACTGGATTCGGTATAAAACATACTTATCTCCACATTTCCAGCGTTTCTAGGTTTGAGTGCCCTCTTCCCATTGTGCTTCGTTTGTACACTCATTCATGCATGGGCATCTGCTTGTAAAGGGCTGTACGTGCTATCCATGCTCGGGCATTCCTTCCATGGTACCATGTGCCCACTTGAGAATCAATAGGGTCAAGGCAATTTGTAAACTACACTTTGCTATGACATAACTTCCTAGTCCCAAGAGCTTAAATGGACACTCTAGGCACCAACACAACTTTTATGTATTTTAATGCTTAACCCCTTAAGGACACATGACATGTGTGACATGTCATGATTCCCTTTTATTCCAGACGTTTGGTCCTTAAGAGGTTAAAGGAACACTTCAAGTACCACAACCTGCTGTGCTTATTGGCTGATAGCTTTCACCTGGTCCTCTCAGATTGCGCTCTGATGCTCAGATGCGATCATGGACTCATGGTTTGACTCAGTGGTGCTAATGGAAGCTCTATGCAGGAGCTTTCGCATCAGAAGAGGAAGTGAAGTACATCATCAGGACCCTGTTAAGTTAATAAATGGTTTCCCTTGCTCAGGAGAGCACCTACAGCAAGCTAAAGTGGTTATGGTGTTTGTTCTGTTTCTTTATATATGTAGCTGTATTTTTTGCACTGTAAGTTTGTTTATTTTGGGGGGACAATAACATATTTTGTAGCATTCTGCATCTTATGCTTGTCTCCTCTTTGTTGGTTACTGTGTCAGGGTTACATGTAGTCGCAGCTCCATAAGCCTTTCTGTCCCTCTCTTAAAATGAGCACTATAGTGCCAGTAAAACAAACTGGTTTTCCTGGCACTATAGGGTTATTAGGTACCCCCCTCCCAGGGCCCCCCTTCAGCTGGGCTGAAGGGGTAACCCTTCAGACAGTTACCTTAATCCAACACCCTCGGCACTGGTGACCTCTCCTCCCCCTGCCGACATCATCTCCGAATGCGCATGTGCGGCAAGAGCTGCGCGTGCATTCAAACCACCCATAGGAAAGCATTACTCTATGCTTTCCTATGGACATCAGCATCATCTCAGTGTGATTTTTCACACTGAGAATCGCGGAAGCGCCTCTAGCAGGCTGTCAGGTAAACAGCCACTAGAGTCTGGATTAACCCTCAATGAAAACATAGCAGGGGGACATGGCACCCAGACCACTTCATTGAGCTGAAGTGGTCCGTTAACATAAATCCTCCCAAGTTTCATAGGTTTTAAAATGTGGTGTGTGGAGGTGAGACTGATGGGTGCGCCTGTCTGTGAAGCTGTCTCCTTAGGTTGACTCAAAGCTCACATACAGTCAATGTGTACCATCAGTAATATTTTAAAATGTGATTGTTTCAGTGAGAGACATTAACGCCTCTGTTTTAACCCATGAGTGCTAGGGAGACCAGCAATGCATTGCACAACCCTTCATCACGTTAAGGACAAAATTTAACTGCCAGGCATTTGTAATCTTAAATTAACAACGCTGATTATTTTATTTGCGAATGCGTATTTGAGGAGCATACCTGAAAATATATGTAATGAAATGCAATCCCTTACATTTTTCATTTTAATGTAAATGGAAAGTATTTATTGCACTTACATTCAGAATATGTTTGGAGGTTATATACACAGTAAGAGAACCCTAGTAGTATTATCTCCATATTAGACTGCTGATGGATTTTGGAAGAAATGTTAAATAAAAAATGTTTTTAAAGTAATTATTTAAACACATTCATCATGTAGGTGAAATTTCTCAATTCTCTAGTGTATAACAATTCAACATATTTGATGTTTAGTGTACTTCTCAATGTTCTTGTATGTCCTTTGTATCCCCACACAATTTCTGTACCTGTAGCTGAGCCTGCAATTCATTAACCCTTTAATTGCTCGTCCCAAAGAATCTACGCAAGAAGATTGGTTCTAACACTAGACCTCAATCGAAATCCATACCTTGTCCGGACTTAAAATTTTTGTTTAATATTACCTTCCAATTAGTGACTGAGAGGGGATTATCAAATCCACAAACAACGTGCAAAGGCACTAACTTCAGACAGTTCTGCTCAGTCCAGACACGCATAAGGCACACATTGAAAATGAGAGATACAAACCGTGTAAAACACAGCAATACAATCTTGGGAAATGACCATTCCCCTTTAATATACAAGTATTTTCAGATTCACGAAGGGGTTACTGAGATTATGTTTTGAGCTTCAGTATGTCATGATAAAGCCAGGCTCCATTTTCACTCTGACAAGTGAAAAATTTAGGCGAGTAGAAATTTGCCCCTGGCAAGTATGCCATGAACTCGCCGGGCTTGTAATGGTAACAAACTTTTAAAGGAACTCTTTCTGCTCTATTTCTGACTGTTTTTTGCTGAAACACCTCCCATTTCTTCTGCTTCCGTTAGCTCTATTGGAGCTCTGGGCTCCAGTGCATGCCTGCTTTCTCCTTCTTAGTGAGCTGTACCATCGATCATTGAGCAACTCCAGCACACGGGGTTCTCAATGAGAACCTATGATTGGAATGTTCCACGGCACAGATATGGAAACAGGGGAGGGCTTGCAAAAGCTACAGACAGGTTTTTTTCTTAATATTTACCTCCAAAGAAAACATGCAGAAGGAATACATATATGCATGATTTGTTTGCAGGTGTATTCTACTTCTAATAAAAAAACAAAAATTTTCTTTGAATAAAATAACATTTTCGGTGTAGTGTTCCTTTAGGCCTGGCTAAGAACGTAAGACTTGACTTTTATGCTTGGTGTGTTTATCAGGTACTGCTTTGACTCTGCAACCAAAGCCAAGGAAAGCTGCCCATTGGCCTAGTTGACTTAGATTTTTTTAAATTTTCTTTCTTTCTAAATACCGGAATATAAAAATTTAGACACACACCATCTCTGATAATTTCATTCACAGGTGGGGTAACAGGGTAATATTTACTGTGTTTGCAAATTCTGCAATCATTTTACTGCATTCTTATATTTCTGTTTTATTTTTACTAGGTAAAACATCCTCCAAGAAGCTGTCCAAAAAGGTAAGGAAATGTTGCTGCCCCCTGCATCCCCTCCATCATTTTAGTAGAACATGCCTTTTTTGCTCCATAATAAAAATTGGGCTAGATTTTGCAGAACCTATATTCATTATTATGCAGCCACAGAAGGTTGCATATTACTGAAGTCACTGATACATTTATGTTTGTATGTGTATTTTTAGGATTTGGAGACCATGTTGTCTGAAGCAACTAAGGCGAAACCTGGAGGAACATTTTTCAGAGATCTGGGAGATAAAGGTAATGCTACCTTTTTCTTTCCAGACTTTTATAAACGTTTGGAATTGCTTGCACCTAATGTGCACTGTTCAGTGATTTGAAGTGGCCATGTTGGTAGGAGTCTTTATGGGCAGCGTTCCGATATGAAATGGTTTACATACAGTGATATTTAATGTTACTGCTGAAGCTCTAACCCCTTCATCAGCAGTATCAACAGTACGTCATAAGCCAGTTCAGAACAAGCCGGCTGGCTAATGTCAACGCTCTGCTCATTCTATGCACCAAAATTGTAGAAATAGCCACTAAATAAGAAGAAAAAAGAGAAATATGTATTATAAGAAGCAACTTTGAAGAAATCTGATCCAATTTAATTTTTGCATTGAGCTTGCAGAATCTCTAGCACTTTGAATAGATTTCTTGATGTATCCAATTTAAAGTCTCTCTCCCATTTGTCAATCAATCTTCGGCATAGACCATTATGCACAGGGCCGGACTGGCCATCGGGCAAACCGGGCAAATGCGCGGTGGGCCACAATGGCCATGGGCCGAGGTTGACCGGCAAACACCAGCTCTGCTTTGTGTCTTCATGGCCTGTTGGGGAGGTCTGCATGGGCACTCTGACTTGTCTGTGGCTGCGCAGCCCCATACACCGCAAAAAGTGCGATGAACTGTGTGTCCTGATATCTCTCTATCATGGCCAGCATTAAAGGGATAGGCATCAAAATAACTTTAGTTCAATGAACCAGTATTGATGTATGTATTATGCACCTGCAGTCTCAGTTCTCTGCCATTTAGGAGTATAATCCCTTTGCTTCTGCCCATGCAGCCATAGCCATACCTCTGCTGGCTGTGACTGGCACAGCTTGCATGAAAACAAAATGGATTCATTTTCAATCAGATGTTAATTTACTATAGAGGTTTTTGTCTCCTGCTCAGTAAATTGAACTTAAATCACACACAGAAGGGGCCTGCAGGGTCTAGAATTAACAGTGCAGGAGATAAGAAATTCTAAATGAAACAGACTGAAATAAAAGGAAGTTTAACTATTAGATATCCCTATACAGGAAAGGTTTAGGAAGGCTGTGTCAGTCACATGCAGGGGTGTGTGACTAAAGCTGTATAAACAGAGTTATTTAACTTCTAAATGGCAGAGAATTAAGCAATGAGACTGCACGGACATGATCTATATACTAAAACGGTTTTATTAAGCTAAAGTTGTTTTGGTGCCTATAGTGTCCCTTTCAGTTTTTCAGTAATTTGAGATTCAGTTGCTCTTCTCTGTGATCGGACCAGACGGGTTAGCCTTCGCTCTCCACGTGCATCAATAAGCCGTGGATGCTCATGACCCTGATGCCGTTTTACTGGTGGTCTTTCCTTGCACCATTTTTGGTAGGTGCTAACCTCTCCATACCGAGAACACCTCACAAGACTTTTCATTTTGGAGATGCTCTGACCAAGTCGTCTAGCCATCGCTATTTGGTCCATGTCAATGTCACTCAGATATTTTTGCTTGCCCAGTTTTCATGCTTCCAAAACATGAAATTTAAGAACTGAATGTTCGTCATGCCTAATATACATGCCACCCCTTGACAGGTTAATCAATGTTATTCACGACACCTGTCAGTGGTTGTCTCACATTAGTGTATGTATCAATTCTAGGTTCTTTGCAAGTTTGTATAGATTCCACATTATGTCACTGAAGAGAATTTCCATTCAGCTGCATTGAATACCAGGTTGCCATATGCATCATTCAAAGTATCCACATACACTGAACAATAATTAGTTACATTTTGCTAGTTCGTTGGATTTTGAAACCACTCCCAAAGCACCACAGACTTTGTCATCATGGCGGCTCACATATGCTTTTGAGAGGAGTGGGTTTTTTTTGGTTTTTTTTATACTTGCCTATGCTGCACTCTCTCCCCCAGTAATAAAACTGTGAGCATCGTCTAATAGGACGAGGGAAAGAGGCAGCTGGGACGGAACACAGAAAGGCAATGGTTAAGTTGCTCATTATTGCAAGCGCACTCATGACAGTTTAGCTCCTCTCTATTTTGTGATAAAGGTTATCTATTGTTTTCGCTTTCTGTATGCATCTGTGAATATTTAAATTTCACAGTTAGAAAGGTCACAAATTAGTCAGCATTCTATAGATAAATACGGTGTTGGCTTACACACTATAATCCTGTAATTCTAAAACATATCTGTGAGGTCATTTATTTCCTTGGCAGAAAGAAAAGCACTCTTTAAGAGCTTGCTTTTCTTTTTTTTTTTTTTTCTTTTCTTGTAAAATTTTATTTGACTTCATAATTGTGATAAAAGTATATTTTCACCTTGTCTGCTGCGCCCTTTTGAAATGTATTATAAACACACTTACAATGTAATTATCTTCTTAAACCGGTGTAATTATCCCTCACAGCAATTATTTTTCCTTGAGATACGTATTCGGCACTGTATAAATAAGCACATTATCGCTAATACACGGAATTATTTACTAAACCGTGTGTAGGTAGTTAAATTAAAAACATCCAACAATTTTTTTCAGTTCACTGTTAAGTGAATTAAGTTGTTGGTTTTGGCTATTTGTGGTATAAATTAAAAAAAGAAAACTGTTAAAAGCAAGCCCTGTGTCGTCATCCGGTACTTCCACAGGGGACAATCAATCCTGAAGCTATAATAAGAAACAAGCCATTGGTTTCCATGGTTATTCTACTTTAATTTTTTTTGCTCCTGAAAGATACTTAATTCAAAATCTGTGCGCATGTATGTGTCGTGCTTGTTTTACAAATAAAATCACATTCTTTTTGGGGTGATACCCCATTCTCTTCGTGTTATTGCCGAGCAAGGGGTGGTCAATTCTTCCTGTCTCTGGCTTCCATTGCGCTAACCCTTTCAATTCCTTAAAGTAGTTTAAAGGGTTAAAGGTTACTTTTTCCTGCTCCACGCCCATATACACCGGCATCGTTGCAGTAAGAGTGCTTGCCCATAACACAGACGAGGCCACATTTTGTTCCTTGATTATTTTTCTTAGAGGAAGAGAAGAAATGTCAGGTGCACACAGTGCACATTACCATAATCCTTACCAGCAGCGTTTTCACTGTAAATCTTTCCTGAACAAACACACAATCTTGCTTCATATTGCTCGGTGATGACATCTCATTTCAGTATGGACTCACATCAAAGTGGGGGGTGACACATAGTCACTACAGTTTTGCCTAGTCCATACAACTGAATATATACAAATCAGAGAGACTTGGCATTGCCTACTGTGCGCTACAATGTTTTTTTCCAAAAAGCAGATAGGTATGGCAGCAAAGTCTTCAAAAGACATTTTGACAACTTGAATAAACCATTTGAAAAAAGTTACTCAACAGGCAATATAGATTATAAGGAGTCACAGGAGACAAGTGTCACAAAAGAATGTTGGAATTTGTGGCTAACAGGTGTGGGCAATGCTGGTTTTCTTTTTGGTATTGGATCACAACTCCCAGCACTAGTATTTCTGCACAATTAAAGGAACATTCTAAGCACCATAACCACTGCAACATGCTCAGACCCACGCCAGTTTGCAGGTCCTGCATTAGCTGTGCTTTACTCTACAGAGATATCCAGCTTTTCCTGCAGGAGAAGACTGGTTTCGGCATAGACACCAAGGTACGTTTTCAAACCTTACTGAAACAGTTTGACTTCCTACCATGAGTGTCCTGGCACCATAACAATTATAGCATGCTGTAGTAGTTTTGGTGCTTGGACTGTTCTTTTAAAAGTAGCTTAATATGGGAAATGGTGGATAACAATAGGAAAAGTTGGACGCAGATAACAGACTAATTTATCACGCATTCTCAAATCCACATCTGGGACGTTTCAGGGTTTGTACCATAACTAATTGGGGGAGGTTCAAACCAAGTGAAGAGAGATTAACGGGGAAAACACCCAGCATCCACTTCATCTCCCCCCATCAGTCAGGCATAGGTGTAGCCAAGTGTCCACATTTAAAAGACATTACTGCTATATTTCCCATACCAGGTGGAAGCACAGTTGAGTGGTGGTAGTCATGTAAAGGATGTGAATAAATTCTCCATGACTGCATAGCGCAATGATGACTATTGTCTCTCATAAAATGGGTGGGTTGCTGTGGATTAACATGGTTTTAGTGTCAGCTGCTGCAGAAAATAGGGAAGTTAAATGGTATGCTTTCCTCCCTTCAACGAACACATGTAGCCTTAAGGCCTCTTAATACTAGACAGAAATACACTACACTTTATAAGCCTTGTATATATAACTCCCAAAATGACTAGAATTAGAAACAGTTTGTTATCCCTGCAAAGAATATCGTTTATGGGCTAATGGAGGGTCTTATGTGTAAAGTCTGAAATATTTAGAAACTTTTCTGGGTTGAAAGAAGCAATTAATACTAATTCCCAACAAGATACATCTCTGAGCCCCATTGCAAGGTTGAAAGTGTGCCTGTAGCATGAATTCAGAATTCTATTTTTGCTAAATCGGTTACATAGTACATTGTACAGTCCATATTTCTTTCTGGAGTCAGTAAGGTTCTCTTTATCTATTGATTTTCCCCAATATAAACGGAAGTAAATGGTGTTTACCCTTCTATAAGCCGTGTTTAAACATGCCACGCTGAAACATCTTCTGTGCTATATAAGCTTCAATTGACTGATTAATCCAGCCATGCTGTGAGAATTTGCACTGTTTTAAGTCACCCCTCACAAAGATGAATCAAGAAGTATGTTTTTTTTTTTTGGTTTGTTTTTTTACCTCTTTGACTATATAAAACCACATCACTAATTGTATTTTTATATTTACTTTTGTATGACTTTGTTGTCCCAGTCTGTGACTCCCAGGGCATTGCAGTGGGCACACACCTCAGTTGCTCAAAGGGTTAAAAGCTCAGTGTCTGTATTCATCTTGTTTATAAACTATAACTTTCTTCACTGATGTCTACGCTACAAATTGTAGCCCTGGAATTTTCCTTGAGGAGGGAAGAAATATATTCACCTTGCAGAAAGGACATAGTCTTATTAAAAAAAAGTATTTTGTTGGCACAGCGATCGGCTGCTCTATCATAGCAATCTAGTTATCTCCCAGCCTTGCGTGTCTGCCTAACCCCCTTGAGATCCTAAAACAGGCTACTAACCGCTCTACCAAGGCAGCAAGGGGATAAAATACTTTGATCCCTTTCAGTAACATTAGAGGAGTACGACATATGACTAAATGAGTTTAATGTATTTTCTTTTTGTATAAACAATGATTATATATCTGTATTATTTTTTTAAGTGGGGGGAAAAAAAATTCACAAGATTTAGTGTTTGCATCCGATTGAAAACAAATAAATGTTCTTTTTCATTATACTAAAGGCATAGCACAGATGCGAATGTTTGAGAAATAGCAAGTTCATTCTCCGTGCAATGCAAACATATGAGCGTGCTTTGCACGGTCCAAGTCTTAACGATGACACCATGAAATATGTGTAACTGATCTGCCAGCAATTACTTGTGTAAATGTGACATGGTAACATAAACTGCATTGTCACCAATACAAAAAATGAACTGAAATGCCTTAAATTTGGCTGTAGGGAATATATTTTTTTTTTTAAATTTTAGAATGTAACTTTGTGTTTATCTTTTCTCTTCTTGTTTTAGGGCTGATTTCTTACACCGAATATTTGTTCCTTCTGACAATACTGACAAGTAAGTTTCATGCAATTACTGCTATGAAAGTATTATTACCTTCCCCTTTCCCGTAGGATTGCATCATACATTGATAATATAAAGCTTTTGATCTTAGATATTGTTTTCAAACAAATTATTAAAGGGACACTCCAAACACCATTATCACTACAACCTTTGTAGTGCTTATGGTGCCAGGAATGACCTGTAAGTAGTAGGAATGAGTAAGTAGTAAAAATGTTTAAGAACAGTTTGAAAACCTACCTGAGCCCTGCCTGGCACCCATCACCGCTCTCCCTATTGCCAGAAGCTCCTACCACTGAGCTAAGCCCATATGTGCAGTGCTGAGCTTAACTCAGTGGAGCTGGGAGCTAATTGCGGGAACCTCTGGTAGCAGGGGAGGCATTCTTAAGTGGCTTGACTACTTGCGCTGGGTGCACTCTTGGCTCCCTAATAATTATAGCAGGCTGTGGTGGTGATGGTGTTCTCAATGTTCCATTAACTTCAATGGTCATGTATGCCTTTTCACTTTACCTCTTTGGTAAAGAGAGGGCAAAATGAAATATGTTTTAAGGTTAAGCTGTTTTGCACGAACGATTAACTGGTATGTGTACCGTTATATATGTATATATTATCATATTCAAAATCAAAAAATATATGCAAATCCTTTCCACAGTCTCTAAACAAATTACATTTGCCTGGGGTATGATGCCAATACTATTTGTAAACTGAAATCAATCTGGCCCACTATCGCTACCTATTTAGAACATTTTGTGATAACCACAAATAGCATGTTGATTTCTGCCACCTACTCTTAGAATCATCAAATACTTTTGTCAGAATTCGTCATTGGTAACACATTGGTTTATGAGTATTGTTCGATTGTTATACCCCCGTTTATCATTATTCTTTTGAAAATCAAAATATTCTGTGAAAATAACAATAATGCCCACACACATTTTTTGCCAAGTTAAAAAAATACATCTGACATGTACTGGACAGTCAAAAGCTATTGAACAGATCTGTTTTAATCTTGGTGGGGAAAGCATCTGTCTGTTTAAAGGTTGGAAGGGGAGTTGTCAGACAGGAATGTGAGGATGCTGAAGAAGGGAACTAAACATTATACAGCAAAGTGTTTTTAGTCTGATCTACCCCTGCACATTACATCACTCTGGCAATCTTAGCAATCATACAGCCTATTAATCACAAATAACTGGGAATTACAAAGTAAAACAATGATACATTTTCTATCTTCTTAGTTTCTATATATGTATTTTTTTTATGGTAGTTTAACAGCAATGTTGCCTAAAAGCAACCTTAAGCACTATAGCCACCACAGAAGCTTGTGGTAGAATTTTCAGGCACTTTCTGTTAAATGTCAAAGCTATTTGACAAGAACTGGCTCTTTCGTGGCACGTTAAAGGACCACTATAGGCACCCAGACCACTTCAGCTCAATAAAGTGGTCTGGGTGCCAGGTCCCTCTAGTTTTAACCCTGCAGCTCATAGCAGTTTCAGAGAAATTGCTATGTTTACACTGAGGGTTATTCCAGCCTCTAGTGGCTGTCTCGCTGACAGCCACTAGAGGCCGCTTCCGCGCGCTGATGCCCATAGGAAAGCATTGAGTAATGTTTTCCTATGGGCAGTTTGAAATCGCGCGGAGGAGGAGAAGGAGCCCGGCGCTGTAGAAAGGTAAGTGGCTGAAGGGGTTTTAACCCCTTCAGCCCAACAGGAGGGGAGCCCTGAGGGTGGAGGAGACCTAAGGACTACATAGTGCATGGAAATGAGTTTGTTTTCCTGGCACAATAGTGCTCCTTTAGGCACGACACCTCTGCATATGTGGATTTGAACTTTAAAGTGGCACTGTCAAGGCAGAATCCAGTTTTTGTTGTTTTTTTTTAAACCCCATCTTGACTCCACTACATCTAATTGTCCCCTTAGTTACCCCCAAATGCCCCTAAGCCCCCCATATTACCTATTTTTTTATCTTTATTTTCTCCCTGGACCTAGGTCCTGGGGGCCGCCATCTTTGTGTGGGTTGATGAAGTCCCTGTAAGACACGTCATCTGCCCACACTAGATAGCGCTGTGAAATTCCCGCGCATGCCGAGTTAAACACTTGGGCATTCGAACAGGAATTTTTATCCATTCATTCGTCAGAAAGACGAATAAATGATTAGAAATTTCAAACGAATGAACGAAGACCTCTTAATTACAAGGAGGGAGCTACGGCGCGCAGCTCCCTCCTTGTAATATGTAAAAAATAGCAGCAGCAGGGAGCACTGCTCCCCACCACTTCCTAAGTCCCCCCATGTCCTCCCTCACTCAATAAGACCCCCATAATATCATAAGGGAGAATAAAATCTCCTGAATGCTTTTGTAGAGGCATGTCTACAAAACAGTGAGTAGCCAATGGCTGCTCACTAGTGATGTCCCGAACGGTTCGCTAACGGTTCGCCGCGGACTCATCATTGAGTAAACTTTAACCCTGTACCTCACAGTCAGCAGACACATTCCAGCCAATCAGCAGCAGACCCTCCCTCCCAGACCCTCCCACCTCCTGGACAGCATCCATTGTGAAGCTGCATTCTTAGTGAGCTGTCCAGGAGGTGGGAGGGTCTGGGAGGGAGATTGGCTGTTGATTGGCTGGAATGTGTCTGCTGACTGTGAGGTACAGGGTCAAAGTTTACTCAATGATGAGTCCGCGGCGAACCGTTCGGGACATCACTACTGCTCACAGTTGTTAAAAAAAAAAAAAAAGTTTTTTAGAAAAAAAAGCTCCCCCTCTCTAACAAATGGCCCCATGAGGGGACATAGTGTCCCCATGGGGCCATTTGTTAGAGAGGGGGAGCTTTTTTTTTGGGGGGGGGGTCCCTTAATGAAAATGGGGGGGGACTATTGTCCTCCTCCTCCCCCCCCCCCAAACCCCACCAATGAGCAGTTGGTTAGGGGGTCCTAAATGAAAATGAGGGGGACCTGTTGTCCCCAAGCCCCTAGTCACCACCCCCCACGCAAAAAAAAATTAATAAAGACCTACCAGCCTCACCCTAAAAATAGTGAGGGGGAACGAGAAACTAAATCCCTGTAAATAAAAAATAACTTGCCACCATGTCCCCCCCAGGCTAGTTAAGAGATGCCCCACCATGGGAGGGGACAGTTCGGAACAAAGTCACGAATTTCATCCTAACACCAATGGACGAACTGCTCTCATTTTGTTAGAATGAAATTCGGTAGTTTTGCCAGCGTTCAGGAATATGGAAAGGAGGCATCGCAAGAACACGGAGGAAAGGTGAGAATTGTGGGAAAACTTCTCTGACCACAGGAAACAGAGCACACTTTGTTCCTCTGCTGTTCATTGATGGTCAGGCGTAAGAAACCTCCATAAGACAAAGTAGTCCCTACTTTGTCTTATGTTTTTAAAGAAAACTAGATTAGATAGGAAGAAATCAAGAACAGATCCTGACAGAGGGAGAGAAGAGGAAGCTATTTAAAGAAAAGTAAGTTCGGCATGACAGTGCCACTTTAAGTTCAGCCTTCCAACTCTGATCATAAGTGAAAAGCCTGAGAACACTCGGGGTAGTTTATTGGAGATCACAAACCTCTTTGGTTTTGAGGGTAGCCATCACTGCTATAAGTTAAGGAGGCATCATCCTACTACAGCGTTTAGCAGGACTTAACTGGGTTGGAGTAGGGGACAACTCAACCTTTTAAATTTACAAAACCTATATACGCCAAAGGTGATGGAAACACAGCAAACAAAGAAAACTTTGGATTTTTATATTCAAGCAGTTGCATAGGCACGTTTTATGGAGGTCCAAGGGCTTTAGAGCATTTTTATGGCCCACTGGTCAGGGGTTCAGTGATTCCCCCCAGTAGAATCATGAGCTTGACCAGAAGATCTAGAAGCAATTAAATCCAGCTGCCTGATGCATATATTTATTGTACTTCCATCTCTGCATTCATTGACTGGGGAGAGCTGGTGATAGCCTTTCATAAAGAATTGACAGATTATATTTGGAATATATCCCCAGCTGCACACCCTTTAAACATTGTAGCTATCCCAAGGTTTGCTGCAGGAGTTTCATGGTTTACAAATGAAATTTAACTCATGTTGTAAAAAAGTTCATTATCTGTTTTTACTTTTATTAGATTCTTGGTTTAAGTGAAACTTGCATAAAACTGTGCAGGAAAAAGATGTATTTTATAATTTATTTAAGACCGTAAATTAACACTGATTTCCATCTTTGGGTTACTTATCACGCATACATATTAATGGCTTGTATGTGGTTTTGGTGCCATCTATAGGTCATACATGCTAAGTGTGTGATATGTTCTATACTAAGTATTGTAAACTGCAACCACCCAGTTTTTGATAAGCTGCCATTCCTGTGAGCCTTTGCTAGTGGTTCTTTTGTTACTCAGGATAGTGAGAGATCACGAGAGCCGTTCATGAGCAGTGAACAGGTGGGTGGCCTTAGATTGTCCACGTGTTTACTAAGCAAACCATTATGGTCATAGAGCACAGTAAGGAAAGTCACAAAATAATAAAACTCATTTCTCCATAAGACTGTAAAAAAAAAAAAAAAATTTCTTTACCTGGGAGAAAGAAAAATCTGTGAACAAATGTGTCCGTTCATAAAAATCTAAGAAGGTTATGAACGATTTGAGATAGACGATCGATTCCTGTGTTTGATGGTTATATGTTCTAGGAGCAACGCTGTAACTTTCTGTTTGTAGGTTTGGAGTTGAACGTATGATGGCATACTTTGATTAACTGCATTTCCTCATTTATGATTAAATTTGTTTCATAGATGTCTGAGAAAGGAAACTCTAGCAGAGAGTTAATTGGTAATCTCTGTTGCATTAAAAATAAATCCCCCATAAAAATAACTCCTATTTTTTAAGCAGTTCTATATATTCCACACTGCTACAGTAGAGCTATAGAGTATAGTTTTGTTTAAACAAATTAACAAAGGTCATAGGTTATGGTACAAGAAAGTCAATTTTGACTCTATCCCAGCAAACAATTTGTAGTTAAAAACCTTTTCCCTTTGACATCAACGGATGAGTTTTTACTTTGTCCTTTTGCAGTCAATAGCTGGGCAACTGCAGAGCACAGCCATAGTATGATGCCATTTAGCCATAAGCACTTTGCAATTTTTGGAGCCCCAAACATAGTGGACGCACAAAAACTATTAATTTCCATTTCTTGAAACTACAGGTGATTGTCTCTTGTAGATCCCTAGCAAAAATGTACTACAAGCAAAATATCACATTCTCTCCTATGACAGATTCCCTGGAAACCTTGTGGCCCTTAATTCTAAAGTAGATTGTACTTCTATGCATTCCTTTGTAGCAGAATACAAGACCCTCATTAGAAACAAGCATCTTCTGTCTTTGCAAGGGAATTATATTTCATACCGATCCACTTGACTTGGCTCGAGAGGCATCAGAATACAACTAATATCTTAGAAATCTTAGAACAACATTCCATTGAGGGAAACTTCATTTTCAGTAGAGAATGTTCTTTACATTGGACGTTCCAAATAATTCTTAATGTTGGCTCACTTTTGAGGTTCATTGTACTGGAAGTTTCATTTTTATTCTGAATATTCTTTTACTAACTTAATGTGTGGAAGCACAAATGCAAGATACCAAAACCTAATTTTACAAATTAACCGTTTCAAAGCCTAAATGTATTCTGAATAGTGCATTTTATGTTGATTAAAATCTCCCAAGTATTTTTTTTTTTTTTTTTGCTGACAATATTTGTCATTATATTGTCATAGCTGGAAATGTATCACAGTCTCTATGAAAGAAATCTTGTTGAAAATATATTGCTGTGAAACAGAAGTAAACAGAACAAAAACTGTTCATTTATTGCATTTATTTGAAAATGTAAGCTGTATAGTTGTCCTGTAAGACTTTGTAGCTGTTGAGCACACTGCTCAGTGGGCTTTGCTGCTGGTGAGTGGACCTCTCTATGGACTTTGCTGTTGTACCAGACTGCTCTCTTTCGATGAGTGAACCTCTCTGTGGGCTTTATTGTTGATTGATGAGCTATGGGCTTTGCAATTATGAATACATTTCTCTCTGGGCTTTGCTGTTAAAAAGTATTCTAACTTTAGTTAGAAGGTAATGTGGTATGTAGGCTTAGATCCAGAATGGCCTGATTTGTCGACATGTCAAAGGATATAAGGCAATTTGATCTTCACACACACTTCAGGACCTGCACCACCTAAAAATGGATGATATAATGTCAGTACCCTCACCTGATACATTACATTCCTTTCATTTCTTGCAATTGATGTGTATTACCACACAATGTAATGAGCGCCGCAGATGATTTCAGATGCTTGTGGGTATACTCCTTCATATCTGGGGAAACACATTGAGGGCCAAAACGTGAGACTCGGATAAGCAACAGAATGCATCCCCAACTCTTCATACAACAACCATATTGGACAACCATCCTCATCTGATGATATGTGATAAATGCCTCCTTTTATTGGTAAAATTGGACCCACAATCTTTCAGTTTTCTTCAAATATGACTTGTGCTGCTATTCTTTGTGTGGTAACAGTTCTGGTTTATGTCATTTTATTGTTGCAGAACCACAGATTGCGTTTCACATTGCATTTAAAATGCTGGACACTGATGAGAATGAACAGGTTGAAAAAAAAGAATTTTTAAAGGTAAGCACGTTACATTAATTTGGCTTTATAAATGCCTTTCTAACTTTTATTCATTTATTATAAATTCTACCAATAAAAAATGGTCTATAGAATTGGATATGACCAGAAAGCAATTTGCAGGTTCAGGCATGGATTTTTATTTATTTTTCCTTCAATGTGCAGCGAGTTTACAAATTCATTGGCAAAAAAAAATATCTGTAGTCACCTTGACACCCAAAGCCCACCCTTTCGTCAACACATAAGACGTCTCACTCCCTTTTCTCACAGGGAACCAGTTTCCTTTGGAGATGATGAAAGTGTTAACAGTGAAATAACGCAGTAAAATAAACCTAAAGCTATTTTGCTAAAACGAGATTTCTGATTTTGAGAAAACCCCCTATTTTGTCAAGCTGCTCGAAAAAAAACATGGTTTTGCACTCGGATAATGATTGCACCCTAACAACTACGTATTTAAGTTGAAACATGCCTTTATCGCTGTGAATTTCAAGATTGAAAGTCCCTTCCCACTTTGTTTTAGATTTCCATCTAATTGGAGTAGTATTGCAAGATTTTCAGCCCTACGTATAGGGTTTCTCTAATGAAAGCCTTTAACCTCTGTTTTTGTTTAAGGAATGTTAAATCCTAAAGTCCGTGATTGAGCAAATGTGCAGAGACTGAAGCATGAATGGGCCTGAGATTGATATCTCTTGTAATGAGCAAAAACCTGATGAAATTAAGTCTGGCTTAAGTGTGGATAAGGTTTAGGTTCCGTCCCCGTTGTAATTTGGAGTAGTGCTGTATCAGGTTTTGTTCCTTAGCATTTAATAGAAAATATTTTAATGCCGGTTTAATTGTTAGTCTGGATATAATGAAGGTTATTAATAGGAAAAGTGTGTTTCATTAAGGTTTGTCATTTCACTCAGACATTTCTAATGGTCTCAAAGCCTGTAGGCTAAAACGGAAAGCTTTGCCTTTCTTCATTATGTATTAATGTACTTATTGCTGAATTAAATGGGCACTTAATGCACTACTTCCACTTACAGCTACAGTACGTGTGGAGTGGTTACAGTGCCTCCCCACACTCACAAAAACTGGAACTTCCCCAATACCCAGAGAAGACCCCCATCTTGACTGCATTTACTTTACACTTCCACATTATCAGTGTCAGCCCTGTCTGTCCTAGATAGGATTCACAAGCTGAGATAGCTAGGTATGGGTTACCCTGTTACTCCTTGTGCTGGTTAACAATTGTTCCGTATGATCTTTTAGCAAACTGACATTTAACACAAACAACCAGCGTAGAATTCACTGTCAGAGATCCAAAGATGTTGCTAAATCCAGTTGGGCATGGCTTACACACTCTTGTTATCCAGATCAAGTCTGCCCTCTATCCAGCATTACACGCTAATCGGGGGATTGGTTAGGTGGAAACTCAGATGATGTTAAGGTAAGTCCAATAGGCCTTGCGAATACTTTTTTTCAGGCCCTGCTACTGGAGTGGTCAGTCCTTGGCATATGGTGACAGGTTGTTGAATGTTTCAAAGGCCATGACTGTGCAAGGGTTACTCCATGCAATGTAACCACTTCACTGATTTGAAGTGGACGTGGTGCTTGGAGTCTGTGTGTGCAGGGTTTCACTATAAAACTCTGCACATACAGAGCTAAAGCTTTTTGTTGTCAATGTTGTAACTCCCACCTCTGGCAGCATTATTGTGGCATCATTAGCCAGCCTGGAGCAAGAATTCCCTTCCCAGCTTCATTAAACTCTCACCCAGTCACCATTCCTAAAAGTTATTGAAAACTCACTTCCTTTTGTAAAGCGTATCAATTAAGCCGTAAAAAGCTTTCCCTCCCTATACCTTAGTAACTAACCTTTCTTCTTCTTTAACTGTGTCATGTAAAACAAATCAATCCTTCATTGTAAAGTATTCTAGTAACCTACTTTCCCCAAACATTAAATGCATGCTTCCCTTACCTCTTGTGTCACTTTATCCCATTCCCTCTAGTATGTAAGATCGTTTGAGCAGGCCCCTCAATACCCTCTGTTCCTGGTCATCCAACTCATCTGGCTACAAATAAGTGACTGTTAGATCACCCATTGTACAGCGCTGCAGAATTTATTGGCGCTTTATAATTAATAATAATGAAGACTATATTAAAACAAAATTTACCGGCAGAAAATCTTAACACAATGTTACACTCTATAAAACATAATTTGCAGTGAAAACAAAACCTTGGTAAGACCAAACAGAGTATAGGGAATGATTAAAGTATAAAAAGGAAAATAAAAAAATTATTAAAGGAGTAGTCCCTCCTCCCCACTCCATACTTTGCAACATTAAGTAGTATGTATTGAGAATAGGTGGTATAGCGGAATGGATGCTCTAGCTACACTTTTATTCCCTTTTTGTTCGGTTGTCCATACACCCCATACATTGTCCAAACTAACTGTGGGTTCCCAGATGCCTTCTGTATTTTGGTCACTCTGTGCCCATTATTGGTGCAGGGTATGTTGAATGTATTGCTTGTCTGTGCCTCTCCCACTCCCCCTTTTTCCTGTCCTATAGTTTCCCCAGCAGGGTGTTGTCCCAGGTACGCAGCCAGACTAGTTTAAACTAGCTGCTTCTCCCATCAGCCCTTTCTGTTGTCTGTCCCCACCTTTCACCTTGACATGAATGTGTTCCTGATGCACAAAATGCTGGCCAGACCCACTCAGGGCACACCATAATCAATCCCTTTTTAAAGGGATGCTATTTTGCCAGAAATAGAATGCTGTATTCCTGGCACTATAGCTACCTCTGCCTCCCCCTGCAGTGGTAAGTAAAAGGTTAAAAAACAAACCCTTTATTAATTCGATCCCAGCACTGATGTCCCTCAGCGCTGGGTTGCAGCTCCACCTCCTACAACGTTACTGACGAGGGGGCTCTAATGCACATGCGTGACACCCCCCCCCATTGGAAAGCATTTAATCAATGCTTTCCAATGGTGACGTAGATGACGCTCAATGTCCTCACGCAGAGTGGACCAAAAGTTCATTAACAGCCAGGAAGTGCCAGACTTAGTGTTGCAATGTAAACATTACAGTTTATCTGGAACCACAATGTTTTACATTGCAGCGTTGCAATAGGGACACTGCACCCAGACCACTTCAATGGGCTGAATTGGTCTGGGTGCCTGTAGTATCCCTTTAAGCTCTATGCCCACGCTGTGCTTTATGGGAGATGTATACTTTGCTGTTCCCAGATGTGGGTCAACAGCGAGCAAACCCAGGATGGCAGGACAGTAACCTAAATGCAGCACAGTCTTGCCAAAACAGAGACTGTTGGGAAGCATTGCAATTTTTTTTTTTTTAATTTTTTTTTTTTTTAAATTTTTTTTTTATGCTGTGCATAGGAGTAGTACAAACAGGCCTGAGGTACCCCAACGGCAATCCTAAGGCTTTGCAGAGCATTAGATAAGGCATGCACAATTTTTATATTATGAACAGGAGATAAACAGGGTAGTGCAATTCCTAGGTAGGTCTATCTAGCCGAAAATCAGGGTACAGGCTAGGTGCAGGCGTATATAGGTGAGTTTGGCTAGGAGACTTGCTAGGTTAGGTAACATACACAAAGATCAGAAAATAATACAAGGCTGTGTCGGAATTAAACATGCCAGACTCACATGAAAGACAGTCGTCCTATATAGATTGCTAAACTATAACGTGTATAACTAAGTTGGGTAGTTAGGAGACCTGTCTATTCGGTATTACTGAAGGTGCTTAAAGGTACATTCGAGTAATGGATACATGCATATCTAAAAATGTCAAGGGTTAATTAGGCTTGCTTATGGTTAGGTTGTCAGTGGATGAGTACGTGGGTTACCACGGGCGCCAGCGTTTACTGTGGGAGACCATGCGGGAACGGTCGGCTATTTCCCTCCAAGACAGGTCTAGAGGCAGGTGTGGGGGCGTTGGTCAGTGCCTATGTGTGCTTGTGCCAGGTAAGGTAAGCGTTTAACCCATTCCTCCCCCTTCAGCCGGGCGAGAGTGGGACCCTGAGGGTGGGGGGACCTAAAGACACTATAGAGCCAGGAAAACAAGTTTGTTTTCCTGGCACTATAGTGGTCCTTTAAGGTAAGGTTGTCAGGTAGGTTAGGTTGTGTGTGCTGGCCGAGGTGAAAGTATTTGCCGGTGTAGACCTGTGTTTCAGGCTTAGGTGCATAGTCCAGAGTCAGCCAATGCCCCGACTCGGTGGCAAGCTTGCGGGGTAGCAGGAGAATTGAAGGTAGTTAAGGCAGGTCCTCCCCAAAGCCACGGGCCGTTTTTGAGACCTGCATCTGTGGACCACGAACTTGGGTGTTCCCAGTGGAGGCCACGTTCTTCCCTAATCGGGTGCTGCCGTGGATCCTGATGGAGGGTCGCCATCTGTGGCGTTGGATCCTCTGCGCCGGTGGTCGATACTCAGGGGGTATTCCCCTGGTGGTCTTCAGCCCGAGTGGGCCTATCTTGTAAGGCTGTGTGCTTGTTTCGTATGGAGTGCCCAGGGGGTGCCTGCTCTTTTCCCGCCTGTCAACTCTCTGCTTTTTCTTTACTGCTGGTGCTTTGGGCTTCATGGGGTGGCCATCGTGTGTTCCAGGCGCTGGAGCTCAGATGGGACACATCTGATCCGTTCAGCGGTCAGGCTTCGCCCCCTTTATTTATTTATTTATTTATTTTAAACTATAATTTGATCTTCTAGATGCATCCAAAATTGAAATAGCATATTGATAAAATATACTCTGGGCACAGGCTTAGCCATGAATATACTATAAGAATGAGGGGAAGGCAGACAGAACATGTTTCTTTTTAACTCGCTGTTATCATTCATTCTTACCATGCCACTAGAAATATATATAATGCGCAGTGCTAGAATCTGTGATAATTGCAAGTGCTGAAAATATCAACGATAAAAATAAAATTATTATTGACACCCATGAAAATGTCCAGTTTACGGTCTTAACAATTTAGCAACTTCTAACAGTAAAAGAAGTAACAGCAATTACATATCAAATTAATTATATAGTTTTTCTACCGTGTTACGGAAACATAAGCTCAGAGAAGTAGCAGGATCTGTTTTGCCGAATATATCACCACTTAACATTTATGACACAAACATCTATTCACTAAATGTCAAATTTGCTTTTCAGATTTTACTGATTTAATGTGGATCAGTTCCTTTGCATGTATCTATTATATTTCCTCTGTTGTCCACTGTTTTGCATTTTATGATTAGCCAAATAGGTTATTGCCAAAATGACAGCTGAACCGTATTCCGCATTAAGAGAACAGACCCCACTTATTTAAAGTAAACAAAAATAAACCAAGTAAGAGATTTTGATTTTCTAATCTTAAGTGCTGAAATTAGAACTTTGTGTATTTGTTGGGGGAAAGAAATTTGGGAGGTATTAAATCTTTTCTGTTTTACTGATCTCATATTTTTCTTATTTATATTGTATTTTTTCCCCCCACTTGTAGTTACAAAAGATCATTGGCACTAAAGATGAATTCAAGGATCCACTTGGAAATAAAGAATCCTTACAGGTAAAATATAAAGTACAATGTCTAAAAGTTTCAGCTGTAGTTATATAGATGCCAGATATGTATTTACATTGTAATAAATATCTTGTATTGTAAAAGCTTTAAATTAGGTTTACCCACACGACTGAAGCTCTATATGCTCTAAAATCCATGTATAAAACATTCCTGGTCATTTTATGATTAGAAACAGTACCTCCCGCAGCGTTTGTATATAGTACATATTTCATTATTTCCTTCTGATTTATCTCATTGTAATGCAGTACAGAATGTGTTGCCATTTAATAAATGTTTCAATACCGCAAATCATAGGTGTATGACTTGCCTTCAAATTCCTGAAATTTGTTTAACGTACAGAATCCATCTTGTTTTATTTTTATCTAAATAGATATTTGGGACAGAAGATTAGGAGTAAACTGTACCAACTTCATGTTTAGTGTGTGTTTTGGGTTCTCCAGAATTTCTCACAACCGGCATTCTCCATAAACATGAGATGCCGTTAATATAAAGTGCAAAAATGTGGTACTTAATGTTACATGCACTAAAAATGTGAATACGTTTTGAATTGTTAAAACAAAAACAAAAATGCTAAAATGAGCATTTACCAGCTTGGTAAAAGAGCTGTGTTTTGTTACAGCTCAATACATTTCCTAATTCAGTTTTTAATTCACTGCGAACCTATATTTACTAAATAAATCCTATTGTAAACAATGTGAGAGTATTTTTAGTTTTACATTCATCTAACTATTTTGAGAACCGCATAGCTATTGAATAAATTAACAGATGTGGTTAAGCCAAAGTATTTCAGCGGCTGTCAATTTTCCGTTCAAAAATCTGTTTAACACAATATACATAACATGTAATGCCAAAAGATTCAGTCAATAATAGATTCTTTTTATTTTTTTCATGTATACATTTAATGGCAATTTGATTAGCTCACTGTTTGATTTAGATAATATCATATTCACACAAATCTAATGCGCACCTTTTTGAAACCTGGAAGCTGAAAAAAAATTTGGCTGGCGAATGTAATGTGAAATTTATACAATTAGATACTACTATAGAACATTGTGCTACAATGAAAATGTTTATTGCCATATACAACAGTAACATTGATGGTATTTCAATTTTAGTGTTACTTGTTAAGTCTATTCTTTCTTAAGACCTCTTTCAGGAAAGCAATTTGCCACTTTTGAATTTGCCAAAATGCAATTCACCAGAAAATTTAGAATTTTGCCCCAAATGTAATGCGCCATCAAATCTAATGCGCATTCAAATTTTTAAAACGTGAATTTCCAAAAAAGGTGCGCATTAAATTGGTGGTCATGACAGGCGCACTTTATGTATGTCATCTGCCTTTCTCAGGTTTGTATTAATTCAGTCAGACAATAGTTTCTACCAAAGTGTAATGTTTCCCCCCTGCAAAATAGACATTCCAGCTTCCCCTTCTCTAGCACATACAAGTCGTTTTCACCCATATTTGCAAACCTCTAAAACTAAATACAGTTTATTGAACTTCATGAGCAAATGGTAGATCCCCAGATGTTGTAGAACTGCAATATCCATGATGCTGTTGCCAATGTTCTGGCTGATAAACCTTATCGCTAGCCATGTCCCATCTTGAATTTAAACGGTTTGTTGTTCTGTTTGGTACATTTGCACAGTACTGATTAGGGCGTTTTTGATGGGTTTGATCCCCAAGCAAGTTCCAGGGAATTTCATTGCATTTTGAGTTCTATTTCAGCAGCTGACAAACCGCATAATACAGTTGCAATAGTTGAATCTGTCACCATCATGCGTTTAGTGTTGAGCAGTATTTAGAGAGTTTCAACTGGTATTGCATGATGCAAAATTTACTTTCTATATAAAAGACCTCTTTCTTAAAACAAGTTTGCTACCAATTCCCTGGGCAGCCCAAACTGGTTTCATGCTGAAGCTTTGTGTGACAAAGAAAATGTCTCAATGTTTAACCTATGTTTGCTAAACGTAATTAGCAGCCATATGCAGTGCAGGTCTTATTGTCTATTTTAAATGGACACTATAACCATTGGAGCTCATTGTAGCATATTATATGCTGTGTGTCTTCAGGGGTCATCCAATTTTTCTGTCAAACTGTTTTCAAGTAGTTTGAAAACCGCAGCCAAAACCTGGCCCCTCTGCTGTCTCGACTGAATTATCACCCAAAGCCATCAAATCTTGGGTTGTAGTAATACGCTCACCGATTACAGTCCAAGATTGGGCAGGTAATGTAGAAATAAATATTTTGCATTATCCAGTTGTCAGGAAAAGGACTGGGGTTTAGGTTCTGGAGAAACCTTTGTCAAAGCAAAGCTAAATGATTTGACGAAAAACAGGGTGCTGGCATAAAATTGCAAACTACTATGTCTACACGTGATGTTATTTAATGATGACCTAACTGCTATAATCAGTATAAAAACTTAAAGGACCACTCATTGAAGTGTTCTGTGTTAAGTTTTCCAAGCCCCTTGACACTACAGTGGTAATTATTGCAGTTTCTGAAAAACTGCAATAATTAGATCTCACTTCACAGGAAGTGTTTAGTAAGGCTGTGTACCTTACTTGCAGAGACATGTGACTAGGGCTGCATAAACAAAGTGATTTAACTCCTAAATGGCAGAGAATCAAGCAGTGAAACTGCAGTGACATGATCTAAAGACCAAAACTGCTTCATTAAGCTAAAGTTGTTTTGGTGACTATTGTCCCTTTAAAGTAAAAGTGACATTGGTAGTTAGTTTTGCTTCTCTGTACCACCTGCACGTGATCTTATCTTTTATATGTTTGAGCTGTTTATATCTATGACAAGGCCTTCACCTTTTTTCCCAGTAATTAAGGTGCCACTGCACTGGGATCTTGTTTGACGTATGAGATAGCTGCATTAATTTTGCTTGGCTGAAAGTATCTGATGTCTGAGATAAATGTTTAGCAAACCGTAATATAATTCTTAGGCTCATATTGCATCTGATGATGCTACCTTGTACAAAAATTGGCATCGCGTTTCATTTCAGTTCACTCCTATTGTTCTATTAACCGTGACAATCCCTTGCCCCAGCAATACTTTTATTACTTGAAGGGGTAAAAGTCGCACAATGACCTGTGACTACTAACCTTTTCACTGCAGATAACTGTACATATTCTCATGATATTATGAACTGCACTTTCTAAACAATGCAGGTCAGCAAACTTAAAGGAAGACTCCAAACACCATACCAGTACAACACCATAAGTGCCCTCCATGTAAATAGCCATACCATTTGCAAATTTGGGTCCACCTGGTGCCTGTCACCTCCACGAAGAGAGCTGGTAGCTCTCTGCATTGAGCTAAGCTGAGTGTTGCTGGGCTGAACTCACTGGCTCAGTGCCATAAGCCAATGCTTTCAGCCAATGAGCTAAGCCCTGCACTACTGGGCTTAGCACAGGGGGGCTAATGGAAGAGACCGAGAAGTGGCATACCTATGGATCTGTGAAGAGATATAAGAGGGGCTAGAATTGTTCAGTCCTTTATAGGTATGGATTAGCACTTTGAATTGACTCCTATAGGATACAGGAAGCCAATGTAATGACTGACTGGAAATCAGTGTGGCGGCAGCATTCATTGCAGACTGTATTGGGGCAATATGGCTTTTGGGAAGACCAATTAGGAGAGAGTTACAATAATCCATGCGGGAAATTACTAGAGCATGGACAAGCTCCTTGGTAGCAACTTGCGTAAGAATGGGGCGAATGAGGGTTATGTTTTTAAGATGGAATCTGTAGGATTTGGCAACATACTGGATGTGAGGCTCAAAGGTGAGGCCAGAATCAAGTATGTCGCCAAGACAGCGCGCTTGCAAGGATGGACTTATATGGATACCAAGGATGCAGGGGGGAAACATTACACTTTGGTAGAAACTATTGTCTGACTGAATTAATACAAACCTGAGAAAGGCAGATGACATACATAAAGTGCGCCTGTCATGACCACCAATTTAATGCGCACCTTTTTTGGAAATTCACGTTTTAAAAATTTGAATGCGCATTAGATTTGATGGCGCATTACATTTGGGGCAAATTTGTGGATCCCAATTTGAAGGGAGAGCGAAAGAGGAGGATCAGTATTAGGAGGAGGAAAGACAAGGTGCTCAGTTTTAGAGAGATTGAGTTTCAGAAATAGGGAGGACATCCAGTCAGAGATGGAAGAAAGACAAGCAGTGACATGTTGCAGGACAGCAGAGGAGAGGTCTGGGGAGGAGATATATATCTGGGTGGCATCAGCGTTCAGGTGGTAGTGGAATCCAAAAGAGGTAATAAGTTTGCCAAGAGAGGCAATATAAAGAGAAAATAGAAGGGGACCAAGGACAGAGCCTTGGGGACTCCAACCGACAGGACTAGGGGAGGAGTTATCATTCAGAAAGGAGATGCTGAATGAGCATTGGGAGAGATAAGAGGAAAACCACGAGAGGACAGTCACAGAGACCGAGTGATTGAAGAGTTTGAAGAAAGAGAGCATGATCAAAGGTGTCAAAGGCAGAAGAGAGGTTAAGAACAATTAGTATGGAGTAGTGGCCTTTGGATTTAGCTGTGATTAGGTCATTAGTAACTTTGATAAGGGCAGTCTCAGTACAGTGGAGAGGGCGGAAGCCAGATTGAAGAGGATCAAGGAGATAGTTGGAATTGAGGAAGTGAGACATACGGGTAAATACAAGTCTTTCCAGAAGCTTTGAGGAGAAAGGGAGCAGGGATATTAGACGATAAAGGGGGAGGACGGGTCGAGAGATGTTTTTTTCAGGATAGGTATGTCACATATTCATCCGCTTATAGAAATGTGGTTAATGACATTTACTGTCCACACAGGAAAAGTTGTGCCGAGCAGCAACCTAATCCACAGAAGGGTTAATGCTGAGCAGTAATTGTGCAAATGAAACCTGGTTTCATGTATTCATCCGCTTAGAGAAAAGTGATTAATGACATTTACTGTCCACACAGGAAAAGTTGTGCCGAGCAGCAACCTAATCCACAGAAGGGTTAATGCTGAGCAGCAATTATGCAAATGAAACCTGGTAACTGACTTTGGGGTCAAAGGCCGGTTACAGCCTATCAGAACTAAAGGAGGGGTATTTAGGCCCAGTTCTCAGCCTGCTCAGTGCCCTGTCGTGGTTTCCCTTGTGGTTGTCTGAGAGCGCGTTCCTGTTTATAGTTTTCTACCTGGTTTTTGACTTTGGCTTTGTTTATTGACTTCTCTATATTCTGGTATCCTGACTCCTGGCTTTCCTCATCGCTGTGTCCCTTTCTGTGTTCCCTGACCTCGGCTAGTATTTTTGACTATTCTTTGTACGTTAAATCCGGCCATTCTAAGGACCGGTAATACGTTACTTATTTGTCATCCGTGCTGTACAGTTCTACGTGCTGGATCAAACAGTAATCCTGACATTACGACATGGCCATAGATCCTGTAGAACTGTGTCAGCACATAGCTGCTTGTGAGAGGAAATTAGAGGAGAATGATCACCGCATGGATCAATTCACTCAGGCTTTAAGTACGCTTCTCGCTAGAACGGAGCATCTGCAGCCTGCAGCGTCTCCTCCTATAGCACCTCTACCCTGTGTACCTCCACCCACTGTTAATAGGACTCCTTGCATCTCCTTATCACCATCCCTACAGTTTGATGGCAATATCCAGGAATGCAGGGGTTTTCTTAATCAGGTGGAGTACCATTTTGAGGCCTCACCAGGGTCATTCCCCACGGACAGAGCAAGAATTGGTTATCTAATGAATCAATTAAAGGGCAAGGCCCTTGCCTGGGCTAATCCGTTGTGGGAGAGTAATCGGAGCATAGCTCATAATTACCAGGAATTCCTTGCCGAATTCAAGCTCACGTTTGAGCCATTGGGTAGAGAGGATGACGCCTCCACTGCCCTAATGCACATCAGACAAGGTAACCGGTCTATCTCGGATTATGCTATTGAATTCCGTACCTTAGCTTCCGAGGTAGACTGGACTAACAATGGGTTAATCTCAGCATTCAAAAAGGGTCTCTCAGAGACTATACTAGATGAGATAGCCGCTAAAGAATTACCTAAGAGTCTTAACGAATTTATTACGTTTGTCATGCATATTGATAATAGGTTAAGACTCAGAGAAGTCACCAGAAGCAAGACCAGACGTACGGCTATGTCCCTAGCACCTCAATTCTCTAAACCTGTTTTGTCTAACCTCCCTGTACAGTCCGAACCCGAACCTATGCAGTTGGGGGTCACTAGACTGTCAGAGGCCGAAAAACAGTATAGGAGAAGGGAGGGGTTATGCCTATATTGCGGTAGAAAGGGACATATGATAACTAATTGTCCAGTGCGTCCGGAAAACTTCCGCACCTAAGAACCTTAAGGGGACAGATCTTAGGTGTGATGGAGTTGTCCTCTAACAAAAACAAAAGTAGATTCCTCCTTGAGGTATCTATTTCCATTGATAACAAGAAGTTTTCTTGCAGTGCCCTAATGGACTCAGGTGCTGCTGGAAATTTTATTGATGTCCAGTTTATTAGGGGTAATGAGATACCGGTCAGGGAGAGACCTACGCCGCTAGCTGTAGAGGCTATTGATGGTAGACCACTCACACAACCGCTTATAACCCACGAAACTGTCCCTATTACGATCTCCATTGGGGCCTCCCATAGGGAGGAGATGACGTTTCAGGTTATTACTTCTCCATCATGTCCTATCATATTAGGGTTTCCGTGGCTGAGTAAGCACAATCCCTATATTGACTGGGCTAATGGGGAGATATTAGAATGGGGTAAAGAGTGTATGGGGAGATGTATAAAACCAGTACTAAAGAGATTGGATACTATTGACCTTCCCACTACCACTCCCCAAACTCCTGGAGTTCCCATACAATACCGAGAACTTCAGGAGGTGTTTAACAAGGCTCAATCTGATGTATTGCCTCCCCACAGAGCATATGACTGTGCCATTAACCTGTTTCCAGGCGCTATGCCACCTAAGGGGGCAGTTTATGCCTTATCTCCCCAGGAGAGTAAAATAATGGAGGAATACATCAAAGAATCCTTGAGCAAAGGGCACATAAGAAAGTCATCCTCACCAGCTGGTGCAGGATTCTTTTTTGTTGAGAAAAAGGGTGGTGAGTTACGCCCTTGCATAGACTACAGGGCACTTAATAAAATCACTGTAAAAAATGCATACCCTATTCCACTCATTTCCGAATTGTTCGATAGACTTCAGGGAGCTAAAGTATTTACTAAGCTTGACCTTAGGAGCGCTTACAATTTGGTTAGAATTAAAGAGAATCATGAGTGGAAGACGGCATTTAATACCCGTAGTGGACACTATGAATATCTGGTAATGCCATTTGGGTTATGCAACGCCCCGGCCGTATTCCAAGACTTTATAAATGATGTACTCAGGGAATTCATTTACTCATTTGTCTTGGTTTATTTGGACGATATTTTGGTGTATTCCCCTGATCTTCAAACTCACCACTCCCATGTTAAACAGGTTCTGCAGACGTTGTTGAAAAATAAACTTTATTGTAAATTATAAAAGTGCATATTTGACCAGCCTGAAGTCCACTTTTTGGGTTACAACATCTCTGCATCGGGATTTCAAATGGATCCTAAAAAACTAGAGGCTGTACTACACTGGCCATTACCCTCTGGTTTAAAAGCCATTCAAAGGTTTATTGGTTTTGCCAACTATTACAGAAGATTTATCAAGGGATTTTCTTCTGTAATAGCCCCAATCACAAATATGACTCGCAAAGGGGTTAGTAGCACAGTATGGTCCAAAGAGGCTGTGAATGCTTTTGAGACTCTTAAACAAAGATTTGCCTCTGCGGACATACTAAAACATCCTGACACCAGTAAACCTTTTATATTGGAGGTTGATGCATCCGAGACAGGGGTAGGGGCTGTTCTCTCTCAGAGAGAAAGCCAGGGAACACCATTGCATCCTTGTGGCTACTTCTCCAGAAAGATGTCTCCTGCTGAGCGCAACTATGATATTGGCAATAGAGAACTGTTGGCCATTATTCTTGCCCTCAAGGAGTGGCGACATCTTTTGGAGGGTTCCAAGGACCCCCTGTTGATCATAACCGACCACAAAAATCTGGCATATATAGGGGATGCCAAACGTTTGTCTTCCAGACAGGCTAGATGGTCACTGTTCCTTTCACGTTTTAACTTTCTCATTACTTATAGACCTGGTTCTAAAAATACCAAGGCTGATGCCTTGTCCAGGCAATTTGATAATGAGTCAGCTCCGGAACAGATGACATCTCCTATTATTCCAGCAGAGTGTATTATTGCTACTACTGTCCTCTCACTGTCTTCTCCACTGCTTGGCACCATACTGGAGGCCCAGCCTCAGGCGCCCAGTGGTAAACCGTGTGATAAACTGTTCGTTCCCCTATGTGAAAGGGTTAATATCATGAAAGTGTTCCATGACAATATAACTGCTGGACACCCGGGCATCAATAAGTCCACTGCCGCGATCACTAGATCATTTTGGTGGGATTCACTCAGGAAAGATGTAAAGGAGTATGTGCAGGCATGTTCTGTGTGTGCAGTTTCTAAGGTGACTCATGCACTTCCTTGTGGCCTGTTGCAGCCTCTTCCTGTTCCTGAGATTCCATGGTCCCACCTATCCATGGACTTTATTGTTGAGCTTCCTAGCTCTGCTGGGTTCACTACTATTCTCATGGTTGTAGACCGATTTTCTAAGATGGCTCACTTCATTCCTCTCAAGAAGTTGCCATCTTCGCAAGATTTGGTCCTAATTTTCATACGTGAAATTGTCCGTTTGCATGGCATCCCCACAATATTGTGTCTGATAGGGGCTCTCAGTTTGTGTCCAGGTTCTGGAGGGCGTTCAGTAAACAATTGGGGATTGATCTCTCCTTCTCCTCCTCCTACCATCCACAGACCAATGGTACAGCTGAGAGGGCTAACCAGTCATTAGAAGTTTATTTGCGTTGTTTTATTAATAGCACACAAGACAATTGGTCCGAACTACTCCCGTGGGCCGAGTTCGCTAGAAACAATGCTGTTCATGACTCCTCTGGGCACAGTCCATTTTTTGTCAATAATGGTAGGCATCCTACGGTTCTCCCTGCGGTATTTTCTGATACTGCCATTCCTGCTCTGGATGAGCGTCTGGCCTCCATTCGGGATACCTGGGTTAAGGTTCAAACTGCTCTAGGGGCTGCTGCTGAACGCTTCAAACATTTTGCTGATAAGCGTAGGAGTGCCAACCCGGTGTACCAAGTGGGGGACCGGGTTTGGTTGTCATCTCGCAACATCAAGCTTAAGGTCCCTAGCATGAAGTTTGCCCCCAGATTCCTTGGTCCCTATAGAGTGCTTCGTAGGATCAATCCAGTGTCTTACTCTCTGGCTCTTCCTGCATCTTTAGGGATTCCCAACACTTTTCATGTGTCCTTACTCAAACCTCTTGTCTGAAATAGATATACTGTTCCTTGTGTTCCTCCCCCTCCGGTGGTGGTGGGTGGTCAGGAAGAGTATGAGGTATCTTCTATCGTGGATTCTAGGTTTTCTCGGGGCACTTTACAGTACTTGGTTGTTTGGAAAGGTTACGGTCCTGCTGATCGTTCTTGGGTTTCGGCTCCTGACCTGCATGCGGGCCGTAAGATCCGCGCTTTTCACGCTAAATTTCCTCTCAAGCCTGGTCCTGTCCGCCCGGTGGGCGTTCTTCAGGTGGGGGGTAATGTCACATATTCATCCGCTTATAGAAATGTGGTTAATGACATTTACTGTCCACACAGGAAAAGTTGTGCCGAGCAGCAACCTAATCCACAGAAGGGTTAATGCTGAGCAGTAATTGTGCAAATGAAACCTGGTGTCATGTATTCATCCGCTTAGAGAAAAGTGATTAATGACATTTACTGTCCACACAGGAAAAGTTGTGCCGAGCAGCAACCTAATCCACAGAAGGGTTAATGCTGAGCAGCAATTATGCAAATGAAACCTGGTAACTGACTTTGGGGTCAAAGGCCGGTTACAGCCTATCAGAACTAAAGGAGGGGTATTTAGGCCCAGTTCTCAGCCTGCTCAGTGCCCTGTCGTGGTTTCCCTTGTGGTTGTCTGAGAGCGCGTTCCTGTTTATAGTTTTCTACCTGGTTTTTGACTTTGGCTTTGTTTATTGACTTCTCTATATTCTGGTATCCTGACTCCTGGCTTTCCTCATTGCTGTGTCCCTTTCTGTGTTCCCTGACCTCGGCTAGTATTTTTGACTATTCTTTGTACGTTAAATCCGGCCATTCTAAGGACCGGTAATACGTTACTTATTTGTCATCCGTGCTGTACAGTTCTTCGTGCTGGATCAAACAGTAATCCTGACAAGGTACTACAGTAGCATGTTTAAGGTCAGCAGGGACAACACCAGAAGAGAGCGAGTAGTTGAAGATGTGTGTTAAGGAAGGCGCAAGACAAGGGCCGAGAGATCTGATAAGGTGAAATGGGATAGGATCGACCGGGTAAGTGGTGAGGCGAGGGGAAAGGAGAAGCGCCGCCACCTCTTGTTCATGAGCCAGGGAGGAAAATCTGAAGGGTAGAAAAGGCATGATCTAAGTGGGGTTGAGAAAGAGAATGGCAAGGTGGGGAGAATTATTTTCTTAGCTGTTCAATCTTGTCGGTAAAGTAACATGCAAATCTATCGGCTGTAAGGTTAGTTTGGGAGGTGGTCACAGCAGGGCGAAGAAGAGAATTAAAGGTGTCAAAGAGACGCCTGAGATTGCGGGAGCATGAACCAATAAGAGAAAAAAGTATGACTGTTTGGTGAAGGCAAGGCCTACACTGTATGAACACAATATGAATCTATAATGGGATAGTCTGCCTGGGTGCGAGACTTCCTCCAGGAGCGTTCAGCACAACGGGAGCATCTTTGCAGGTAGCGTGTTGATTTAGTATGCCACGGTTGGGGGCGTGTCCTCCTCGAGATGCATGTTTGGAGTGGGGCTCCAGTGTTCAAGGCAGATATGAGGGTAGTGTTCTATGTGGAGATGACCAGTGAGGGAAAGGAGAGGGAAGGTTTGGATAGCAGTTGTGAATCAATATCAGCTGACATCTGCTGGAGGTCAGTAGAATTGAGGTTTCTTCTGAGTTGAGGGCGGTCAAATCAATAAGCATGAGCACTCCATGCCCTCCGAAGCCCCCTCTGTCATGCCAGTCTATGCACAAAGTCCACTGGTATTGGGCAGGCTATAACAAGGTTTTTACATCCTATAGCATTTCAGGATTCCAGGTGGGCGGTAGGGATTTTCTAATTTTGAGAGATTGGGCAGGCTGGCAGGTGCGAGCCGGCGGTACCCCTGCGACCGGGTGCCGCCTTCACCACTTGCGGCCCCAGCCCGCGCCGCAAACCGCCGGGGCCACATATGAAGGGGTCCATCGGGATAAATGTGGATAGTAAGGGGACCCGGTCAGCGCTGGGCGCTTTAACAGCGCGACCGGGCCCCCTGTGATTACATCACAGAGCTTGGAGGAAATGACTGCACGTCACTCCTCCCAGCTATCACACAGACCGCACAGGAGGCAGCAGAGGGAGTCAGAGTAGGAACTCTGACTCCCATCCACCTGAGCCACCACTGAACCCCTGGGAAAGTCACCCTCCTGCACCTAAAAGGTAGGAAACTGACTAAAATATTTTGTGTGTCTTTGTATGTATGTCTTGTGTGTGTGTGTGTATGTGTGTGTCTGTATGTGTCTTATGTATGTGTGTCTTGTCTTTGTATGTATGTGTTGTCTGTGTGTATGTGTCTTTGTATGCCTTATGTGTGTGTCGTATGCCTTATGTGTGTGTCGTATGCCTTATGTGTGTGTCGTATGCCTTATGTGTGTGTCTGTATGCATGTATGTGTGCCTGTCTGTATGTATCTGTATGCGTGCCTGTCTGTGTGTCTGTATGTATGTGTGTGCCTGTCTGTCTGTATGTATGTATGTATGTGTCTTGTGTGTGTGTCTGTATGTGTGTCTGTGTGTCTGTATGTATGTGTGTGTGTGTGTGCCTGTCTGTTATAGTGGGCTATAGTAAGTAATAGTAAGTGGGATACCTAGCTCAGCCTTCCTACTGGGCATTGCTATAAGGAACGTTAAAAAAAAAAAAAATTTAAAAGGGGGGGGAAAAAGGTGGGGAGGGGAATTGAGGAGGGAGAGGAGGGGAGCTGACGCACAGATGAGAAATCATATTATGCACAAACAGAGAAGTCGTCTGAATATCACCGAAAGAGGAGACCTTTGTTTGTTACTTACTGTGACGGAACACTGGCACTCCGACTGAGTACCTCCGCCAATCGATGTGCCTAGTGCTCGCTGAGGACTCCAAGCACTCCAACAGACACCATCAGCACTGCAGACCCCACTTCCAGCGATACAGCTGCGCCGGGGTCTCGTCGTCTCCACCCACCCTGGATCCACGACCAGGATCCAGCTCCCAGTGGGTGAACCTCTCTAAATCCAGAGAGCGTAGCAGGAACAAATCAAGCTATTGCAATAGCTTACTTTGGGGAGTAAGTGAATATAGCAATCCCCAGTGTGTAGGTATCCCTTCCCCCAAACATGAGCCAAGGCTTCAAGAAAGGTACAAGATGATCTGGTTTTAATGACCACACACTGGCTTTTATGCAAGTCCCCATGCAAGGGGACATCCCACAGGGTGGGACACAGTACAACCAATCCTTTACAGGCAAACCGTAAAACACACCCAGCACCAACATACAATCCCTCCCCTCTGCCTGTGATATAATTACTGAACACAATGGGTTAATGTAATTTATCACAGGCAGGACAAATACACTTTATGCAACATATTAATAACTTCCAAAATATACATGCCACAAACATAACAATCACATATTCGAACTCAGCACACTTTAATTATAAACATACCCAAAAATCATACAATTCCCTCCAGTAGTTCAAAAGTTAGGTAAAAGTCCTATTTGGGACAAAACAGCTTGTTTCAACTGGTTTGGCAGTGTCCCTGGGACAACGCCCTGCTGGAGAAGAATGGTATAGGTATTAGAGGGGGAGGGGAAGAGACACATGCTCCCATGGAATCAAAGGGCAGAAACAATCTTTTAAAAGACAATAAGCCCAAATAGTCTTTTTTACTGGCAAAGTCTCCCAAGGACCATAGTCACATGGCAGGAGGCTGGCAATTAGTCCTCTCCAGGCACATTTACGAAAATCGAACCAGATATCAAATATTTAGTCTTGCAGTATCAACCTCAAGGATCTCATTAATCACTAGTAAAGATAATTTCAATTTACTTTGTTTTCTCATTAAACTTTAGAACGTTAAAAACATTATAAACATGCATTAAGTAGAAATAAAAAGATAAATGTACGTACATTTATTTATTTTTTTAAAACACCCTCCTTTCTAAAAAATATTCTGCACTTGCGCGAAAACTGGTGGGCAGTAAGGAAATTTTTTCAACCAAAAAGATGCATTAGTGCGCGGTAGGTAGAAAAAGGTTTACTACCACTGTCCTATAAGAAGGAGTATTCCCCACAATTGGAGGAACAGGCCCCAAAACTGAGAAATGAGTCTGACTCTACTCACAAAACTGTAAACCTTTGTCCATAAACTGATAGCAGCCACACTGTAGATGCTATCAATTTATTATTATTATTATTATTATTATTATTATTGTTGCCATTTATATAGCTCCAACCGATTTTGTAGCGATTTACAACGTTTAGGCAACAATACTATTCAGTATCTGTGTAATAGAATTGCTGCCAAGTGTTCAGGCCTGTTCATCTCCATGGTAAAGAAGAAAATGCTCATTGCCTGAAGCCTGGTCCGTGCTGATCTAACTCCACATGTTATAAAGCATTGACCTGTTTAGTTAACACCAGTAGCACTATAGCCCCAGCCGTCAATAAATGTGTGGGACTTCACGTGTTGCTGTGTTTTCTTTAACTTTACTTTGCACAAATGATGATCTTCAGACTAGTGCAAACGTGAACATCAACCCATAATGATCTTCAGACTAGTGCAAACGTGAACATCAACCCATAAAGTTTCCATATCTTCTATCAGACAGACAGCTAGTTAAACATTTGAAGAAAATTGGGACATTTTGATGCAAGTCATTTTCTATGACCTATGATTGTTAAGAGAGGAATTTGAAGAGTTTTTGTCTATGTGGCAGTGTTTACAAGACCTTTTGATCTAATAGAAAACACAAAAATTCCACTGGCCGGGATTCTAGCCTCTTTGGGCAGCGTGTAGCAAGAATGGAAGGCGCGGCGTAAATGCCACATTCTTTATATGTGCAATTAATACCTACTCCCGAATGACGAATAATCATTGGAGTTATACGGACGGATTAGGCCTATTTGATGCTAAATTTAGCACACAAATGTCATACATCTGTTTAAAAAAATAAAAATATGAACAATGTCAATGATTGTATTAGTAATGTGCTAAAGAAATTCTAAAAATATCAATGCTTCCTTGATGTGTACTATTTAAAAAACAGATGTTAACACAGTTGCACTGCCTCACTGTGTTTCTAATTTTCCTACAGCATGCTTCAGCTTTTTATTTTGGGAAGCAATGAAATATATTGGTTTTATTTAGAACCTGCCTTAGATGTAGCGTTGAACCTTAGTTATTTTATGGATAATAGCGTGTTCCCTTGTTTTTATTTGTCCAGAGAATTAAAATTAATACTTCCCCTCTAGACTAGCAGCTGTTCTTTCCAAATTCATTTTTACCATAGGTTGTGGGAGTAAAGAGACAGATTATATATTGACACACAGAACCCATAAAATTGCTTTATTTCACTGCAGCGTTTACATCGTTCCCATAACTTTAAAAATTAAATTTTATATATAATCTGCTTTTTTGTTATATGAAAGAGAGATAGGTTCACTGGCTTTGCATCACAGCTGTTGTATACAGCAAACACAGACTCCAAGTAATCCATGTTTAAAATGGAATAATGAGGCAAAAATTGGATATTTATTTATATATTTATTTTGAACCAATTTGCATATGCCCACACAGAGTCAGTTGAGTAGTAACTTCACTGCAAATGTGAGATTACTGTGGGAAAAGCAAGTCTTATGGCTTGACTGATGTGTAGATTTGTGTTTAACAATGTATTGACTGTGTGTGTTTGTGTGTTGTCTGCGTGACCTATACATATAGTGTTTGTGTGTACATAGATTTTCTTTTTTTTTTCAGCAGATCATGTTTTCAAATTCCTCAATGCACTGTGATTGCTGGTGCCCGTACAGTATTCGCTATAATGCATGGTTTAACCACAAACCTAATTTCAAGTCCACACCAGGATATTAAGCCCAATATTAGTGGGAGTTAGAGTCAATAACTACAGCTGTTATAGGCCCATTTATCTCTCTGCATTCAATCCCATCGTATTACAGCACAGATATTAATTACTTGTCCTTTATTTAAACTAGCCGGCAGGGCCAGATTAAAAGCTTTGTGGGCCTGGTGCTGACAATTATGATGGGCCTAATTACAAAATCTTATCTACCAAAAACACTAAAACAGTCCTACCTCCTAAGCGTCATGTATGTGATGTAGATGGTGCTGGAGGGAAACTCATAGGATGCAGCTATGAGAAAACACATACCCTATGCTAATCTCACGCTTTCATCTTCAAGTAAACGAATACCCCTTAACAGCAGTGTCCAGTAAAGCAGGAAGTCTATGGATGGGGTAAAAGGGTGGGCCACTGACACAAATCTGCCGAAAGGGGCGAACATACACAAACAGGGGGCATGTCTGTGTCCCCATGTCTCCCAGTCCCTTAGTATCTGTGTCCCCATGTCACTAGGGGACATTGAGGGACATTGGGAGACATGGGGACACTGAGATACTAGGGAACACTGAGAGACCTGAGGACACTGGGAGACATGGAGAAATGGGGACACTGGTTGACTTTGGGACACGAGGGGACATGGGATACATGGGGAGACTTGATAAAAAACCTGCGTACAGGTCGAAACATTGCGTTGTCCAATAAACCTGCTTAAATTTATCACAGTGAGTGCCTGATAATTTTTCTTTTATACTAGGAGACAGTGAGACACTAGGAGACATTGGGACACTAAGACACTGGGAGACTAGGGGATTTTGAGAGACTAAAAAACACTGAGACACTAGGGACACTGGCACACTACGGACATTGAGAGACACCAGGGACACTGGGAGACATGGGGATACGGAAATACTAGGGACACTGGCTGGGAGACATGGGAACACTGGGAGTGCCCCATGACTCCCAGGTCTCAAAGTCACCCAGTGTCCCCATGTCTCTGTGTCCCCTAGTGTCTGTGTCCCCATATCGCCCAATGTCCCCTAGTGTTTGTATCCCCATGTCTTCCAGTGTCCCTTAGAGTCTGTGTCCCCATGTCACTAGGACACTTAGAGACACTGAGTCACTGGGAAAGATATGGGGACACAGATTCATAGGGACAATGAGAGAATAGGGGCCACTGGGAGACTAGGGGCCACTGAGAGACATGGCGCTACTGTGTCCTCGTGTCTCAGGGTCCCCATGTTCCCATGTCTCCCAGTGTCCCAATGTCTCAGCGTCCCCAATTCTCTCACCGTCTACATGTCTCGCAGGCTCGGAGCTGCTGTCTGGACTCTCTGTGCAGAGATGCTCCCCGCGCATCAGTGAGTAGAGAGGGGCAGGGAGGGAGATGCTGTAACTTCTCATCCCTGCCTCTCTACTGGCCGGCGCTGGTATTGCAGAATAATCTCAGTTTATACTGAGACAGACATTTGCATTGCCGGTATTACTGCAATATCAGCACTGGCTAGGCAGCCTCAAATACCTGAGAAATACCTGGCAACAATAAGAAATACATGAGAAATAACTGGCAACCCTAAGAGAGGTAGGTGTGTGTGTGTGTGTGTAAAAAATAAAAAATAAATTTTTTTTAATCAATGGGCCTGGAGCTGCAGCTCCATCAGCCCCTATGTTAATCCGGCCCTGCTAGCAGGGCACAGATTATTCTCAGAGTTTTGGGAAGTAAATCTCAAATGACTTATTCAGTAAGGCAGGGATTTTTCGCAAATTTTCTGTTGTCAAGCAGTAAGTGCGATGTCATTTAAAACTAGTAAATGTGATATTAAATGCCTTTGACGCCTTCTTGTAAATATCTACTAAAGTTACAAGCTTAAGAAAACCGATTAAGATATTTGTGGGAATAAATTAAATTTGCAGTAGTACCTATCTTTTTTTCTGGAAAACCAAAGAATGTGCGTTCATTTAAGGTTAAAGTCTTTGTAGTTGTGTGAATTTCCCTGAGCTTCACAGAAAGCGCTTTTATTTATTTTTTTATATATTATTATTTTTTTTTTTATTCCTACTGTCAAAGAAGGTTGTGTTCTGTGCAGTTTAAAACTGAGCTGCTACTCCCACAAACATTGTGCTTGAAAATATGCCAATCCCACCTTGGAATTTCAGCTGATAAAGAGAATCTCGCAAACAAGTTGGTGCATATTTATTCTAAATGCAGGGATAGGCTTTGTCATCTATGATAAGCCAAGATAGGCATTGTTTATATGTGTCGTCTTCCCATCAATATCTTGAAGAGCTCTGTTTAGAGCAGCTCCCTTGTGCTGCTAAGGACTGCTCCAATTTAAAGGTGTTATTACAAGACTATACTGCTGATCGGCCAAGATTTCCAAACAACACAAAGGCAGGGGAACGTTTGAGTAATTTACAGAGCTAGATCCACAAATATAACTTTAATACCGTAGACACGCTTTCACAGCCTTAAATTCTTTAAGTCCTAACTTCATATAGAGAGTTCATTTAGAGACTTGCCAGAAAAGTAATCCATGCAAGCCAAGGCTGGTTTGCTTCTCTTTGTTCCAAGCTTAAAAAAAGGAAATAAAAAATGTGTTCTGAATCCTGGCACGTAAGGGGTTATAGAGTATTGATGTAGGGGTATATTAGATGGTAACATGGAAATATATGATAAAGATTTTTTTTTTTTGAGATTCACGTGAGGTCTAAACTAAAGCCGGATAGAAATAAGTTTACCGTCGTATTGGAACCCTCACAGAATTTCAATAATGAGTGGTCTGCGAGATTAATTTATGGCTTTGTAATGTAACAAGGAAGGGTTCCTTTTGCTTATTTTCAAGCATATTTTGGCCTTCTTTATATTCTCATTATTATAATTATCATCCAGCTTAATGAAGCTGAGCTGGACTTGTTTAAATTTGCAGTGCTACAGCGGGAGAGTTGACCACTGAGTTATGTATACAATAGTTATATACAATATTTCATGTGCTTGTAATACAAATTGTGTTGTTTTTTTTACGGTTTTGTTTTGTTTATTTTAGTGCCAACATAGATCTAATGTCCAGTTCCAGCTTTAAATATAGATAAAATTATGGCTATTTTAGGCTATACAATACTGCACATGACACGCATGCAGTAAGCTTGCCACACATGCTAGACTAATGGATTACGGTTACTAAACATGCTGAAAGCTAAATAACCATTAGTATTAAGTCTCATGGAAGGATCCTCATCTTTCATCTTACCTCTTGAGCTGGATAAAAGACAGAGCCTATTTAGATGTCATAAGAAAAGTTCTGTTGAAATCCCAAAGGCTCCCCTTCCACCCCCAAAACAAAATCTCTCTTCATGTTTCTTACGGTTTGCTGTGTTCAAAGAATGCCGCAATGCTACCAGTGAAAGAGAACCTTAAGCAGAGAACACACAGTGTGTGTTTAAGCTTCTGAGCTTGAGCCGTTGTTGCAGTGAAGTGTGTGCCTTTATGTTGGCCCCTATATTATTTGTATTTCAATGAAAAAAATGGAGGCACACAGTCTGGAACATGCATTACTTAATAGTGCTGCAGATGAAGGGACTCATAAAGTTCTACAAAATGCAAAGAAATTCTCACACAAATTATAACTGGAAATCATTCACAGCTGCTTAAAAGGCAACTGTCCCTTTACATAATTTTTTCATTTTTGCTTACCCATCCCCAAAAAGAACACCAGAAAAATCAAGCCACCCTCCTGCACACAAAAAAGGAGGGTGGCTAACAACATAACTTGTATGTGTCAGTGTGTGTATCCATGTGTTTAGGTTTCAAGAGACAATGTAGGCAGAATAATCATTTCATCTCATTGAATTGGTTATAATCAGGGCCAATATCAGGAGGGTACAGCCAATACAGCTGAATGGGCCTTACATCCCCAGTGTGTGTGTGTATTGTGCAATACTTGAGAGAGATGTATATCTCTAAAGTATCGCACTATATAAACACGTGCACACTCACATTGTGGGTATAGGGCACAGGCTCAGGTCCCATATAGCTGTATTGGCTGTACCCTCCTGATTATAACCAACTCAATGAGATGAAATGGTTATACTATCCTTTGAAACATACACACTTGACATTTATCAAATATCACTATGTCTATATCCCTGCTGATGCTTCTCTAGTAAACAGTTGGTCAAATGAGACTCCAGGTTCCTTCTCAGACAGGTCCTCTTGCAAGCCACGGTCACAGTCTGCACAGTGCTTATGCCGGGCTTGCTAGAGAGAATGCGCCTGCCTGAGGTGGAAGAAGGAGGCTCCTGGGCCCGCTCTTCGCTGTACAACCTGCTGTACCACAGGACCACCACATAATCTAGTGTCCCCCATCCCCAGCTACAGGTAAGAGGCAGGGAGGGGGGAATAGATGTAACTATAAATAAAAAAAATAAAAAAACTGCTCACAGCCCCTATACACACACACATTCACACTGCATACACTTTTCTCACTCTGCATCCACTATACACACTGCATCCACATTACACACATTCTGCATTCACTATACACATACTCACACACACTGCATCCACTTTGCTCATCCTTGTGGGTGGACTCTGGAAGGGTACTGTGAGTTGTCTCAGGGCAAGCCCAGGTGGCCCAGACCTTGAGCTCTGTAAGAAGCCACTGATTGCTGCTCTGGTTATAATGCCTGGAGTCCCCTGGCACTGTCCCTCCATTCATTGTTGAAATATTTTTGAGCAGTCCCAACACTGAGGGTCCCTGGCTTCCCATGTTGCTCCTCTAACATTGGAGGTATGGCTAAGGCAGAGATTACACACTTCATTCTAACTGTAACCATTTATACCTTGAATTGGCATTGTGATAGGCTGAAAGTGGTCAGCTGACACTCACAGCCAATCACATGTGCCCATTGCTGCTAAGGCTAATGCTTCCTCGTTATCCCAAGCAGTACATGGTGGATGAACTGCTGGGAACATGGTATAGCATTAAACAGAAAAACAATCACTATATGCTCTTAACACAAATAAACCCTTGATGGAAATAAGTGTTCCCTTTGTACACTCAATAATGCAAGAAAAAACTGAAAAAAACAAAAAGGAAACCGTGTAAAATATCATCAAAAAGTGAATAATATATTATATATATTATATATTATCAAAAAGTGAAATAAATATATATATATATATATATATATTTATATATATATATATATATACACACAGTTGCAAGAAAAAGTATGTGAACCCTTTCATCTAAGTCACAACAATAGACAATCACAGTCTGCTTAAACTAATAACACACAAAGAATGAAATGGTGCCATGTTTTTATTGAACACACCATGTAAACATTCACAGTGCAGGTGGAAAAAGTATGTGAACCCCTAGACTAATGACATCTCCAAGAGCTAATTGGAGTGAGATGTCAGCCAACTGGAGTCCAATCAATGAGATGAGATTGGAGGTGTTGGTTACAGCTGCCCTGCCCTATAAAAAACACACACCAGTTCTGGGTTTGCTTTTCACAAGAAGCATTGCCTGATGTGAATGATGCCTCGCACAAAAGAGCTCTCAGAAGACCTACGATTAAGAATTGTTGACTTGCATAAAGCTTTGCTGTTCATCAGTCTGTCTATAAATGGAGAAAGTTCAGCACTGCTGCTACTCTCCCTAGAAGTGGCCGTTCTGTAAAGATGACTGCAAGAGCACAGCACAGACTGCTCAATGAGGTGAAGAAGAATCCTAGAGTGTCAGCTAAAGACTTACAAAAGTCACTGGCAAATGCTAACATCCCTGTTAGCGAATCTACAATTCGTAAAACGCTAAACAAGAATGGATTTCATGGGAGGATACCATAGAGGAAGCCACTGCTGTCCAAACAAAACATTGCTGCACGTTTACAGTTTGCACAAGAGCACCTGGATGTTCAACAGCAGTACTGGCAAAATATTCTGTGGACAGATGAAACCAAAGTTGAGTTGTTTGGAAGAAATACACAACACTATGTGTGGCGAAAAAAAGGCACAGCACACCAACATCAAAACCTCATCCCATCTGTGAAGTATGGTGGTGGGGGCATCATGGTTTGGGGCTGCTTTGCTGTGTCAGGTCCTGGACGGATTGCTATCATCGAAGGAAAAATGAATTCCCAAGTTTATCAAGACATTTTGCAGGAAAACTTATGGCCATCTGTCTACCAGCTGAAGCTCAACAGAAGATGGGTGTTGCAACAGGACAATGACCCAAAGCATAGAAGTAAATCAACAACAGAATGGCTTAAACAGAAGAATATACGCCTTCTGAAGTTGCCCAGTCAGAGTCCTGACCTCAACCCGATTGAGATGCTGTGGCACGACCTCAAGAAAGCGATTCACACCAGACATCCCAAGAATATTGCTGAACTGAAACAGTTCTGTAAAGAGGAATGGTCAAGAATTACTCCTGACCGTTGTGCACGTCTGATCTGCAACTACAGGAAAAGTTTGGTTGAAGTTATTGCTGCCAAAGGAGGTTCAACCAGTTATTAAATCCAAGGGTTCACATACTTTTTCCACCTGCACTGTGAATGTTTACATGGTGTGTTCAATAAAAACATGGCAACATTTCATTCTTTGTGTGTTATTAGTTTAAGCAGACTGATTGTCTATTGTTGCTATTTAGATGATGATCAGATCACATTTTATGACCAATTTGTGCAGAAATCCATATCATTCCAAAGGGTTCACATACTTTTTCTTGCAACTGTGTGTGTGTGTGTGTGTGTGTGTGTGTGTGTGTATATATATATATATATATATACATACAACCTGTATATAAAAGTTACAAAAAAAATCACATGACATCTGCAAAAACATAGGAGAATCTTCCTGATCACTCAAAATGGCAAAATAGAGAGAATATAGTGCAGATGGTATTAAAAAAAATATATATATATTTGACAATATTTCAGTTACAAGATTCAAAATGAAAAAAGCATATTTCCCCAACCAGCGTGGTACCAAGATTTCAGCAAGAAGCCCCAGAAGTATATATGCAGAGTGGCAAATAAAATAAAAACAAAATAATAAGTCCTTCGCGTTCCATCAGACAAAACACTTGGACTCTTTATTTTATTTTTATTGTGTTTTTATCTTATTTTCCCCGATCCCTGAAGAAGTCCCATTGGATGAAATGCGTAGGACTTATTTTGTTTTTGTTGTGTTTTTATTTTATTTTATTTGCCACTCTGCATATATACGTCTGGAGCTTTTTGCCATTTAAAGTATTTCTGTCTCATTTGAAAACCTTTCTTGACGTGCCGTCTTTTCTGTATTGTTAATGTAAACTGCCAATATATTACATGTTTAACTAGGTATGTCAAAGAGAATGTAATTCTAGCACCCCTCAATCATGCAACAATACTCCGGAGCTACAGTGCTCTGTCTAAAGTCTTTCCAGCACTGGAGGAGTTTAACCAGCAATCCTGATACAGTCCCAAACTCTCATATTAACTGGCAGCTCACCTAATTAGTGAAAGATTATTTATACCACGTACAGCGAAGTATGCATGTTCTTGGCATATGGTACATGTCATTATCAAAAACCGTTCTTCTCAAGTGAGATCAACTTGAAAACTTTGTCAGCAGATAGGCCTTAATCTAGGCAACATGCTGCGGTTCCACAAATTACTAAGTGTATGTCTAGATAAAACCCATCACTACACGTAGGCGCACATGTAATTTGAGCTAGAAGGAAAACCTCCTTAGTCATAGAAACATTATCTAATGAGCGTTATGTGCCTTGCATAACTAACAAACCATAAATCCTCAGTCTAATCCATTTTGGAAGAGAACCTGTCTCAGGTCAGAACTACTGTTGGCATGCAAAGATTCCTTTACACCTAGTTATCCAATTGCTTGTTGATAAGAGGCCCATTTACTTATGAATATTGCCAGCAAGGTTTGTACCATTACTCCTGTTCATTTGTTAACCCACTGAGTGCCAGAGGAGGGGTGAGTAATACAATTAATCTGAGTCTCAAGGTGTTTTAGAAAACGGTATTGAAGCCTGCACATTGCATTTTATGTTTCTTAATCTGGAAGCTATTTTTTTATTTTATTTTATTGTTGCAAGAGTTTTGATTTATTTTATGAAAAGACTTAATGGATCAGTGAAGCGTTAGGAATACAAACCTGTATGCCTAACAATTTAGTGTCCAGTCCCTAGTTAATTACCTTTTAAAAGCTGCAAGGCTCCCTTTGACACTGCTTACCTCTCCTCCTCCAGCCATGTCCTGGAGGGTGCATGTCTTCATGGTCCAATCCAGTGCTCCTCATAGAGGGACCTGATGCTCATGCGCTGCAAGAACAGTCTATCAATCCTTTCCCATAGGAAAGCATGAAGTCAGTGCTATCCTATTAGTGCAGCGAGAGTGTCCATAGTGACAGCCACCAGAGGTGGATTTAACTTTGCAATGTAAATGGTTTTTCTCCTTATTCCACCACATTGGATTTTTTTTTTACTTTATTACAGTGAGCATGCCTTAGAATTTTTGCTTTGTTTCTGAAGTTGGCAGTGGAACACAAACATTGGTGTCTCCCAAACCGCACTTATTTTTGTTTGTTATTGGTTATTGTTCAACAGCTGGGGTTGTGTTTTGTTTGTTTTCAACACAGTCACACAAAAATTTATTGATCAATTTCTGGATGTAATTCTGCCGAAGTTAGAAATCTACAAAGATCAATAAGCTGATGTTGCAAGGATTGAGGAACACTATAATGTTAGAAATACAAATATATTTATATATATATACACTATTGTGCCCTAGTCACCATTTAGGTTACTGAGACAGTGCTGAAAGGGTTAAAAAGGGTGATTTACTTAAAGGATCACCATAGGGTCTGGAACACAAACAAGTATTCCTGACCCTATAGTGTTAAAACCACCATCTAGCCCCCCTTGGCCCTTCAAGCCTCCATAAATATAGCAAAATATTATTGTATTCCAGCCAGAAGCTGTTTTCCTCAGAAAAACAAGCAGTCTGTTGACATCATCAGTGGTGGCCTGATCCAATCACAGTGCTTCCCCATAGGATTGGCTGAGACTGACAAAGAGGCAGACCAGGGGCAGAGCCAGCATGATTCAAACACAGCCCTGGCCAATCAGCATCTCCTCATAGAGATACATTGAATCAACGAATCTCTATGAGGAAAGTTCAATGTCTGGATGCAGAGGGAGGAGACACTGAATGTTTGGATGCATTTTAGGCAGCCATGACCCAGGAAGGATCTCTAACAGCCATCTGAGGAGTGGCCAGTGAAATTTTCGCTAGGCTGTAATGTAAACACTGCATTTTCTCTGAAAAGACAGTGTTTACAGCAAAAAGCCTGAAGGTAATGATTCTACTCACCAGAACAAATTCAATAAGCTGTAGTTGCTCTGGTGACTATAGAGTCCCTTTAACTTTCGACCCTTGTTGTGCCAATCTCATCTGTCTAGCTTCACCTCTTTGGCTGAGATCATCAGTGTTAATGATCTCAGCCAATCCAAAGCTTTTCCTGTAGTTGTATATCATATTTCAGTGATAATGTGTTCATTAAAATATGTTCATAGTGGACATTTAAAGGGTATAATGGCCACGTGTATTTGTTTCATTTCCATATTTGTATATATAACAGAATTCAGTCTTGTACTTTATTCAAATGTTTTAGGCCAAAATAGCAAATTGAAAAAAGTGTAATACCGTATTTTCATTTCAGCTATTTTAGTCAAATATGTCAAATACATTTTGATTTCCTGTCCGCTTTCCTTTTATCTGGATGAATAATATGCAATTCCATCTGAACATTTGTCTTCACCACTAAATCTGTGAAAACCATCACTCGGCACTTTATATAATATAGTTAATGCAGCATTTTAATCCGATTCAAGCACAAATTGAAATCCACCTGATACTTCTGTTTAGTGTCTCAAATGTAACACCTTATTTAATGGTCATTTTACCCAACCCATAAATGGAATCTGTAATCCCAGCAGAATCATCTGAGAGAAAAGATTCACAGATATCCCATGAACTGTACCTATACCATTACTGATATCATCTGATGGAAGCGCTGTCAGAACTTTTTTACCTTGCGCAATGCTGTTGTCTTATCACCCAATGCAGGGATTCTTTTCTCGTGAGCGTGGAATCCTGCACTTTGTCAGTAGGCCACACAAAAATACGAGCAGTCTAATTTGCAACTTTGACCAGTGCACACCAAAACATGGCTCGTCGTCTCTGTAAAGTTTGTTTCTGATTCATTACCCAAGAGTGTAATATACCTGGGATGGGCATGCATTTACTGAAATGTTAAACTCCTGTCTAGCTATCATCATCCATATAATAGACAGATGAACCAGGAGTCTTAGCAGACCACACACACAGACTTGCTAAACAAACCAATCCTCCATATACAACTGAACAAATAACCATAACAGCTAGTTCACTGCCGTGTCTCCCAAGCTGATAGACTGTAATATGGAAAATAATCATCCTTATATCTATATGATCAATTAATTCATAATTATACCTGCTTAGTAAAATGAACACTCTAAGCCACATTTCCTATACTTGTCTTTCCCGGTGTCTGTTAAATTGAGTTTATTTTACAAAGCACCGTTTGTCCGCACAGTACAACAAGGTAGCACTGCTTGTCTGCTATCCCAGGCTCTTCTCGCAGTAGTTACCTCCCTAGATTTGTGCATTTGTCACCCCATGACCATGCTCCCTCTTAATTTCATGCCCAGGTTTTAAAATGAAACTAGTGTCCACTGCATGCCTCATTGGGCATCCACATGCAAAATAGATAATGCAGACAGCAGCCTCATGTGAAACATTTCCTATATAGCTTAGGCAAGCTCTTGCCTGCTGGCCCAGGATCATTCTGTGTATTCCAAAGGTGAACTCCAGGCAAGATTCAGATATTATGGTGTACGTGCGAAAGACTGCCTTTCCTGCATCCCAGTTTCTGTCTATCCTCGGTTTCCTGACCTGAGGCACATGATCCCTTCCTGCCTCCACAGCAGTGACAAAACTAACATAGAGAGGGCCCGCCCCTGATGCAACAATTTGTTTGGGCCCCGCTATCACAAGGTGGCCAAAAGGTAGATCTCCATCTGTCGTACAACTCTCAATATTCGTTTCTAGCTGGGAATATACCATTGCCCATCCTTGCAGAGTCTTATTTAGCACTGTACTGTGTTTGTGTGTTTGAATGTAAGCATGTTTATGTATGGAGTATGTGTGTGTTTATCTAGGGGTATGTTTGTATGGTTTGCATTTGTGTGTAGTGTTGGTTTTTGAATGCAGCAGTATTTTTATATATAATGTTTTAAATAGTGAGGTGTATTTGTAGGCAGTGTTGTGGTTTGAATGCAGTGGTGTGTTTTGTATGTAGTGTTTGCGATATGCATGCACATGCAGATACAGACATACAGATACACGTACTGACATACATGCAGATAATTTTCTCCAAAGTGAACCAACTATTTCTATTATATGACATATCGGATAAAGATGCAGTAAATATTCTCTGCAGAACTACACCCAGCAATGTTCTTTACCCTAGGCCTCTGTCTCACATGACAATACTTGCTTATAATTGCATTTGTCAGTGGGATTCAATGGATAAGGCATCGTGTGGGCCTTTCTTTCTGTCTTCCTCTGTAGTGTTTTGCCATTTTGAATAAAATAAAGACGTTTTTAAATACAGTGGTGTTTAATCATTAATCTGGGGATTGTGGAGAATTGACAAAGGAATTCGGAAATGGTTGGTTCAAAATATCTTTAAGTATTTTTCCATGTCCTCAATTATGACCTAAAATTGGCAATTCTCCACAATTCCTGATTTATTGAAAATGTTTTAGTGGTGAACCAGTTTGTGTATGTAAAAAGCATTTCCCTTTATCTAATCGAGATACATGCTGTTATCATTGGAGGAAACTGCTAGGATACTCTGTTATCTACAAAATCCAACTAAGTTCTCCTGTTGATGACCAGATAGAAGATACTTGATAAGTGGAGGAAAGTTCTACATTGATGACTTTAAGTGCTAGAAGGTTGTACAGTCCTATGCATTGCCTATTTCCCTGGACCTCAAAGGGTGTAAAGACAGCTTTGCATGCTGTACCGAGTTACAACAGGATAAACAAACATAGCCATGAATCACTTCATATCACAGCCGCTTATGTTGAACAGTGGCGAGCAAACGAAATGTGGATTCTGAAGTCATTCAGCAAAACTGCTGCTTTCAAATTCCTTTTCCATGACCGCTCTGTTCATCCAGTAGCTTGACATGCAAGGCTCTTGTAGACTTTACCTCATTGCGGATCGTGTTCTTTAAGTCAGCGTCTCCTCCTTATGGAATGTGTTAGAATTTGTATAGTATTTTTATTTAATTCTCACAGAGAGTATATGCGAATAGCGTTTGTCATGCTAGCGTGCAACAAGATGTTGTGTTAGTTTCCTTGGTGGGATCACCGTAATGCACAGGTTCATTATGTACCCAAGATTTGTCAAAGGGTATTAAAGTTTAACATTCCTGGACGCCCAGTTGCAGGAATAGGAGTTAAACAGCATTAAGTCATAACACACTGGTATAAATCCTAACACACGAAAAGTTAATTATAAATAAAGTTTACACTCTCTGTGTAATATATTATGCTTTTGGAGGCCATAAAGCAAGTTTACATAGTTTAACCTCTTAAGGACACAGCTTTACAAGGCAAAGGCCAACATGACGGAACATTTCTTTCATGTGTCCTTAAGGGGCTAGTAGAAATTTGGGATATTCTACCTATTAATGTTTGTGTTTTATAAAATTAATACCTGTTGAATAAATTGCAATAAACAAAGATTATTTAGTTAAAGAGCATTGGAAATTATATAGTGATGATTTAAAAGTCTTACTGGTTTTTTGTTTTGTTTTTTTAATAGTTTTTTTTGGTGTGTCTCTTGTTATTTTTTTTTATTTTTTTTATAGCATATGCCTGATACCCAGGGAACTTTAATCTGTACCTTGCTGAATACCCATATTATCGGTCTAAACATGCATATGGGCAGGCCCGAAATAAGAGCCCATTGGGCCTGGTGCTGACAATTGTGATAGGCCTAATTACAGAATCTAATCGACACAAAACACTAAAACAGTTATACCTCCCAAGCGTCATGTATCTGGTGGAGGTGCTGGGAAACTCACAGGATATAGCTATCAAAAAACAAATACCCTATTCTAATCTCTCGCTTTCATCTTTCAAGTAAATTCATACCCCTGAGCAGCAGTGTCTGGTAAAGCAGGGTGAAAGGGTGGCCCACTGATGTGAATCACGTAATCAAAGCAATGAATATTAACTGTGGATCTGTGTATGTCTCCTGTTGGGGGACAACCCCTCTTGAATTGAATTCCAAATGTCAGCTATCTAAGTCAGGAGTATAAAGAAGGGGGATAAATTCCAGTTATGTACTGTAAAGTGGAAATATAAACCCAAGAGGATCTCTTGAAAAATAAATAAATTATAGATTCTAGTATAAAATACCTAACACACACATACTGATACCACCACCTTCAAAAATAAGTAGTTTGCTAGGAAGGAAATGTATTAGAAAGGGTCTCTGCTTTTGATAAAGCTAAGAGATTCCTAATGATAAGAGGGGAATTGTAATGCCCTCTACTACTCTATACTTAATCTAAACAAATTTACATAACCCCGTAGGAGACCGGAGTCTTAACTAGACAGTGTTCATTGTATACTTCCTTCGTTCTGCCAGGGTGTCATGCCTAAATACGTAAAGATTCTGACAGAACATAGAAGAGAAGGGAGGTACCGATCAATATTACAATTCTTAGTTCCCCTATCCACGAGCGCATCGGAGAAAAGAGAAACAGAGGATAGGGAATGCAGCCGTAATATAGTAATGTCAACCTGCAGCAAAACAACTCCAGCTAAATTGTAGTAATATGCCTGTTTGTTTGACACTATTGCAACTATAAGTGAGTGTCAACAATTCTGTTATTTTGTTGCAGGGATAGAAGCCTAATTTAAAAGCCGGAGATTAAGTGGAATCGGGTAGGATGCTAAGCCTTCGTTTCGGGCGCCTGGCTGGTACCTATGCTGTGCCTTCGAGGGCACCCCATACTCAAAAATCTAGCTACGTTTTATTTATTTGTATTTCAAGAGATCCTCTTGGGTTTATATTTCCACTTTACAGGACATTCCTGGAATATTTCCCCCTTCTTTATCCTGACTTAGCTTACATTTGGAATTGAATCACATAATCAGAACCGCCCAAAGGGACAAATATGCCCAAAAACTAGACATGTCTGCACGAAGAATTAGATGGTCAGCCTGGTGTGAATGCATGTCACACTGGCTGCCAATAATGCAGGATGACTAACCAAGGGCATACCAGTTTTGTTAACCTACATCCTTCTTAAGGTTCCATACTTAAACAAGAGCATGTGAAGAGTAGTTTAGAAAAAAATCTTTATTTGTTTAAAAAAAATTTTTTTAAATCAATGGGCCTATTCCATAGGCATGGGCCTGGACCTGCAGCTCCATCAGCCCCTATGTTAATTCAGCCCTGCATATGCTGTTCAATGCCTCTCTTATACACTGATCAACCACAATATAAAATCAACCTGCCTAATATGCTCAGTTGGATTAAGATCTTGGGAATTTGTAGGCCAAGCCAATAACTTGAACCCCTTGTCTTGTTCCCCAAATCATTACTCAACATTTTTTGCACTGTAGCAGGGTGCGCTGTCCTGCTGAAAGAGGTCACTGCTATTAGGGAACACAATTGCCATGAATGGGTATACGTGGTATGAAACAATCTCTAGGTAGGTGGTACGTGTCAGTAATATCCACATAAATGCCAGGACCAAAGGTTTCCCAACACAACATTAGCCAACCTTCCTTCTTCCCATAGTGTTCTGCTGCCATCACTTCTCCTGGTAAATGACTTACACACACCCAGCCCTCTTCCTGATCAAAAGAAAACATGATTAATAAAACCAGGCAACCTTCTTCTATTGCTCCGTGGTCCAGTTCTGACCCTCACGTCCCCATTGAAGGCGCTTTTGACAGTGGACACAAGTAATCTTGGGCACTTGGACAGGTCTGCAGCTGTGCAGTCCCATATAAAGCAAACTGTGATGCACTGTATCTTCTGACACATTTCTATCATGGCCAGCATTAAGTTTTTCAGCAATTTTGGCTACAGTAGCACTTGTAATCAGACCAGACGGGCTAGCCTTCACTACCGATGTGCATCAATGAGCCTCGGGTGCCCATGACCATGACGCCAGTTTACCAGTTGTTTCTTGCACCTTTTTTGTTAGGTACTTACCAATTCATACTAGGAACACGGGAACACTCCACAAAACTTGCCATTTTGGAGATGCTCTGACCCAGTCGTCTAGCCATCACTATTTGGCCCTTGTCAAAATCACTCAGATATTTTTGCTTGCACGTTATTCCTGCTTCCAACACATGTTATTCAAGAACTGATTGTTAACTTGCTGCCTTATCCACCCCTTAATTGGCTCAATTGTAACAATATAATCAATATATTCACTTCATCTGTCAATGGTTTTATTGTTGTGGTTGATCAATTTATACACACACACACTTCATTTATACCCATTATATGTGATATATTTACATGTTGGAATGTTTAGCTAAATACATGTTGTATGTTTAGCTAAATCTGCAGCTTTATATTGCCACCTCCTCTGTAAAGAAAAGCCTACCTGTTTCCTCCATTAAAATACAAGGATTTTTAAAGAGGAACTGTCACTTTAACTGAACTTTGCCCCATCAAAGTCAGAGAAATGTAAACCTTGTTTCATTCCTCCTTTTCTCTGTATGCTCTCTCAATGCTGATTGCCATGTGCAGAACAGACCTTGACAGGGAGATAAGATGGAGAAGCCCAGTTGCAGGGTAAAGAGGTGTGGATTTCTACATTTAATTTTTTACACCTCGTAAATCCATATTTGTTAAATATAGGGATAAGTAATCATAATATTAAAAATTCAGGTATGTGACCCTTCCCCCTTTAAAAACTTCCATCCAAATTCAGGAAAAGCATGGTAAGTTACTAGAAAGGCTTACAATGAAATGCTATTTTTTTTTTATATAACTTTTTATACAAAAGTCGTGAATAGTAAAGTAAATACATGACCATCAAACTGTACAATATTATTTTCTTATATTACTTTTGGAGAAACATGGCTGAGGAAATAAGAGGGTGAAAGACAAGGGTAAAAGCAGGGGAGGTGAATAAGAGGAACGGAGTCTGGCTAAAACATGTGACGTATGGTTCAGTATAGAACATGAACACCAGAGCGAGTTAAAGGACCACTATAGTGCCAGGAAAACAAACGCGTTTTCCTGGCACTATAGTGTCCTGAGGGTGCCCCCACCCTCAGGCTCCCACTCCCGTGGCGCTGAAGGGGGAGGAAGGGGTTAATCCCTTACCTCTTTTCCAGTGCCGGGCTCCCTCAGCGCTGGGATTCTCCTCCCTCTACTTCCATCATCGGCTGAATGTGCATGCGCGGCAAGAGCCGCGCACGCATTCAGCCAGTCTCATAGGAAATCATTCTCAATGCTTTCCTATGGACGCTGGCGTCTTCTCACTGTGAAAATCACAGTGAGAAGTGCGGAAGCGCCTCTAGCGGCTGTCAATGAGACAGCCACTAGAGGCTGGATTAGCCCATAGGTAAACATAGCAGTTTCTCTGAAACTGCTATGTTTACAGCAGAAAGGGTTAATCCTAGCTGGACCTGGCACCCAGACCACTTCATTAAGCTGAAGTGGTCTGGGTGCCTATAGTGGTCCTTTAATTGCTGTCCAAGATCTTTTTAATCAATAGGCTACTCAGGGGGCTCATACTTTGTGAAAAGATGATTGTATTTGGTTCACAGTGGCCAGCAGTTTGTCCATGAGCATGTTCTCCTGCATATTAAATGTAACCAATGAGAACAGGGACATTGTATCCTGCAACCAGTTTAATGCAAGACCTTCTGTGCTGCTAATTAACAGAAGCTTGTTTACTACGGTTCAGTAACGGGAATAGCCAAAGAGCCAGCTTTATTGGTTTTAGCAATACATCGGAAATGACCATTGAGCTGTTGCCATGTCTCCTGTTAGCCACCCAAGTGCTGACATCAATCTGCGTTGCTCTTACCCTTAATTTGTTATTGTAATCTTTGCGTGTTACCATCAGAGCTTCTTTATTACCAGGTTTATGTTTCTTTGCACCAGAATGCACAAGCTCAATGTCACATCTATCCATTAGCAAACAGATGACTGTCACTAATACCAACATTATGTTTCCAGGAGACCTCTTCGGACGGTTCAGATATAAATACAACCCTGCTGGTCCATTTCTTTGGAAGGAAAGGTCAGGAAAAGCTACATTACTCAGAATTCTACAGGTATTGTTATGTACCTTAATCGGTATATCTTATTGTATTATATATTATTATTGTATATCTTAAACATAAACTCTACAGTAAAGTATTTTATAGTCCGTAGTGTGGTGTGTGTATACTTATAGTCACGTCTTTCTAAATATGTCCTTTTAAAGATATTAGTGAATTTCTGGGATTGCGTTTGCAGTGGTTTTCCAGTTTAATGATGTTGGTTTAACATATATGTATGTAAATCAAGGATGCTAGTAGCAAAAAGACTAAGGGTAAATTGTGTTGCCCTGCCCATACTGACTTATAGAGACTCGCAAAACTATGTTATAAGCAATTCGTCTGAATTCAATTCCTGGTAAATGTTGAGCAAATAGATTCCGTATTATTTTACCTGTAGGTTTACTTTTGCATTATACAGGTGAGATTTATTCCTTTATCAATTAAGTTATTTTATTCTGTATGAGTCGCTTCAAACTAATTTTTGCACAAGTCTACTTAATTCCCTTCCATAATTCTGGTTTATGTAGAACTCTAAACCTTAACATGTTCTGTGAATCACTTTATAATACCAAATATTTGAATAAATTCGGAGTATTATCTAAACCTTTGTAAACTACATCTGCTGTATTATATAATCTACTCCCACTCTGTTCACCTTAATGAAGCGGTCTGGGTACAGTGTCCCCGTCCCCTTAACCCTGCAAAGTAAAACATTACAGTTTCAGAGAACGTTTATATTGCAGAGTCAAGACTGTCTTTAGTAGCTCTATTGATTTCCTCTGGTGGCTGCGCTCGACAGGTATCCCATACGATGACGTTGGAGGTGGTAGAATCGGATAAGTGTTTTTACCCTTTCACTGCAACCAGATGGGGCGCAGAGGGACGCTAGTGTTGGCAAATACACAGATGATGGAGAAGCTTATGCTCAGACTAAACAATTATTTATTCCAAATCCATTTTTGTCTTCCCCTCCCCCCCCCTATCCTTGAATCCTTAAACTGACCATATAGAATGTTGTTATACACCCATCTTTCTGTTATGCAGTAAATGCCATATTTTATAAAATGCTGTGGAAAAAGTAAATAATATGAATATATACATTTTATATAAATAATATAAAGGATCACTATAGGGTCAGGAACACAAACATGTATTCCTGACCTTATAGTGTTAAAACCACCATCTGCCCCCCGGGCCCCTCATGCCTCCATAAATATAGTAAAAATCTTCCTGTATTCAAGCCTGAAGCTGTAACTCTGCATGCTGTTAGACTCAGAAAAACAAGCAGTCTGCTGACATCATCAGAAGTGGTAGCCTGATCCAATCACAATGCTTCCCCATAGGATTGGCTGAGACTGACAAAAAGGCAGATATGGGGCAGAGCCAGCATGATTCAAACACAGCCCTGGCCAATCAGCATCTCCTCATAGAGATGAATTGAATCAATGAATCTCTATGAGGAAAGTTCAGTGTCTGCATGCAGAGGGAGGAGACACTGAATGTTTGGATGCATTTTAGGCAGCCATGACCCAGGAAGGATCTCGAACAGCCATCTGAGAAGTGGCCAGTGAAGTTTCCGCTAGGCTGTAATGTTAACACTGCATTTTCTCTGAAAAGACAGTGTTTACAGCAAAAAGCCTGAAGGTAATGATTCTACTCACCAGAACAAATTCAATAAGCTGTAGTTGTTCTGGTGACTATAGTGTCCCTTTAAGGGCATCTTCAGTGTGGCAAACCTAGCCTCTTATAGACTTAAACCGTGTATTTCAGCAAACTGTATAATTCTGCTACTGTTATATGTATTGTGCAATGTATGTGGCATTCGTGTGTCACAGCACGCGAATACCGCTAATGTTAAGTCTAGTTATCCACGAACAATGAATCACCACACTGTTCGTGGAATAAGCAAAGTACCGAATGGGAGACCACCCATAGTAGGTCGTGTGTCTCCAATTGGGTTCTTTGCAACATTGCGGGTGGCCACCATTCGTGTACCGAACACGAGGCGGCGGCCATCTTTGTTAGCGGAAATCCAGCAGGGTTTTGTTGTCTAGTGCCTGGAACTCAAATCGGCTACTCGCCAACACAAGCCCGCTGGACTTCCGAGCCGTTCGGGAGTTTGCAGTTTCGGGACTTTCATTCCCTCAGTTCAGGCAATCGGTTGAACGAATTGGTCCTGATAAGGGAAACTGAACCGCGTTCGGTTATTTGTGCTGGGATCTGAGTGCAAGTTCCCTTAACTGTGCGCCCAGGTCCCAGCTATGTAATAAATGGTTAAATAGCTGTCTAGCACAAATATTATGTTGGTTATGGATTTTAATATGAAAACTGTATTTCTCTGTACCAAGGGATAATCCCATTAGCAATGCATTCTGGGATAATTATCTCCTTGGTACAGCAATGTATGCTGGGTACTCTGGCTGTAAAACTCAGTCCCCCATATAGTCCACTACTGGACAAACCCTGCATTGTGACTCGGGAAACCCCATACAATTGTAACCACATAAATACTGTGCCTGTGGTTAAAAACCTCAGTTGAACTCCAAGCTATGTGTCGTCTAGTTCTTGGGAGAAAGGGATTATAACTACGCTACCTGGATTTTGCCTGCTTTGTACCTGCTTCATTCTGTCTACCAGCGGACATACCGTGGATAATACTACTACTCCGCTACATTCAGTAATTGAGTATACTGAACTTTCATACATGTATTGAGTATAGGATTCAATTACATATACCTCTCTGTACTGTACACAGGTTAGCTGAAACTGGTTAGCAAAATCAGAGCTTCAAACTATTCATGTAACATACCTGAACTTAGTTTAGTGACTAATTTTGTTCATTTTTAGAGTTTTCTGTGTTTTCTGGACCACAGACCAATGGAAGAAGGTTGCCTGTCTGATGACATGTTTTTTTCCGCTTCTTAAAACAAGAATCTGTACAGTTTTTGCTGCAGCCTGACAACAATGTGTACATAAACACGCTACATAAAAAAAAAACAAATCAGTGTCATTTTGGCTTAAAGGAACACTATAGGGTCAGGAACACAAACATGTATTCCTGACACTATAGTGCTGAACCGCCATTTAGGTGGCTTGCTGGCCACTTACCCCCCTTAAAAGCAATTAAAACTCACCTTATTTCCAGCGCTGCGCGGGTCTGCTGGCACTAGCCCCGCCCCGCCCCGCCCCCTTGGTGACATAATCTGAATTGCCGATTTATTTTTTTTGCCAATCCAATGCATTCCCACAGGGAAGCTGTCCCTAGGGGCAATGTAAACACTGCCTTTTCTCTGCATGAAAATGCCTGATTATACTCACCAGAACAACTACATTAAGCTGTAGTTGTTCTGGTGACTATAGTGTCCCTTTAAGTGTAAATCTCTCTTCACATTATTTTATAGGAGTATAAATCAGGCACATACTTTTTTTTTTGTAGTTTTTAGCTTTCAATCAAATCTTTTTTTTTTCTATGACGTCTTCTGACAACACTTTGGCTGCACGCAGCAATATCATTGTGCATGTTTGATCTTCTCCACGCTGTTTGTACAGGAGATGGCTGACAAGATTTACTTACACACATCATTTTAACAAGGGAAATCTCTCCCTGGGTGGGAGGGCAAGTAGTCTTCCAGATTTGTCCTGTGTGTGCGTTAGAAAGTTTTCTCTGTGAAATCAAGAAGCTCTTTTTTTTTTTCTTTTTCTTTTTTTTGATGGATATAAATTTGTTTTGGATGGTGTTGCCTTTTTAAAGAACAATTTAGCTAGACCCACATGAGAGTAAATGAGATAATCGTGAACTGACAGTTTTGAAAAGCTCTGTACACAAGGAGCGGTCACCTGCCAGATTTCTAAAGCCATGTATACATATACAGAAGACACCTGTCAAAAATTGCTGGGCACTATGCGAGGTCTGCCAGGTTTACTTACAGTTGTTTAACCCTTTAACTTCTTGGTGGATCAGCCATGCTTAAACGAACTACCATTCAAAGAATAAAAATAATGCTTCTTGCATAGCGTGTTGTAGTCAGGCAGAAAGCTGGGTACTCAACGTACCATACTTATTGAATGATAAATAAATGCTATAATGCTTAGAATGACTCTTTAAGCAAGGTACATTAACTTACCTTAAATTAATGTAAGTTTACAGATGCTTGGAGTGTCCCTTTAAGAGTAGTACACAATCAAGTATTGTGTACTTATAGAATAATGTGCCCTCGTAGAGATTTTATAGTATATTCTGTTATTTTTTAAATATGTGTATAACTGGTAAGGGGGTCTTTTGCATATCGGTACCCGACTCCCTCTAGAATATAAGATCACTTGAGCAGGGCCCTCTGCACCCTCTGCTTCTGTGCAACCAGCTCGTCTTATCAAATAACTGTCTGTTAGTTCACCTATTCTGCTGGGAAACCTTGGGTCCTGGCATTCATGTGGATGTTACCTTGACACATATTACCTACCTAGAGATTTTTGCAGACCATGCACACCCCCTCATGGCAATGATGTTCCCTGATGGCAGTGGCCTCTTTCACTTCACCTGTCAGTGGTTCTAATCTCTCAGCAGGATTATTCACCATACCACACTGCAAAAAGTGTTCAGGGATGATTTGAGGAACATGACAGTGTTAAAGGACCACTATAGTGCCAGGAAAACATACTCTTTTTCCTGGCACTATAGTGCCCTGAGGGTGTCCCCACTGTCAGGGTCCCCCTCCCGCCGGGCTCTAGGGAGAGGAAAGGGTTAAATCTTACCTTTTTTCCAGCGCCGGGCGGGGAACTCTCCGCCTCCGATCCTCCTCTTCGGCTGAATGCGCATGCTTGGCAGGAGCTGCGCGCGCATTCAGCCGGTCTCATAGGAAAGCATTTGTAATGCTTTCCTATGGACGCTGGCGTCGTCTCACTGTGATTTTCACAGTGAGAAGCACGCAAACACCTCTAGCGGCTGTCAATGAGACAGCCACTAGAGGCTTTAGAAGCTGCATTAACCCATTTATTTTAAAAAAGGGTTAATCCTAGAGGGACCTAGCACCCAGACCACTTCATTTAGCTGAAGTGGTCTGGGTGCCTAGAGCGGTCCTTTAAAGGCCTTGGCCTCCAAATTCCCAAGATCTCATTCTGACTGAGCATCTGTGGGATGTGCTGGAACAACAAATTCAGTCAATGGAGTCCTTACCTTGCAACTTGCAGGACTTAAAGGATCTGCTGCTAATGTCTTAGCTTTACCACAGGACACATTCAGAGGTCTTTTGGCGTCCATGCCTTAACAAATCAGTTGTTTGGGCAGCACAAGGGAGACTTACACAATATTAGGCAGGTGGTTTTAATGCAGTGGCTGATAATTGTATGTATTTCAGTGTGGTATATTTCATAATTATTTTTTTTATTTATTCTATTTACACATTAGTGTTCCTTATGTTATGCTTGTTTAGGGTTGCTTTGCTTTGTGCATTCAGAGTGCCAGCCAGAGTCAGAATGATCATCATGGGGTTAAATCCGTAGAGCTCTATATATATTGAAGGAGAGGCTTAAGGTTATAGTAAACAGGACTTTGTCCCAATGTAAGTATTCAAGATTTTAAGATATACTCCCATCTCTTCACATTACTGTGATCACAAAACTGGCAAGAAGTGCTGAAAATTATTCACTTAATACCAAAAAGCTGCAGCCTTGCAGAAAAATATTTGATTACCTCCCTCTGACAGATCTGATCTCCCACCCATCTGAGAAACTAATTGCGATTTCAGATGTTGTTCGTTTCTTGAAACCTACCTCGCAGCTGCCCTGCGGTCCAGTATTTTAAGTTTCTCAAACTGGAGTAAATCAAGCCAATGTTCTCTTTGGGGTTAGATATGAATAATTAATTTAATCAAGTATTTGGGGCTTATAAACATAGCTTCCATATCGAGTAGGGTGTCAGCCAGTCATTGCCAATTTAAATAAGTATATAGACTGCCACTTCTTATTAGATACAAAATATGATCACTTTTTAATCAACATTCTTTACAAAATATCCATAATTCTCTTTAATTTGTATTGTATTCAATCGCATTAGTGCACAGTCTAAATTATACCTTAAGGACACAACTTCTGGAATAAAAGGGAATCATGACGGAATATTTCCGTCCTGTGTCCTTAAGGGGTTAAAGTGGATGTTTTTTTTTTAATATTTTTCCATTATTGTGCTGCAATATGCAGAGCCACCCTTAAGTATATTCATTCCTGAGAAAATCTAGAAAAAAGGCTAATATGCAAATTAATAGGAGCCACTGGGCCACCCAGTAGAATCCTCTGATAACCACATGTGATCCAATGGATTAAAGGGGAACTCTGACTTCCCAGATTTCTCCATATTCTATTTCCTTAAATATGCATTTGTAAATTGTGAAAAAAATAAAGTTGAATATAGAAATCCACACTTCATTATCCTGCAACTAGATGCCTTCATTATAGCTTTCTCCTCAATCATTATGAGCTCTGCCCTTTGCACCTGCCAGTCAGAATAGAGAGAGGTTACAGAGAAGAGGAAAAATGGGACAAGGTTTCTATGTCTCCTCGTTATTTTGATATGTTACCTGGGCTTTGCCTTGTCTGAACAAGAGTGTAATATAATTTGTTAAACCTTTAAAGGGAAACCTGAGCACAAAACAACTTTAACTTAATGAAGTGGTGATGTATATATCAAACCCCTGCAATGTTGCTGCTGTCCTGAAATTGAGGCTGAGGTATTTACCTTCCCTTGTTGCTCAGAGTGTTTAATTTAGAATTTAAGGCTTACACACAGAGGCTGATATACAGTATTCAGTAGCCCCTATGAAATTATTTGGATATAGACTGCAGGACAACAATAAGTAGGTCACAAGTATTTTTTAACTAAATATATACTAAATGACGAAAAGTATGTGGGCACCCTTGTTAATTAGTGGACGTGGCTATTTCAGATATCCAGATTTCAATAAGACGTCAAATAAAGCATACAGCTATGTAATGGACACACAAAAAAACATAGCTCAGCCATGTATACGTAAGTTTGCATATTTTGACTGCAAGTCTGGAAGAAACATCACTACAAGTATCATAAATTCTAAAACCTTGTCAAGGGTCTACTGAGCACTGGACCATAAGATATCTATAAATCGATCTCACAAATGACAGCTCACCGTTCACTCACTGTCAGATGAAGTCTGTATATTGGGAGAATGTCACCTGCCTGGCAGCATAATACCAACTGTAAAGTTGTGTAACCTTTTTACCCATGTAGTATCTAACATTGGTATAAACACTCCTTTTTAATAATGTGATTCCTTCTATCATGTTTGTATCCATATGGTAGAGAACCCAGTCTTGCTGATTGTTGGACAACCTATTGTTTTTTGTTTAGGTTATTATGGTACTTTTTTCAACTGCCTACAAATAACAAACCACTAGTCTGAAACTTAGCGCAATGGTAAAGCACTACGGTGCACCATATGCATTACAATATAAAGGAACATGGTCTGGCAACCATCTGCGGGAGGTTGTGCTGTGACCTAGAGTTACATTAGTCAATGGAAGTTGATTGGTCACAAGATTCAGCAACCATATTGGAACGCGCAAAATTCTTCAAACATCATCTTATCTAAAATGGTTTGTTGGCACTTAATGTCCGCAACTAGTAAACCTACCACAGTAAATCTCTATGAAGTAAAGGTGGTTACCTCAAACCAGTGCCCTCAAAGGTCTACTTCAATCACACACATTTGCATCTATTTGATATATATTTGCCATATCTTTGGCTATCTAGGTCACATGGTCTTGCAGCCATTTATTTTCTTTCAACCTGTTTCTACCATAGCATAAATGGGCATTTTTCCAGTATTAAACTATGCTGCAATTTTTGTTGTTATTAGCATTTATATAACACCAACATATTCCGCAGCACTTTACAATTATAGATTATGGATATTTGACGATCATGTAATTGACATAGAAAATATTAACATTAAAAATATTAATAACATTATAACATTAATATTGCACCCTGTTAAACATATGATTATGCATAAAATGTTCAAAACCTAATATGGGGGTCAAAGAAAAGTGGCCATTAAGAGTTTGGGAAACAAATATTCATTAAACTTTGCAAAATTGAAGAAATCTGTTGTGAACTCTTCCATATAAAATATGGAGATGGTATGTTGTAAATATCTATACAGCGATTTAGGCCAGATGTGAAACTGTGTGTGAGGCTGTGTTACGACCATTATTCTAATTTGTTTCCATTTTTCTGCTGGTTACCTCCTTTGTAGCTATATTTATTTCTGCTATTAGTATTTATCAAACAGAACCTGCTAATTAAAACGGACTATCCGATAAGATAGCAGTATATATAACCTGAAGTGGACTAATCTACGCTAGCGGTAGACATAGTTGAAAATGTTGCCTGTGCTCTGGAAAGTTTGCACTTGGTCCATTTTTTGTTTTGTGTTTCTGTTTGATGTCTGTGAAGATGTCAGGAATAGCGTCTATTCAGGTATGTTACTAATGCATCAAAGAACCAGAGTGCTCCCTAGTGGTGTTTCTTCTGTGTTGCAATTGGCAAAATACGCAGTATAAAGTTTTTGTTTTTCCCCTACATGGAAAGATTGCCACATTTAATTACCTGGTACGTCTAAAATGTTTTAGATATTCTATTGCAAATTCTTCCTTCACACCATTTTAATGTTCGGAAGATGGCTTATCATATCATAGGGACACTGATAAGAGTATTTTAACACATTTTATTAAGTAATAGGTTTTGCAATGCATTCAATGTGGTAAGGAAGTGTGAAGATGCTCCAGACAGTACTGGGTAATACTAAAGCATGAATACTTTCAAAAATAGAAATGTTAACCCCTTAAGGACACAACTTCTGGAATAAAAGGGAATCATGACGGAATGTTTCATCGTGTCCTTAAGGGGTTAATAGTCTATTTTTATCAATTTGCATAATGCAAATTGAGCTAGCATAAATAAAATCTAAGTCTAAAAGTCTATTTTGCATGGTGTGACGCTTTGCTTTTTAAAAAAAAATTTTTTCTCTTTAATTTAAAAATAGGGGGAAAACGTCTCTAGCGACTGTGGTGCTTCCTTCCCTACTGCTTCTGCTTGGGCTAACCCTTCATTTTTAAAAGAACACTCCATTGCCCAAATGGCCAGAAAATTACAAATCACTGATTAGTAGATATACCCTCAATGAATACATGCATGCAGTCATGTCAGAGGGTTTGTTCATTTACATATAATGTTGATTTCTAATAGAAAAAGTCACTTTTAGAAGTTGTCATTATCATTGAATACTCCTCACCCAAAAAGCACTTCAGCAAGCTCCACAATCATAAAGCTGAAGTGCTTTATGGATGTGGAGTGGTCCTTTAACCCAAGCGGTGGTGATCTCGCATGAGATGAGTGCTCTCAGCCAGTCACTGAAACTCATTGTTTATACATTCAGGTTCATTTCTATGAAAGGAGATTCAACAGGCCAACTCACTAAAGAGCAATTTATGAGCTTAAAATGATGCAGTCACCATGGATACAATTGGAAGGTCCCAACGGATTGCTCCCGTGTTAGAACATTATCCCAGGACTTCTCTCTATACAAACAGTTCATTTAATTTTCGTGTGTTTGTCTCTAAGAGGTGATTTCATGTGTGCACCTTTAAATGTTGTATAGAAACACTTAAACTTAGAGATTTACTCCTGTGTTTGATGGAGACATACAGGGTTATTTTCTAAAGTGAGATTTAAGAGTGAATACAATTTTTATATCAACTTTAAGGCCAGACTAGCTGAAATGGAAACATGGTTTAGTCAGATAATTTTTGAAATTCACATTGAATTCTCACTTTACAGTGTTATTTACTAAGGTGAGATTTCACGGTAAATTTCAAACATTAGGTCAAAATAGTCGAGCTTGAAACCTTCTCCATGTCCGCAATGCTTTCCATCCACCTATTCTGACCTTAAATTTGTAATTCACCTTGAATTCTCACTGTAGTAAATACCATACACAATCTCTGAACCTTTACCATTAATTAATAGCTGAAATCTGTTCTTATGGTAAATGGCAGACAGAATACAGTATTCATACACATCCCTAGAACTGGTGAAATAGAAACCATTAGAATATATAGTCTGCTAATGGATCTCAGTCTAGCAATCTAGTAATGTGAATTCAGGACCTGTGATTAGGAACTATAGGGAGAAACCGCTCCATGAAGTCCTGCACCCACAAATGTCATCCTGTAAATATTTCTTTAACTCTGTTTGCTGAAAGGATGGCTGATTCTTCATCTGTGGTGAGATGCCTGCTGTAGGCAAGTAATATTTTAGTGGTTAATCTGCCTTTCCTTGTGTGATAGCAAGAAGGCTTGTGCTGACAACTAAAGATAGCAGAACGGAAGAAGATTCCAAAAAATCTCAATACCATAATAAGAGAAGCATCCTGTAAAGCGGCACAGAGATAGCATGACACAGACTTTCCTAGGAACGAGTAATTACAAGTCTGTACTGACACAGATTAACTAAAGTCAAACCACGTTAATCCCTCAAACAACATTTAGGAGGCACCTGGTTTGCCAGTGAATTCAGCTTATAGACCACAGGGGGAAAACGACTTCTGAAATTTGAATTTGAATTTTTTTTTTTAAATTTAAATTGAGAATTGTTTATTAAAAATATCTGAAATGAACAACTACAGTACAGCTTGGTAATGAAGAAATAAAATAATAATTAGGTGAATATTTAAGTTACATCAGTGCTTAAGGTAGAAATGCAAAGCTCTGTATGGTGAACTTATTTTGCTTCGCCAAATAAAACTTCTAGTTTCCAGATAATATCACTGAAAATGTAAATGATTAATATTCTACATTATTGAACAGTGCTGTGTCATAGGCTGTACAGGTAGTATATCAGCTAGACACTGGCAGAAAGCTGAGTGGACTGAGACTCCATTTTTGTGGATCCGACAGGCAAGTTTGAGGGCAAGGGGAGGACAATTTCTCAGGTCCTCACCTCAGGCATGACCCCCAAATTAACAATTTTGGAAACCATAATCCCACAGTACATCGGGTAAGAGGAAGGAGAAGAACATTTAGCATGTCTCTTACATAGTCTTCTGGACCCCCAAATTACTATTTTTTTTTTTTTTAATCCACCTTCCAGCGATCCAATGGATGAGGGAGTGAGTGGATGGCAGCCACATCTGTTCACCCAATAGACCATTACTCACACTGCCACCAATGTTGTCAGGGAATAGGATGATCCTTATCCATGGACCACTCCTGATTTAATTTTATTCAAAAATATTTTTTATTAATTGTTTATTAAATATTGCAATTTTATTTATTGTTTATTAAATAATGGCAATCTCCAGATCTACATCCAACTGTGCCAGTTTGGAAATAAAATAAGTCCTGTGGTTGAGTAAATATTTGAAGGTCATACATCCCAGTGTGCTGAATGGATTAACACGTGCATTTTCTTGATATAACCGCTGAAATTAGTTTAGTTTAGTAGTCATCTAAAGTCAGGTATTTTTCAACAATTTTTTTTCCTGGTATTATTAATAATAATTTGTTAGCGTTATTAAATTGTTTGCGAACAAAAATATATGCAGGTTTTTCATTTAATGAAACACATCTCAAAATTGCATACGCGTAATTTGCAATATGTGTTTTGTTAGATTGCAGCAAATTTTACATGTATGTTTTAATTTTCTGTATTTAAATAACAAAACAAAATTAAAAAGTATTTGACCGTGTCCCTGTATAATGATTTCAGATTTGTGGAGAACATGCAGACGGAGGTACAAGAAATGGAATTCATACAGTTCTCTAAGGGTTTAAACTTCATGAGGAAGGAAGACTTTGCAGAGTGGCTTCTTTTCTTCACAGATGAGAACAATGACCTTTACTGGCAAAACGTACATTCCAGAATCCCTCCAGGAGAGGTGGGTACAGTGACCACTTATTAAAGCTTATGATATTACTGGTCAGCAACTTTGTATCATTACACATCAGTACTGTTGCTTGGCAAACTCTAAAATTTAAAAAGGCGCATGTTAGACATTATTTCAGTGATTTTAACAGAGTGATGATGGCCCAAATACATTCTGTTATTGGATGCCCACTCATTTCCACTACCACCTCTTCCAGCCCATATGCTTGATTTTGGTTTAAACCATTCATAGGAGAGTCGTGTTACATGTTCATACATCTCCTTATCTGCTGCCTCTCAGCATGTTCCTCTGTACACTCTTGGGAGAGTGGATATCCCTCTGTGTATTTTAAAAAAGGCAAAGAGCAAGCGTTAACAGTTAAAGATATGAAGCATTGAGCACAGTTTTCCTGCTTTCCTTCTAGAGCCCTAAGAAAAAGTTCACAGTGATGCATTAATAAATAAATATTGATATTCCCACCCCTCCTGGGTGGTATGTTTATTCGTCATTTTCGGGTCCTCTATCAGAGGCCTGGGAGTTTGAGGGTTCTGCACAGTATCGTAGCTGTTCCTAGAACTGCACTCTTATGGACAGCGATCTCAGATGTCCCACTTGAAATCTGTTGCAGCCACTCCCCCAACTTGGGAGTCACAGCCCCGAGTGCTCCTATCACAACTAGGACTATTACTGCCTTCACTTTCCACATCCTTTCTAGTTCTTCTTTCAATCCTTGGTATTTCTCCACCTTCTCATGTTCCTTCTTCCTGATGTTATAGTCACTGGGTATTGCTACCTCTACCAGGACTGCAATCTTCCGTTCCTTGTCTACCACCACGATGTCTGGTTGGTTGGCCAGCACTTGCTTGTCTGTCTGGATCTTGAAGTCCCACAGGATCTTAGCTTTGTCATTCTCGACTACCTTTTGTGGTATCTCCCATCTGGACTTAGGCAGGTCCAATCCATATTCTTGTTAGGGACCAGGAATCAGACAGACCGAACTAGATGCAAAAACACCTTTATTAATAAATAAAAAAATAAAGAAATAACCAAAAGCAAAGTCCAGGGGGCAAGCAGGGGTCAGTCACCAGAGCGGGTAGTCAGACGAGCAAGGATCAGGAGAAGGGAGAGCAGCGAAGTCAGGAACCAGGAACAAACCGGAAACACAGGAACAAGGAGACTTCTGGGGAACAGGAAACCACGCAAGAGCAAGGAGGTACTGGGATTTGCTTCTTAAATAGGCTGCACTGATTAGCAGCAGGGTTGATTACTATTCTCAGGTGAGTAACCGTGGCAACATACTGAAGGAGCTAATCGTTAATCTCAGCTGAAAACTCAGACACTGGAAAAGGAAGGGTTGCTGTTTAAAACAGCAAATAAACTGACAATTCTGTGCAGATGTTTCGGTACACAATCCCAGCAACTTGGTTGTGTCTCTCTGTGTATGCTGTTCCTGCTAACATCTTGCATCCAACTACTAGGTGCTGGACTGTCTCAGAAGCCTCTTTGCACAGTCTGCACCTTGGGTCTTGTCTGGTGTGGTAGACTCCAGCTTATATTTATCTGGTGCTGAGTGCCTGTTCCTGTGCTGCTAGGATTAGTGCCTCAGTGCTGCCTTTTCCAGCTACTGGTAGGATTTTGTCATGTGAGCCACTACCACTATCTGAAACCTCCATTCATAGTAAGTAGTTTTCTGGTCTTGACATCCATGATGACCAGTTCTTCTCTTGGCCAGGTTATTATTCCAGCTGGGTACCTGATGACCGGTAGGGCATATGTGTTGATGGCTTGGATCTTGTTCTTGCCATTGAGCTGAGACTTCAGGACCTGTCTGACTCTTTGCAGGTACTTAGATGTTGCTATCCTCCTTGCCTCTTCCTCATGGTTGCCATGTGTTTGTGGTACCCCCAGGTATTTGTAGCTGTCCTCTACATCTTCTATATGGCCTTCTGGAACTTCAACTCCTGTCCTGACCATCTTCCCTCTTTTTGCGATCATCCGCCCGCACTTCTCTAGTCCAAACGACATTCCGATGTCCTTGCTGTATATCCTAGTTAGGTGGATCAGTGAGTCTATGTCCCGTTCATTCTTGGCATACAGCTTGATAGTAGCTCCACTCTTGAACATGTATCCGTATCCACTCTCCTTGTTGATCTGGCTAAGGGGGTTGAGTCCTGTGCAGAACAGCATTGGGGATAGCGCATCACCTTAGTATATGCCACATTTGATGTTCATTTGAGTTATTGTCCTGGAATTGGCTTCTAGAGTTGTTTTTCACTCGCCCATTGAGTTTTTGATGAAGGTGTTACAAACTCACCCTACTTCAAGAGTGTGCGTGACGTAGTTGTGGTGGTGAACGGGTTAAAGTTCACTATTTATCTGCACTAGACCGGAAATAATGACAAAATCCCCCTTAACACCACCCACACTTAAACATAATATAACTATTACTATTTTAACGCTGCCACCACCATGACAATTTATAAATGGGGTGCCTTGGTCCCCCAGGTAAATCAATAATAAAAACCCACCAAATATTACTTGGCACAATATCTATGTAATTGCAAAATATGAATTAGTCTCTTCAGGTAACGTGATTCTTAACCAAACAAAGGCAGAACTTAATAAATGAATGTTTATTATGAGCAAAAAATTGTCACAGTGCATACAAAATTATGATAAACAAATTATTTACACCAACAACAGATAAAAACAAAAAGGATAAAAAAGTCCTAATTACTCACTTCTGCCTAGGGGGTCTCTGGCAAGGAAGGATGATGGTGACTCACTCAAAATTAGATCTTGGCCCCAAGCAAGTACACCAACCCCCCTCCAAATCATTGGATATATACCCTGTGGATTATCAAGTCTTGCCCAGTGGTGAAGTTAAGGCGTACCTATAGAAGTAATAAGTGACCACCTCCTTTGTTCCAGACCATGGTCAATCCAAATGGAAACATTTGTCTCTATCTTCTATTATGTATCTGCCACAGAAATAATAATTGAATCTATGAATTTATTATTTTCCCATAGACCTGTTGCACGCCCCACCCGCAATCAAATAGGATGGACATCACAATTCCTTCCCCTATGGTCAAGTCAGGCCACTCATAATTGGGCTTGTTTAGAAGATGGTGCTTGTCACATTCCAAATATAACAAAAATTAGGCTTAATCATTATTCTGTGGGGTAAATATGAATGTTTCTCTTTGGATATGATACTGGAACAAGGCTAATGGCCATTAGCATATCAAAAGAGATTGCCTCCTCAATTACAAGGTAAGAGGATGAAGAGACATTCAGACTTTTTCCAAATGTAGAACCCCACACCTTGCAGAGCCTTGATTAATTCACATCCATATGGTAAAATCTTTTTCACATCCCTATGTCATTCAAACTTACCCCTTCTGTCATCTGACCTCAGTGGGGGGTCCCAGCTTCAAAAGATCTAACCTCTTTTGACCTCCATACAATCAAATTAACCCATTTTGACATTGAAAATACCATCTCTGCCAGGCCAGAGGTCCTTAGTGCACTACAGAAATTACATTAAAGGACAATATGCCATAGTGCAATAATACATTATGCACCCTTGCCGTGACAGAAGGCTCTTATTGTCTTGCTGACCTTGTAGAAAGCCAAGCATTCCAGTATCATTGTGTCAAAGGCTTTCTTGTAGTCAATCCATGCCGTGCACAGATTGGTCTCTCTGGTCTTAATACCCTTGTTTCTGCTTGGTCTACCAGTAGTTGGTGTTTTGATCCTCTGGTGTTGTTTCCAATTCCCTTCTGAGTATTGCTTATATATTGCTCATATATATATCACCCATATTGGTCACAATATATATATATATATATGAATATATATGTATATATATGTATATGTGTTGTGACCAATAGAAAAAACATACAAAAGTGAAGAGGAGTGTGATTTTGTACATTGTGAGCACTGTAGTGGTTATGGCGCTTAAAATGTTCCTTTAAGAACCATTGATGTTCTTTGCTGTCAATACAAACTTTAAGGATCATAATCTAAATTAAATGACTTAAGCACAGTATGGTGCCACAGTGGTATAGTTAGCCAAGTGAAACAGCTACCATAAAACAACCTTGTACAGTTTTGACCTTTTGGGTTTTTGTCTCGTCTGCATGTTGATGGGTCACAACCCAGATGTGCTGTTCTGGTGATACAAATACGTACATTCTCTACTTCTTTTGGCTTCCCTGGGCCTCATTGAATTGTCTTGGGCCACACAAAAAATCTTTAATGTAATTAATTTAATAAAACGTTAAAAGCCCTTTTCCTAATGATGTTTAGTAGATAATTTCCTATTTGTTATCCTTATGTGGGATTGCCATATTTAAAGGCCAGCTTAATGAAGTGGTCTGGGTGCCTGGTCCAGCTAGGGTTAACCCTTTTTTTTTTTATAAACATAGCAGTTTAAGAGAAACTGCTATGTTTATAAATAGTGTAACTGACCGTTTTGCACATAAGCGGTTAAAAACCGTTTAGGCGATATTCCCCTTTTTCAGCTGCACAGACAGCTACTGCAAGCACCAATCTCCCGAACTGCAAACCTACAAATTCACCAACTCCCGAACTGCAACCAAGGGAATACTCGAAACTCCCGAACTGCATACCAAGTAGCACTCCAAACTCCCGATCTGGAGACACACGAATAGCTGCTAGCAGACGAACAGGAAAAGCCCCCAAGCAGCTTACACTCCTGGCAATCAGTCTTTAACAGCATACAGTAAATCCTGCTACTGTAGGTGTCCACAGGCAGTAATGTAAACACTGCGGTTTCTCTGAAAAGGCAGTGTTTACAGTGATACATCTGCAGTGACATGCTATAGACACCATAACAGCTAAGTTAAAGACACAAGAAGCAAAAATGTCCTCTTCAAAGTTCTGTGTGTAAATATGGAAACCCTGGAACATATTTATATGGATGCAGGACTTATTACTGACAAATTACGTCATGGCGATAAAAAAACAAAACATTCATTGCCACAAACACCTGAATAAATGTTTTGAAAAGAAGTTTGCTAAACACCATAAAAACTACAGATTATTGTAGATGTGGATATGGTGCTAGACGTCTATGCGTAGAATCCTTCTGATTTTTGTCAAACAATTTTCAAGTAGTTTCATAAAACAAAATAAGGCATTACAGCAACATATATCTTGTGTATATATATATTAATGACATTTATGTGTGTATTATGCATATATAAATGTATATTAATATATTATAGGCATAATTATATCTTACTAATACACACATCAATATACATGCATATATATATATGTGTGTATTACTGCCAGGATCACATCAATTACGTCTATTACGTTTACCTCGCTTAGTGTATCGTCTCCAATTGTCTCCTTTTTTTCTCTTACAGTGACCCTTGTGCATCTTTTACTTCATCCCAGTCCCTGTGTGTTTCTTTTTACCCTTCTCCAGCCTCTGTATGTCTCTTTCCCCCAGCCCCTTTCGTGTTGTTCTTAGCCCCAGCCACTTTGTCTCTTTCTCCCCTTCCAAATCTCATCTGTGTGTCTCTTTCTAACTCCAGACTCTGTGTGCCTCTCTCTTCTCCCAGCCACTCTGTGACTCTTTTTCCCCCAGCCCAGTGTTGAATCCCACAAATCTTGTTACTTTGTTCCCCTTCCCTTCTGTATGTCTTTGTCCCCTCAACAAACCACCTGTGTGTCTCTTTCTCCCCTCTCCTCTATGTGTCTCTCTTCCCCATCTCCCCCCGTGTCTCTCACTCTTACCCTGTCTCTTTGCCCCCCCTTCCCCTGTCTCTATTACCCCTCTGTCTCGTTGTCCCCCCTCCCCCTGTCTCTCTCTATTACCCTCTCTCTTTGTCCCCCCATCCCTTGTGTCTCTCTATTACCCCTCTCTTTGTCCCCCTTCCCTGTCTCTATTACATCTCTTTGTACCTTCCCTTGTGTCTCCATTACCCCTCTCTTTGTCCCCCTTTCCCCTGTCTCTCCATTACCCCTCTCTTTGTCCCCCTTTCCCCTGTCTCTCCATTACCCCTCTCTTTGTCCCCCTTTCCCCTGTCTCTCCATTACCCCTCTCTTTGTCCCTCCTTTCCCTGAGTTTCAACTGCCCCACTGTTTCTGTGTCCCTGCTGATCTTGTCACAGGAGGACCGAGGAAGGGGATGGAGCTAACTACCATGCTCCCTCACGGTTCCCATAATTCCCAGCATTGACATATCCTAGAGTAGTGATTACTTTATGATGTGTAGATTCTGGGAATTATGGGAACCGCGAGGGAGCATGGTAGTTAGCTCTGCCCCCTCCCTCAGTCCTCCTGTGCTGATAGCTGCACGGCTGTCAGTATCAGTGAGTGGACCGGTTAGGCGGCCGCCCGGCACACTCACTGATTCTGACAGCAGCACAGGAGATGGGGCCGCCGGCCGCAAGGTGAGTACCCCCTTAGAGTGTGATCCGCCTGACCAGCCATCCGGCGGCACAGATATGCGGCCTATGGCCGCGACATTATTAAAAATGGCTGCAGGGCTCCCTCTCTATAGGGAGTAAGAGCTCAGCAGCCCCCATGTGCCGTGGCCCACCGGGAAATTTCCTGGTATCCCGGTGGGCCAGTCCGGCCCTGCACACCCATACACACTATCACCGACTTACACACACATACAATCACAGGCATACACACAGTCACTGACAAAACATACACAAAAATTACATTCATACACATTTCATACTTAAGAGTTCCACCCAGCCTCCATACCTTGCTCTGGGAGAGCTGGAATGGATCCTCTGTCCCTGGTGGCTAGCGGTTGCTGCTGGGCTGGGATCTCTATGCTCTTCCTACAGAGGTCCCTTACCCGCTCGGTAGTGATGCAGATGCTGGGATGACGTCATATTCCAGCGGCAGGCTCATGTAGGGCGCACGAGTGGGAGCTGTCCAGGAGCATCACCGTATGTGAAGGGCTCCCTGCCTCCCCCTGCAGCCCAGACAGCAACCGGCCCACACTACTAGTGGTCCCAGACCGCAGGGCTGTTAAACCCATGAGCCGCAGGTTGGACACCCCTGGTTTAAGGCAAACACTTTACTAAATGACATCCATAATGTACAGCTAGTTTTAGGGCAAAGTCCTGGTTAAAACAAAGGAAAAGTCATCTCATCGATACTCTGCTTGAAACCAAGGAACATATGGACTTTGAAAACCACATTGTAATCAATGGATAGATAGAGTAAGTAACAGGCTATAACATACCGACAGAGTAAAGAATTAAATAAAAATACCTTTTTCTGCTTGACAGGTGGAGGGGAGGATAGGAAAATGCCATACGTTTTTTCTTGTGATTTGTAGCACTTACTCTAAGGCCATTGTGAAACACATCCAGTTATAGTATAAATACACTTTATATCACTGACAAAAGAGAACACCTGCTGATTTATTTCTGTTCTCTGCAATAGATCAGTGGGTGTTTTGTTTTGTCACTGTTATAAAGTGTATCTATACTCCTACTGGATGTGATTTATAGTATCCTATCAGTGACTGCTGCAAATCACCAAGCCTGTATGGCATTTTTCATTCTTCTCCTACCCTGGAAATTTTTATTTGTCCATACATGAGACAGTAAAGCATTTCTAAGGCATCTGATAAGCCTTCTGTTTTACTGTACGCTATATAGTCGTTTAAACCTGCTCCTTCCCATCATTCATTAAGCTACATGCAGTAGAACATATCAATCTGAACAAATCAAAGTAATCTTAATCCCTGTGTTTGCCAACAGGAACAATTCATTTTGACATTGTAAAATATAATTTAAAATGGATCAAATATCCACATAATTCAGCTAATAGAGCATTGAAAGTAGTCCATATATTTTACCATTATTTAAATATTGTTTGTTGGGGTGATATGGAGGTCAGTTAGAACATGCTTCCAACATGTTAAATGACCATTAATGCCACCTTTTCGTCAGCAATGTAAAATAGAAAAATAGAAAATAGAAAAATAGAATGTGACGGCAGATCAGAACCATTCGGCCCATCTAGTCTGCCCAATTTTCTAAATACTTTCTTTAGTCCCTGGCCTTATCTTATAGTTAGGATAGCCTTATCTTATAGTTAGGATAGCCTTATGCCTATCCCACGCATGCTTAAACTCCTTTACTGTGTTAACCTCTACCACTTCAGCTGGAAGGCTATTCCATGCATCCACTACCCTCTCAGTAAAGTAATACTTCCTGATATTATTTTTAAACCTTTGTCCCTCTAATTTAAGACTATGTCCTCTTGTTGTGTTAGTTTTTCTTCTTTTAAATATAGTCTCCTCCTTTACTGTGTTGATTCCCTTTATATATTTAAATGTTTCTATCATATCCCCCCTGTCTCGTCTTTCCTCCAAGCTATACATGTTAAGATCCTTTAACCTTTCCTGGTAAGTTTTATCCCGCAATCCATGAACCAGTTTAGTAGCCCTTCTCTGAACCCTCTCTAAGGTATCAATATCCTTCTGAAGATACTGTCTCCAGTACTGTGTACAATACTCCAAGTGAGGTCTCACCAGTGTTCTGTACAATGGCATGAGCACTTCCCTCTTTCTATTGCTAATACCTCTCCCTATACAACCAAGCATTCTGCTAGCATTTCCTGCTGCTCTATTACATTGTCTGCCTACCTTTAAGTCATCAGAAATAATCACCCCTAAATCCCTTTCCTCATATGTTGAGGTTAGGACTCTATCAAATATTCTGTACTCTGCCCTTGGGTTTTTACGTCCAAGATGCATTATCTTGCACTTATCCACATTAAATGTCAGTTGCCACAATTCTGACCATTTTTCTAGTTTACCTAAATCATTTGTCATTTGGCTTATCCCTCCTGGAACATCAACCCTGTTACATATCTTAGTATCATCAGCAAAAAGACATACCTTACCATCAAGACCTTCTGCAATATCACTAATAAAAATATTAAAGAGAATGGGTCCAAGTACAGATCCCTAGGTACCCCACTGGTGACAAGTCCAAGCTTCGAATATATTCCATTAACTACAAACCTCTGTTGCCTGTCACTCAGCCACTGCCTTACCCATTCAACAATATTGGAATCCAAACTTAAAGATTGCAGTTTATTGATAAGCCTTCTATGTGCAACAGTGTCAAAAGCCTTACTGAAATCTAGGTAAGCAATGTCTACTGCACCACCCTGATCTATAATTTTAGTTACCCAATCAAAAAAATCAATAAGATTAGTTTGGCATGATCTCCCTGAAGTAAACCCATGTTGTCTCTGATCTTGAAATCCATGTGTTTTTAGATGTTCAGCAATCCTATCCTTTAACATGGTTTCCATCACTTTCCCCACTACTGAAGTAAGGCTTACTGGCCTATAGTTGCCCGACTCCTCCCTATTACCTTTCTTGTAAATGGGCACAACATTCGCTAACTTCCAATCTTCTGGGACTACTCCTGTTAACAATGATTGGTTAAATAAATCTGTTAATGGTTTTGCTAGTATACCACTAAGCTCTTTTAATAGCTTTGGGTGTATTCCATCAGGTCCCATTGACTTATTTGTCTTTACTTTTGACAGTTGAAATAGAACCTCTTCCTCTGTAAACTCACGTGTAATAAATGACTAATTTATCCTTTTTCTCAACTGAGGTCCCTTTCCTTCATTTTCATCTGTAAATACAGAACAAAAATATTCATTGAGGCAGTCAGCCTAGACCTTTATCCTCTTCTACATACCTTCCTTCTTTTGTTTTTAATCTAACTAATCCTTGTTTTACTTTTCTTTTCTCATTTATGTATCTAAAAAATGTTTTATCCCCCTTTTTTACTGACTGTGCTATTTTCTCTTCTGTGTGTGATTTGGAAGCTCTTATAACTTGCTTAGCCTCTTTCTGCCTAATCTTATAGATCATTTTGTCTTCCTCACTCTGGGTTTTTTTATAATTCCTAAATGCTAACTTTTTGTTTTTAACTATTTTGGCCACATCTGCGGAGTACCACAGTGGTTTCTTGAATTTTTGCTTTTACTGACAAGCCTAATGCAATTTTCTGTTGCCTTCAATAGTGCAACTTTTAAATAATCCCATTTCTCTTGGACTCCATTTAAATTGCTCCAGTCTGATAATGACTCCTCTACACATATTCTAATTTTAGAAAAGTCTGTTTTTCTAAAGTCTAAAACTTTTTTTTTTGTGTGGTGTGACTCATTCACTGTTCTTATAGTAAACCACACTGACTGATGATCACTGGATCCTAAACTTTCACCTACAGTAATATGATACCAAATCTCCATTTGTTAACACTAAATCTAGTATGGCCTCTTTACGAGTTGGCTCCTCAAAGAAAAGCCTGTACCTGGAGTATGGTTCCATTAAATCCTGCTGTAGCCAGGCAAAACACTGCCTATCATTGCATACAGTCATGCAGACACATAGTACTTCCTTACACCATACAAATATAGGTATACTTGATGTGCTTGGGTTGCTGTGATGCCTTATTTTGTTTTATGAAACTACTTGAAAATTGTTTGACAAAAATCAGAAGGATTCTACGCATAGACTTCTAGCACAATATCCACATCTACAATAATCTGTAGTTTTTATGGTGTTTAGCAAACTTATTTTCAAAACATTTATTCGGGTGTTTGTGAATGTTTTGTTTTTTATCGCCATGACGTAATTTGTCAGTAATAAGTCCTGCATCCATATAAATATGTTCCAGGGTTTCCATATTTACACACACAACCTTGAAGAGGACATTTTTGCTTCTTGTGTCCCCTTTAACTTAGCTGTTATGGTGTCTATAGCATGTCACTGCAGATGTATCACTGTAAACACTGCCTTTTCAGAGAAACCGCAGTGTTTACATTACTGCCTATGGACACCTACAGTAGCAGTCACTCAGAAGGCCACTAGAGGTGCTTCCTTGGTCAGTGCTGCACAACGTGTGCATGCAGACGCTGAGCTTTCCTCAGAGATGCATTGATACACCATGCATCTCTATGAGAAGATGCTGATTGGCCAGGGTGGCATATGGCTCTGCCCCCCACCCCACCTCCTTGGCTGAGATCATCAGAATTGACCATCTCAGCCAATAGGAAAGAATTGGATTGGCTAAAATTGTCCGTTTTGATGTGCCATTGAGACAGATTGAGGGCAGAGTCAGTGCTGGCAGACCCGTGCAGCACTACAAAAAAATGTAAGTTTAAAGGGGGGTAAGGGGCTAATATGTTGTTTTTAACACTAGGGTCGGGAATACACATATGTGTTCCTGACCCTATGGTGTTCCTTTAACATTTAAAATAGAAGAAAACAACCTGGCAGATTATCAGGCCTGATTATCAGGTCTTTGCATTCAATATGAAGTGTAACAAAAATGCCTCAATATTTATAAAGAATGTTAACTAATACCCTTTTCGTCTTCATTCAGAGCATCAGCTTGGAAGAATTTAAAAATTTTTATAAGTTCATGAATAACCTGGAGGATTTCTCCATCACAGTGAAAATGTTCAGTGTGGCAAACAGAGCTGTGAAGTTAGGTAAGTGTTCAATATCATAAAATGAATTTGCTTTGGAAAGACACAATGGTGTCAGACTACATATTTGATTTAAAGATTCAAGATTGCAGGATATTATACACTCAAACAAACGGTAAAGTATACACACTATACAAAGTGGAAATAAAAACCATCTATTAGGGAGAAGTCCCAGGTGTACTTCACTAACACCTAAAACACATATAGTTAAAAAGACAAAAGTGGGAGGATATTATACACTGCCTGGCCAAAAAAAAAAGTCACCACCTGGATTTAACTAAGCAAATAGGTAAGAGCCTCCTATTGGATAGTTACTGCATGGGCTATTTTCTTTCAGCTGGCAACAAGTTATTTAACCCCAACTGATGTAATTAGTAGCTTCTCATTTTTTAAGCAACCATGTCGAAAGACAAATCCCGTGGTCGTGGAAAAGATGTTAGTCTGTTTGAGAAGGGTGCAGTAGAGAAAACATCCAACGAGATTGCAGAAACTACTAAAATTGGGTTAAGAACTGTCAAATGCATTATTAAAAACTGAAAGAATAGTGGGGAACCATAGTCTTCGAGGAAGAAATGTGGTCGGAAAAAAATCGGATTGATCGTGATTGGCGATCACTTAAACGTTTGGTGAAGTCAAATCATAGAAATTTAATAATAGTAAAAGTAAGAGCATATCCACACGTACAATGCAAAGGAAACTCAAAGGATTGGGACTAAACAGCTGTGCAGCCTTAAAAAAAACCACTAATCGGTGACACTAATTGGGGGGGGAAAAGGCTTCAATTTGCTAGGGAGCATAAAGATTGGACTCTGGAGCAATGGAAGACGATCATGTGGTCTGCTGAGTCCAGATTTACCCTGTTCCAGAGTGATGGGCACAACAGGGTAAGAAGAGAGGCAGATGAAGTGATGCACCCATCATGCCTAGTGCCTACTAAGCAAGCCTGTGGGGGCAGTGCTATGATCTGAGGTTGCTGCAGTTGGTCAGGTCTAGGTTCAGCAACATTATGTGCCCAAAGAATGAGGTCAGCTGACTATCTGAATATACTGAATGACCAGGTTATTCCATCAATGGATTTTTTTCTTCCCTGATGGCACGGGCATATTCCAAGATGACAATGCCAGGATTCATCTGGCTCAAATTGTGAAAGAGTGGTTCAGGGAGCATGAGACATCATTTTCACACATGGATTGGCCACCACAGAGACCAAACCTTAACCCCATTTTGCATCTTTGGGATGTGCTGGAGAAGGCTTTGCGCAGTGGTCCAACTCTCCCATCATCAATACAAGATCTTGGTGAAAAATGAATGCAACACTGGAGGGAAATAAATTTTGTGACATTGCAGAAGATTATCGAAACAATGCCCCAGCGAACGTGTGCCGTATTCAAAGCTAAAGGCGGTCCAATGAAATATTAGAGTGTGTGACCTTTTTTTGGGGGCCAGGCAGTGTGTTTTTTTGTGAGAGAAATTAAAACATCTCTTGTATCACCCCTTTATTTAGATTCCAAAGCTGTTAAGAATAGTGCAAGTTGTTAAAATGCACAGGGTTCATCCTTGGTTACTTACAGCCACATGGTATGAAAAGAACATTGGAAACAAAGTCATCCACATATTAACCACAAGGTGCTTAGCCAAAATGACAACCTCCAAGCAGTAATCCAACAAAGAATGAGATCCAGGAATGTGCATTATTTCAAAGAAGATATAATGGAGTAAAGTGTAACTCAAGAACAGCAGTGTTTTGACCCCTATCCGAGGTCTTAATGAAAACCTTGCATAAGTGTTGAAACGTTGCTAAAGCACACACAATCAGAATTTCTAATTGTGTGTACTTTTCCCAAAAAAGGAAAATTTAATGACTATAGTTTTTAATAACATAACAGAAACTTAAATGGTGAAATTGCTCATTTGGTTATTGCTTTAACTATGGAACCTATTAAAACCTCAGGAATGCATATTCAATTCTTAAAGTAGATATTTTAGCTTTTAATCCTTTGAGTTTAACAAATAAGCACTATTAAGTTGGGCAGCATAAAATGTCCCATACGTGAACTAAATAAGTCTCAATGTGGCCATCCTAAAGCATATTGTATATGTTGACAGATATATATTAATTACTGGACTTGTCTTGTTATACCAGTTTCCATAACAATTGTGTAGACTATGAAAGTGAAGTTGGCTCTATTCATTTATTTTATTATCTTTTATTAGCGGAGTTCAAAAGGGCTGTCAAGGTGGCAACAGGCCAAGAATTGTCAAACAATGTTCTGGATACGGTCTTCAAGATTTTTGATCTTGATGGGGATAACTGCTTGAGCCATGGAGAATTTCTAGGTGTTTTGAAGAACAGGCTTCATCGAGGCTTAAAGGTAATATTAGATATGTAATTAATGGTAATGATGAGCTTATAGTAACATCCCCAGGATATTGGGCAAAAGTAACATCCCCCAGGACGTACTTAGAAACCAGAGTAATCTGAATGTACCTTTCCTGGTTAAATACTTTGTTGTTGTTATTATAGACAAGGTCCACACATTAAATGGAAATTAGAGCTAAAAAGCAGATTGTATTTATAGGTCTCTGTGTTGGAAAAACATGCTTGTGGTACAGTTTAAAAAATTGGCAAAACACATTTTCTCACGCCCTCTTAAAAGCACACTAATACAGTGGTTTTGGTGCATAGAACCGGTCTCTTTTCTCTGACAATGTAAGACATGTAAGAGTTTACACTTCCAGTGGCTGTCAGACAAACAGCAGTTAGAAGCGCTTGCTTATGAAGAGCTTCACTTTCAGCAGCATCCTGCCCAGCTTGATGACTCTGACCCCTGTTTTTCTTAGAGAAGCATTGAATTGACAACATGCTGCACATGCACAATATGTTTCTAATGCTTCTCTATGATAAACATTGAATTGGACTGAGATAATCACAATGCAGCTGCAAAGAGGAGGCTGTCCTGGAGCTAAATTACAATTACATTTTAATTGGAGTTTTTGGGGGTGTGGGGGGGTGCATTTATTCCATCAAGATGACAGTAATCGATATTAATAAAGGAACATGTGGTGGAACCAGCCTCACCACTGGGCATTGGAAAAGACTGATTGCCAGCCTCCTGCCATGTGACTATGGCCCCTGGGATGTATTGCCTGCTCTCCTGTACTGCTGAGGTTTGCTACCAACTAGGTGGATTTGGCTATGGAGCTTGTCTAGTGACCTCTTTTGGTAGCAACAGCAATATGCACTACCTGAATAGCAAGACTGGTTCATTTGCATATTCGGGTAGATTTGCATATTGCTAATTCTGCAGGCACGTGAGATATTTTCTGTTAATTATTGTCTACCCCACCTCTTTAAAAATATGCCATTGTGTTATAATAAGTCACTGTATGTTGCCTGCTATGCTTTGACTGTTTGTGATTTTATTGAGTTTTCACAGCAATGTTAATGTAATGACCATATGGGCTAGTCCCAAGTAAAATAAAGTTTTAGACAGTTCTTCTTTACCCAAAGATAAATGAAGATAGGGAGTACAAGCGCTTCTATGTATAGTTTTAAATTAAGATTATACCAAACAAATTTAATGTGAGCTGCTATACCACCGTGCTTATCTTTCTATCGAAAAATGGTGGAAAAGTGAGAGGTATCGGTGTAGCGCTCTATAGTAGTGGATGTGTAGAAATGAATAAAAGCAAACCTTGCTATACCTTGATGGGTTATATATACTTATAAATCGTCCCAATGTTTTCAGGTTTACCTTAAATAAAAAACACAAATATACAGAACATAGTGTAACCTGTATACAAAATGTAAATAGAAATAAAGTGCATAGGTAACTAACTCACACTTTTCTGAGCTAATGTACTAGCTCAGGTATATGCGCCTTAGGGTCCGTAGAGGCGACCCTTCCCCTCCTTTTCGTCCAAATTTTCTCCAGGTGCAGTGTCCTAGGTAATAGGTATAGGAGGAAAGAATAGCGTAGTACAGTCTGATGTATGTAAGGTATATTCAATAAATAATACCAATATACTCACAAACCCTGAGCCAATATATCGGCTCGCTTCATAAGATGTATGTGGTTAAGGACCACATTCCTTCTTTATAGTAGCAGGTAGGAATAAAAGCCGTAAGTGTAATAAAAATATATATATAATTTATTGTATAAAAAGTATAACATAAATATAAAAGATACTATATCGATAAAATCAACACTTGTGGCTATAGTTCAAAAGACAATTTTGTCTGCTCACTGTTCATCCAGGACGCGTTTCACCAAATTGGCTTCCTCAGCTGGAAAAAATGTTCATGAGACTTCAAGGACTCCTTCCTGCTTTTATATCCAGTTAATTGAGGCTTATAGCTTGTATTTTTCGCGGGCAATCTCCATGGTAACGGAGATGCCCTGTATTTCAAGCCTCTTTTTCGTCCGGTTACTTCCGGAAGCGATCATACCCAGAAGTAACCGGACGAAAAAGAGGCTTGAAATACAGGGCATCTCCGTTACCATGGAGATTGCCCGCGAAAAATACAAGCTATAAGCCTCAATTAACTGGATATAAAAGCAAGAAGGAGTCCTTGAAGTCTCATGAACATTTTTTTCCAGCTGAGGAAGACAATTTGGTGAAACGCGTCCTGGATGAACAGTGAGCAGACAAAATTGTCTTTTGGACTATAGCCACAAGTGTTGATTTTATTGATATAGTATTTTTTATATTTATGTTATACTTTTTATACAATAAATTATATATATATTTTTATTACACTTACGGCTTTTATTCCTACCTGCTACTATAAAGAAGGAATGTGGTCCTTAACCACATACATCTTATGAAGCGAGCCGATATATTGGCTCAGGGTTTGTGAGTATATTGATATTATTTATTGAATATACCTTGCATACATCAGACTGTACTACGCTATTCTTTCCTCCTATACCTATTACCTAGGACACTGCACCTGGAGAAAATTTGGACGAAAAGGAGGGGAAGGGTCGCCTCTACGGACCCTAAGGCAAATATACCTGAGCTAGTACATTAGCTCAGAAAAGTGTGAGTTAGTTACCTATGCACTTTATTTCTATTTACATTTTGTATACAGGTTACACTATGTTATGTATATTTGTGTTTTTTATTTAAGGTAAACCTGAAAACATTGGGACTATTTATAAGTATATATAACCCATCAAGGTATAGCAAGGTTTCCTTTTATTCATTTCTACGCATCCACTACTATAGAGCGCTACACCGATACCTCTCACTTTTCCACCATTTTTCGATAGAAAGATAAGCACGGTGGTATAGCAGCTCACATTAAATTTGTTTGGTATAATCTTAATTTAAAACTATACATAGAAGCGCTTGTACTCCCTATCTTCATTTATCTTTGGGTAAAGAAGAACTGTCTAAAACTTTATTTTACTTGGGACTAGCCCATATGGTCATTACATTAACATTGCTGTGAAAACTCAATAAAATTACAAACAGTCAAAGCATAGCAGGCAACATACAGTGACTTATTATAACACAATGGCATATTTTTAAAGAGGTGGAGTAGACAATAATTAACAGAAAATATCTCACGTGCCTGCAGAATTAGCAATATGCAAATCTACCCGAATATGCAAAGGAGGGGAAGGGTCGCCTCTACGGACCCTAAGGCGCATATACCTGAGCTAGTACATTAGCTCAGAAAAGTGTGAGTTAGTTACCTATGCACTTTATTTCTATTTACATTTTGTATACAGGTTACACTATGTTCTGTATATTTGTGTTTTTTATTTAAGGTAAACCTGAAAACATTGGGACTATTTATAAGTATATATAACCCATCAAGGTATAGCAAGGTTTCCTTTTATTCATTTCTACACATCCACTACTATAGAGCGCTACACCGATACCTCTCACTTTTCCACTAGTTCTTCTTTACCCTTCAAAACGTAGCCTCGTCTCGTTATTGGAGGGAACTGCTATAATCACACTGGGGATTGCTATGCTCTGCATACTCCCTTGAGCTTTAATCACTTAGCTCTTTTAAGAGCTTGTTCCTGGTACACTCTCCTGGAGGAGAGGTCTTCCCCACACGGTCCTGAGGACAGAACAGCGAGACTCCAGTTAAGCTACGGCGGTCCAGTGCGGTGCTTGTGGTCCTTGACGCAGGCTCGGAGGCATCCATCAACGGAAGGTACTTGGTCGGAGTACGGGGAGTTCTGTGACAGAAGACCCTAAAGCTTTTTCCCCTGCCCTTTATCTTACTTTCTTTCTGAATGCTTGTTTTTAGTTTTCCGTAATTTTGTTCTTTTCTCTCCTTTCTCAGTGTTCATTCACTCATTCTCCAGGCATTACTGTCACATTTTAGCCCTGGTAGTAAGACCAGGCGAAGTAGCCTAGTAATTAAGCATTCCAGAAATATGTTTGGCACACAGATTTCATCACCACGCTCAATACACAATGGCCAATCCGTATTCAGACGCTCAAGTAATAAACTGGATTCATTAAAAAGCCCATAGACCCCAAACAAAATATTTCAATGTAGGTGTGAAAGCCTGCTAAAAGGAACACTCGAGAAGTCTGTCATATTTGTGACCGTTTATGAAAGTGCTAATTTACATAGAAGTCAGCACTTTGCTGTAACACCCTCCCTGGTTGTCAATCAACAGCCAGGAAATTTTCTTCCACTTACCTTTGCTCCAAAGTGTACTACAGTTCAGTGAAAAGCCTCTGATTGGTGCATTTCCTGGTACAGTTCTCCAGTTTTTTAATACACGCTCAAAGAAACCCTGAAGGGAAAAATGCATGCAAGAGTATGTCTCATCTAAATCTTGTTCTTTTTCAGCCTTTCTAACTTGTTAATACTTACCTTCCTCACATTTGTCTTCTGTCCATACTGCCCATCACTGATCTCTCCTTAAAAGCTACAGCTAATGGAAGTGGTCTGGGTGCAGTGCCTCTATTGCATTAGTGCTGCAATGTAAAACATTGCAGTTCCACTGGGGGCGCTTCTGGAATGTAAACAGACTTTTGGTCCGTTATCTGACAATGGACAAACTCGCGCTCTCCATGAGGACCTCTGGCATCAGATATTTCCCATAGGAAAGTATTGAATAATGCTTTCCTATGGAGAGATCTAATGCGCGCGTGGCCATTGTGGCACATGCACATTAGGTCTCCCCCGTCTGCTGACGGCGGGGGAGGAGCGTGGGCGGAGCATGACCTACCTCGGAGGGATATCGGTGCTGGATTCATGTAAGTGGCTGAAGGGGTTTTTACCCCATTCAGGCCCGCGGGAGGGGGTAACCTATTAGACCTATGGTGTGGCAACCGCTTTGTTTTCCTGGCACTTTAATGTTGTATGTTGGAGGTCTCCGTTTCCTCATTCATTTTTCTTTCTTCCATTCTTTTGGCCTTTTATGTCCCATGAGGTTTTAAATATTAATATAATTGCATGGTTAAAATCAACTCTTTTTATTAATGCCTTTAACTGTACTGTAGAGGTGCTTCTTTAATTGAAATATTCTTTAAACTGCATTATAGTTAATGCATACCTCCCAACATTTTAAATTGACAAAGAGGGCACTTTAATTTTAGGGGAGTGTGTGGCCATGGGCAGGGCTGCTCTGAGAGATTTGAGCTGACTTACTAATAATTTCTGCAACTGAAATGTAATTTATAACAAGAACAATGTATCTCATTTACACAGACTGATTTATAAACACATTTATTGTAGTTTAAAGGATCACTATAGGGTCAGGAACACAAACCTATATTCCTGACCCTATAGTGTTAAAACCATCATCTAGCCCCCTGGTTCCCTCTTGCCACCCTAAATATAGTAAAATATTACTTGTATTTAAGTCTTCAGTTGCTACCTCTGCCCTTGTTTGCCTCTGAACTGCCTCTGTCTACTGACATCATCAGAAGTAGTGGTCTGAGCCAATAACAATGCTTCCCCATAGGATTGGCTGAGACTGTCAAGGAGGCAGATCAGGGGCAGAGGCAACACAAGTCAAACACAGCCCTGGCCAATCAGCATCTCCTCATAGAGATGCATTGGATCAATGCATCTCTATGAGGAAAGTTCAATGTCTGCATGCAGAGGGAGGAGATACTGAATGTTTGGATGCATTTTAGACAGCCATGACCCAGGAAGCATCTCTAACAGCTATCTGAGGAGTGGTCAGTGAAGTTATCACTAGGCTGTAATGTAAACACTGCATTTTCTCTGAAAAGACAGTGTTTACAGCAAAAGGCTTGAAGGTAATGATTCTACTCACCAGAACAAATGTAATAAGCTGTAGTTGTTCTGGTGACTATATTGTCCCTTTAAAGACACATCACTGTAAGTATTATTGCTGTAGAGCTCTGTAATACACTCAGACACACCAGCAATACGGAGCTCTAGAAACTGGGGACCTTAGGTAGGAAAAAGGGGGCAGATGGATTTGGGCCCAAAATAGGAACTGTCCCTCCTAAACAGTGAAACTGTGTGTAAATGTAGTCCACAACAACTGCACTCTCAGAAATTGACCAGCTGTATTCTTGCCAGTGTAATCACTAAGCCTTTGTATTCTGATGCCTGATATAAATATAACAAGGTGGTTGCTCAGAACTAGTAGGAATGTGTTTTCACACAGATACGTATTTTTTCATACAAAGCAGACTATCATTCTCTAAATATTATTGTCTGCTTCTCTGACACACAGGGTATATATTTTTGTTTTGTTGTGGGTTTTTTTTCCTTTATCATATCATTTCTATCCTCCCTCTGATTCTCTCTCAAACTTCTCCCATGTCTTAATTTCCCGCATTGCCTTCAGGATGTTACTGGCAAGTTCACATCTCCTCTGGTTTAGACTACCTTATCTCTGAATGAGAACATGCAGAGCCCAGCTGCAGGCTGTAATCTGTTCTGATGGCTTGGACTTTTATAAATGCACATGTGATTTTGAAATCTCGTAATGTCTTTTCTTGGATGGTGTTTGAATTTGTATTTTTTTAAGATCAAATGAAAGAATACTGTATTTGCTTCCATGATGAAGTTTTTTCCATATCCTGTAGAAATGACACAAACCACACACGTTTCAATCATACTTTTTGTTTTAATAGTATAATTCTAACAAGTCCACAGTTTATATACTTTCTTCTTTTTTTCCCCCCCCAGCATGTCCCACAACAGCAAGGTTTTCAAGGATACTGGAAGTGCGTCAAAAGGGAATCCCTAAAAGGAGCAAATGAAGTTCTGACACAAAGTGGAAAGAGTCCATTTTAATGTGTTTGAAGGGACCAGTTTTCCCTGTCTATCAGGGCATGTATCACTTTGCTGCTTTGGTTTTTCATGTGGTTTTGTTTACATATTAATCTTTAATGTTTACTTGTGTTTACCAGCATGCATCTCAAACGCCATCCGTTATCCATCATGCCAAAACCATGTATATACATCTAGCAGATGATTTAATTCACTTTAAATGTGTTCCTTTAAATGTAATTGAATACAATATGTTGGCTTTCCTGCTGCCAGGTATTTCAGTGTATTCATGTGACATCTAATAAATCATTTAAAAAATGGTGGTGGTAAGGGCAGCGGAGGAAACTGCAGGCACTCAAGTCTACCATCTAGAGCCAGGTTCTCATTGGCTCTGAATCAGGTGAGCACTATCATAATCACTGTCTGTGCACTACCTATTATATACATAGTACACTAGGAGGTCTTCCTCCTTTGTTTTTTCTCTTTTTTCTTTGAGGAAATTTACTCCAGTTAAAGGGTGCAGTGTCTCCATACGATACTAATGCTGAAGAGATTTGAGCCTGTCCTTTTATGAGGCTCTAATCCATGTGAGTTTGACTATTGATATATTATCACAAGATTTCTTCTACTCACGGATTTACACTATATTGTGTTGTATTTCTCTGTTTTATTTGCATGTACATATATACATCTGAAATTGAACCCTAATTAAGGGTAAGTGTGATTGTTCAGCGCTCCACTCACTTGACTAGTACGGTCTGGATTTTTATCCAGTCCATACTGGACTCACTGTGTTTTTGTGTGCTATAGTTTGAATAGTAATGGAAAAATAAATTAAGAATACTACAAAGTAGGGATTTTTCTTTTAATTGTTGGCAAAGGAATTTTGCACTGTATGCAAGATATAATAGTGTATATGTTAACATTAAAGGGCTACTCCAAGCACCATGACCATTTTAGTGTTTTGAAGTGGTCATGGTGCCTGGAGGGGGGCATTTTTGGGCATAATCATAGAAATTTTGCATATTGTTTATCACTTTCATTTTGTCATTCAATATTTAACTGTCAAGCTGTCACATGTTCAGATAAACTTTAGTCGTGCCTTTAAGCAGAACAGTTTTTACATATAGTGTGGCACAACTAGACATCACTACCCTGCATGAGTAGGTTACTTTTTACTAATGCGTAGTAATCAGTAGAAGAGAATGCCCCTCACTGTGCCGATGATTGGATAGTAAGATGTTTGCATATGGCAGCATGTATGCATGCATTAAAAACCCTACACACCACTCTAACAGATGTATTACTGCTACATATAAATAAACACATGGCACAACCAGATGGCTTACCCCTGTGAAAATTCTTATTTTGGGTTAATTGGTACAGTTGTATGGCTAATTTTGGTATGTATGATAGTGCCGCTAGATGATTATATGTCGCTTATTGAACATATGGCAAATTCAACTTACAGCCATTGAATAGCCTATTGTCCCATCCCCCATTTACGTGAATTATGACCACGTTTCCTTTATTTAAAATTCAAGCTCCATGTGACAGACTGCAACTCATATCCAGACTTGTGGTACATCTAACTTCTTGAGCAACTCTAGAGATTGTTAAACCATATCCTCTAATACTGCATGCATTGTCAGACGGTGTAAATCACCTGCTTCTATATCACATAATGCCACTCAGGAACATGTTTAGTTACATTGTCTTGTGCTGCCCTGGTTCCGCCATCTTGATATGTACTGGATTTAATGATGATTTATTGCTGTTGTCATGAAAGTTGTTTTTCCATCTTTCTGTCCACCACTATTTTATGAGAGCCGTGGAGCCTGCACCTGCTCCTTAGAAATGTCTGGCAAAGTTCTAAAGGTGGAATAATCACCAAAGGAACCATTGGAATGTTCCTTCGAGTTGCTCCACTTTGAAACTTTTACCCTGAACTTGTATTCCTTTGCACATGAAAACACATCTTATCTCATTTATTGCTGGGTTATCTTGGGTCTATGTGTAATTTATAGTATTCGATCTGGGCAGCAGGAAACCAACATGCTTACTTTAAATTTAGTAAATCTTTCTCATTTCGTTAAATTGTAACTTTACAGAATGTATGACATGGTTCTCTCTAAGCCCTATAGTAAGATTGTCTCACTGCTGGCATGTTTCAGTATTGTATGAGTGGCCTTTTTTTTTTACAATTTGCGTAAATTAAGGGTGTTGGTTTAATATATACATGCAAAGCAAATATTTTCTACTGTAATCTATAAATTTCTATAATTTTCTAATATTTTTCTGGAAAAAAAATAAACATTTAATGAAATCAAGACTGTGTCACTTATTTTGTTACAGTAACTGCAGATGGTTTTTATTCCTAAACTATTGTTGGTCCATTTTACTTTTCCCTAACCCTTTCTAATTGTGATAGTGTTCTAAAATGTACAAGTATTTATAGAAATGTTTGACCACACGTTTCTCAGTTGCATCTAGACAGTGCCTCTTTTAGGCCAACACCACAATAGGGATGATGTTCCTTTAGAATCAATGGATGAACCTATGACTTGATTAGAAGAACCACTGTGTAATATGTTTTAATATGCTCTGGTTTTGTTTACATCACCATTTTTCTCTTCTAATTTATTGTGCATATGATTCGTTCTGATTGGTCTATTCACTAAAGTGAGAATTGCTAGGAATTCAAAGGGAATTTAGAAATTTAGGACGAAATCGCTGATTTAGAAAAATGATTCAAGTTTGTTTGGTTTTCATCTTGACTAATTTAGTCTTACATTTATAATTCACTTTGAATATCCAGGAATTTTCACATTAGTAACTAACCCGGTCTTACATCCTGCTTTTTCCATTTTTAAATGCCGCGTTTACTCTTGCCCTACTTACATGGTTATAATTATTGCTGCATTCTTAACCATCTTGAAAGCTCTGTCTTTTTACCTTTCACCCTCCATCATTTCTTTCCCTCTTCAATTCCATTGGTGTTTTACCTACTGCTCTCCAGTTGGTGAGTACAAAAATGATCTGTCCACTTAAAGGGCAGTGCCATCTTAACAGCATTATAGACCCCTAGGCAACGTAGTGCACTGTGGCCCCTACCTGCACAACAACTCACAGGAATGAAATTTTAAATTATCGACAGACTGCTTAGTAAACACACATACACTGCTGAATACACACACCGACTGCAGAGTACACACAGACTGTGTACTCAGCAGTCTGTCTGTGTGTATACTCAGCAGTCTGTCTGTGTGTATACTTGTCACATATTCATCTGCACATAAAAATGTGATTAATTAAATTTACTGTTTAGACAGGAAAAGTTGTGCCGAGCAATATTACTGTCCTGACAGGAAAAGTTGTGCCAAGCAGCAATCACTCCACAGGAGGGTTTGTGCTGAGCAGCAATCATGCAAATAGGAACCTGCTTGCTGCCTTTGAGGTCAAAGGCCGATTAGAGCCTATCAGATCTAGAGGAGGGGTATTTAGGCCCAGTTCTGCTCTTGCTCAGTGCCCTGTCGTGGTTTCCTTTGTGGTTGTCCGAGAGCGCGTTATTGATTCTGGTAATTCTGGTTATTTGACTTTGGCATTGTTTTTGACTTCCCTGTTTTCTGGCATCCCTGACCTCTGGCTTTTCCTTATCGTTGTGTCTCTTTCTGTATCCCTTGACCTCGGCTATTTCTGACTATTCTTTGGTACGTTAGTCCGGCCATTCTAAGGTCCGGTATACGTTACCTATCAGTCCTCTGTGTTACACAATTCTACGTGCTGGATCATACTGTAATCCTGACAATACTCAGCGGTCTGTCTGTGTGTATACTCAGCGGTCTGTCTGTGTGTATTCAGCAATCTGTGTGTATAATCGGCACACACATTGACTGCTGAATACACATACACACGCACTGCTGAATACAAACGCAGACTGCTAAATACACACATAGACTTCAGTGAGGGGTGCAGAGGGTGTTAGAGGTGCTGTGTGGGGGGATGCAGTGTGTGTGTGTGAGGAGTGCATAAGGTTAAGAGAGCATATGTATAGTTATAAAAAATAAAAAAGCCATTAGTATAAATATGTGTCTTTCCCCCCTGCCTCCCCTTCTTCTTACATTTATCCAGGGAGGGGTACACACTGCCCTGGTGGTTCAGTGGTTATTGGTGCTGTTTAGCCTGCAGTTCTTCTGGCTGCAGGTTTCCTGTACTCCTGCGAGGTGAATGCTTTGTCGGAGCAACACTCCAATCAGCATGCTCGCGGGAGGAACTTCTTCACAGCTCCCTCCTCCATCCCTGGGTCACGGACAAAGGGCCTCTAAGATCCTTGATCTACTCACCAGCCCGCGAGGGCCCAAAGCAACTGAGCAGGGACGGCTCTCCGTGGGCTGGCAGGGGATATCAAAGGAACTCCCCTGTCTGCCTGCAAACATGTGCCCATGCAGAAAGACGGCCCTGCTAAAGGGGTACTATGGTCACCAAAACAACTTTAGCTTAATGAAGCCATTTTGTGTATAGATCATGCCCCTGCAGCCTCACTGCTGAATTAGCTGCCATTTTGGCAAAACACAAATTCATTGTGCAATAAAATGCACATACAAAAGGAATGAAAATTAATGCAGATCAGCAGGAGAAATCTATTTTCATTACTTGTGTGCATGCATTTAAGCAAGCTTGGTTAAATCACTAATAAATGTGTGTGTAGTATATATTCCATTACATTTGTTATTGCGCTATAATTTATTTATAACATATCTTACCAGGAAGGATTCTTTGAGATTTCTCTTGTTTTCAAGTATTTCCAGGGTCCACAAAACATTGTATTGATACAATAGGGTACAATAAAATACAAAAACAATATTAATACACAAAATATACAAAATTTAGCATAGAACAGCTAGGAAATATATAATCAAACATGACAGGTGCATTCTGTTTTGAGATATGTAGAGAGGGATCTCTTAAAGGACTTTAGGCCTGGGGAAGATTTGAAAGTGTGCGGGAGGTCGTTCCATAATTGCGGTGCTCTGTAGGAAAAGGAGGATCGGGCTGCTTTCTTTTTATATTGAGGTAGACTAAAGTGCTGGTACTGGATGGGAGATTATAGGAGGTGGGAACAGCCAAGGAGAGCATTCTGCTCAAGTAGGCAGGAGCTTCCCAGAAAAGCTATTAAACACAAGGCTGGAAAGATGAAGGGTGCGTCTGGATTCCAGCGACAGACAGTTTAGTTCTTTTAGCGTGTCACAGTGGTGGGTCCTGTAATTACATTGTAGCACAAAGCAGCAGAAAGAGTTATACAATGTATTAAGTTTATTAAGGTGGGTTTGCGGATCAATGACTGGCATCAGCATTTGCTGTACAATCTTTTCCTTTACTGTAGGGCTTAGGCAGGATTTGTTTCTGTACAGGGCACCTACTTTTAAATAAAGAGGGAGTTGCTGTCAGAAATGGACACATATTGTGATCGATCCGATACATATGATCGAAACCAGGTTAGCGGACGATCACGATCAGAGCTTCAACAGTATTGTTGGGATTTAAACAGGTCCAGACTGGTTTTTCTTTTTTAGATTATTATGGTGTTTCTTAGTGACCCTAATAGGTACAGGTCTAAAACTGTACTTGGGTCTTTGCAAATTTAATGGGGCCTGATCCACATTTGTAGTTTCAGGATGTCATTTATTAGCTTGGCGATCAGGGTCGTGGTAAATCCGACAAAAAAAATAGGGTTTGATATGTTATTGTTCAGAGTTTCACAGAAATATTGGGCCTTGGCCAATTTTGTTTGTTTTTGTTTGTTTTAGATTATCTACCGAATCCTCCACAATCAAGTCTATAACATACATTATTTTATTCTGGTATGTTCTGCTGAATTTATTTACTACTTTGTTTTGTATTTTCCCAGTTATGGTTAAAACACCCTTAAGTTTTGCAGCAGGACCCTATTTATGTTTGTGCTCACAACTAACTGGTGCCCCGTACTGGTTCTAAATGTTTAGCAGAGATACTGTTAGTAAGTAAACTGCATCTTACGGAATGCAAACACCACAGGGGTTACTAATAAGTACCAGGCAGGACATTGCACATTTCACTGTCCTAGGTTTTGACTTATTGGTTTCTGTGTTATTCGCATGTTTCTTTCAAAATACATTCATTGAGGTGTGTTTGTGTGATGTGATATCTATATTAGCCCTGAAAGAACATTCCTGTGATTAATAAAACTGTAATTACTTGACCAGTGTGCTCTTTGTTGACGTCAGGTGTGGCATTATTGACTGGGTGCTTTTAGGGAAAACTAGTAAGTAAACTGGTTTACCCAGTATGCAATTCCTTATTTTCTATCCTGTATATATGACCTTTTTGGGGTTTACAAAAATCCCATGTTTTCTATAGTTTATTACACATGTGCCGCTTGTTTCCCTTTAACATTTGTAATAGTTTGTCTGTAACTTTCTATAATATCTCGAACTGTAAATAATTCTAAACGTATATTTTTGTTGATGGAAAACTAACAAGGAAATTTAAATTTTTAATTGTAAATATATAATTTTTTTTTTTTTTTTTTTTACATTTTTATCTAAGCAAACTGCAGTATAGTTGGAATTACCACATGAATGTGTCAGTGTTCCAGTGAGGTGGCCATCTTGCAAATGTATTACAATTTTTAAACCTTCAATGACCAGTGACACAAAAGACTGCAAGGAAAATGTTTTTTTTAAACGGTTTAGAAATTATCAGCAAGATGAAATGGTTGTTTTTCAAATGCTATGAGATGGTTCATAGATCTGAGCCCGTGTAGAGTCATCCTATGTATTATAATAACTTTGCATGTCTGCCTCACACATGTATTATGAAATACTGCTCTATAGCTGTCCTAGCTTAGTGTGTCCCTGTTTCAGTTTAGATATAACAATATGTATTTTTAAATCCCCAAATTGGCAATTCTTCATGTAAAAATGTTGAATTCAATACAATTATTTTTTTATGGAACAATACCGGAGTACTTGGATGCAAATGTATCGGTCTCTCTTCAAGCAGTCCTAGTATATTTAGAAATAATTTAACACACAAAAAAGACCCTTTGTAGAGAATTGTCTTTCCTGCACAGAAGACACTAAACAAACACTAAAAATAATGAATAGACTGCTTATTAATTCCACATAAAGGGCACTATTGTATAGCTTGCAGAACAACTGTTGTAACATTGTGTTGATACAAGTGGCATTTGTAATATATGACCATTCCTGAATAGATGAGGCTCCGATCCAGTTGAATAGAACAAGTTGACATAATGCCTATTGAAATTTATTCTCACTTATTTTTGTTGGAAACAAATCAAATTATCAATAATCAAAAGATTACTGTTCAGGGATATATGGTGCCCTGTTGGTAGCAAATCTTCTAAAATTCTGAATAATAATAATAAGGCAGTTTCCTCCCTCTATCATATCTATATGATATCTATATTTACTCTCGCTCTCATACCAATAAACCACTTAACACTCTGATCCTCTACTAATAATGGGTATGGGACATGTATATGGGGAAAGGAGTCAACTTGTTTGATTACATTGCCAAGTCATTGTCAGGGTACCTGTTGGTGCTGAATCCAGGGAAGACATCCTCTCTGTTTAGGGGCTCCCTGCCCCTAGCATTTTCGGCATATTCCGGCCGTTTTCGCGCCGGCCGCGCTAGCTCCTCCCCCTTTTATGACGCGACGGCTAGCGTCGACGTCATGACGTCGGCATTTGCATAAAGTGCCGGGAACCGCTATTCCGGACCTTTTGGGGGCGTGGTCTCTATTTAGGTACAGGGTATTTAAAGGAAACCTTTACTACTGCTCATTGCCCTGTCGTGGTTCTAGCTTGCTAGTCACTCAGCGCGTTCTTTATCTTGTGTTTCCGGTTTTGACCCTTGCTTGTCTTTTGTCCTGTTGTCCTCTCCTCTCCTTTGACTCGGCTTGTATCTCGCTTACCTGTCCTCCGGCTCCCTCGACCTCGGCTTACCTTTTGACTATTCTTGCTTTGTCCCTACGTTAGTCCGGCCATTCTAAGGTCCGGTATACGTACCTCCTTCTGTCCGCACTCTGCGTATTGGATCCCTGTCAGTATCCTGACATTACGACAGGGCCATGATGGATCCTGCAGGTGCTAGTCCTCCTGACCCCAGATTTGAGGCCATGGACCATAGAATGGACCAAATGGCTTTAGCATTACAAACTTTGTTAACACGCTCCAGTACCCAGTCTGAAGAAATACGTTCCACTGCCAGCCACTCGCTAAGTACTGGTTTGGAAGTAGCCACTGTAGGCGCATCGTCCCATGTCACTTCACCATTACGATATGGGGGTTCGCCTGATGCTTGTCGTGGTTTTTAATAAATTCTTTATTTTTGAGTGCATAAGGAAAAATAACAGTTGCAAATGCGTGTGCCATGCCCCAACAGCATGTACCCGCGATATAGTGATAAACATCAATGTAGTAAAGCATGACAAGAGAATACAATGCACATTTTTATATATATAGTGACGTGAAGACTGTTTTTAAACTTAGATACTTGTGAGGTGAGAGATGAGAATGCAAGAAACAACATACTATGATAGATGGCCAGCATTACATACTGATTGCACATTTTAAAGTTTATGAAGAGTAGGAGACCGGTTAGTCCGAGCTGTCTATGCAGTAAGAAACAATCTGCAACCATATGCGAGATTATCATACTAGATTAAGCTGTGTTCCTACAATTTTTTTCACATTAGATACTGTTAACCAGATAATTAACTGTGGTTTATCTAAGACATTGTGGGAATAGCTGTCTTGACCCAATGGCGTGTAGGCAGATGAGTCGTCGATGCCTGTATTAGCTTAACTGCTTTAACAAGCGCAAACATTATCAACACAATTTTACAGTGTTACGGCAGGAGTGAGCTGAGCATTTTTAGTAAGTTAGTAATGCTAGACATAGCAGACGATCAACAAGCAAATTACAGTTTGCGAGCATGTGATGTGTAGCGATTAGCATTCTGTCGAATAACTAAACATAAGATAAACATAAAATAAGACCCCCCACTCGTCCCCCCAAGTAATCAAGGTAGGTTAGGACGGTCTCTACAGCAGAGGCTAAACGTTCAACTAAAGTACTTAGAGGTACTAGGCAATATGCACCTTGCCTGTCTTAGAGTCCCCGGCTTGATTCTCAAGTCAGCCGATGCCTTGCAGGGGCTGTGTATATCCACACTGTGCAGGTTGAGGCATCCAGCTCGGTAGCCCATGGGTTGAGGTGCGTATGGACCTTGTGCCGTGTGGACGTGATCTTGGTGGGGCATACGGAGTTAGTCTTGTGGTTGCGTGGCCTGTCTCCCGGACCGATCGCCACGGGAGGATCCGCCTGTGGCTGTCGATTCATAGGGCCTCGCGTCCCGCCGTTTCTCCAGCTTGTTCGAGCCCGCTTTGCCAATCCGGAGCTTGTGTCGCATCTCCGCTTGCAGGTGAGGTGGCCTTGGGCGCCCTCTCCTGGGTTTTCCTGGGTCTCTGGGTGCCGCCCCTGGTCTGCTGCTGCACTCTGTGGGGCTCCAGAAGCATGACCCCGAGATGGCTCCTTGTTGGTGCTTGCCTCTTGTGGGTTTATTTTCAGAGGGGGTTAGTGCTACCCTCTGACTGCCTCATGTAGGTTCTGTGGCAGGTCTGTGGGCAGATTCCCCGGCACCGGAGGTTGCATGTGGGCCTCCAGTTTCTCACAAAAAGAGGCAAAGATTTTATTTAACCGGCGCTCCGTTTCCAGCACTGCATTGCATGGGTCAGTAGCGTGAGAGGCATCCTCCATTTTGTTGGCCTTGTCCGTAGTAGGCCCGGGATTCTGTGTTGGTGTCATGTTACCAGTACTTTGCATGGGGTTCGAGTTTGGGTGGACCGAGATTACCCCGCCGGTCCGGGGGGGGGAGGAACTCAGGCTCCGGTTTAAGTTTTCGCCTTGTTGTGGCAGCAGGGGAGCAGCCGTCTCTCCTGCGCCTGCCTTGCTTGTAGGCCTCACCAGGGTGATGGGTGAGTATTGCTTGAACTGTCGCTTAAGTGGTGTCATTTTGTTCACTTCAATGTTCCCTGTTGGTTGGTGACATTGTTGTATCGGGTAGCCGCTGTTTTAGTCGCGATATTCTGCTTTGTTTGTTCTGGTGAGCAGGAGCTGCTAAGACATGCTTCCTCTCTGCTCTGCAGCCATGCCCCGCCCCCCCGCTTGTCGTGGTTTTTTAAACCAGATAAGTATACATTTCGAACTTCAACCCCGGGCTTACCCCACTGACAGGGCTAAGGTAGGCTTTATTATAACCCTGCTAATAGATAAAGCACTTAGATGGGCCAATCCCCTTTGGGAGAATGACAATCCTTTAGTCTACAACTACACTGCTTTTGTCACGGCTTTTAGAAGAACCTTTGACCCCCCAGGAAGGAAGATTAATGCGGCCAGATCCCTGTTACGCCTTAAACAACAGAATAGGACCCTTGTAGAATATGCTCTAGAGTTTAGATCATTGGCAGCAGAAGTGAAATGGAACGAACAAGCTTTTATGGATGTATTCTTGAATGGATTGTCTGATGAAATTCTAGATGAAATTGCCACAAGAGAACTTCCGGAAAATTTAGAGGATTTAGTATCCTTCATTTCCAGAATAGATGAACGCATGAGACAGAGGCAGAACACTCGGGAAAGAGTTACTAGACTTCCTGTAAGACTCGCTCCCTCATTTCAGAACCCTGACTCCTATAATCCTACTCCACCAGAACCTATGCAAATAGGTAATACTCGCTTATCTGAGGCTGAGAGACAGTACAGAAGAAGGGAGGGTCTCTGTTTATACTGCGGGCGGAGAGGTCACCTACGTCTTAGTTGCCCTAATCGTCCGGGAAACGCTCGCACCTAAGTTCCCTTAGAGGACGGGCCTTGGGTGTTTCATTACTGTCCTCTATGCATAATAAAAAAGACCATAGGCTTCTGATTCCTGTCTCTCTAGCTTGGGAAAAGGGGTTTATTTCTACGATGGCATTATTAGATTCTGGAGCAGCAGAAAGCTTTATAGACCAAACTTTCGCTAATAAGCATTGTATCCCATTCCAATTGAGAGATACACCCTTGGCCGTTGAGGCCATAGATGGTAGACCTTTATCTGAACCAGTAATATTCCATGAGACCGAACCCGTTAAGCTTACTGTTGGTATTTTCCACGAGGAGTTGATTTCCCTTCTGTTAATTTCCTCCCCGGCAGTCCCAGTAGTACTAGGATATTCTTGGCTCAAGAGACACAACCCTCAGATTGACTGGGAGGGTGGAGAAATCGTTTCTTGGGGTATGGGTTGTAGGAAAGCATGTCTGCAGAGAGTTACTTCTGTTTGCCCCGTAAACTCTTATGCTAACACTTCTCAATCCACTGACGTTCAGATACCACTACAATATCTAGACCTCAAATCTGTTTTTGACAAGGGTAAGGCGGATACTTTACCTCCCCACCGGTCTTATGACTGTTCTATTAAACTTTTCCCTGGTACTATGCCTCCCAGGGGTACGGTATACCCTCTATCCACCAAGGAAAACTTAGTTTTAGAGGAATACATCAAGGAGAATTTAGACAAAGGATTTATCAGAAAGTCTTCTTCTCCGGCGGGGGCAGGTTTCTTTTTTGTAGAAAAGAAAGACGGTACCTTACGTCCTTGTATAGACTATCGGGGATTGAACAAAATTACTATCAGGAATGCTTACCCTATTCCTTTGATTACTGAACTCTTTGACAGACTAAAGGGCTCGAGTATTTTTACCAAACTTGACTTGAGAGGAGCATATAACTTAGTGCGAATTAAACAAGGAGATGAATGGATGACAGCATTTAATACCCGTTACGGGCATTATGAGTATACCGTAATGCCGTTTGGGCTTTGTAACGCCCCGGCCGTCTTCCAAGACTTAATCAATGAAGTTCTTAGAGAATTCCAACATGAATGTGTAATTGTATATTTGGATGATATACTAATCCATTCTAGAGACATTAATTCACATCATAGACAAGTCAGAAAGGTATTACAGAAACTTTTACAACATGGATTGTATTGTAAATTGGAAAAATGTAGCTTTGACCAGTCTCAGGTAACTTTCTTAGGTTACGTAATTTCCAAAGACGGGTTTATGATGGACCCGACCAAACTAAAATCGATTTTAGATTGGCCTTTACCTAAGGGACTCAAAGCCATACAAAGATTTCTTGGATTTTCTAATTATTACAGACGTTTTATTAAAGGGTACTCCTCTGTTATCGCTCCTATCACTAATATGACCAAACAAGGAGCCGATACCAAAACCTGGTCTACTGAGGCTTTATCTGCTTTCGAAACGCTCAAACAGTCTTTTGCCTCAGCACCTGTATTAGTTCATCCTGATACCTCTCTACCCTTTTTACTTGAAGTTGATGCGTCTGAAACAGGGATAGGCGCAGTGTTGTCCCAAAGACAAAGTTTAGATAAGCCGCTGCACCCTTGCGGTTTTTTTTCCAAGAAACTATCACACACTGAAAGGAGATATGACATTGGTGATAGAGAACTTTTAGCTATCATTATGGCATTAAAGGAATGGAGACATTTGTTAGAGGGCACTGTCCTCCCAGTTACTATCTTGACTGACCACAAAAATTTATCGTATATGGGGGAGGCCAAAAGATTATCTGCCAGGCAGGCACGTTGGTCTATGTTCCTTACACACTTTAATTATATGCTTACTTACAGGCCTGGTTCTAAGAACACTAAGGCTGACGCTTTGTCACGTCAGCACGAACCTATCACCTCTACAGAGGACACTTTGTTCCCTATTATTCCTGAAGTCAATATTATCGCCAACACCAATGTCAAAATACACTCTCCATTGCTCGCTGATATTATGAACGAACAATCTCTTGCTCCCGAACGTACTCCTGTGGGCCGCTTGTTCGTGTCTCCCAAATTCCAAGTGGACATTATTCGCTGTTTTCACGATAGCAAGTTCGCTGGTCACCCCGGCATCCACAAAACTTACTGCCTGATCTCCAAAGACTTCTGGTGGCCCGGTTTACGTAGGGATGTGGAAGACTTTGTCAAGGCTTGCAATGTTTGTGTCAGGAATAAACTTCCACGGGATCTCCCTTGTGGTTTATTGCAGCCCTTAGTCGTTCCCAACAAACCTTGGGCTTGTTTGGCTATGGATTTTATTGTTGATCTACCAGCTTCCAGTAGGCATACGGTTATCCTCACGGTCCTTGACAGGTTTACTAAAATGGCTCATTTCATTCCCTTGCCTAAACTTCCGTCCTCTCCTGAACTGGCCGTGATATTTGCTAGAGAAATTTTCCGTTTACATGGTATTCCCAATGAGATTGTGTCAGACAGGGGTTCCCAATTTATTTCCCGTTTTTGGAGATCCTTCTGTTCCCAGTTGGGCATCAAACTGAATTTTTCTTCGGCCTATCATCCTCAATCTAACGGAGCAGCCGAACGCACTAACCAAAAAATTGAGCAATATCTACGTTGTTTTGTTTCTGAACACCAGGATGACTGGGTCGGTCTGATTCCTTGGGCGGAGTTTGCTCACAACAACCTTGTTTGTGGTTCCACTCGTAATAGCCCCTTTTTCTTGAACTATGGCTTTAACCCTACTGTTCTTCCGTCGGTGTCTCCTTCCCAGGGTATACCGTCGGTTGATATTCATATAGCCAACCTGAGAAAGTTGTGGGATCAGACTCGACAAATTCTTGAACGTAGTTCCGCGGTGTTTAAGTCACATGCTGATAGGCGTAGGCGGCCTGCTCCTATTTTTTCTCCAAGTGATAGGGTCTGGTTGTGTACCAGACACATTCGCCTGAAAGTCCCTTCCTTGAAGTTTGCTCCTCGTTACATTGGTCCTTACAGGGTGCTGAGGAGGATCAACCCGGTTTCTTATTTGCTGGATCTACCTCCTACTCTACACATCCCTAACTCTTTTCATGTGTCTTTATTGAAACCTCTTGTTTGTAACAGATTTTCCTCCCACTCTGCTCCTCCATCCTCGGTCCGTGTGGATGGTCAGGAGGAATATATCATCAAGTCCATCCTTGATTCTCGTATTTCTAGGGGGAAGCTGCAATACCTCATAGACTGGAAAGGTTATGGTCCAGAAGAGAGGTCTTGGGTTCCTGGTATAGACGTGCATGCTCCTCGTCTTCTTCGGGCCTTCCACGTTCGTTTTCCTTCTAAGCCCGGTCCCATCCGCCCGGTGGGCGTTTCTAGAAGGGGGGGTACTGTCAGGGTACCTGTTGGTGCTGAATCCAGGGAAGACATCCTCTCTGTTTAGGGGCTCCCTGCCCCTAGCATTTTCGGCATATTCCGGCCGTTTTCGCGCCGGCCGCGCTAGCTCCTCCCCCTTTTATGACGCGACGGCTAGCGTCGACGTCATGACGTCGGCATTTGCATAAAGTGCCGGGAACCGCTATTCCGGACCTTTTGGGGGCGTGGTCTCTATTTAGGTACAGGGTATTTAAAGGAAACCTTTACTACTGCTCATTGCCCTGTCGTGGTTCTAGCTTGCTAGTCACTCAGCGCGTTCTTTATCTTGTGTTTCCGGTTTTGACCCTTGCTTGTCTTTTGTCCTGTTGTCCTCTCCTCTCCTTTGACTCGGCTTGTATCTCGCTTACCTGTCCTCCGGCTCCCTCGACCTCGGCTTACCTTTTGACTATTCTGCTTTGTCCCTACGTTAGTCCGGCCATTCTAAGGTCCGGTATACGTACCTCCTTCTGTCCGCACTCTGCGTATTGGATCCCTGTCAGTATCCTGACAGTCATGTAGGACAGCTAATTAGAAATCCTGGGACCTAGCTATACCAGCCAGGAGATAGGGTTTCCCATCGGTGGAAGCAAACTATAAACTCCCTCTGTAGTTGGGTAAAAGTAACATCCCTAGGACATACTTGGAACCCAGCATAATCTCAATGTACCATTACTGCTTAAATACTTTGTTGTTATTATTAATCACCACAAGGTCCTAGCTCAAAATTGTAACATGAGCAGGCAGTAATTGTGTGTCCATTAAATCTATTATTATCCCTCACACACTGCACATAATATGAGGGAACTGAAAACCATTCCCCTATGGGTAAAATAGGGAACACCTATTTTACTTACCCACCCACTATTCTTGCCAAACACCGGGTGCTAGGGGAGGAAAAGGGCATGGTGTCTAACAATCTCAGGCTATTTTGCAGTCAGAAGCCATTTTATTTTTACACCTCTGACAGATAAGGTGTCAGCCACTAGAGGCTGGATTAACCCTAATGTAAACATAGCAGTTTCTCTGAAACTGCTATGTTTACAGCTGAAGGGTTAACCCTAGATGGACCTGGCACCCAGACCACTTCATTGAGCTAAAGTGGTCTGGGTGCCTATAGTGGTCCTTTAAGTGAGACTTTATTTTGTGACTTAATGCAAGTCACTTCTAGGTTTTTGGAATTCTTGCTTTTGAATTTGCACTACAAATTAAACCTTTAGGAATAACCCAGCTTTATCATTCTTGTAATTTGCATGTTATACTCCTGCTATACACTAGATGGCTCCAAATGGCAACTTTATCCTGCATTCTATGAATTCTGACTTGCTATAAAGTATATAGAGCTTTATGTGCTATGGATGTTATAATTATGGGAGTTGTACATGTGGAGAAAAAATGGTCTTTGATGTAAGGTTTCATTCTGAAACTGCAACTTTTTTGTAAAACGAACGGCTGGAATAGGATTGTAGAAAATTATCATGGGCATGTGATACTTTGTTTACCATTAATAAATTGCAATGATTTGTAAAAATAATAACGTATTATTTATAAAGTACCAAAATTAACTCATCTTTCTATTTTGGCTCCGCTACAGCCCTGATTGGTTCTTTTACCGGCAGTAATTCTTTCATCGATGTGTGCGCAGAGATGCTGATTGTGTGAGAAATTGACAATGAACTTAAGACGTCGCTTCCGTTGTATTTTTAGACTAAAAGTGTAATTTTACTGTTACGGATTAATAAAAAGATACTCCAAGCACCCTAAACTATACAACTTTAAGGGACACTATAGTCACCCAGACCACTTCAGCTCAATGAAGTAGTCTGGGTGTCAGGTCCCTCTAGGGTTAACCCTGCCTGATGTAAACATAGCAGTTTCTGGGTGCCTATAGTGGTCCTTTAATAACTGTGTACATGAAACTGTAAATGACAATGATAGACTGTAAGCTCGTTTGCGCAGGGTCCTCGTCAACCTATCGTTTCTGTAAGTTTTCTTGTAATTGTCCTATTTATAGTTAAATTCCCCCCCTCTCATAATATTGGAAAGCGCTACGGAATCTGTTGGCGCTATATAAATGGCGATAATGATACAAACTGCATGCACAGAGAATTACAGTGGTATAAATGGTAACAATTCTATAGTAACACACGATAATATGGCAGCAATGGAAGAATAAATGAGGTGAATGTTTCCATGGACCTTGTTATTATACAGAGCTAATGTTACATGTATTACCTAATCACGTGACAATACTACCCTCTTCCCTTATCACGTGACAGCGATGGCCCCACTCTTATCCCACGGTCACGCGCCAGGTGAGCCCCCGCTCGGCCTGGCGGAGCTCCGTGACGTGGCATGGCTGGTGACGTAGCGCTGGGTGTGGGCGGGGCTGGCTGGCGCCCCTGGTGCCAGTGGCTGCTCAGTCCCAGTTGGTGCTGGCGGCCGGGGGAGATCATGGCGCCCTCTCACGTCCTGCGCTGCTGCCAGCGGGTGGTGGGCTGGATCCCGGTGCTGTTCATCTCGCTGGTCCTGTGTTGGTCTTACTACGCGTACGTCCTGGAGCTGTGTGTCTGTGAGTAACCATAATATATATAACCTGCCTGCCTCCCCCTACCGAGCCATGCCGCACCCGGGCTTCCTGCTCACACACTGCCAGACATGGGTAATAATATGGGTAATAATACACCTAATATACCCAGCACCATGCCAGACATGGGTAATAATACACCTAATATACCCAGCACCATGCCAGACATGGGTAATAATACACCACCCAGCACCATGCCAGCCATGGGTAATAATACACCCAGCACCATGCCAGCCATGGCTAATAATACACCCAGCACCATGCCAGCCATGGGTAATAATACACCCAGCACCATGCCAGCCATGGGTAATAATATACCCAGCACCATGCCAGCCATGGGTAATAATATACCCAGCACCATGCCAGCCATGGGTAATAATACACCCAGCACACTGCCAGCCATGGGTAATAATACACCCAGCACCATGCCAGCCATGGGTAATAATATACCTAATATACCCAGCCATGGCCTAATAATACACCCAGCACACTGCCGACATGGGTAATAATATACCCAGCACCATGCCAGCCATGGCTAATAATACACAGCCACGGGTAATAATATGGGCACACTGCCAGCCATGGGTAATACACCCAGCACCATGCCAGCCATGGTAATAATACACCAATATACCCAGCACCATGCCAGCCATGGGTAATAATATACCCAGCACACTGCCAGACATGGGTAATAACATACCAATATATACCCAGCACCATGCCAGCCATGGGTAATAATACAATCCAGCACCATGCCAGCCATGGGTACACCCAGCACCATGCCAGCCAACAATAACACAGCACCATGCCAGCCACGGGTAATAATACACCCAGCACATGCCAGCCATGGGTAATAATACACCCAGCACACCGCCAGCCATGGGTAATAATACACCCAGCACACCTGCCAGCCATGGGTAATAATACACCCAGCACCATGCCAGCCATGGGTAATAATATACCCAGCACACTGCCAGACATGGGTAATAATATACCTAATATACCCAGCACCATGCCAGCCATGGGTAATAATACACCCAGCACACTGCCAGCCATGGGTAATACACCCAGCACCATGCCAGCCATAGGTAATAATACACCTAATATACCCAGCACCATGCCAGCCATGGGTAATAATATACCTAATATACCCAGCACCATGCCAGCCATGGGTAATAATACACCCAGCACCATGCCAGCCATGGGTAATAATACACCCAGCACCATGCCAGCCATGGGTAATAATACACCCAGCACCATGCCAGCCATGGGTAATAATACACCCAGCACACTGCCAGCCATGGGTAATAATACACCCAGCACACTGCCAGCCATGGGTAATAATACACCCAGCACCATGCCAGCCATGGGTAATAATATACCTAATATACCCAGCACACTGCCAGCCATGGATAATAATACACCCAGCACACTGCCAGCCATGGGTAATAATATACCCAGCACACTGCCAGCCATGGGTAATAATATACCCAGCACACTGCCAGCCATGGGTAATAATACACCCAGCACACTGCCAGCCATGGGTAATAATACACCCAGCACCATGCCAGCCATGGGTAATATTACACCCAGCACCATGCCAGCCATGGGTAATAATACACCCAGCACACTGCCAGCCATGGGTAATAATACACCCAGCACACTGCCAGCCATTGGTAATAATACACCCAGCACCATGCCAGCCATGGGTAATAATATACCTAATATACCCAGCACACTGCCAGCCATGGGTAATAATACACCCAGCACACTGCCAGTCATGGCTAATAATACACCCAGCACCATGCCAGCCATGGGTAATAATATACCCAGCACACTGCCAGCCATGGGTAATAATACACCCAGCACACTGCCAGCCATGGATAATAATACACCCAGCACACTGCCAGCCATGGATAATAATACACCCAGCACACTGCCAGCCATGGGTAATAATACACCCAGCACCATGCCAGCCATGGGTAATAATACACCCAGCACACTGCCAGCCATGGATAATAATACACCCAGCACACTGCCAGCCATGGGTAATAATACACCCAGCACCATGCCAGCCATGGGTAATAATACACCCAGCACACCGCCATGGGTAATAATACACCCAGCACCATGCCAGCCATGGGTAATAATACACCCAGCACACTGCCAGCCATGGGTAATAATACACCCAGCACCATGCCAGCCATGGGTAATAATATACCTAATATACCAAGCACACTGCCAGCCATGGATAATAATATACCCAGCACCATGCCAGCCATGGGTAATAATATACCCAGCACCATGCCAGCCATGGGTAATAATACACCCAGCACCATGCCAGCCATGGGTAATAATACACCCAGCACCATGCCAGCCATGGCTAATAATACACCCAGCACCATGCCAGCCATGGGTAATAATACACCCAGCACCATGCCAGCCATGGGTAATAATATACCCAGCACCATGCCAGCCATGGGTAATAATATACCCAGCACCATGCCAGCCATGGGTAATAATACACCCAGCACACTGCCAGCCATGGGTAATAATACACCCAGCACCATGCCAGCCATGGGTAATAATATACCTAATATACCCAGCACACTGCCAGCCATGGATAATAATACACCCAGCACACTGCCAGCCATGGGTAAGAATACACCCAGCACCATGCCAGCCATGGGTAATAATACACCCAGCACCATGCCAGCCATGGCTAATAATACACCCAGCACCATGCCAGCCATGGGTAATAATACACCCAGCACCATGCCAGCCATGGGTAATAATATACCCAGCACCATGCCAGCCATGGGTAATAATACACCCAGCACACTGCCAGCCATGGGTAATAATACACCCAGCACACTGCCAGCCATGGGTAATAATACACCCAGCACCATGCCAGCCATGGGTAATAATATACCTAATATACCAAGCACACTGCCAGCCATGGATAATAATATACCCAGCACCATGCCAGCCATGGGTAATAATATACCCAGCACCATGCCAGCCATGGGTAATAATACACCCAGCACCATGCCAGCCATGGGTAATAATACACCCAGCACCATGCCAGCCATGGCTAATAATACACCCAGCACACTGCCAGACATGGGTAATAATATACCCAGCACCATGCCAGCCATGGCTAATAATACACCCAGCACACTGCCCGACATGGGTAATAATATACCCAGCACCATGCCAGCCATGGCTAATAATACACCCAGCACACTGCCAGCCACGGGTAATAATATGGGTAATAATACACCCAGCATCATGCCAGCCATGGCTAATAATACACCCAGCACACTGCCAGACATGGGTAATAATATACCCAGCACCATGCCAGCCATGGCTAAAAATACACCCAGCACCATGCCAGCCATGGGTAATAATACACCCAGCATCATGCCAGCCATGGCTAATAATACACCCAGCACACTGCCAGACATGGGTAATAATATACCCAGCACCATGCCAGCCATGGCTAATAATACACCCAGCACACTGCCCGACATGGGTAATAATATACCCAGCACCATGCCAGCCATGGCTAATAATACACCCAGCACACTGCCAGCCATGGGTAATAATACACCCAGCACCATGCCAGCCATGGGTAATATACCCAGCACCACACCAACTCCATGCCAGCCATGGGTAATATACCCAGCACTGCACCTCCTCCATGCCAGCCATGGGTATACCCAGCACTACACCAGGCTGTACACCAACTCCATGCCAGCCATGAGTATACCCAGCACTGCACCTGGCTGTACATCAACTTCATGCCAGCCATGGTTATACCCAGCACTACACCTCCTCCATGCCAGCCATGGGTATACCCTGCACTGCACCAGGCTGTACACCACTTCCATGCCAGCCAAGGGTATACCCATGAATGCACCAGGCTGTACACACAGTGTGCAGGACAGCCCCTCCATGCTGGCACCTGTCATTATGTATCCTATATATAACATCTCACATATAGCAAGCAGCATTGTGTGTCACCTGTCATAAAATCTTATCCAAATCCCACCTCCTCCTCCTGTACTAATACAGATTGTCCCCATAAATCACCACCCTCCATAAACACTGACACAGGATCTCATATTATGATATGATCAAATAAATCATTATTCCTCTGTATAATACAGTAATACATGTTTCTCACATAGACTATTATAAAATAAATCACACTTCCTCTGTATACAGTGATACATGTTTCTCACATCGACTATTATAAAATAAATCACTTCCTCTGTATATAGTAATACATGTCTCTCACAGAGACTATTCTAAAATAAATCACTATTCATCTGTATACAGTGATACATGTCTCTCATAGACTAACATTATAAAAACACTAATTATCTGTATACAGTGCTATATGTCTCTCTCATAGACGAACAGCATATATAAAATCACTTCCCTGACTGCATTCCGTGGTACGTGTATGCTTCTTATGGTGTCATTTTAAAAACCCATATTCCTTTCTGAGGTATGTATATCCCTGATTAGTGGTTAATATAATATATCCTATAAAAGGTTTAGGTGACTTTAGGGCAGTATTGCACCAAAGTTGTTCTTCTTTGGCAATTTAAAAAATGAATTGTATTGTCCGATTTTTGTGTTTATGGTTCTATTCATGTCCGTGCAAACCATGGCAGTAAGTGTTTACGTTAGTTGCAGTGTATTTTTGTGTGTGGTGTTAGTATGTACATGTCATTGTTTTGTATGTGTACTCCCATATGTGTGGGAGTGTTAGTCATTGTTTCTGTGTGTGCAGTATTATTCCCTATATGTGGTGTGTGTTAAATGTCTGTTAATGTCTACATGCCAAATAAGCCTCACTTGTTCACCCCTGCCATTTTAACATCCATGCAAAATATACCCCCTGGTTTAAGCCCCCTTAATCACTACTCCATTTACACACCCTCACCTTTAACAACACCTGCACAGGTTGCATACCATACCCTGGGTGTGCATGCAGTGACTCTTCTCTGTGGGTGCCACAGCATGCACACTCTTTAGTACAAACCACGGTGTTATAATGTCATGCAATATTTTAACTCTGAGAAAAAATGTAAAGCGAGGGAGGCAACAAAAATCCTTGTTAAAAAAGTTTAGAAAAATGTACCAAATGCACATTCAGATGTACCTGTATCTACAAAGTGGCATTTTATGTAGGTTGACATATGTTCTAAATCCCTGCACCTCAGTCTGTGTGCACATACCCAACAATATATATATATTATATGTATCCTGTAAGGCTGTTCTCTTTGGTCTGTATAGAAATTAAGTTTTGCATACAATAACAACACTATTATAGACTGTCAAAGAAAAACGACACATTGTAACATTGTGTATAAGGTGTCAACGTTTTCCTTGGAACAGTGAGTTCATGAAATGTGCAAGACAGTCGTTACATGAGTTAGGGGCAGAATCACGCGAAATTCATTCTATAGATCTATTCTTTGTTCAAGTATTGTACTGTACGATGGTCCTCAGATGGCACGGGATGTGTGTGTGCAGCCCACAGCCGTCTCTGGGGCATTAGTGCTCACTCGGCTGTAATCTGGCTTGTGTTCATACGTTGCCACAGCTTATGTTATAACTATAACCATGTATACATATTAAAGCCAGTGCTGGATGAAAGATTTAGTGAATACTTGTCGCTAACTGTATGTGTGATATAAATGGGGTTGAATAATGTATCACTTATCACTTTTACACATGGAAATAGAGCATTCTTTTATTTTAATTCTGCGAGCTGACACTAATCTGTTATTGCTCAAGCTGTGGGCTTAACAAATGTCATTCAGCGTCATGGAACAGATATATATATCTTGCATTTGGTGAACCTGCAATTTTGGTCAGACAACTCAAATGGTTTAACCGTGAACTCCGTGTTATGGTTATATCGTGCACAGACTGATCTTTTAATGGGGCAATTTAAGCATACAATTTACTGTAATTCTGAGAGGTCGAATATAGTATGATACCAGCTAGGGAGACTGTACCTGAAGGGTCTTTGCCCCATTATCGCTACCATGACCTGAAGAGATTTTTATAATTAGAGCACCACTTTAATTTTGCCCTTCCTGTTTGCAAATATTTATAGTTTCTTGCAGATTGATGCTATCTCCACTTTGCCCTCAATTTTAGTAAGTGAAAATCCCTCTTAATGAGCACCTCTCTCTGCAGAATGTAATGGCTTTCACAGTCTCGCTGTCCTGTGCGTCTACTTTGCTTTGCGGATTCATTTTCCTGCCTTTTGAATAGGCCTCATTCATAGACGCTAGATTGTGAGTTCTTCATTTTTTTTTTCCCATTTAAATCCTGTGATGTCATCACAGTGTGCTAGCCAGACATAGATGTAGTATTGCATATAATATTATATACTTGTTTAACATATTAAAGCCTGTATTACTTTTATATAGCTTTCTGTTGAGGTGCAGGAAATGTGTAGAATATTATAAATAACTCCACACCTGTAATTCTTTTTTTTTAGGGTGTCTATTTGCACAATGCAGAGATAACTATAGAGTTATAGGGGAACTGTATTTGATATCCTTGTCTGTTTGTAATGTGTCACTGGTTTGGGCGACACATGGTGTGTAACTTGTTCTGAGCAGGGGAGATATAGTAAATGGAGCCGACACTGTATGTAAAACATTGTCTGCTTTTAGCAATAGATGTTTTGCTGAACTCTGATATGCATAATGGAATCACTTTTAAATCTATTCAAACCTTTTGCCTTCACCAGTATGTTTATTCTTGTTCTCCCTGCGCGGAAGCAGCGTGCCATGTGGTTCATTTAGCCAGCTCTGACTATGCCTGTGCTATATTTGGTTCATATTTAATGTACTTTCAGGGGAAGATACTTCCTGTCATTTGAAACAGTTCGTTATTACATCATAAACTCTGTAACGCTCACCGTTCCCACACAAAGAATGCCAGTGAATGCACCTACGCCCTGAGGGTGATGGGAATAGTACATCAAACGCTACATAAAACTCATGCTTGATCAAAGACTTCTTTAGACCTTTCTTTTCTGTCTTACCACTGGCTGAACTATATTCGTTTCATCGTTTTAGTGCAGGGGTGGCAAAAGGCACGTCCCCGGCTCTAGATACAGCGTCTGTGATGCTTTGCCAGCCATGAGGCTGAGAGTTAGAAGGGTTGACACATGGGGGATGTGCTTTTTGGCAGCCCATGTCTGAACACAAGTTGGCTTGTTAAATAGGTAGTTGTGCAGACCTCCGCAAAACGGCAGTGATACAATCAATAAGCTGTAGTGCTTCCAGTGCTCTGTGTCCAAAGATGTTTTGTTATTCCCAAATTTGTGAGTGACAAGGCTGCCTTGAAGTAACTATTGAAGTGTTCCTTCAAGCTTGGAGGCTTCTCATGTATTACTTCACGCAGCACAAAGTGTTAAAGAAGTTTGCTTCTGGAGATGTAACAGTGTCATTAGTGTTCAACCTTTTATGTGCATCATGTTTAATTCTGTCCATAAAATGCGTCTGTCGTCAGCGTGTATAGCACCTAAAAAAAACAAAAACACTGTTTTTGTGAGAAACTCATAATTATTAAGGGACACCATTGACACCGAATCAACTTAAGCTTAATGAACCAGTTTTGGTGTATAGATAATGTCCCTGCAGTCACACTGCTCAATTCTCTGCCATTTATGAGTTAAATCACTTTGTTTATGCAGCTCTAGACACACCTCCCTGCATGTGACTTACACAGCCTTTCTTAACACTTCCTGGAAAGAGTCATCTACTGTTTACACTTCCTTTATTGCAAGTTCTGTTTAATTTATACTGTATTATCTCTTTGTCTGTTAATAGCCTTCTGCAATCTGCCTCCTGTGTGTGATTAAAGTTCAATTTACAAAGCAGGAGATAAAAACTTATACAACAAGTTAACATCTGATTGAAAATAAAACCAGCCCGGACAGAAACAAGTGACTTAACTGACTTACCTGAGTCTCCTAAGGGCACGGCTGTGCTTAGCCAATGAGATGGAACTGCACTGGGTTTGGTTCACCGCAGTCATGCCGATAGTACTTCCGCTCCACCAACCGAGTAAAACTCGGTCACTTGACATGGACGCCCCCATAGGAAACTATCGCTTCAGTGGTTTCCTATGGGGCGGCCTGGATGCATGCGCAGCTCTTTAAAAAAAAAATATTATTTAACATAATTATCTTTTTTTTAAGCTTGATAAAAGGATTATTATAGTAAATATTTTTCAAGTGACCGTTGTCCGTTAATGTTTGTTTCCTGGTCTGTATGCTGCAGTCACAGCAATTTAGGATTATTATTATTGCCATTTATATATCGCCAACAGATTCTGTAGCTTGTTACAATATTATGAGAGGGGGGATTTAACTATAAATAGGACAATTACAAGAAAACTTAACTGAAGAGGACCCTGCTCAAACAAGCTTACAGTCTAGGATTGAGTTGTGTGCTTTGTGCGTATATGTTTTGGGAGAACTCTCAACACTAGACGTTTGGAGGAAAATTTATGAAGGCAAATCACGTACTGTTTTGAGATCTAAATGTTGAGTGACATTTTATTCGTTTCCACGATGATTGCTGCTTTATTTAGCACTTTTCCCCAGAAGAGTGCCTTTTTTGTTGTTGTTAATAAATCTCCCTCATAAAATATAATCCTATCCCCACTGCATAGAGAGATCAGTTTTGAAATTGAATAAAATGGAAGAGATACATTTGTATTTGTCTTTTCTGCAGGCGAGCCATTCCTTAAGAGAGTTAAACGTTTGCCCTTGTAACTATTAAGAATCCAGTGATGAATTCAGTTCCAATTAGATTAGCATTGAAGACTATAGGATTAGGATTTAGGAAACTGCCTGACTACATGCTTTGTCTGTGTCCGTTCATGGTTGCAACATAACCATTGCGTGAACTGTCTTTAACAGTCGGTCATGTACGGCACCTGGGTCTTGAGTGTATGTAATATACAAAACTGGGAGAGCGCGTGGGTTGCTGCCTGGATCCACATTGTTTGTTTCTGCCATGGATACTCGTTTGCAGAGCCGGTTCTGCTGTGTATTTAGTGTTTTTAAAGGTCTTTGGTGAATTGGTAAATAAACCATTTGGTTGAATATTTTGTTGTGGAGAACACTGCTTCTTTATATTTCATCATAGACAGAATCTAGCTGTAAACTTACATATTTTTAATGCTTCTTAATTTATTTAAACCTTCCCATTATTTAAGTTCTACACGTAACATTTCTAATCCCGTATAAATAATATATATCAAGAAAGGTAAAATTTGTTTTATATAACAGGGTGTAAATTAGACATTATTTTAAATAAATATTTGGCTGAATTTCAACATAGCTGTGATATTTGTGATTACTTTTATATTTTACCTTCAGCCAGGGCAAAGAGGCCCCGACAAATATACATTATATGAGAGTGAAAGGGTGACTCGGGGCTGCTGTAGTTGCTATGATGCCAAGAATACCTTGGCCCGATAGAGGGGCAAACCATTTAGGCCCGGTTTGACCTCTTACCTGGGTTCTCCCTGGTCTCCTCTCATGCTGGTGCAGCTCTGTAGAAGCCAGAAACCAACCAAATTCTTATTTATTGTCTTAGAACAACCTCTGCCCTCTATCAGCCAATGAATGCAGTTCTATTTACACAGAATTAACATTAATCCGCCTGGAACTCTTGGCACTAGCGCCCCCTCATTGAGCAACATCATAAGAGTCAGGGCTGTTTTTAACCCATTATTTACCAACCTGGGGAGTGAGAGGGATGGGGGGGGGAGCAGAAGGAGATAGTGCCAGGAATACAGCTTTGTATTCCTTGCACTATAGTATCCCTTTAAGGTTTGAGCAGGTCCTAATGTTGCACTAGTCAAGGGAACACAAATCTAGAAATACTCCAGAAAGTAAATGTAATCGAGTTTTGTTTTATTTAGCCTTTTTAACTACTTCCCTTTAAACTGTGAGAAGGACATGTGTTTATACTATTAGTTCCCATTTTCTCCGAGTCACTTATACTGTTAGCTTTTAAAGTGTTGAAACAAGAGGTTACTTCCTGAGTGTGTCCACTCACAAGACAAACTGCTTTATGTTGGGAGATCCAACAATCGCATATAACGGCAGTTCTGGTCACTGCACTACTAAAAATAATGTTGGAATACAACTCTGAGCAAGCTTGGCCATCCAAAACCTTCTTCAGTTTGCTGACAGCCAGCGAGGAATTGTGACCCATACTCCTGTAGAAGACTGTGGTTATTACAAGAACTGTCCAACCACCAGTCACAGGCAATGCCAAATCACTCCCTGTTCCAATGGTGTTTTTAGGTTCGTATTCTGTAATCCTTAGACAATCCTTGGCTGTGGCCTTAGTAGTTGGAGCTCAGTGAAATCCGGTTTAGCTACTATTTCTTCTGGTGTATTTATGCGCGTGGATTTCCGCGTTGATGACATCATGCGCATTTTGTTGCGCGTATATTGTGTGAAATAAATGCCGGTTTGACCTATCAGTTAAGGTGTGACTTTATTACACTATATTGATTTCAAAATCTATAGAAAATGTATCATCTCGAACTCTGAATATTACCATGTCAACATCTTGTCTCGGAGTTTCAGTAGAAAGTCTCTCCTTTGATAATTAGACAAGATCTCTTGACTGTAATTGCCTCTGACTTTATCACAGGGTTCCACATACTTTGATCTGATACCACTGAAGTTCATTTCACTGTGCAGCATATTTATATATGTACATATTTGTATCCACCATAACCACTGCAACTCATTATATTGCTTATTGTGCTAAAAGATTATTCAGTTGCGTTCTCCCATTAAGTGCCAAACCTTGTTCAGTTGGTAGTGAATAGAGCGCCCCATTAATTTACTTTAAAGTAATTGTCACATTGTATTTTAGTAAAGGGCATATCAGTTTATTCTGAATGCAAGTCTCCTAATGTCCCATGATTTCCTGTGTTATACTGAATTAATATGCACACACAGGATGTAAAGGAATGGACATGTAATGACTCCTACTCTGATTGTGTATTACAGCACAGTAAACACGTCACCAGCGTTGGCTTCTGTGAATCAAAATATTGCAATTACATTCCAAAAATGGACTTTTCCACAGCTGAAATATGTATCTGATCATTTAACTCTGCCTGGATTCCTTCGTATGGGTAATGTTTACAGATTTGACAGGAGGTTTAGTTAACATGCTCTCAGCCCTAATTATAAGCCGACTCCTCCTGATTGTTTGAGGAAGAGGAGGAGCGCATTGGAAAATAAAACAAAACATGTACCTCAAGCAAGTGTGTCTCAGCTGATTGTATCACATGATCTACTCTGAAATGCAGAAACTCTGGGTGTGTTACTGTTATCAACAAGCAAGTATTTGCATTATTGACTAAAACTGTCATTAACCCCTAGGTCTAATTTTAGATCAGGACTAGAACTCCGGTAATCTACCTCTTTTTATTCAGTATGTCCACACCTATAAAATACATGTTAAGTGTATTTTGGATCTTTCATATGTAAAACCATAACCCACAGATATTTTATTATGTATTATAAGGCGCACTCCAAGGTATGTGAAATCTTCTTACAGCAACTCTGTAAGCATCTGGGGTGACTCCTGGCGGTGACGGGTCCGCTGGCTGCGGAGTGGGGAAGGTGTGTTTTTCTTACCCAAACCTGTCCTTCAGAGCTGCCGCCATGATCTTTGTACCGTAAAACAATGCTTGCTTTAGGGAATCACCCTATATATTGGGTACAGGCTATTCTACAGAATTATTAAGTTATCACACCCTTTTTGTGCAGTTTTAAACTCTGCACTCCTTTACAAGGTTTCAAGTTAGGTTGGTTTTCCTTTGTGCATCAGATTTTTATTTCCCCGTCCTCTCTGTGCTCAAATGTCCATGACCAGTTCTGCTCTTAGAAGTGGTCATGGTTCAAGGATTCTGTATGTGCAGTGTTTCTGATTGAAAGGCTGCAAATATAGAGATATTTGCAGTTATGTGACGGGAGCTAGTTGCACACCCAGCACACGAGAATTAGACAGCCTAGAACTCTTTCAGGTCTGCCTGATGTTAAATCTGTGCAAAAATTACACTTGTCGTCTGCACAGACTGCGTACTGGCGATAGACGTAATGAGCGTCTACATGTATAGGAAGTGCTAGGAGCAAGTCTGCAAGTTACTACTCTTTTAACAGACTTTGGGTTTAAAACACGGGGTGGACATACAAAGTAGTTGGAAAGGGCAGCATAAATTTTAAACAAAAAGGGGGAGGGGGCTATAGTAACCCATTAATGATTCATTAAAGGGACACTATAGTCACCAGAACAACTACAGCTTATTGAATTTGTTCTGGTGAGTAGAATCATTACCTTCAGGCTTTTTGCTGTAAACACTGTCTTTCCAGAGAAAATGCAGTGTTTACATTACAGCCTAGTGATAACTCCACTGGCCACTCCTCAGATGGCTGTTCGAGATCCTTCCTGGGTCATGGTTGCCTAAAATGCTTCCAAACATTCAGTATCTCCTCCCTCTGCATGCAGACACTGAACTTTCCTCATAGAGATTCATTGATTCAATTCATCTCTATGAGGAGATGCTGATTGGCCAGGGCTGTGTTTGAATCATGCTGGCTCTGCCCCTGATCTGCCTCCTTGTCAGTCTCAGCCAATCCTATGGGGATGCATTGTGATTGGATCAGGCTACCACATGTCAGCAGGCGGTGGGCAGGCCTAAAGGAAACAGGCTCAAAGCATGCAGCTGCAGACTCGAATACAACTAAGCTTTACTATATTTAGGGAGGCATGAGGGGCCCGAGGGGGCTAGATGGTGGTTTTAACCCTATAGGGTCAGGAATACATGTTTGTGTTCCTGACCCTATAGTGATCCTTTAAAGAAACTATTTTTCAAGTTACCAATTGATAATAGATTTTAAATACATTTTACAAGTTTTGTTTCCATTAGAAAAAGTGGAATCTAGTGTTTTTACACTTTTTTTTGTTTGTTTTTTACAAATGAATTAGTAGTGAAGGTGATAATCTAAAGGGAAAATTAAATGGTAAACTAATGCTGAGATTTATTTTAATGATCTTGTTAAATACGACATCCAAGTGTGATTCTGAAGAGCTTGCAGTCAGATTCATTTACTCCCATCCCAGCACTGTTAAAGCTATGACCTCCCGATGGGAGTGTTAATGTCATATGCAAAGTCTATTAGCATCACAAGAGAACTATTATGGCAACATCTATGATTTACTCATTATCTATCTATGTAAATACCAACACCAAATGCTGTAAATAACAAACCCTCACCACAAGGACGTGAAGTGTCTAAACACTAGTTAAAGGGCCGATCCAGTGTGAAAGACTTATTTTTGTAATGTTTTATACAGAGAATATATTAAAATATATGCAGAGAGAATGCATTTAAAGTAGAAACGGTGCTCATAAGTTCTTCAACCGTTTGCAATTTTTCTTTGGGCTTTCATCAAACGAGGTAGTTAATCAGGCATTCGGAAATAAAGCACGTTAGTACATCATAGGGCCCTCGACAAGTGGGAATGTTCCTCATCAGCTCATATAATCGCACGGCCATTGAGATGTCCACGTATAGGTAAACGAATAAACATAATCAAGAAAAAAAACAATCAAACACTGAACATATATGATCCTGCACGCTGAATGGCACAAACAGGTATGCGTGTCACGTCTAATTTTTCAGTTGACCTCCATAACTGCACACAGGTTAATGTATCTCTTATCACGAGTTCACCTAAGCATTCAGATCTAAAGACTGATTGATTATAGTGATATAGGTATTCACAGGAAGCGTGAGGTTGAAACTGTGTTTCTGTCATCTGTACAGGAAGTTTGAACTGATACAGACTGTGTGTACATGCCCGAGTGTCCATATGATGATTTTCTCCTTTAAAGGCGAGGAATACAAGCTTGGTCCGCAACACTGCAATCCTTTTAGAGTGTTTGGTGTTCCTCCAACTTGTAACTGGGTAACGTTCTGCTTGCGTGCATTTGTTGTACTCGAGGTTTGAAGTTGTCGAAAATGGTTATGAAACACGCACTTATTTTAACAATAAAAATAAAATCTAATGATCTGGGGAAAGAAGGGCAAAATTAGAATGTATTACAACTGATAAATATTAATAGTAAATCAAGACCAGCGTGAAACTTTTATTTCGAGTGTAAATGTCTCTTACGACAGTGCTCAAAATTCACATAAAAAGTCTGTTGTCTTTAAAGGGACACTGCAGTGTGGATTTACGACATGCTCGCCTCTTGACGTTTACTGAAATCTCAGAATCTGCATCTTTTATTGGATGGACTCGTGCTTGCATGGAATGCTGGTATCGGTACCCACATGTTCTGCAAAGACAAGCATGTTTTATACTTCTGTGGTACATGTCACACACCGGTAAACATGTCTTAAGTGCTTTCTGTGATAAGTGATAAGAGAACTGTAACAGTTCTCGTTTAAAGTATTCTTAATGAAACGTTCTTTGATTGCAGATAAAGCAAAGGCTGAGTTTATATATTGGCATAATCAATGCATATAGCTAATGAAATGGTGATTGGGGGGAGGTCTTATAAAGGGGATCTGTCAGAAATCTCTAAATACTTGGGACATCCATATTGTTTTCCGTGTGATATTTACTAGCAGAGTGGTTCTTAACTCCTGGATTGAGGTCGACACTCGAACCAGTTGGAGCAGGGTCTTTGGATTAATCAGGTTTCAAGCAACTGCCCACAGTGAGTTGTTTTCAGTACTACCACAGCTTATTGCAGTTTTCCAAAGGAAAGATGGGTCACCAGGCTCAAACCAGGTGCATGTCATGGTTTCCTGGAGAAGAAAGAACAGTTAACATACCAGTAAACATGGTTTAAATGCTTTAGTGGGTTCATAAGAGAGAGCGAGAAGAAACCCAGGGAATTCAGGAGAAGCCAGCATTGTATAGCAGAAAGTTCTGTGCCATAATTCAGAGATTTTAATATGTAATAATTAACCAAACTCCAAGTATCAAAGCTGGATGAAAAATAAATATTACAAAGGGCCATCTGTAAACATTCTCTGCAGTTGTCCGCAGATTGCAAGCCATATTCTGATGATGCCGAACTTCTGAAAATGAGCTGTTGATAAAAACAGTGGTAAATCCGCAATTTAGCCGCCAAGTCCTGCAGGATTGAAATGAATGGAAATTACTTATTAATAGCAAGATACTGTGGGGGGGAGGGGAGAAAGCCTTTATTTATTTTTTTATAGAATTACATTTATTGTTTTTCAAAACACAATACATAAAGAAAAAGGGAAAGTAAGATACTCCTCTCGCAGAGCATTTTTCATTCACACATACATATATGTATACTTATATATACATAGAATGTGATGGCAGATAAGAACCATTCGGCCCATCTAGTCTGCCCAATTTTCTAAATACTTTCATTAGTCCCTGGCCTTATCTTATAGTTAGGATAGCCTTATGCCTATCCCACGCATGCTTAAACTCCTTCACTGTGTTAACCTCTACCACTTCAGCTGGAAGGCTATTCCATGCATCCACTACCCTGTCAGTAAAGTAATACTTCCTGATATTATTTTTAAACCTTTGCCCCTCTAATTTAAGAATATGTCCTCTTGTTGTAGTAGTGTTCTTTTTATTGTGTACTGTGTTGATTCCCTTTATGTATTTAAATGTTTTATCATAACCCCCCTGTCTAGTCTTTCCTCTGATCTATACCCATATATGCACATCACACATATGCAAAAGAAAAAAAGGCCTTTTAGGGAGACTCATTAAACTGGCAATTACCAGGGAAGATTGCAGAAGTGGATAATTTTTCCAGTTCCCCTAATATGGCATAAAATGCCCTGTTTAATTCCCACAGTGCTAATTTATTGAATAACCCAATCTATGCTTTGCCTCACTAATTAAATTCTTATGTGCTTTAGGAGCATCGTTATGGTGATCCGTATAATGAAATGCTGGACATTAAGATCTGCATTTGTAACTTTCTTTCTGTGCCCTCTCTGAGTGTAAATCACATTTAAAGGGACAATAATGCGCCAACATAAAACACTTTTACAGATAAAATCGCTTGTTTTTACTGATGTCATTGAACTTCTCTTTTGTGAATTTTCTTGCAGTTCATTAGACATTGGAGCAGTTATTACGAGCAACAGGCAGGGAAAACAAATGACTTGGGGAACATGTCTTTTTTGGTGGCGATAGTTCTGCTTTACCTCCTCCCAATAAATGATATTGAAGCACTTAGTGTGCAGAGGAGCTACGTGTAAAACACGCCCCAGTCTCTGATATCTTCTCACAATGCTCTAAGTGCACTGTATACCCTCAGGAGTCTGCTTTGAAATGTGCGGTAGGAACAAGCTTTCCTAAGTATTTAGCTTCCGTAGTGCTGGGCCAAAACGGATTGTAATGTATTACTGTTACAGGCAGCTTGCCATACGATGTAAATTAAAATAAAGATTAATTAAAAAATTAATACATAATTAGCACAACACACAGCATAATGCCATCAAAACAATTCCACTCTAGCCCCATTGAATGTGGTTCCTTTTATGTTTTTTAAAGTTCCCTAAAAGTGGTAAATGTAAAATGGGGAGGAATATTGATTTTGCAAATCCAGAATCCGATAATCATGAAGGTCTTTTCATGCATCATTATAAAGATGTTCCTATATTATTTTTTTTTATATCACTGTAACTCCTATCATCCAAAGCTATCTGAAAGTAGGTTTGGCAGATTGTTTTGTGTTTGCTGTACATCTGTATTCTGTCGAGCTGGACTTTGAAGGCATTGGAATTTACAAACTCTCATTGTGAAATCCGTTAATCAGTGCTTTTAAATCCTGCTGGACAACATGTAGATATCAAAAGACGATCTGGCAACATTGTCAGACGGTGAACCCCATTGTTATTTAACTTTGGGTTGGGAGTGTAACATTTACCCCAACCCAGATTGGATTGATATTATTCTGCAAGGATTTCTTTTTTGTTTATTTTACATTGCCCGTATTCGCTTTTCCTTTTTTCCTCCTGGCAAACCATAATTTCGTCTTGCTACCCATTTTGTTTGTTAAAGGACCACTATAGTGCCAGGAAAACATACACATTTTCCTGGCACTATAGGGTCTCTAGGTCCCCCTCACCCTCTGGGCCCCCCTTCCGTCGGGCTCTAGGGGGTGGAAGGGGTTAAATCTTACCTGTTTTCCCCCACCGGGCTCCCTCGGCGCGGGGAACTCTCCTCCTCCTTTTCGCCGTCATTGGCTGACCGCGCACGCATTCAGTCAGTCCATAGGAAAGCATTCTCAATGCTTTCCTATGGACACTGGCGTCTTCTCACTGTGAAAATCACAGTGAGAAGCATGGAAGCGCCTCTAGCGGCTGTCAATGAGACAGCCACTAGAGGCTCGATTGAACCATTTGTAAACATAGCAGTTTCTCTGAAACTGCTATGTTTACAGTAGAAGGGGTTAAACCTAGATGGACCTTGCACCCAGACCACTTCATTAAGCTGAAGTGGTCTGGGTGCCTATAGTGGTCCTTTAAACAATGAGTCATTTTCACTAATGTCGTTTCTAGATGGTCGTTAAACGATCCATAGACTGTTAGGAGGAATGCAAACCTATATTCCTGTCCCTATAGTGTTAAAAACACCTTCTTGCACTCCTAAATATAGTAAAATCTTGCCTTTATTCCAGTCTACTGCTGCTGGCTCTGCCCCTGATCTGACTCATTGGCTGACATCATCACAAGTGATGATCTTAGCCAATTACAATGCTTTCCCATAGAAACGCATAGGCTTGGCTGATAGTAAGGAGGCAGATTATTGGCAGAGCAAGCACAAGCCAAACACGGCCCTGGCCAATCACCATCTCCTCTTAGAGTTGCCTTTTCTCTGAAAAAAGCCTGAAGGGACTGATTATACTCACCAGAACAAATACAATAAGCTGTAGATGTTATGCTAACTATAGTGTCTCTTTAAATGGATGCTAATATTGCACACCGTTAATCAAACTTAACATTTGTTGCTGTCCATTGCAGCACATTTCAATTCAGACCGGTGGTGTAACATCTGATGAGATTGAGTAATGATGGTCTAGTAGTGTTACAAAAAGAATTACTGAAACTTTTTTTCCCCCTTCTAGACTACTTTTTGCATCCACTTCTGACTATTCTAAATCTCACTGGCTTCTTTGAGCTGTTGATTCCTCGGCCACATTCAGATTGCCGTAAATCTATAGACCATTAGGAGGCAGCTCTAGATCTCTCTGTTCTCTTCGCACCAACCGAGGTGTCTCTGCCCTCAAGACTTGCTCTATTTATTTGCCGGCTTGAATATAGCATTGGCTATAAAGTAACTGGGTAGGTAGTCTCGTTATTCATTCCCTGATGCTATTCACACAGACCGGGGTGTCCAGCCTTGGTCTGCCACCATTGAAGAAAGAGAAAAAAAATGCATATTTGTTCATATTTCACTTTAGCTAAAACATGAACTTTTGTGCCGTTGGAAATAAAATGTCTTTTATGAGATTGCAATTAGAAAATCCCCATGCCACATCAAGAGAATTGCAATTAAAGATCGGAGCAGTGGCAGCGTGCTCTTTAATTAGAAACTCTTATTTGCCCTAAGCCGCAGGAAGTTTTCCTTTGAGTTTTTCCACTAAATTAAAGGGAATGTGTCAAAGCCCAAAATAGAATAAGTTAAAATCCAAAGAAATGTTAATGCATATTATAAGGAATTAAAGACCATTGCTGCAGCTGTTCTACTTGTATGGTTTAACTTTTAAAAAAAAAGTTATATTTGAATGAAAGCATCTTGGCACTCCATCAGTGTTCCCTAATATGGGTTCTACTTACCTCTATCACCACCATCATACAATTTAACTAGTAGGGTGCTTGGCCTCCGATGCTCTGGAGGCTGCTGGAAGAGGTGTGTGCATTCTCTAGTGCACACAACTCCTGCTGGGGCTAGTGCTAAGGTTGTTGGAGCAAGATAAAAATGCATTATATCCCCCTCCGTTCCAGAGACCCTCTTCCTGATTCTTGTAAATGTATTTTTAAAAATCAAGTTCAGTTCTCTGATATACAGAGAGGCTGTTGATCCTTACTATGCCAATCTGCTCTCTGGGTCCTCTGATAGTATCAGATAATGCACACCCACTCCAGTACCAGTTGGGCCACAAGGGCAACAACTGTAATTCCCTTTACGGCAAAACATAAATATAATAAATAAAAGATAGGCCTCCTGGAATTCAGTTAGCTTTGATATGTCAAATCATAGGCTTTATGCCAGTTTATGGATGGGTTACCCAGTAATGGCGCAAACAGTTTAGTAATGGTTTGCCCTCTTACCTCGATCCCCACCAGGCTTTGTGGCTCCTTCTATGTCTACTGACGCTATCCGGGTTTCTGCAGAAGCTGGACTCTGATCCAATCATCATTGGCCGAAAGTATCAGCTTATCACTCTCAGCCAATGATAGGTAAAGTGTGCAAGGAAATATGCACAGAATTGACATTAGACTCTAGTTCAGGACCAGCTGATGACACCCCAATAATACTGCTTGTGGGGGAGTTACACCTCCAGCCGCAGAGGGGTTAAACTCCATTGGTGTGGCGTTTCATAGTAAAACACTGCACATACAGACTCCAGGCACCACGACCACTTTAAATCAATAAGTGGTCATGGTGTTTTGGAGCAACTCTTTAACACGCCAGAAGCATGTAGTTTGCTGTGTTTCTTTGAGGGTTTGTTTGTTTGTTTTTCAAGGCATTTCAATATAGACCTACATTTCCTTTCCATAATACTTGTGGTCCTGGGGAAGTGTTCCGTGACTTTGCATGCATTGATCCCAGGATAGACTCTTGAGGAACACCACTAACGACTATTAACTCCGGTGAACCCTCTCCATTCCCCACAATGCACTGTCAGCAGTCTTTTCGTTTGTCAGGAAACCGTGATGTCATTTTCCTAAAAAAATAAATAAAATTAAAAAAAGCATTCACATGACCTCTGTAGAAGAGCTTCAAACACTTCCAGCCATCAATAAATTACATTAACAAGCATTTTATTGGTTCAAATGGTTTCCATTTACACAATAAGGACAGGATGTGTTTCTGTATACTAATGGCTACTCTTTACATCCTAATGTTTAGGCATATTAAACACTCGCTCTAAGCCAAGATGTGGCTGTCAGGGGTTTTGTTGACCGGTCTTGTAGCTACTATTCCCTTGATACTCAGTTACCTTACAAGCTACCACTGTTATAGTAGGGATTTTATAAAGAAAAGGCAGTGTTTATATTGATCATTTTTTCCAAGCGGATGGAAAGCTCCTTACACAATGGTATAAGAGCATCTGCTGATGTAAATAGCCCAGGAATGTAGTGTGACAACACTGGTTTTGTGTCATAGTGCAATTCTCCCCACACCCTTAGCCTGCAATATAACTTGTCAGACTGACCAGAATTGTAGGAGTCATTGTCAAAGTCTGTGTGTTTAGAGTTTATAGAATTGAAGTCAGTTGTGAGCCACAGATAAAAATAATTCACCCAGAAATCTTTGGACTGGGTTATGTTTTGTTTTTTGTTACTTGTTATCCCTTTAAGTCAGTTTAAGGAAGAAGGAGGTGGCACACACTTATAAAGAAACATTCTAAGCAATAAAACAGTGTTAGTTTAATAAATCTATAGATCTACCATTTAGGTACCATCACTTTTTGTTTATTTTTGTGCTTGCCTTTGTGAATAACATGTTTCATTTTTAATCAGATTTTACAGCACAGTGTTTTTACTTTAGAAATCCCTACCTCCTGCTCTGTTATTTAAACTTTGATCACACGTTGGAGGCTGCTGTAGACTCTTGCAGGCAATTAACAGAGCAGGAGATGAGCATTTCTAAATTAAACACACTGTGCTCTAAATGAAGTGTGTAGGTGTCAGTGTAAGTCACAGCCATGGCAGGTGTGGCTAGGGCTGCATAAACAACGTGATTTATCTTCTAAGTGGCAAAGTATTGAGGAGTTGATACTGCGGGGATATGATCTACACACCAAAACTTTTCATTAAGCTAAAGTTATTTTGATGGTGTCCCTTTAAGAATGAAAAAAAACATAATGTATCTTATTGTTCAGAGTGGCCTTGCTCCTCAATAAATACAGACAGACCAGGCACAGAAGCCTTATGCAGATTTATTAGGATTACCAAGCAATGCTTCAGCTCAGCAGTCAAGCTCTTGTCCATCACAATGTTTGACACTGAGAACCATTGGGTTCCTGCTAGGCATGCGCAGCAGTTACCGAGCTCAGAAATTCGCATCCTTCACAAAGAAGCATTAAAGTCGGAGCTTCTCATAGAGAAGGTTTCATTTCAAAGTCTTCAGCGATGTCAAACATAAAGACATCCAATTATTGAAAGACTTCACTAGAAAGTGCCTTTAGTTGCTGTCTAATAACCACAGAGACATTCTGACTGACGAATGTAATCATTGCCCTTTCTCACAAAGAGCAATGCTTTCATTTGTCAGAGTGCAGGGATGGGGTCTAAGCACCAAAACCACAACATTAAGATGTAATGTTTTTGGTGATTAAAGTGTCCCTTTAAAGGATTGCTGGGCCTCGAAAGCTGATCTCAAAGTGCTGTGTAATGTCAGTATCTACTGTATATCTTTGGTGTGCACAGCTCTCTTTATTAATTGTGAACCTTAAAGTAGACAAGCCACACGGCATTCCCTGGATCGTCTTAAATTATATATCCTTCATATTCCTATGAATGTATGCACCATTACCACTTCACTTATTTGAGTGTATGCAGTGTATGAATGGATGCACCATTACCACTTCACTTATTTGAGTGTATGAATGTATGCACCATTACCACTTCACTTATTTGAGTGTATGAATGTATGCACCATTACCACTTCACTTATTTGAGTGTATGAATGTATGCACCATTACGACTTCACTTATTTGAGTGTATGAATGTATGCACCATTACCACTTCACTTATGTGCAGTACTTCCCTATAGATACACCTTTGCTGCTGGAAGTGTAACTCCACCTCGCTCACCGTCATTGTCCAGCCTGGAAGAAGAGTTCTTCCGTGGTTGCTTCTCCAGCTGTTTGAGATCTCACTCTGTTTACCTCCTCGTCTCCTTTACATTTTAATAGTAGTTGCATCTTTCCGGTGCTACCCCTCATCTCAAATCTCCATTATAACTTTTAGATTATAAGCTCACAGGCCAACTAAGCATTTTGTATTAAAGCGCTTCAATGGCTAGATCTCCGCTCCTGTGCAAGGCCCTCTTTATGTTTTGTATTGGTCTGTATATATTGTACTGCCTATTTCCCCTTATTATACAGCGCTCCGGAATATGTTGGCACTTTATTAATGCCAATAATAAGGGTACGCAATTAGTTATATGCTGACTCCCAAATTTGCTTTTCTTACGTGGAATCGCCATATTGTATGTCCTTTTCTTCATTTTGATCTTTTTCAAAACGATTGGATCCGAAACTATTAGTTCATTTTCCACTGATTCGGATGCTTCTGAATTTTAGCTGAAATTTGTTGCGTTCCAAAACTAATTGCACATCTTAATTCAATATTTGGTTGGATTAAAACTTTAAGCTGAACATTTCAGGTTAAACTCAACACTGATTGCGGTAGATTTTTTAACAAGTTTTTTGTTGAATCTATCAGGTAGAAACTGCTTAGAAATTCTCCTAGTTAGATTATAGAACTGGAACACATAAGTGAAAAAAGTTACCCCTTGATTATTATTTTTATTTTATTTTTATGTTTTTTGGATTTATGTTAACTTTGGTTAGTGAACTTACTATGAGGGCAAAAGGAATGTTGGGATACTTACCTTTTTATCCTTGGTTTCTGAGTCATGTTCAAACCACTAATATTGTAAAGCGCTGTGGAATTAGTTGGCGCTATATAAATACCAAAAATAATAACTACGCTTCTGCTGACTGTAATATAATAACGTTTCTCTGCTGAGAAGGTGACTGTGCCACCGCTTACTGTTATTTCAATTTGCTGAAACATGCATGGGATATTTTATGTGTCTGTGTGCTTAGTTGCCTTAGGACTAAGTATAGCTTTATTCTGAATACAGATGTGGTTCACCGAATTCTAGGCCTGGAAATGCTTTTCCTACACCTTAGTTTAGCTCAGGGGGCTTACCTTTTACAGTTTTGCAAGCTTGCATAGCCCTGACATGGTAAACGAAGTCTACTGCAGCTGGCTTACCAGATGTTTACTATCACTGCTCGTAGTCCTAGAGAACACGTGGCGATCCAGCTGTTAACACATTGCTATTCTCACGATCCTTCACCAGCCTGTGTGCCATAACTGTAGATGGTAGAGGATTGTGGGAGTTTATCTGTAGCCTTACAGCAACAGGCTGCCCATGCCTATTTTAGATTATAAGAGATGGCCGTGAGATTCTTTTACAGCAAAACCTTACTGAAAATAAATTTTCGACATGGCTATCAATTTCTATCAATAATGTCTACATGTACAAATTTAATAAATATTTCAGCTTTGTTTCCTGACACTTTGTATACAGTATATAAGAAAAAGTGGTCTGTGTGCCAGGGACCTGTAGCTTTAACCCTAGAATTGAAAACAGTGTAGTTTTGTAGGAACTACAGTCATAACACTGCAGGGTGTTAAACACACCTGTATTGGCTGTCTTCCTCTACAATCAGTGAGTGAAACTCATAGGAAAACATTAACTTAAATTTTCCAGTTAGAATCGTTTGGACGTGCCTGGCTCACCGCGCATGCGCATCAGTCCCCAAAGCTCCGCTACGAGGAACATTGGTTCGAACTATTGACCAGAGAGCCAAAGTATGTCACTGGAGATGGACCAGGTGACAGCACTAAGGGGGTTTCAGATCTGGAGAAAAGGTAAGTAATAGTTTTGGGGGGTTTTCCCCCTAATGCTATAGTGTTCCTCTACCACGTTTCCAGTTGTCCACACCAGATAATTCCATTACTGAGCACTTACAGTAAAACTTTACAAAATCATGGCAAAGCGCCCCTGTGATATGTAGATGCTGTACATATCCTGTCTATCAGATTTGTAAAACGCAGCTCTTTACGCCAGTGCACACGTGAAAATCTAAATAAATGCTGTGCACCGTCCTGGACATTTTTCTCTTTAGGGGTTCACTCCTAACTCATCAGATGTTCAGAACAGAGTTGGCTTTGGATCAGTTTTAAATCTCTCTGACAGCACCAAGCCAAGCATTATTAATGCTGTGTTGGGATCAAGTGACAGAAACCTCAATGTTTGATAGTGTTCTCACATGTCTGGAAAGCTTTTAACATATTGTAATCTTAGTTTTAATGACACTTGGTTCGGTGCCATTGAGAGCGTTCCAACACTTAAAGGAACACTCCAAACACAAACACGTTGTGTCTGGAGTCTGTGATTTTTCTTGGTAGTTTCTAAAAGTTTCTTTTGAAATCGGCACACATATTTCTTCCTCTTCCGTTCCACAGAACCAATGGAAGCAGGAGGTGTGCTGGGCTACTGTACGACGACCTCCCCCATCTCAGTCAGTTGTGCTACAGCTCCTTGAGAAACATAGGAAGGTTACGATCACGTGCACCTACGCACATGCGCAGTCTCCGCTCCACATAGCAGAAGCCTCTGATTGGAGTTATACCCGGGACAGACTGAAAGTCAGTGCTGAGCTAAAATGGCTGCACACAGGAGGTCCCGAAGACCCCCAAAGAAAGCATGCAGAAAAAAAATATATGCATCTTTTCTTTGCTGGTATATCTATTAAACAAAAAAAAAAAAAAAGGTTTCAATGTAGTGTTCCTTTAATCCAATTCGGTGCCAAACTTCTCTGAGGAATGGACCCCTGTTTTTTGTTTGTTTGTTTACGATGTGTATTGTATGTCTTTTGCAGATTTGGCATTCTGTTTTCACTTCAACAGAGTTCTTTTTTTTTTTTTATATAACTAGTGGGCATGTGACCATTATCTACACATGCATGTGATAAACATATTTAGAAACAACTGACATATCCCGTAGACAGTGTAGAAATACTCTGCGTTTGTTTTCTACAGATGTAAATTGTTATAATTATTGTAGAATCTAGACTCTAAGGAAGATTTTGTTCACACCATAACCTCAAGCTGAACAAAACTAATCCAGGACTGAAGGAAGTGAAAATACCTTCTTCGCCATGTCCGAGTCAGGGGAGCTGTGAGTTTTACAAATCAATACCATGTAAGCCACTCTCAAAACTCAGAGTGGGTGCATGGTACACTCTGCACCATGCACTCTGCAAAGTTGTTATGGTGCTTCGACTGACCCATAAAGGGTTACTCCAATCATCCTAATCCATACAGCCCACTGTATGTGGCCAGGAGTACCATTACCCAGTCCCCTGCTCTCATACAATGACTGACTATCTGTGCGCATAGTGAACAAAAATATAAAACATTGTGGTTCATGCAGTTTTTATCTCTGATACATTTTCAAGGTGGTAGTATTCACTCACAGAGTTTAGTGGCAACAATGTATAACTGCAAATACACGGTAGCAAATTGTCCAGTGTCTCACAAGGTGCTGTTTGCTTTAAAAACAATGATTTTATTTTAACTTGCTTAAAAACATTCTTCAATAGATAAAACAGACTCACTCACATTTGCTTCATGGAAAAAGTCCAGTGCACACTACACACAAGTTAAAAGTGCTGTGGAGGGTAGTATGCCATCTACCAGGAAAAGTATAAATGTTGAAGTCCACAGGCGTCACAATGTAGGGTGAAGAGGATTAAGGCCTGAAGTCTGAAACGTTGTATCTTTTTTGTCCTTTACCTCTACCTTCAGCCTACATTGTGACGCCTGTGGGCTTTAACGTTTATTTTTGCTGCATGAAATTTCCACAAGGGAAGAAAACAACACGTTTGTTGTAAACATACTTTTTAAGATCCTTGCAGTATGTTCACACAAACCTCAGGTTCTGGCCTGGCTGATGATACCTCAATGACACTGCTGGAAGTGGAGTTACACCTACAGCGGCCAAGGAGTTAAACTCCAAACACTGTAACCTCTGCACATCACTGAAGTGGTCATGGTGCTTGGACTAACCATTTAAGGTGCTTATACTAGGGATATTGTGCATTGCTGAACACATTTCCCGATAAATAACACGTTAAAAATAATCCTTTCAAAAATCTAGTTTCTGCCATTTCACAGCTATCTTCCCATCTCACTGGATGGACGTTATCCTCACGTGCTCTGTATAATATCCCACCGGCATTGTATGTTTTTTCCATGATAAATGCTCTTTGTTGACACTTGAAAGAAAGAAGTCCGCATCAGAAATCACATCAAACTGTAATATTTTTTAATAATGTAATGCTGCAGACTTGGTGGTTTTATTGAGCCATTTACAAACATTTAACCAATGTTGGTTCTCTAACTCAGCTGTAATCCCAACTTTTTTCCTTTGTTCCATTCAGATTTAATTGTTGCAAAAACTAGTAAATAATCTTAAACGTATCACACACTACCCTCCTCCCCCATACATTTTGTTGGTGTGTAAATTGTCTAGCACGTGCTGGCTGTGTGTAACTTGTGTTTGTGTTGTCTGTAATATGAGGAGGAGAGTTATGATCCCTGGTCATCCAGTTGGGGTTAAACTCTATGGTGGTTGAGTGTGGGAGCATGTGGTCTGAATCTCCAGTGGGTACAGACTTATATTGACTCATTTGTAAGTGCTGGGATCATGAGAGAGTGAATTCTTTACACTGAACCTACTGCAAGTACAGACCAAGTGCTCCCTGCGTCTGCCCTAACACCCCTAGAACGTCCTGTATCAGCCCTGATAATTTGACAAAGAAAGTCTAAAAGCAAACGGAAACTGCCTACCCAGCACATGGGCGATAGTAATTCCTCCTCCCTGATCATGGTAAAACGAGAGGTGATTCAGGGAAAAGGTTTTGTTTGGCGCAATAACTATATTTACTAAATAAACCAAATGTTCTTGATTGCAGATTTTCCGCAATTAGACAATCTTTAGTAAAATTCTTAGCTGGAATCAATGGAGGGGACTTTCAGACCAAAAGTCATCACAAATCTTTTTTTTTTTTTTTTTAATGGGTTTCGAGAACTAGTTTTAGATGTGCAGTACTAACTAATAAACAACTTTATATACCAGGCCTGGCAGTCATCGGTGTTTACTAATAAACAGCTCCCAGTGAACACACCAACTTCTGTAGCAAAGGTAGTTTTATAGGATTCCACAGCATGTCCAGAATCGCAGTTTGTATGTGCGTGAATAATGGTTGTATTCCTGTTTATTTTCGTGTATACCTGTATTTGGGATTTAAACTAGTCACTAATTGTAATTTTTATATATATTTTTTGGTTTTCTCTTCTAGGGACAATAAAATCAGATACTGAAAAAGGTAAAAAATTTATATCCTTTTTTGAAAACTTTTTTATATATATTTATTTTGTTTTGTAATAATCTGAACTTTGCGTATCTTGCTTACTACCTTGCTAACGATTAGGATCCAACAAGCTTATTGTAAGAAGAATCCGACAGTCCATAAATACACCTGTTTGCTCCTTGTCCCACACTTTTTTTTTTCGCTGAACAATACTATTTTATTGTTTTTCTTACAATGTTCGTTTTTTTTCCCCTTCCTATCACACAGCTATCTACATGGTGGTTTTCCACATATTTTTCATTATGTTTGTGTGGTCCTATTGGAAGACAATATTTTCAAGTCCTGCTAATCCGTCCAGAGAGGTAAGCAGTGTCATTTATTATGGCCCTGGTATTACTGTACCTCGGAGCTAATCTGTTGCCTTGTAACATAATAAAACGACTAAATATGACCTACGTAAGCTCATTGAGTGTTTCCTCTGCATCTTATTAAAATGTTGTCTCGTCATGTGTGTGTGTATCATTCAATAGTGCCTTGATGGTGTATTCAAATCGCAAATTCCCATTTTGTCACTGAATTACAGATCATTTCTGTTTATTGTATGTTTATTTAATACATACTCTTCCCCATACCTATGCATCACTGGATAAAACTGTATGAGACTGGACCTTTTGATCCGGTTACACTGTCACTTTAATCTGTATCTTGGCAAGAAAGATTCCTTGCCCAACAGAGGTTTAGATGAATCATTCATTGAGCGGCCTACCCTGCTGCACCATTGACAAACAAAGCTTGAATGCATTTTCCTTGAAAACAAACTAGTCCTAGGAGGGGCACCACGGCCTAATTATTCATCCTTATTCAGCTCTGGTAATTTGGGTAGCTCTGTATAGTACTGCAAATCACGCTGGACAATGAAGAGTGTTTCTGTTAGACATGCATGGCCAATTTCTAGTTCTTTTGCTGTTGTGGGACTACATCTCCAATGATGCTTTGCCAGTCTTAATTTCATGATAGAAAGCATAAACCAGCATGCAGGAGCAAACTTCTACACTATTAGCCAGATCTAAAAGTTACTAGCCACTGCAAGTCTGAAGGGTTCATTGCACACTAACCAGGAGCACATTACTGCTCACCAGGGCTGAATTTTCACTTGCCAAAAGTTAATGCGGAGTGGAAATGTTGAGCCCTGCTACTTGTGTCTGTGAAGTTTCATGTTAAATGTGATTGTTCCGTAAACAGTATCAGCTCATATGATACATTGCAGGTTATTTCAAATACCCTTTGTTCCTGAATGCTCTATAGCAGATACTTAACAGAATAAGCAGGTGACTAGAATATGAATTCATTTTGGCTATTTTTATTTTCAGTTTACCCTCCGTGGGAAATATTTTTATAATTTGTGTAAGGCAGATAACCATTGTTAATAGTGATAAACACAACCCAAAGCACATGGGTTTTGTCCAACTCCTCGCCCTGCAAAAAAAACTGTACTTCATGGTCACAAGAGTTTGAGTAACACTATCGAGTGGTCATGTGAACTGTGACTTTCATTTACTGATTTTTAGTGAATGCTGGTAAATGGAAAACATTAAATGTGAGAACACTGGCGTATGAACATAAATTTCAGACCTACACATAGAACAGGGGTGGGCAACCTTTGGCACTCCAGATGTTGTGGACTACATCCCCCATAATGCTCTTACACCCATAATGCTGGCAAAGCATCATGGGAGGTGTAGTTCAAAACATCTGGAGTGCCAGAGGTTGCCTGTGCCTGACCTAGAATGATCAACAGATTAGGCCTGTCGAAATACAGCTTGTTTTGACTGATGAGGAGTTATTTGTGAGATAGGGCATGCAGCCCCAGGCCAACACCAAGCCTACAATGAGTTAAAAACCAATCAAGTGGAAATAGGATTTCTCAGAACTGATGTCAACCAGAATGAGCCCTGTAGAATGCATCAATAAAAGTAATGATCGGTGGAATCAGTATGAACTGATCTTAGCACCAATTTCACCCATTCACAGAAGGTAGATCCATTGAGGGGTTATATAATAAGTGCAATTCTAGGGTGAATTTTATTTTATTTTTCAGAAGGATCCATTTCTAAAACTGTATATTTTTTTTTAAATTTGTAATAGAGTGTACCCTGTTCTAGAAATAAGTCTGTTGAACTCCTAACTCCTATATTAAATTCTTGAAAAAGGTGAATTGGTGAGACTCGATTTGCATGGGGATTTCCCGTGGAGTTACCATCATTATGAGACTTTTATCCATCAGAAGTTAACTGCGAGCGATCACATCCCTGGGGGCTGCGGAAGGTGCCCTAGGTCCTTGTTTTTCAACCAGTGGAACCAAAGGCAGGGGATTCGCCAAGAGTTGGCCGACTGGTTACCTTCGTGCTCCCAGAGGGGAAGCCAGCTGTGCGCTAAGGAAGAGTAAGCACCTGCTTACCGTAATGGTAGATGCCTACTCTGCCCAAATACTGTTCCCGGGAAGAGAAGTGAAGCGGAGGCGGCTGTAATCTTCATGATCTTCACGCACTGCTCCCTGCGATGATGCCGTAGCTGGGTTATGATGTCACTCTGGCCTTGGCATCTCAAAATGGCGCTCGAGGGAGCTGTGCTGGAAGAGTAGGAACCTAACACAAATCCACACTGGATCCCAGGGAAAGGAGACTGATCCCAAAGGTAGAGAGACTGAGTGGACTTAATAAAAATAATAAATAATAAGTTGTTTCTGTCAGTGTGTGTCTTAACGTTTTTGTAACCTTATAATTGCCTATATGTAATAGAAGTTCTTTTCATTTACTCTCCTGAAGATACATTTATGTATCTGTAAATCCCAGATATAATAACATTATTTTATTTCCCTCTAGTTTTGCCTATCTCAGTCTGACAAGGAGAAGTATGAACGAGAAGAGAGGCAAGAGTTCCAGCAGGAGATTCTTAAAAAGGCAGCTAAAGACTTGCCAGTCTACACAATGACTGCGACCAAAGGTACTAGTTCTTCTTCTACTTTTGGATGACATAAGCATGCTTGCTGGCATAAGCATAGTGTCACTGTGTGACCACTGATACCGTGAACCTGTGATGGGGACTTTGGCATCATTGATCTGTGTTAGCTACATGTCTTAAGCTCTCTGAGCCCCATGGGAAATGTAGTTCACAAATACCTCTGGTGCAATTCTTTGCCATCATGGCATTTGCTCGATTTATAATGAACGTATTCCTGCATTTCAGAAGGAGATTGAGGTTAAATGATAACAACGTGTACATTAAATTTAAAACTGTAACTAAAAATATAATAAACCAGGGCATGTTTAAAACGGCATCTTATTGTTTTGGGCATAATTTTTTTTTTTTTTTTAATACATGCATCCAGTTTTATTTTATGAATTTGTGTGCTACCAAAAACCTCATCATTCCATCTCAAGAATTGGGTATCCTATCATTCCATTAATTAATGCATTCTACACCGGACCTGATGGCTAGGGAGGACTGATTGAATGAATTAATGACCTCTTGGTTGTCTTTTTTCACTTCCTGCTTATCTTTACTGCCTTAACTTAGTGTCTTAAGTCACTGCAGTCTTTTCCATCTGCTGAGTTTCACTCAGCATTATGATGATTACAGCAGATACAATGCAGATAGACAGCTATGCCAGCTCACTGCTTGAGAGCAGATGGCCCGATGAAAGGTTTCTTTAAAGGCCTAGCTTAGTACGATGTCGGTTAAGATGTGTAGGTTGTGATTCTTAAAGACGTACTATATGCTAAAACTGCACCCGCCACAGGTAATCTAGTCCTATGTTACTATTGAGGCCTTAAATGTTACTCTCCACTACAAGCCTGGAAGTTCGGTAGCATACTCCCTCTACTCCCCAGGGCTGCATTTTCACACCCCAATAGCTGGTGACGAGTGTAAATGTTGAGCCCAGGATAATGCATGACAATTTTAAAAACCATAAATACAAAGAATACTTACCTTCAAAGTTCTTTATGATTCTACAGTTTGTGTATGCCGAAACAACAGGAAACTGCTCCACCAACCAAGCATTTTCATTCTGGTCTATGGGGATTTTTTTTATTATTATTATTACCATGAACCCATTTTTTCAGCTGTGGTTTATTGAATATGTAGTTTACCCCTGAACTGCAGTTCAAGTCCTGAGTTATTGAGTAAACTCCAGAATTAGCTGATACCAGGTACAGGGATGCTGATGTCGGTGTATTGTGGACTGGGTTATATGCATTGAATCCTGGACCAGCCAAACACTGTATGCCCACCTGTGTGAGAGCTATAGGGGAATGGAAAAGGGAGTCCCTCCCCAAGCTGTGCGTTCCGTATCTAAACATATTCTCGACACAGGTGAGATGTAAAATTTATCATCAGAGCCTGGGAGTAGACTTAAGAACTGCTACGATTTTTTGGCAAATTGCTGAAGTTATAAGCCAACCTGGCATAGGGGACAGGAACTGTACTGTCTCCACTATAACCTTTGCAATGGAGCGACATTGTCATTGTTTTAGTGATATTTTATCGATTGATTTGACAGATTTTTATATTTAAAGGAGCAATCAATGGGTTCATTTATCTGTCAATTAATTGAACATCTTAACTGAAAATGCATTCTTTAGGATTACAGTAGCCCCATTACATCCAATAAACAGAAGCTTTGTTTTAGTTAATCATGATTTCAGTTAGGATTGTCTGCCGTCCAACTAAACATAGGACTGTGAGTGAATGTGTTAAGTCTTCTGTTCCATCTCATACCTCATTCAAGCTATAAAGCATTTATTCCTATTGAAATCAGCAGTCACAGCTCAGAATAAAACCACTAGACAGAGCAGCTATAAAACCTCAAACCCATTATGTTAATGGGACTTGCAGTGCCAAGACCAGAGCATTATGTGTTCTCGTGTTCCAAGAATCGTGGTTACCATGCTTGGCTCCCAGGGCATCAATCTAATCCTTATTTACTATTGTTCTTTATGAAAACCCACTAAATTACACTCAAAACAACGAGCAGCCATTGTATTTTAAGGGTTTAAGAATACTGTCTGCACCAATTAATGTTCCTTCGTACCTTTACTATCGCTGCAGTGACACAATCAATGCATTGGTCCTTTAACCCCCAATCAATGCTCACAGAATAAATCCTTCATCACAGTGTGGTCCACAGCCAACACGTTTTATATAAAATGATTCATGTAATACTCCTTTATTCAGTATCCTATATTGTTGGTTTCTCAGCACTTAACAACCTGATTTTTACGTGGCGGGTATTTACCAGCAGCCTGACAGATTTGTATTTCTTCCGGTAGATGAAATGATACTGACATGATGGCTCATTCTCTCAAAATGTTATCAGAACACCCAGCAGGGGTTACTGGTGTGGTTTGATCTACCTCTATCACAAAACTGAGAGGACATGGAGCCACCATCTCAAGTCCACATTTGTGAAACGCGTTGGAGATAGAGATTGAGCGGTGTGATGATTATTCATGTTGTGCAGCCCAAAAGTACTGTCTGCTGGGCAATCCATTTACCATTGGCTCCTATAACTCCTGAGTGATACATGATATATCGTTCAAGGTTTAATAGCCAACAGTATGTATGACATCTGCTGTAATTGCATGGTTTCAGGTTTGGTTAATTGAGGGGCTTTGTGTGTGTGTTTTTGTTTTATCTCCATTAGTTATTTGCTATCTATTTTTAATCATATATGGAATACATTTCTTGCACTTTTTTTTCCTGTTGGAGTGTCCATCCATGGAACACTTGATTAAAAAGTTGAACCCACAATAACTTCCTTTATTGTATCTAGATTTAGTTTTTGGGGTTTTTATCTGACTTTTGGTTTCACTGATATATTATTATATATTAATTTGTCTGCACTGTTTTTTGTTTTGTTTTTTTAATTCTTTATTTTTGCTGTGCACGAAATAACTTTCGCATATCAACAATGCCACAACAGCATTCGCAATCAATTTACAAACACTTATTTGTTAACTGTTGTACAACATCTAGAGGAAACGCACATATTTTTTTTATTTTTTAGGGTAATAATACAAGCTAAGTACAAGCTGGGTAACTACGTCTGTCTTTTTGAATTACATTGTCAATTAGTAACAGTAGCTTAGGGTTAATATTTATGTCGCGTGTCATCGCTTCAATATCTAGACATTGACTTGGTTATGCTTGACTATGCTTAAGTGAGGGACATACATTTTGTACAGTAACAGCTGGGTAAGTTTGCATTTCAGGTTATGATAGGTTATGCAGTGCTGACTAACAAGAAATATGTAGTTCTATTAAGGTTTCCAGCTTAGCTAAGATTCTCATTAAAGAAGGGTGCCACCAGGCAAAGCATCATGCATTCAACTATTTCCCACTATACATATAAAGCTCTAATAAAGATTAATTATATACAAGGTCATATGCAGAGGATGTGCACGTTATTCAATGACTGCAACTACAGTGATATCTGGTATGGCTATTCATGGCATACTATATATTGTGCTTCTTGTTGTGAACGGCTGGGTTCACTGCCAGCTCCATCCCAGCCCAAAGCATGAGGTAGTGGGGTCGTGTTCCATGCCCAGGCATTGGGTGAGTCCCTTGAGATTACCCCATGAGTTCTACTGGGTCCTAATGTCCCGGTTGCTGGGTAAGTTTGCCTTGCCTTGTAAGCCTTGATGTGCTGTCAAGGGCTGTAGCACCATGCGGTCAGTGGGTGAAGCTGATTGTCCTGTTTGTTCTTCCAGCCCTGGTCGTTAGTGGAGCTTGCTTGCAGAGTGCACTTCTGGGGTTGCCGCTTTGAGATGGGCATGTGGAGGAAGTGCTGGCTGTGATGGTTCTCGCCTGTCAGCTTGTGTGCTCCAGGGTCGTTACGTGGGGGCTTTAGAGCCCTCATGGACCCCCAGTGATAGCAGCTCAGGTTGTGAGCACAGAGGGATCACCGTCTCAGTCGGTGCAGTTGCTGTGCAGCAATCGGCCATTTTGACGAGACCACGTGGGAGCCTCACTCCTCCGGCTTCGGGCCATCCAGGTGAGATGCTTAGGCGGTAGCCCGCCTGGTGGGGACCGGGATGACCACCCCGGCCCACGGGGGGAAAGGGGGGGGACCAGGAAGGCACCAGGTAGATGGTGGTTCGCTGTAGTCGGGGTGGAGAGCGATGGCAGCAGCCGTCCGCCCTGCTCCCCTCCCGGGTAGGCCTTAATCCCCGAGCCCCAGAGTCTCTCACCAGGACCTAGAGCCACCCTGCAGCAGGCGCCCCAGCTACACCGGGACACTCCAGAGCTTCGTGTCACGGACCCCCGGGTCTGTATAAGCTGGGTTAAGTGGGTATATTCCTTATTTTCCGTTGTTTGTCGGGAGCCCGTGTGATATGCAACCTGCTGGCATGGCCGCCCGGCCCCGCCCCCTATGTTTTTTTTTTTTTAAATGTCATTTAGGCATCTTTTTGGAAGCTGTTTACATGAGAACCTTTTTTGGTGGGGGGAGGATGACGGCATTCGTTGGCAATCTGATAATGTCATCAATGAAGATTGTAGATTGATCTCCCCTTGGAATAGTTTTGATTGTTTTGTTTTTTTCCCCTTTACTGCAGCCATCAGATACTGTGACAGATGCCAACTGATAAAACCCGACAGATGCCATCATTGTTCGGCGTGTGATGTGTAAGTCTCTTGAATTTTTCCATGTGCAATGCAAATCAAGCTAGAAATGGTAATTAGAAACACTGTCTGCATATTGGTGTTGTGTGTTTTATAGGGTCTGACAGTGTATGTTAAACAGAATTCATACCAGCATGACAGCTGTCAGTTGCCTATATCGAATTTACATATTTTTGGAATGTTGACAAATTCCTTGTGACTCAGAGCTACCGATTGAGATTCTAATATTATTTACTACTCGTTAGTGTTATCTGCACGTATATATTTATATGTGTGGCATATATGTGTATTTGTTTAAAAAAAAAAAAACAATTTTTTCTTTTTTTGCACAGTACCATTATTTTTTCCAACTGTAAAAAAAAAAAAAACACATTTGCTCCAACATGTCCCATATTTTTAAGAAGAAATTTAAAAAATCTGCAAAGATAATACATTGGTACATATCCTGCAAATGTACATTGTTACACCATACTTTTGAAAGGCAAAGATCGTATGATTGGCTAGTATCAATGTGGTGCTAGTAGCTACAGCTACAGTGAAGTTTTATAATAGGAAACTGTGGTGGGGTCTTGACGTGAGAGAGAAGGGGGTTGGTGCCAGGAAGATGACGGGGGGATGCATTGTCTGTTAGACAGGATGTTTGTTCAGTTAACAATGACGTGGCAAATAACTTTATCTAAAATATCGGATTTGGAAAAATTCTTCAACCACTGAAGTGGAGATACGTTTTGTAAATTCCCTACAAATGTACAATTTCGGTCATTAAACAGTTTTTGGAACAGTGCCCACTCTTTATTTTCTATTAAAGGTGGAGGGATGGCTGAACTTCTTTCACTTCTTTCACGTGGGGGGCAAGAGCGCACCCAGAGCTAAAACTCTGGAGGGTGATTCTGGATTTAGTGACACATTGTTAATGAGCGACACACACAAACACAGATACACAAATTTACAAGTTTGCATACAATAAGAAATGTCTACACATAATTAGGAAATGCAGCCTCTGCTTGAGAAATCAGTTAAAAAATCAATTTCCAGTGTATGTGTATCAGGCTTAACAATTTGTGGCTCTGGCACTTTTTAATAACTTGGATACAGGCATTTGGGAACTGACTGGTGGTAACCCCTCGTTTGTTCTGGTGTGCCCCCTTGGACCAGCCAAAGATGGGAGGGAGTTACTGTTCCACCGCCATGTGTCCAGCAGGGAAGATTTTATTTTTAATTCTTTATTTATAGGTTCATGTATATAGAGTTACATTCATTTTGAGAGATAAAGACAAGCAATGGGTAAAACATGCCCTTTTGTACCGCAAGTGCGGAAGTGAAGAGTATCACATCGGTTAACGTACATTTCCATACAGTATATAACATTTGTGTCACAGTGGGTGAGCCAGCAATAAGTGAGCGGGGCTAACATGCATGTGCAAATTGGGCACAAAAATATGTAACTTGGCGGTTTGCCTTTGAAACTGAATACATTTGGTCCTGCAATGTGAGTCTTTTTCTAAACACCGGTTTTGTAATAAAATACAAGAATGACATGTCTTTTCCATTGTTCCTTTCTCAGGTGTGTCCTGAAAATGGATCATCACTGCCCTTGGTACGTATTTAAAGGGATGCAAAGTATACAGGGTTTCAGTAAACGGTGGACTGACAGGGGAATTGCAATTTTAGGACAAATTGGGGGGGGAAACTGTTCAGCTCAGCCACTTGTACAGGGGTATTCATAAAGGTAGAATTGTTGGGAATACGCAGTTAAATTCAAAGGTAAGTCCAAAATGAACGTAGAGTTGACTTGGAGAATGTTTCTAAATCAACTATCTTAGTCTAAAATGTGAAATTTGAATTCATGGCAATTTTCCCTTTATTGAATAACCCTGTATGTGTAAAACAGGGGTCCTCAAACTCCGGCCCCCCAGATGTTGCTGAACTTCAACTCCCATGATTCTCTGGCTATCTATGTAATTCAAAGAATCATGGGAGTTGTAGTTCAGCAGCATCTGGGGGGCCGGAGTTTGAGGACCCCTGCTCTAAAACTTGCAATTCTTTGGTTAATTGACTGTAGTTTTCAGTGTACAGTAGTGGGTAACACAGAGTGGTTTATTCAATAAGCACCGAATTATTGGACACAAGATTCCTGTAGTTAGGTTAAACCAGCCAGTATCGGACTATTGTGGAGTTCCAAGGTGTCTATTGTAGCCTGACTTTTGCAGTTGGGTTTTAAATTCACCGCTGTTCAGGATTTAGTGAATGTTTGTTTAGCTGTAAATTCTTATTTATTTTTTATTTTTTTCTTACAGGGTTAATAATTGCGTGGGATTCTCCAACTACAAATTCTTCCTGCTCTTTTTGTTGTATTCTTTGTTGTACTGCCTGTTCGTTGCGGGTTCTGTTCTTCAGTATTTCATCAAGTTTTGGACAGTGAGTATTATTATTATAGTGTCTGTATTTATTTATATTGTTTGTTTTTGATGGGGGGGGAACGTGCTTCACTTAATATATTTTACTGTAGTGAATTCTTTTAAAGAATTCTAGAACTGGTGTTTAATAATTATAGCTAGCATAATTGTTAGTTTAAATCTGTTTGTTTTTTTTTTACAACATAAAAGTTTGTTTTCTAGGAATCGAATGTCAAAACATAGAGCAATGTCAAGACTTGTTGCTTTACCAGTTTAATAATTGTTATTAAGAGAAACTTTTCAAAACAGAATAGTTAAGAAAGACATGTCAGTGGAACAAGTTTGACAGCTTCCAACAGGTTCTTCCTAAGTTATTCTATCTGTAGAGAATTTCTCATCTTTACTATAATTAACTTGGCACCAGTTTTAGAGACCCGACCTAGCTAAATCCTGTTTTCCCCCTGCCTTAACCTAAATGACCCAAAATATTTCTTTTTACACGGCAACTCAGTTATAGTTTAACCCCTTTGGGACCAACAGCTCACCAGGATTGTCACAATAAGGATTTGCCTGGCTTTAGTGCGGAATGAGTTAATAAGCAGAAATTCTGTACATTCTTCCTCAATGCCTTTGTTGCTTTGGTAATCAGCTTAATGATCTTCAGTCTGGCTGCTCTCAGGCTTGCAGTGAGTTTTTGCTACTGCATTGCATGCTTTACTAACGTTTACACATCACAGCTCATCCAAACATCCACATTGGCGTTGTGACGTTCTATTGCGATCATTTTTATTTATACTGCCAGGGTCAATGATGGAAAAGATTTCAAAAGTGTTAGAGGATTATGGAAAAGGGGGTCCCTGGTATAATGTATTCTATTGTAATGTACTTTTTGTCTTATCTGAAATAGAATAGCTGGGTCATTTTCCTAAAAAAGAAAAATTTGATGCCAACATTTTGGGGGGGGAAAAAATAACTGGGGCAGTTTAAAGCAGAGCAATAGATCTGAGTATATATATTTCGCCATATGAGAGTGCCGTAGATATATCAGGTTGATAGTACATGGTTATTTTGATGTGGTCATTAAAATACTTCCTTGGATATTTAAAGCTAAGTAATGGAAAAACTACTTCTAGAAGGTTGTGAGACTTTGCTGTTTAGGTCACTGTGCTGACCTCATTATTTCATTCCCAACTTGTACTGTATTCTTTGAACAGTGCCTTTCTGAACAGATGTTCTTTGAGGTACCTAAAATGATTGGGCAATTTGATATTTCAATCTATTTCATGGGCTGGTTTGTTGATGTATGCAAGGAACCTCCCTCTACCTTAAAATCTGGTACTACTTGTTGTACAATGGTGGAGGAGATGGAGAGTTTAGTCCAACAAGAGCTGGGAGTACTAATTATGCCTTTTAAGTGATGGACTTCGGAATGGTGTAGAACAAGGGTAGGCAACCTTCGGCACTCCATATGTTGTGGACTACATCTCCCCTGATGCTTTACTGGCATTACGGCTGTAGGAGCATTACGAAAGATATAGTCCACAACATCTCAAGTGCCGAAGGTTGCCTACTCATGGTGTAGAAGCTGAAAGTCATGCTCTGCTGTGTAGTAATGGGGGGGTTTCCTTTTGTAGGATATTACATGTTAACCAAACTATACATCAACTACATTAGCAAAGCAGCATCTGATGGAACTGTCTTTATATAGAAAATGTTATACATCACAGTGGTCGTGTCTGTCCATTGAATCTATCCAATATGGGGAAAAAAGGGCTTGCACTCACCAATAGAAAGAAGGATTTTAAAACGATGTTGCCACACAAACTAGCATGACTACAAGACCCTAATGGTAAATCAAAATAACAAAAAAAAATTCTGTTAACACATAGTTCCAATTGCAGGCTTGGTTGGAGATAAACAGACAACGTTGCGGATTAAATCTGTGTGCGCCCAGACAGTTTTTGTTACTCTATCCATTGAAACTATTTGACAAAGCAACGTCAAAATGGCAAGTTAGATAGCAATGTCAGCCGTAAAAGACTCAAGTTCAAGTGGACACAGGACTGAACCGTGAGCTAGTCGACTTACCACTTTCGTCTGGCCTGAACATGAACTTGTCCAAGGACAAGCATTTTAAGCTAAAGCAATTTGTCTTTGTGAATGTAACTTGTTTTCTGAATATTTCTGAAATACCTAATAGAATCCAAATAGGTCTCAATCACTGTGACACCCTGATCTATACTTCTACTGGTTTCTTCATAGACTCCAATTATCTTCATTTGACTTGATCTGTCTTTTATAAAACCATGTTGCTTCTGTCATTGTATTTCAAATTTAATTATCCCTCAATAATCTTTCAAATATTTTCTCAGCCACAGATATTAATCTGAGATTTTGACCCATTTTCAAATACTTTACATTAGCCTTTTTTGTACAATTCCTTGAAGGAACAAAACCTGTAAGATTGATAAGTTAAACATGCTATGTATTGCAACAGCGAAATGTGGTTTTTATGGAATATTAAGATTTAGAAACTTTTTTTTTTCTCTTTCTTTGATGGCTAGAGGTTTAGGGTTAGTGGACTTTATACACAGTATTTAGACTTGATACCTGCAGTTGGGGTTAAATAGCAGACCATGTTGCCCATGTTAAGAGTTTAAACTTTATATGTCATTATTGTGGACAGGAATGATGAGTTGCAGCCTGCAGCATCCCTGTTATTCATGATCGCTGAGGATATAATGACACTCATACCTTGCCATTTTGAAAGTGCTATTTTATTAGTAAAACCCTTCCCAAACTCCATCCGTGCTTGCAGTCTTCAGCTAAAGGTTAACTCTGTAAACCATCGCAGCATCCAGCTCCATGCCTCTGGCCTATGACCTCTGCATCCCATAATCTCATTTCCGATTCAACCATTCCAGTGTCTAACAAATTGTCTTTGTTTGCGTGAAGCTTTGCCGCAGCAAATCTGAAGAGAGTTGTCCACAGGTAAAATAAACCAGTCTAGTGATATGTTGACTGTCCATCTAAGCAGTTTGACCATTTTCTGTTTATTTAGGTTTTATTTACTTTTTTCTTTTTTTTGGGGTGTAAGTAGAGTATTCGTTGCACCCCGTCTGGCATGCTTAGTGTTAGCAATAGTTCTGCAATAGCAATCGGTGCAGACTAGCATTATACGGAGATTAGATTACTTTATCCCATTTAGAATGTTAAGGTATAAAAGACGAGCAATCCCATCCCCACTTTCTAATTATTTGGTACTTATTTATATTATATATTATGTTTTGTAGTAACAATACATTTGTATTGCGACTATACAAGGATTAACTCTTGTGGCTACAAAATCTTAGCATCCCAACGTTCTGTGCCTGTAAAAATACATTCAGCAGCTCGCCTTTTCTATGCCCCGAATTAGCGTACGTACTGCTATCTCATCGTCTCTTCTGGCACTCAGACTCGTTATTTATTAACCCTTTAAGGGCAAGGCACATAAAAGTCTCTATAGCAGAGCAGAGTATCCTGCCTGCTTATATTAAATAACCACGTGCAGTCACACTGTCACCAAATAATCCAGTATTATTGCAACATGGAACTTTCTCTTAATTTAAGTGTTAAGAAACACTAAAACACTTCTGACACCAGAATCACCACAGGTTTTTAGATTTTAGCCCAAGAATCAATCCTTGGTGGGGAAAAGGGGTAATTGTTATGCAGTGTGCACCAAGTAGGTAAATAAAGGGGCAGTCCTCTCTAGTAACCAAAATACCAAGTTGTGAAAACATGGATTAATATTTATTCATAAAAAAGTGTTAACACGATAGTTGTGGCTTCTTTTTGCTAAGTAGGGTTTTTTTTATTAAAATCTCCTGCTGCAGGATTTTGTGTAACAAATTACACTAATGAAAAAATGATGCATATTTTTATCGTGGAATTAATTTCTAGTGCTTCCTCATAATAGCACGCAAGATAAGATTAGTAATTTTGTGTAAAAAATGTATTTCTAGTTTTGTGATGTAACTTTTCTAAAAGCTCATGGGGGACTTCTGCATTTTTATAATTTGCTTCACACAGTCTAGCTATAATTTTATACCATGTAGTGAATTCCCCATTCACATTCATTTACTCTCACGTTGTATATTTACTAATGGAAGCATGGCACATTGCTGTCTGCAAGGTTTCCTAGTGATTATCATCCTGACAATTCTACATTGCTTTATTTGGCCTTTCATTATAATTTTGTATTTAAAATAGATTTAAGGAATTCTTTTTGAGTACTAGCTGAGACTGCCCTTTTTATTCTTGAAACGTTTAAAACTGTTTCCTGTAATGAAATCTGTTTTTTTATTTGTAACTATTTTACCCAAACAGTGAACATTGGATTAGAGCAGAGGTGTTCAACTCAAAGCCTGTAACCCAGTGTGTTTGAATTTCTTTAATTAAAGTGTAATCATTGGGTTGGGAGGAAAGGTCACTCGGATAAGAGTATTTTATTTCTGTAAATGTTGCATGTTAAAGGTAGTGATTACCATAAGCGTGTTTTTTATTTATTTATTTATTATACACAGCCTCACTTTCTATGTATTTTGATTACTGAAACGTACATCACATCTGTCTTTTAAAAAGGCACATACTGGGCAGTACATACAAATTAAACCGTTTTTCCCATGATTCTCTAACATAATTAATTTACAAAGATTTACTTACACGTTTTGCTTATTTTTGTTTTGGTTTGTGTTTTCCCTTTGGCTTTGTGTGTTTAACTCATAAACCTACCTCAGGGAAGCAGGAGACTCAAAGGTAACAAAATGGTGAACCCTTGCTGAATATTCACAATGATGGCTTAAAATATCACTTTCTATGCCACTAGCCAGGCCTTAGTAGTTACACACAACTGCAAGCCAGGAGGGTTTATAGCATACTCGCCGGATTTTAATTTCTATACTCCAGGGCTACATTTTTCCCTACCTACAATAGTTTACTTTTTACCAGAGGCTCATGGGAAATGTAATTTAATATGCATGAAATGCCTTGTCTGTGCCTTTTCAAACCACAAATATAATGTTCATGTGCATATTTATTTATTATTCCAAATAACTACAAATAATAAAAGCAATAGCTGCTTTTATGTGTTGCGATTAACTTTAGTCTGGCCTCAAATGACTTTCCTCTCTAATGTTTTTCAATAATTTTACGTCACATGCTTTCCTGAAAATCCAATGTGTCTGCAACTGTTGAGTTAGACACCTACACTATAATGTAATTTATGGATTTATTTTTAAATAGCTAATAGAAGGTTTTCATTTGCAGAATGAACTTCCAGACACACGTGCGAAATTCCATGTTTTATTCCTGTTTTTTGTGGCAGCAATGTTCTTCATCAGTATCCTGTCATTATTCAGCTACCATTGCTGGCTGGTGGGAAAAAACAGATCAACTATAGGTAAAGAATACAAGCATTCGTCAAAATAAATATGTATGTGAAAGGTCTAGTATTCGTGGCATGCTCGCTTCCTAATTCCGCAGTGTTAAAACTTAATGTGGCATTGTTGCTTTTGGGCTCTTCATACCTTCGGTGATAAACTTGTTTAGACAGCATTAGAAATCCCAACACAACCAAAATATATCAAGGGCTATTTTGTCTTATGAACATGGCTATTATGAAAAGTTGGCCAAGAACATAACGACCCATCTTGCTGTTTACTTTTAGACATCATTAGCGAAGGTTGAATTGAACAAGCATCTCTGTGCACAGGGGGGTCTTGTGGGATCTACTGAGGACTCACATTTTGTACTCTTGCATATCCATGAGTCTATAGTGATGTAGATGAACCCACCAGGAACTGAAGATGGTTCTGTTATGAAAGTATTTCTCCTTTCATACTCCCCCCCCACGGTGACATGTTTTTTTTTTTTGGTGGGGCCCAGAAGAGCTTTACAAAAAGGACAACAATCCCAGTAATGGATGACCGTGTTATCGTAAAAGGACACACCTAAGAAATCAGTTAACACCATGTCAAGCCAGATACATAGTTTTTGCAAAATATATATGTAAAGAAAATCCAGAAGGAAGTAATGAGATGATCAATGGAAGAATGCATTTCTATGTATCTCGAACAACCCTGCTAAAACCCTGCCTTCGTGGCCTATTCTGGTTGTCACCAGTTGTAGGACTTTCAACAGATAAATCTCATATCTTGTATGAGCATAAATCGTTGCATTACATTACATCATCAGATTTGAGATTTCACACTCTAGAAGGTAGCTTGCCCAATCATTGGCTTTTCATTGGCCAATGAACTCTGAGCTCTAAAGCATGTTTTACCTGTAGGAGGAACTGGTTAGCAGATTTCACAGCCTCGGCTCTGCCTAGAACTCCTGTAGCTCAATTATTTTCTCGTACTTCTGAAAGCTGATAGCTGAACTCTCTGAAAGCTCTGCTGTGCTAGGGCAGCGCAGACAGTGTTAAGACGCAGAATGATGTCAAATATTTATTTTTGTAAATAACTTGCAATATAAAGCTAAATTATGTCACTTAAAGCAATTAATTTATAAGTTGTGTCAATGTCTTGACTGTGCCTCTAAATGCCCTTCAGAATGCAGTGTGGTGATAATTGTTGGTGTGTGTTGAGATGTATGTGTCACTGTCTATGTATCTATTTTAGAGGCATTCCGTGCGCCTACATTTCGAAGCGGTCCAGAAAAGAATGGCTTTTCACTCGGTTTTAGTAAGAATCTGAGAGAAGTGTTTGGTGATCAGAAGAAGTATTGGCTCTTACCAGTTTTCACAAGGTACATTGATTTTTTTTTGTATTGATTTTCGACCTGAAAACCGCAAAACATCCGAGACCACTATTAGTGGCTATAATAATGGTAATTACAAATTGACAAGATTTGGGTCTTGTCCTTTTTTGTTTGTCAGGGCCATTTACTGGCATCAAAACACAAAGGTTATACTAGATCGTCAGATATTTTCTTATTTTGTCCATCTCCTTGTATGCCTTCTAGAAATATATAGAAATGTTTTATAGATTAATTTTATTATTGGACTAACACAATTTTGAAATGACGAACTTTCGGGAGAACCTCCCTTTCTCAAGTCTAAATCATTACTGAGCAAAATGTGAGATGAGTACAGATAAGATACAAGTGATAAAAAAGACAACATTCTCACAGTGGGTCGTAAATATATATATATTTTCAATAAAAGAAAGGGTGCAGGAGATGGTACTAGAATGGGGAGAGTTTAAAAAGAAATGACAAGGGTTAAGAATGCATGAATTCACATCCAAAAATCCAACGTATGCATGAAGGCAGATATACAAACTACGTATAAATATCCATACTTTATACACACGTACGTATACACATGAACCCATATAAATATACTCAAACGCACAAATATACACGCATAGTCATTCCAAAATTCTGTTAGTCCAATAAAAAAAAAAAAAAAGGTATTACTATTTTCATATGGTATTTTGCATCTGTCACTGGACTAATATGGTTACAATCTCTATGAACTCTCTATATATGTATATATTTGATATAGATATATAAACTTATCAGTAATGAAATCTAAAAGCTATCATGCAACAGTGGATGAACATATCACTATCATGCTGCCATGTGTACACACACACACACACAAATATCATCTGTTCAGCTGGATTGAGCAGCTGCAGGTTCTCGTGGCTGTAGGGTCAGCTGCCGTGTTACAGTGGTTCTACACATCCGGAAGATGTCAGTTCAGAGACTACATTAACTTTCTCTGCGCCCCCTGCAGCCCCACCTGCAGCATTATACTGCGAAAACTTCTCAGCAGAATCCAAATAGTGCTAAACTTTTTTTTTATATGTAAAACAAAATACACGTGTGATCACTGCCGAACAGTACATTCATTTCTTCTTGAGTATAACTGGCACCACATGCAGGTTTGTCAGTGCCAGTCTGTGAGGCATTGTGATACCATATGTCTCTTTTAAGTGTTGTGACTAAATCCTGCTGTTCGTTGTTCTCTTCCTACAGCTTGGGTGACGGCTGCTCTTTCACAACACGTCTTGTTTCAGGAGATCCAGAACTGGCTGCTGCCACAAGCCAAAACGATACAGCCAAACAGTACGTGTCGATTTGTTCCCTCTGGGTTTGGTTCTGTTTTGTTTTTACTATTTGTATATTTTATTTATTTAGTATGCTAAAATATATATATCTACACACATACACACAGTCATGGGAAAATGCAAGTACACCCTCTTTGAATTCTATGTTTTACATATCAGGACACAATAGAAACATAGAATGTGACGGCAGATAAGAACCATTCGGTCCATCTAGTCTGCCCTATTTTCTAAATACTTTCATTAGTCCCTGGCCTTATCTTATAGTTAGGATAGCCTTATGCCTATCCCATGCATGCTTAAACTCCTTTACTGTGTTAACCTCTACCACTTCAGCTGGAAGGCTATTCCATGCATCCACTACCCTCTCAGTAAAGTAATACTTCCTGATATTATTTTTATACCTTTGCCCCTCTAATTTAAGACTATGTCCTCTTGTTGTGGTAGTTTTTCTTCTTTGAAATATGGTCTCCTCCTTTATTGAAATAACATTCATCTGTTCCTTAGCAGGTCTTAGAGTTAGGTAAATGCAAACTCAGATGAACAACACATGACATATTACACTGTGTCATGATTTAGAAGCCATGTGTGGAAAAACGAAGTACATTCTTGCTGCTTCCATAGGAGATAAAAGGCTAAGTGGCAGACAGGTGCTGCTAATCAGATGCCCTTGATTCATTGATCATCAGCAAGTGTGACAAGCTCTATAAAAGCCAAAGTTTAGGTGCAGGGGCATGCCAGATGTGTAGCATAGCCTTTATGTGAGGGGTTGTTGGGACACGATACGCGTGTTTTGTTGTGGACCCAGCCAGGGTAGAATGCATACCAGTATTCTTATAAGCATTGACTCCACCTCATTCCAAAGTTTCACCACCCCATCTTTGCCTCACCTCATGCGAGGCCTGGTGATATACTCTGTCTTCGGCAAGGTGAGGGTGTTGTGTCGTATTCTCGCTTTTGCATCAGACAAACATTAAGATCATAGGTCTGAGGGATTGAAATAATGCATCAGGGATAGGCAGGGTTTGAAATAAATATAGAACACGAGCCAAGACATTTATTTTCGCGACCCCCACCCTGCCGAAGCAAGAGAGGTGCGGCCCGAGCCATTTATGTGTCTTATCTTCCAACATTTTCAGTGTACAAAGAGGGATAGTTTAATTTTGGGTTTTTGTTCTGAGAAAATTAAGGTGACTAACTAATAACAATTTATGCAACTAAAATGTAATTTAGTCTAAGAACAATGTGTTGTATTTACACAGACTGACTGATCTCTAAACACATTTATTGTAGTTTATACACATTACTGTGACTATTATTGCTGTGAAGCTCTGTGATATACTCAAATACACAAACAATAATGAAATCCTACTAGAAGAGAGGGACTGGCCCTTCTAAATATGGATAGTTGGGAAGTATATATTTATATTTCAGCTAAAGTAACAAAATGTTTTGGAGCTTTCATGGGAAACTCTCCCTTTACTGGTAAATTCTCTACTGCAGATTGAGAAACCAGATACGAGTCCTAGAGAGAGTTATGAATCCTCTATAAAGCTAACCCTTTATTATTATTTATTATTATATAAAGCACCAACAAATTGAGCAGCGCTGTACAATAAGTGGAGTAACAGACAAGCATTTGTAACAAAACGCGTTGGGTGCACCCAAACAGTGTTGAGGGCCCTGCTCAAACGACATTACATTCTAGAGGGAGTGGGTTAAAGTGAAACAGGGTAAGGGTAGGATGTATTTCATGTACGGGAAAAAGTACGTTGCTAGTATAGTTTACAATGAAGGTTTAGTTTTTTGGATGACACAGCTGTAGGAGAGAAAGCAAGGTAGGTTACCAATGTGTGGGGAGGGAAAACTATTAACAGTTTAATAACCCTTTAACCAAATCCTGTAACAATTAATGTCATATAATCTGTGTTTGCAGCACTAGTTCCACTCAGCCCTTCCCTCCAAGACCTCTCAGTGAGTCCCAAAATCGACTGCTGGGGAGTGACAGCCATTGGGCCGATGGCAGTGTGGGAGATGACGCATCACAAAAAGGTACGGTTAAAAAAAAAAATAGTGTCATCAAGGAAATAAACATATAGAAAAGTACCTAGAAAAGCGTTCCTGCGGTATAATTAGTATTGCTCTTAAATATAATATTACCATTGAAAGAAGAACAAGTGTGCCCACTGCACTCGGATAGAAAAATAAAAGACATTTAATCTCTGATGTTGTATAAAAAATACTTTTCAATGGCGTTATTGCAGGACAGTTTCTCTTCGTCCTGTATCTGGTGTAACCTGCACTGGATGAAAATAAGTAGAAAATGAGAGGGAGTTGAAACATATTGTACATATTTTTATCCTCACACATAAAGCCATTTAGAGATCCGTATAAATATTATTACATTTGATTATTGATGTATTTATTTGTGCTCGCCAAATATATAGATGATTATTAATCTTACAATAAACGGCAGAAGTTCAGGTCCTTCTGAATTGCCAACTTGGGCATGTGGCTGTCACATATAAAGAGCTAAGTGTTCTCTGGGAATCTTTGCTTTCATTCCGTTAGAATGCAATAAACGTGCAGAATGTCTGGCAATCTTCTTGGCTCGATTCTAGATTGAGTTTTGACAGTTTGAGTTCACAGTATTCCCAACAGCCTCATTGAAACCGAATCAGTAAAATCTGTCAATATTAACAATGTAGCAAAATGAGAATTTTATCTAAATAGGTTTCCATCTGAATTGTGCTTTGCACTTCCATTCGATCTATTTAAATGTAAGTATTTTAGAGCCATATTTATGGCTTTTTAAAGTGCTTTTCCAGATACAAACATAGTCATGTCATAATATTGAGGGCATTCATTTTATTTTTTCAAAATGTAAACTCAGTACTGAAAAGTATTTTTTAAATTATACATTACAATTCGTTTCCCACAGGGTTACACTTTATGGTTCAATTCTAGTTTAGTAAAGTTTTAGGGGTTATCCCCCTTTCAAAGTGTACCTTAGATCTTACTATTTGGCTGGCAATTCCTCAGTTTTTCTCTTCTATCATGTGAGCTCCTACTCACTGGTGTATCTCTTGGTGTAAGCTCTTCTGGTAAGTTCAGTTTGAGTAGGACTTGTTAATTATCAGCTTACCTGTATAGCTTCATCCTGCCACTTGACTGTCTGCAAATTGTTAAACCATTTTTTGCATATTTTTGTTTTTTAGTTTTCTCGTATTTCCTGTATTTTAACTTTTAGATGCCTAAACTATCAAAAAAAGCAAAATCCTCTTAATATCCTAAAAATTACTCACTACATCTCACTAAACTATAAACGATCCCAACAAACGGCCAGATAAAAATAGGATCAGCTGCACCATACTAGTACAGTGCAAATTTTTCATTTATTCTAGTAAAATAAAGGTTTGGGGCATGGGGAGTGAGTAGACAGGTTCTGTAAAAACTTCCAAACATCTCTCATACCTACAATCTTTGTGAAGGTTTGGATAGCAGACACTGACCACATTCACGAACACTGACACCGAACAATCACATGTGTGGCAATAGCAGTTAGGGGCTGGTTCAGAGCACTGCCTTACTGGATGTTTTATAATGGATGTCGTTAGTCCTTCGGCACTTTCATCCATGGTCTTATGTCGTTGGTTATAAAGGGGTTAAGGAACCTTTCATTTAAACGTCGTTCTGTGTTGCAGATGCGAGGAGTCACGTCTCAGTATTAGTGGAAAGCTGATGGGAACAAAATATCCTCTGAACAAGGAAAGTGGTAAGAAAAGAACGTCTGTGTTTGTACATCCTCACATAATACAATTATATTACTGCAATGTGCCTGTTCACCATTTTAGAAACATAATCAACATGTCGTGGGCATTTAAAACGCTCACATACTAGAAGCACAGAAGACAGCAAGGCTTACAAGCTTGCAATAAGCCCTTTTAATCCGTGCTCATTTTATTCTCTATAATACATGTTCGCAAATGCATGTGTGCCACAAATCGACTGTCCGAGCTACAGGCAGGAGTAGCAGGGTTTCTGGATAAGATTCTAAGAAACACTTGCGCAGGACATAAGAATGCATTTTCTGTAAAGGTTGTTAGCAAATAGTAATACCAAAAAGGGTTTTCACATAGGTGACTTGTTGTACTATGTTACTATACACAAGGATTTTCAGTTCAAAAGTTCATGTGCCAGTCGGGTACGTCTGACTGTGCCATGGTGTACTGACATAGCAATTTAATTAATGGGACACTCTCGGCATCATCGCTCAATGTATTTACTAGTCTATAGAAAATAAATATTACCAAAACAGGACATCAGCTGGAAACGTTTATTGGTATCCACTGCAGGAACAAATCCCTGCCGGTGGTTCCGATATTTAATGTCCATCAACTAAAATGCAAAACCGAATAATGGGGGGCGGGGCCGGGCCGCCGAGCCGAGCGGCTGCTGTCCATGCCGGCTCCGGTTATAAACCGCATAAAATGCCGGGGAAAAACCCCCAAAACATACCCACGATATGAGCACCGCAACCGGAGGCAAGATCAGGGGGAGAGGAACCGAGGAGAAAGGAGCGGAGACACATGCCGAGTAAACACGACGAACCCAGAGATCTGAGACATGCTGCATGAATGCGGTTCACAGCGCACACGGACGGCACAGGAGACATGGATCGGCCCCGCTCCCCCCCACCCGGCCGGGGGGGTGATCCCGGCCCAAAAGTCAGAACTTTCAAAGCTGGAGGTGGAAGCGTGCTCGGAGCGAGATGCCTCCTTGTACAGAGCTAAAATGGCTGACTGGCACAACACATACACGCAGCAGAGATCCGCGCTGGAGCGCCGCGGTCCCTGGGGTGGCTGAGCCCGCAGCTGGGCCCTTCCGGGCTGTGGACTGGTCGACAAGGAGCCGGCCCTGATTCCTGGATTTGGTGGTGGTCCGGGGAAATATGCCCCCAATTCCGCGAGCCCGGTGGAGCTGAGATGCGCGTGCCTGCCGGCGGACCGGTGGCCGGGGGGCGCGTGCCGGCGTCATGTAAGTGGCCGGAGATGGGAGAGGCAAGACTCCTAGAGCTCCAGGGAGGCCCTACTGAGGCTGGGGAGGTGCAGGAGACTGAGACCACGCGGACTCTACGGGGGGGAGACCGCCGAATGGCTCCGATCTCTGAGTGCCAACGGCGAGGTGGAACTCCCTAAAAGACACCGAAGCATGCCTTGATGGGGCGCAGGGGGGGCTCGGCCACAGCTGGGGGAACCGGGGAGACCCAGGTGGACACAGTTAACTCGCCATGTACATGCTTGCCCTGCAGCAACCATGATGAGGACACACCAGAGAGAAGCCTGCAGAAATACAACCATGGGAGATGACGAGTCCACAAAGGACCATATCGCCACACCGAGCGCCATTACGCCCCCTCCAGAGAAGTGACTCAAGCTCTAAATCTTATATGGGTTTTGCGGGAGTTAGACATACTACTGTTTCTCTCTGCAATGAGCCATGAACATCATACAGAATTTGCTTACTGTTATACCCTAACTCATTTATTACCTAATATATTGTAATAGGCGTGGACACGCTGTTTATGCTGCAGCACATATACGTTAGTTTGCTATGGTACACAGGTTTAGGCCTACCTCGACGCAGTTGAATTGCACCCATCAGTGGAGAACTAAACTGAAGCACCCAAGATATGGCGGTATACCTTCGTAACCATATTAGCTTATCAAGGAACAGCGGCATATCGTATCTACATACACGATTAATCCAGCTGCACACTTTATTTTCTGACCAGATAGGCATAACTTAAATAAGTGGTAATATACAAAGATTGCAGCTGACCAACAGGTTCAGTTCTAGTTAGACACGGTCAAACTGCACCCACCTAAGATTTATTAAACCGACCCACGCTGTCTGATCATCACATCACACTAGCGGTATCTGCCTCATACAGCTACGTGTGATCATGCTCAGCCACCGCTGGAGCGAAATAGGTCCATACGACCCACAAACCGCTGTTATAAAGGACATGACCAAGAAGCTTAACATTTAAGCGTAGACAGCCTGGTGCGCAGTATTAGCTCAATGCCTGCAATTTATGCTGTAATGATTCGAAGTGTATTCCTGAAAAGTTCAAATACGCCTGTGTGTTCTGATCAATATGCCTCTGCGCTGTTTAAGCCCCTGCGTGGGCAACCTCTTGCTTTACTATGAACCAGTTCGCATTATGCACTTATATTGTGAAAACAATAAAAATATTCAAAACAAAACCGAATAATGGACAGCTCCTTACATGGGGGAAAGTTTGGGGACCAAAACAATAGAACTCGGGAGCGCAAGTACTATAAAACCAAGAATTATTTATCACACAAAACACAACAGTATATGGACAAGAGAATAGGAACAGATATTACTGGAGGTAAATAATAAAGTTAAATTAAAGAATGATGTTGAAATGCTGAAGTGTATAATGAGCAGTCCCTACGGTGTCTTACCTGACCATCTCTATATAACTAGTTAACATAGAATGTGACGGCAGATAAGAACCATTCGGCCCATCTAGTCTGCCCAATTTTCTAAATACTTTCATTAGTCCCTAGCCTTATCTTATAGTTAAGATAGCCTTATGCCTATCCCACGCATGCTTAAACTCCTTTTCTGTGTTAACCTCTACCACTTCAGCTGGAAGGCTATTCCATGCATCCACTACCTTCTCAGTAAAGTAATACTTCCGGATATTATTTTTAAACCTTTGTCTCTCTAATTTAAGACTATATCCTCTTGTTGTGTTAGTTTTTCTTCTTTTAAATATAGTCTCCTCCTTTACTGTGTTGATTCCCTTTATATATTTAAATGTTTCTATAATATCCCCCCAATCTCGTCTTTCCTCCAAGCTATACATGTTAAGATCCTTTAACCTTTCCTGGTATGTTTTATCCCGCAATCCATGAACCAGTTTAGTAGCCCTTCTCTGAACCCTCTCTAAGGTATCAATATCCTTCTGAAGATACGGTCTCCAGTACTGTGTACAATACTCCAAGTGAGTTCTCACCAGTGTTCTGTACAATGGCATGAGCACTTCCCTCTTTCTACTGCTAATACCTCTCCCTATACAACCAAGCATTCTGCTAGCATTTCCTGCTGCTCTATTACATTGTCTGCCTACCTTTAAGTCATCAGAAATAATCACCCCTAAATCCCTTTCCTCATATGTTGAGGTTAGGACTCTATCAAATATTCTGTACTCTGCCCTTGGGTTTTTACGTCCAAGATGCATTATCTTGCACTTATCCACATTAAATGTCAGTTGCCACAATTCTGACCATTTTTCTAGTTTACCTAAATCATTTGCCATTTGGCTTATCCCTCCTGGAACATCAACCCTGTTACATATCTTAGTATCATCAGCAAAAAGACATACCTTACCATCAAGACCTTCTGCAATATCACTAATAAAAATATTAAAGAGAATGGGTCCAAGTACAGATCCCTGAGGTACCCCACTGGTGACAAGTCCAAGCTTCGAATATATTCCATTAACTACAACCCTCTGTTGCCTGTCACTCAGCCACTGCCTTACCCATTCAACAATATTGGAATCCAAACTTAAAGATTGCAGTTTATTGATAAGCCTTCTATGTGCAACAGTGTCAAAAGCCTTACTGAAATCTAGGTAAGCAATGTCTACTGCACCACCCTGATCTATAATTTTAGTTACCCAATCAAAAAAATCAATAAGATTAGTTTGGCATGATCTCCCTGAAGTAAACCCATGTTGTCTCTGATCTTGAAATCCATGTGTTTTTAGATGTTCATCAATCCTATCCTTTAACATGGTTTCCATCACTTTCCCCACTACTGAAGTAAGGCTTACTGGCCTATAGTTGCCCGACTCCTCCCTATTACCTTTCTTGTAAATGGGCACAACATTCGCTAACTTCCAATCTTCTGGGACTACTCCTGTTAACAATGATTGGTTAAATAAATCTGTTAATGGTTTTGCTAGTACACCACTAAGCTCTTTTAATAGCTTTGGGTGTATTCCATCAGGTCCCATTGACTTATTTGTCTTTACTTTTGACAGTTGAAATAGAACCTCTTCCTCTGTAAACTCACGTGTAATAAATGACTCATTTATCCTTTTTCTCAACTGAGGTCCCTTTCCTTCATTTTCTTCTGTAAATACAGAACAAAAATATTCATTGAGGCAGTCAGCCTGACCTTTATCCTCTTCTACATACCTTCCTTCTTTTGTTTTTAATCTAACTAATCCTTGTTTTACTTTTCTTTTCTCATTTATGTATCTAAAAAATGTTTTATCCCCTTTTTTTACTGACTGTGCTATTTTCTCTTCTGTGTGTGATTTGGAAGCTCTTATAACTTGCTTAGCCTCTTTCTGCCTAATCTTATAGATCATTCTGTCTTCCTCACTCTGGGTTTTTTTTATAATTCCTAAATGCTAACTTTTTGTTTTGAACTATTTTGGCCACATCTGTGGAGTACCTCAGTGGTTTCTTGAATTATGTTACTGATTGCTAGTTTATGGAATCCAGTAACCCTAAAACACCCATGTGATGTCCTACAGAGCATCCATAGGTCCTTGTGATTTGACTGTACTTTAAACAGGATTGTTTTTGGAAGTTGTGTAGTTGCCAGGAAGGTATCAGGAGGGTATTTAGTCTCACTGTACATTTCAGTAAGATATTGTTTTAACAAAATGACTTAATGCTAGCTGCTAATATCTATTATATCCATCTTCCAGACAGGGATCGCAGCACAGGTTGTGCTTGACCATCATATCCAGACATTGGAGCTGCTCAGCGTGAAGTGCCATAATTCTATCACAAATGGCATCTAAAGGCACAAACCGCATTGTCTGGAAGCACGGCCGAAAGAAAGGAAAAACCCTTTGCCTTACCATTCATCTAGTGCATTAATGCAACATTATCTCATCCCTTACACAATGACTTTGTTACATAGAAAACTTTTATTTTTTAATTTTTTTTTAAATCATATTCAGTTTTAGCTTTAGCCTACAACATAATGGAGGAATTTTATCTATCGTTTCTTTTCTGGATCATACCTTCATACTAAACACAAACTAGTGATTGCCAAAAGATTTTACTTCCGGGCTAGTGCTGATGCTACGACTAGCCTGTCGGCCGTCTGCATCGAATGACCTAACATTGTTAAAAACAGCCAGTAGATGGTCTAGTTGACTGATCAGTAACTTGCCACAAGCAACGATTGGATGCATTCAGCACATATTAGTATTATATTATTTTTTAACATGTTCACTTATATTGGTAATATGGATTTACCTCTCATAACCACCGTAGCTGGTCTAGGTGCTACCCTCAAGATACAGAGAAATATCTTTATCATGTATAAAGCATCCAATCTCTCTGTAAATCAGGAGATCGCTTGCAGGCATCTTTGTGGATTAAAACGGTTAATTAGAGAGAGACTTGTTAAAGGGTTATATTATAAATTGTGCGAAATGAGGCATGTTCGCATCCAACCAAGATCTATCAGTGTAGAAATTTAAAAGGACTAAGCGCATGTCATTTCCCAGAACCCTCTCTGTGGCAGCAGTGCATACCCGGTGGTATACAGAAAGCAGGCTTTCAAATGCATATTGTGTCTCTCTTAAAGACAGTGAGACTAATTTTGCAGCATGTGTTTGTTGACACTGGTAAATTGTATAATCAGACGCTGCAATGGAGCAGGCGAGAATGAAATATTTTGTACTGAGACATTTATTTATACTGCTTTTTCTATCTTTTTATATATATAAAAAAATGATTTTACCATAAGAGTGTAAACGTTTATGCAGATGGCTGCAAAGATTTCACGAACATTTTATATGTTGAGTCGTCGTAGCAGCATTATTATTATTTTTTTTTTTTTTTTTAAAGAAGCCATAATCATTCACCCCCTTGTTTATAAAACAATATAGAGACTTTTTAGAGGGACATATTGGACGCCTAAACTGCAACCATGCATTGATCAGCATAATGCAAAAATAAATCTTTTTTCATGTTTTTGCTTTTTTAATTTTTATATTGCATTTTGTTGGATGCATAGTTGCATTAAAAAAATCTCTAAGGATTCTGCTTGTGGTCACCTTTTCTAACAAGAAAGAATTAGAAGTTGACTGAAAGATGGTCAGACGTTTCTCACTCTCACCCATGAGCTTTTTGCTCTAGAAGGAAATGGAGCCATACTCCCCCTAGTGACTGAAATTAGCCAGTGCAGACTTCTATCCATTATTTAAAGCTTTCTGCTTCCGTTTTTTATTGTCCTCCTTGGTGATATCAATGTACAGCCTAGTGTGCAAATTCATATGCTTTTTAATTTGTTCACTTGAGTATGCCACCACTTATTGATATCACAAGCGTTGGCAGTTACTCCACCTCGTACTTCTGAACCAATCATTTCGTTTAAAATGCTGCTAGCACTTTGTATACTGTTTGTATTCTATATACTCAACGTTTAGGTGGCAGTCCCTTTAATTTCCTGTCTTCCTCAACGACGCTCTGAGCAAATACACATCACACAGTTTTGAAAAGTAAAATGCTCACACTCTTAGATAATAAGCAAATTGTAGAGGCTACAAAATATGTTTATGCGTTTTATCCTATTTTATTTTATTTTTTGAACTAATTTCATTTTTAAAATAATCATTATGGCCAGTGGAAAATGACACAATGCAATAGAAATTGTGATATTTGTAACTGGGTTTGAATACATATTTTGTTTTGAGAACACATGCTCTGTGTGACAGCATTAAGAAGATGGCAAATTGCACACAACCTGCTAACGTTGATTGTAATGCAATGTCTGCAGCAGGCAATGACTTTCTTGGAGTTCGGTGTGGAAAGAAAATATGGTGATGGAAAACTGTTCCAAGCAACCTGCAAATCCTCAGCAATGACTTAATTAAAATCCCATTGATCTTTTGCAAACTATTTTGCACTTCAAGCAAATATGCATGCATGTCCAGGGCTCGGATAAGGGCAATTTTATACCTCAATGCGGTTTTTAAAGAAAGCAATATATTTAAAGCAGTCTATAGGTGGTCATACTCGTTATAAAATAAAAAGTCATATTGTTTGTCTTTGTCAATAGCCCTTTTTATACATGAAAATATCCTACTACTGAATGTTTGGCCACCTATGTATTGCAGAAATCCGTCGTCCACCGTGCTTCCCAATGTTTTACTCATTAACAATTTCCCCTTAAATACCTAATTTAGAGTATGTATTAACCGTTTTTAGATTTGTTCCCAAAATACATCTTTTGCCATGTACATGTGTTATAAACATGTTTTACTCTTTATGTTCTTTAAATTCAAATGCAGTTTCATGTAGTTCACTGTTGTAAGTAAAATGCTTTCCTGGTTTGTTTGTGTTTGTTCTATTGTTTTAATTTTGTCTGTCAGTGTTTGTGGCATACAGGTGTTCCTTTTCTACATATGGGCTATAACACTGCCAAGTCCACCCAGAAAGCAATACACTTACCCTCTATCTAATATCCTGCTCAAATGAGTCTATTGACCATTGTCTGTTAAAGTATTAATTGAAATCTACCCTCAGTCTGAAGAATTTATTCTACCAGAGTGTGGACCCTGCCAACGTTTCAACCCAAAAATAGGATCTTTATAAAGACTGGGTACCATAGGTATCACACCCATTTTATATACAGCGATTAACGTTGCATTTGGATTATTTATGGTATATGAACTTTACAAATACCCTGTTTGGGATCAAAACCATTTTAATGCTACACCACAAAATAATTCCGAATTATTTCCTCCCTACACACACAGTTATTCAAAGTGAATTTAACATTTTGGACCAAAATAGGTTACCTGGAAAAATTATCCAATTAAGCTGTATTTTTTATTTATTTATTTTTGCCTCTTTCGGCCTAGAATGTGAAATTCACTTTAAGCTCCCAACAAGTCAGACTTTAGAGCAGGAGTGACCAAAACGGAGATGCCCAGATGTTTTAAAATTTCAATTTCCATGATGCCTTGTCATTCTAAAGGTATGCAAAGCACCATGGGATTTGTAGTTGTATAACATCCGGGGAGCTACCTGTTGGGAATAAACCCTTCTTTAGAGAATAACCCTGATGATGTCACTTAAGGGAGCTCTGACCTCCTGTATCTGTTTTAAATGGGTTATTTTCTGACTGCCATAAAAGACCACAAGTCTAAGGTTGTTTTCATCAAATGTCTTTTTTTTAGATTGAGTCTCTTACAACAAAAGGCAAAGTTGAATTAATTTAATGAGTGCTGATGTGATAGATTACATACTAATTTAAAGTGTAGATTAACTGTGATATGCTAAATAATATTCTTTCTGAAAAGGGACCCAAATCCTTCACATTCACGTGATTCAGAAGAAAGGTGGAAAGAAAATTAGATTCAAAGTGAAGTTTTGTCTCAATAGAAGCAATAGAAGGGGACAGTGTCCATTTCACTCCAGAATGGCGGTCAATGCAATCTCGCTGAATAACCTTTATTATTATGTATGTGTTTATTGTGCTGAAAAGCAGCCGTGTCATACAAGCCTTCGCTGCTCTTACTGTAAAGACGTATTATTTCCAAGATATGTTGTAGTTTATTCATTAAATGGGGACTTGAGAAAAATCGCAAAGGGATTGCAATTCTCACCAGAGGATGGCTTGCACTTTCTTCCTTATTTATTCCATTCTAAGACACATATTGCAAAGAAACATCAGGTTTTCTAGCCTTTCTTTCTAAATCAAATTGTCCAATTTTGTATTAATTCTGTAGCCTGCCTATTTTTTTTCCTGTTCCATTATGACTTTTTGTGATTTTAGTCACGTTGAGGTGCTACTATTGATTTACAGACAGGCTATATTATATTGCCTTCACACGGAGCTCAAGGCAACAGCACCATTTGTATAGCTTTTGTGCTAATTAGCTCTATTTTTTCTGTACCCAACTTTTTTTCAAAAAATAAAAATTTTTTATATACCACATTTAACGTGTTCTGCATCCTAACACATCACGCCTTCTGGAAGCTATATTTCATCTTTAAGCTTCCATAAGTAATTGATAAGTTCATCAACTGCGCCCGGTGGCACAAAGCAAGGAGTCAAACCGTTACTAAATTATGTAGCTCTTTATACTGGTGGATGGGATTGCCCACGCTCTCCTGGCACCATAACCACTATAGTGTGCTGTAGTGGTTACAGTGCTTGAAGTATTCTTTTAACTCTTGGTTGAGAAATGTTTGACAGTTCAAACTCCCTAGAGCTGAATAAGATGCTCCTGACCGGCCATGCTATTTCTCGGAGTGGGCAATGCCTAAAGCTGATGGTGTTGTAAGTGGTAATTAGCACACTGAACTTAAAAAGGATATTTTATATTCTGGCTTTGTATTTATTTCTTATTCTAAACAGTGTTATATAAATGGGTCAATACCAGGCCCTTCGAACCCTAGAAACCTTTTGGAATGTCCTAAATAAATTACAAACTCCCTCAATCTACTCCCAACCCCCCATTGTCAAAGTGGAGAACCAATCCCTGCAACTTCCTTTAGATGTAGCAAATGCCTTTAACAGTTATTTTGTTGTATGCTCCACCACCCTGATTGTCAAGCTAATAAATGACACACATCCTGAAACTACAAATATGGATCAGGCCCCACTAAATTAGAAAATACCCAAAATAGAGAAGTTCAATTTTAGACCTGTACCTATTAGTGTTATTAAGGAACACTAAGTTCCCATAGGTATGCCCCTTCTCGTTCCCTCTGCTCTGCCCATGACCTTCTCCTGTCCGCTGCCTGCACCCGTACGGCCAACTCACGCTTGCAGGACTTAGTAATCTAAAAATGAAAAACCAGTCTGGACCTGATCAAATCCCAGCAATGCTGTTGAAGCTCAGTGCGCCGGCAATTGCTAAACCTGTCACAACCCTAATTAACAAATCCTTGGTGTCTGGATACATACCCAAACATTGGAAGACTGCAAGAGTATTGTCTATCCATAGAAGTGGTGACATTACTTTGGTTTCTAGCTATCGCCCAATATCATTGCTCCCAGTATTGTCAAAAATCTTAGAAAAATGCATCCATACACAACTATGTCGGTATTGCCAACATCTAACTATCTGACCTCTGATCAATCAGGTTTTCGCCCGAAGCACTCCACTACAACTGCCCTCTTAAAAGTTTCTAATGACATCCAAATCGGCATGGAACAAGGAGACCTAACTGGAGCTATTTTCCTTGATTTTGCTAAGGCCTTTGACACAGTAGACCATGACATTCTACTGCACAAATTAAAAAACTCAGCTATTGGTGATCGTCCGCTAACCTTGTTTCGATCGTATGTATCGGATCGCTCGAAATATGTGTCCATTTCTGACAGCGACTCCCTCCCTCTCCCAGTCATGTGTGGTGTTCCCCAAGGTTCCATTCTCTGCCCCCTATTATTTACATTATTTATAAATGATCTGCCTAATGTCTGCAAATCCTCAGATGTACACATGTTCACAGACGACACAGTAATCTATTCAAGCAAATCTGATCTAGTGCAGCTTGAGGCTGTGCTCCAAGACCAGTTCATAGAGGTAGAAAAGTGGATCGCAAAAAACAAACTCTTCCTAAGCACTGACAAAACTACAAATCAAAATAAAAGGTAACTGAAGGTAACTGAATATGGAACAGACAATCAACCTGTGGGAGGACTGCGTCACATAGAAATGAGCGACACTAAATATATACTATAAACCAACGTGAGTATGTGAGTGCTCTAAATAATTGATTATTACCAATAAAAAGCTGCACTCCAGTGAACAGCACATTTTTTATTTATCTATATTGTATATGTTTGTATCCATTTTTTTGTTTGTTTATGTCTTATCCTTTACATTAGATTGGATTTTATTTTTGCTTTTAGTATGATACATACTCAATAAATATTTATTTGGATATTTGATACAGTATTGATTTAATTGTGACGACATACTCTTTCAGACGATCCTAGAGGGATCAGTTTTGATTGAATCAGTTACTATTGATACATTTGACTATTTATATAGTATCACTTATTTTTATTTTCTAATTTTTATTTTTATTGGTAGTTGCTGTTCACTGGAGTGCAGCTTTTTATTGGTAATGATCACTTATTTGGAGCGCTCACATACTCACGTTGGTTTACACTGACAAAACAGTCACAATGATCTTTGGAACAGTACCTAAATTACAAAATTCCCATCTATGCATCAAAACAAAATCAAATGGCACACTGACCGCAGTCCACTCTTTCAAATACTCAGGTATGTGGTTAGACCCCAATCTATCTTTTGGCCTCCACATAGAAAAACTTGCATCTAAACTTTATCCAAAACTAGGTGTACAGAAACAAATCCTGCCTAATCATTGATTATGGGTATGTAGTATATGCACCTGCACCGCAAACACACCGTAATAAACTTAATACATTGTATAACTCTTTCTGTCAAATTGTGCTACAATGTAATTACAGGACCCACCATTGTGACATGCTAAAAGAACTAAACTGGCAGTCGCTGAAATCCAGACGCACCATTCATCTTTCCAGCCTTGTGTTTAAGAGCTTTTCTGGGAAACTCCCGCCCTACCTGAGCAGAATGCTCTCCCCAGCTGTTCCCACTTCCTATAAGCTCCGATCCAGTAGCAGCACTTTATTTAGTCTACCTCAATACAAAAAGAAAGCGGCCCGATCCTCCTTTTCCTACAGAGCACCGCAATTATGGAACGACCTCCCGCACACTTTCAAATCTTCCCCAAGCCTAAAGTCTTTTAAGAGATCCCTCTCTACATACCTCAGAACAGAATGCACGTGTTGATTGTATATTTCCTACCTGTTCTATGTTAAATTTTGTATATATTGTGTATTAATATTATTTTTGTATTTTATTGTACCCCATTGTATCAATGCAATGTTTTATGGACCCAGGACATACTTGAAAACAAAAGAAATCTCAATATATCTTTTCTGGTAAAATATTTTATCAATAATTAAGAGATGAGGGAAAATGCCTGATTATGAATACATTTTACGTGTACCCAAGTATCGAGAGACACAAATATAGATTTAAACACAAGATTTATTTCAAGCTCTATGCTTTCCTTATGTGAGTTATACCTCTCACTTCAGGTCCCAAACTCTTCTGTGCAGAGATGGAAACGAATAATAATAAACTGTGAGTTGTGTAGACTGTAGAGGAAAGGAAGTCTTCTTCATGCTAGTGGCTTACCTGCAGTACCAACCATTGCAAAAGAACTACCAAACGACTGGAAGTGGAACACTGGACAATACACCAGGGTTCCAGCAGGACCTGGGGCGCTTTGTCTGGGAAGTTAATAAATGGAGCCTGGTGGCAATATATCACAGAATGTTGATCTTCTCGTCTGATGCATGGTGGCTAGCAACAGAATTGACTTACATATTGCACCAAGCTGCAGATTATTGGGGAGGGGGTGAAGGGATAGACTAATTTTTTTAATTTATTTTTTTAATTGCAGTGAATTTTTGCAAACTGCTGGAATTACAAGTAACTGCAAGCAGGGATGGGTGACTTTGTACCATAGACAAGCCGATGACCACATGTTGTTTTCTTGCTTAGTGTCAATTCAAAATAGTGTCCACTCAAGTAAAGACATGTAACTTAAATATGTTGGAGGATCTAATCATCTCTTTTTACTAGGCAAAACCATTAAACTTGCTAAATTACTTGGAACCAAGACATTTACATTTAATTTGTATGCCAAAATGGCTTAACATTTTATAATGAACATTCCAAGCACATCCAGCACTTACGCTTGCTGAAATGCTTTATGTGTCTAGAGCAGTGCTCGACAATTCCCAGCAAATCCCAGGTGCCAGGCCACTATGGCAACTAGGAATTTTGTTCTGGTGTCTGGGTGTTTGTTATCCCGTTCAGCCCTGGCTATCTGAGGGCTCTCGCAAGGGTGCGGAATGGAAGTGGACAGTGAGGGAGCTGTAACCTTCTTGCCCTGCTGTGATTCCAGGAGCCTGAATATGACATCACTCCTGCATCACTGAAGGGCACACACAATTCCAGGATCAGTGCAGCCCCACTGGACCCCAGGAAAAGGAATCACTCCAGCTCTCCCAAAGATAGGGAGGCAGAGCAGACAGAAAATAAAGACACAACAACTAACAATCATTTATGGGGGTGTGAGAGAATGTGTGTGTCTGTTAATGAGTGTGTCGATTTGTCAGTGAGCGTGTGTCACGTAAGTGTGTGTCTCTCTCAGTGTGTGTCACATAAGTGTGTGTGTCTGTCAGTAAGTGTGTCCACTCCAATCACATGGGAAAGTTGTTTTTACTCACCTTTTTTCTCCACACTGTGCCGGTCTCAAAACAACTGGCCCTGCCTCCATGGCTGAGATCATCAATCTTGAGGAACTCAGCCAATTCAATGCTTTCCCAAAAAAAAGCATTAGAAGGCTATTACACTAGCTCAGCAAAGAATCGATCTGCGCAATTCACCATCTCTTCATAGAGAATGTTCAATGCCTCCATGCAGAGCGTGGAGATGCTGAACATAGGTGCTGCACATTGTGTAGCACTGGACTAGGAAGCACCTCTAGTGGCCGTCTGAGTGACTGCCACTAGAGGTGTTTCTGGTCAGCAATGTAAACTCTGCCTTTTCTCTGAAATTGCAGTGTTAACATTGAAAATCCTGCAGGGACAGGCTATAGACAGCAGAACCACTACATTAAGCTGTAGTGGTTCTGTTGACTTTAGTGTCCATTAAAACTGACATTGTCACCTCCCCCAGGAAAAGAGCTACAGCACCAATCTGATGCAGGGAATTGGCTATATCTACGGAGGATCCCACATTCTCACGGGATCCTACAAAGACATTAATGCTGTAGTCTTGCGCATGCACAGGAGTACAGCAATGACGTTGGCTCCTGTTATTTAAGTGCCAGGAGCTGAAGAGGACTGGCTGGAAAAAGAGGACCGAACCCCAAGGAACAGGTTCAGGTAAGTAAATCTCACCTTTACCTGCTCACCCCCCCCTTTTTAGTCCACAGATGTTAACAGTGCCGCTTTAAGAATTGTATCTTTTGTTGTTGAAAATAAAACTTTGTTAGCTTTAAAAAACAAACAAAAAAAAGCCCACAAAATAAAGAACTTCTTTAGTTGCATCCTAGATTCAAAGCAAGTCTTTTTTTCCCACTTTATGAAAAATGCTGATTTCAAGTCAACAAAGCAGCAACTCCTTGGCTGTCAATCAAACAACCGGTGAGGATTTAATCTACTTCTATTCTCTTCACAGAGCAAATGGACGTGGCAGGCGCATTAGGTTAAAGGAATACAAACATATATTAAGCCCACCTGCCACATCAAGGCAAAACCTCGCAGGTGAGTCCTACACTAACAATTCACCTTGCAGACGCATCAGGTTAAAGTTAAAGCACACCCGTCTTTGCCTTCTTGGCTGTGAATGCGGACAAACTGCTGCCACAGACTTTGACAAAAAGGGTAGGGCTTACAATGGCTGCAGACACAAGAAATACACGCAAAAAACTAAATATGTGCACGTTTTTTGTGGGGGTTTGTCAATTAAATAATTAAAACGTTTTTTACGTGGAACGTTCCTTTAAGCTCAGGTATTTTGGTCTAAAATATGCAAATCCACGTCCCCAAAATGTATTGCTTTTTTTTTTATAAACTTTTAACTCTGGAATTGAAATCTGAAAGGCAAGAATTAGGCCAACATAGCCAAGACGCGACTATTGCTGAATTGGAGAATTTTTTTCAGTTCGGGCATTTTGCCTCATTCTGTTTATTTTAATTACAACAATACCTCAAGTTTTACCTGATTGAAACCCGAATGGCAAAAATGAATATAAAATAGCTGATCTGATAAAAAAAAAAAATACAATATAGCTTTTAATCTCAGTTTTGCCTCTTAGGTGTTAATCTGGTAGAATTCAGAGTTTAGTGAGACACCCTGCCTAGCACACAGCTCTGTCAATGGAATTCTGCATTTTTTTTTTTCATCTAACATGTCATACCTCAATCTGTCCACAAGATGGCAGGAAAAGACGCCAATGACAGTCCCTGTTTTGACTCACTGTTCGCACACAACGTGCTTAATAAAGTTTTTTTGTCTTTGAAACTTGGGGAAAAAAAAATTTAACTTGTTGGCGGCGACGGAGAGGAAGTAAATCACACTGTGTGTCCAGTGAGAGAAACACGGAATTGTGGGTAATAAACCGGTAAGAGTCATTACACTGTCTGAGTGTTATACATCTATAATAATAATAATAATATACACAGCCCTGTATTATATATCTATAATAATATTATTATACACAGCCCTGTATTATATATCAATAATAATAATAATATAAACAGCCCTGTATTATATATCTATAATATTATTATTCTACACAGCCCTGTATTATATATCTATAATAATATTATATACACAGCCCTGTATTATATATCTATAATATTATTATACACAGCCCTGTATTATATATCTATAATAATAATAATATACACAGCCCTGTATTATATATCTATAATAATATTATTATACACAGCCCTGTATTATATATCTATAATAATAATAATATACACAGCCCTGTATTATATATCTATAATATTATTATTCTACACAGCCCTGTATTATATATCTATAATAATATTAGTATACACAGCCCTGTATTATATATCTATAATATTATTATTCTTCACAGCCCTGTATTATATATCTATAATATTATTATTCTACACAGCCCTGTATTATATATCTATAATATTATTATTCTACACAGCCCTGTATTAAATATCTATAATAATAATAATATACACAGCCCTGTATTATATATCTATAATAATAATAATATACACAGCCCTGTATTATATATCTATAATAATATTATTATACACAGCCCTGTATTATATATCTATAATAATAATAATATACACAGCCCTGTATTATATATCTATAATATTATTATTCTACACAGCCCTGTATTATATATCTATAATATTATTATTCTACACAGCCCTGTATTAAATATCTATAATAATAATAATATACACAGCCCTGTATTATATATCTATAATATTATTATTATTCACAGCCCTGTATTATATATCTATAATAATATTAGTATACACAGCCCTTTATTATATATCTATAATATTATTATTCTACACAGCCCTGTATTATATATCTATAATAATAATAATATACACAGCCCTGTATTATATATCTATAATATTATTATTCTTCACAGCCCTGTATTATATATCTATAATATTATTAGTATACACAGCCCTGTATTATATATCTATAATAATATTAGTATACAAAGCCCTGTATTATATATCTATAATATTATTATTATACACAGCCCTGTATTATATATCTATAATAATATTATACACAGCCCTGTATTATATATCTATATTATACACAGCCCTGTATTATATATCTATAACATAACTATTATACACAGCCCTGTATTATATATCTATAATATAACTATTATACACAGCCCTGTATTATATATCTATAATATAACTATTATACACAGCCCTGTATTATATATCTATAATATTATTATACACAGCCCTGTATTATATATCTATAATATTATACACAGCCCTGTATTATATATCTATAATATAACTATTATACACAGCCCTGTATTATATATCTATAATATTATTAGTATACACAGCCCTGTATTATATATCTATAATATAACTATTATACACAGCCCTGTATTATATATCTATAATATTATTAGTATACACAGCCCTGTATTATATATCTATATTATTAGTAGTATACACAGCCCTGTATTATATATCTATATTATTATTGTTATTATTATACACAGCCCTGTATACTTTATATATAAAAATATTGTTATACACAGCCCATATACAATACAGGGCTGGGTATAATAATAATATGATAGATATATAATACAGGGTTTTGTATAATATTATATCAACTATACACAGCTCTGTATTATATTATAACATACAGCACTGTATTATATTAACCCCTTAAGGACCAAACTTCTGGAATAAAAGAGAATCATGACATGTCACACATGTCATGTGTCCTTAAGGGGTTAAACATACCCAATATACACAACCCTGTATTAAATATCAAAATTATTATTATAATACACAGCCCGGTATTATACCACTTATAATATTATTATAATTTTTGCATATTTGTATATTTTTTTTAGAACTCCCTATATCTTAATGCACTTTGTTTACCATAGGTATTGTCTTTGCAACTATGTCGTTAGTCACAAACTTCTTTGGTAACTTAAGGAAGGTGGCTATCACTCTGGAGAAGGAGACTGAGAAACTGGATCAAGTTTTCATCAACAAAGAGGAAGGTGAATATCGCCAGTCGGGAATTTTAATCGTTATATACAGACTGATCTTAGAGGAAGGCCCTTAGTCCAGGGGTGCTTAAAAGTACTTTGTAGAACTAAAACTACCATGATGTGTTACGGCAAGGGTGCATAACTCATTATGGAATATTGTCCTTTTAATGTAATTTGTGTAGTGCATAGATAATCTGCTTGCCTGGTATAGATGGAATATTGTCGATGTCAAAAGGGGTTAATTTGATTGTATGGAAGGTTTATAGCCTTAATTTATTTTATTAAAAAAATAAATAAAAAAAATTTGTTGTTGTTGTGCATGAGAGGGTGGCATTTGTCAGTGTCCCTTTGTAGCAAGTTCACTGGGCCCCTGTCAGAGTCTTTTTTACCCGATACCTTCTTTGCAAAAGTAGTGTACGTCCGGCGCTGGGGTTCTGCTTCTCGCCGCTGTGTGGATAACCGTGGGGTTGTCCCTCCCGTCCCAGGCTGGCTTGGAAGCCTGCACCTTCTTGCCACTAACTCGGTTACCGCTAGGGTCCGGGTTTCCTCCACGTGTGGGAGTAACGGGGGAGCTGGTCTTTTCCTGTCGCTTGCGTGTCTTGTTCCTCCGCCAGTGTGGCTTGTGCTTTGGGGCTCTCTGCCCTTTGGTCTGCAGCCCGGGTGGGCTAGATTGCGTGTGGATAAGTAGTTGAGGCGGCATTGTGCCCAAGGGCATTCCCCGCGGGTCCGCTTACCCAGCGTCGGTGGTGTAGGTGTCATGGTTCGGGCTGCTTGTTGCCGCTTCATGTGTGTGTCCCAGAAGCGGTTCAGTATCGCCTCTAGGCTCCGTATCGCCTCTGGGCATTTGTGCACAAACACTTTCGTTGGCGTTTGTGCTGAGTGCATGCTCGCCATGTGAGTCGCTTTGCCGGTTGCCATTTTAGGTGCTCTCAGTAAGGGTCTGCAGCCTTCCAGTTCAGGGTCAGGCTTGAGCTGCTTGCTATTTGAGTCGAGTGCGGACCGGGATGACCCCCACCGGTCCAGAGGCTGTACTCTGCTTTACCATCCAGGAGATCGGCAGCCTCTCCCTGGCTCGGTCGCATGCAGGCTCCATGTGCTTTTGGTCAGGTTCCCGGGCAGTGTAAATCTCGTTTGTAGGTTCATTCGATGCCCCTTGGGTCCCTTGACTCGTTGTGTGCCCTCCGGCTCAGAAACGTGTCTGTTTTCGGGGTATATAGCCCCAATTTTGTCGCTTTGTGCAGGAGCTGATTCAGAGCCTGCTCGGCAGATAGGCTCCGCTCCTGCCTTAATTCATTTTTAAACTGGGACCCCCACAGAGATCATAGGAATGTGAAAGCTGCAAGGTGTGAGATTCTACACCTGAAAAGCCTGATGGTCTGGCTTCAGGCATATTGCACGTACCTCTTAATTGATGAGTCAATCTATTTTGAAATGTTAATGGCCATTAGCCTTGTTCCAGTACCATATCCAAAAGGGGAAAAAAACATTAATATTTACCCACAGAATAATAATTAAGCCTCATTTTTGTTATATTTGGAATGTGACCAGCGCCATATTCTAAACAAGCCCAAAGATGATTGGCATAACTTAACCAGAGGGGAAGGAATTGTGATATCCGCCATATTGGGTCGCAAGTAAGGCGTGCACAATATGTATAGAATGGGAAAATAATAACAAATTCGTAGATGCAATTATTATTTCTGCGGCAGGTACATAAGAGAAGAGAGAACCAAATGTTTACATTTGGATTGATGTTGGTCTTGAACACAATGGGGTGGTCACGCATTATCTCTCTAGATAAGCCTTAACTCCACCTCTAGACCAGGCGTGGTAATACACAGGGTATATATCCAATGATACTGAAATGTCTGTGTACTTGTTGGGGGACAAAATCTAATTTTGAGTAAGTCGCGATCTTCCTTGCCAGAGCCCCCATGGGCAGTACCAAGTCCCCAAGTGAGTAAGTGTTTAGGACTTCTGTTATTTTATCCCTTTTGTTTTTATCTGTTGGTGTAAATAATTTGGTTTTCCATCTATTTTTTGTATGCACTGTGACTTTTTTTTTTTGCTCGTAATAAATATTCCTTTATTAAATTCTGCCTTTGGTTAAGACTCACGTTACCCGAAGAGACTAATTAGTATTTTGCAATTTCTTGGCTATTGTGCTAAGTTGTATTTGGTGGGTTTTTGTTATTGATTTAGCTGGGGGACCAAGGCACCCCATTTATAATTTGTCTTGGTGGTGGCAGCGTTAAAATAGTAATAGTTATATTATTATGTTTAAGTGTGGGTTGTGTTAAAGGGGGATTTTGTCATTATTTCTGGTCTAGTGCAGACAAATAGTGAACTTTAACCCTTTCACCACCACAACTACGTCACGCACACTCTTGAAGTAGGGAGCATTTGTGACATGATGCTTTGCTGGCATTCTGAATGACAAAGCTTCATGGGTGATGTAGTTCAAAAACATCTGATGGTCTCTATTTGAGCACAAATATACACTTCTTTTGAATACTTCACTCATCAATAAGGAGTGCTATAACATTGTCTAGGAATGAAAAAGTAAACGTATACCTCCCTACAGGGAATCCAATATCGGTCCTAAGAGACCTCCTGAACAACCTAAAACAACATAAACAGGGAAAAGTAGTGTTAGGTGGAGATTTATATTTACTGCCAGATACGCACTTAGACTCCTGTTGCATGCATATGAGACTCTGTGAAGCCACCTCTAAGAAAAGAGGCATCAAATTCCAGTTCCTGCTCCATGACCACAGTTTTTATGATATTTGGATGGTTCTAGACCTTGGCGCTCGAGAATATTCCTACTACTTATTTGTATATAGTTTATTTTTACATATGGATTACTTTCTTTCCTCTTGTAGTTTGGTCACTAATGTAAGCTATGGAACAATCTCTTGGTTGGACCATGGCCTTTTGGTATTGACTTTCAGATCTGGTCCTGATAGACCAAAATTTAATAGATGGCTAATCAATTAATTTCTTCAATTGGACAATACAAGTATTTTTCTATCTGATATATTGCATGAATATTTTAACCAAAATAAAGGTCAAGATGGACACCCTTTGGCCATAATTAGAGTTCAATTTATATCATATGCCTCCTCTGATACCAAGGCATAAAATCACTCTTTATGCTAATGGTAATAAAGCAGGAAAATTGTTAATGGGTAAGCTCAAATGACAAATTAATAACTAATCTATCCCTTGCTTGAATGAACAGGGCAGCAAGGTATATGACCCGATAACACTGTCCAGACTTGCCCCCATACAGGCCTTTCACAAACTGATCCCAAACTTAGACGTCTCCCAATGACCAATAAGAGATCTCCACAGTTGGATACCTTACTGGAAAATGGGAATATCTCAAGTACATACAAATAAGGCACTGTATACAAACAATGAACATTCAGACACAAGATATGAATTGTGACTTTATTGACTTAGTATTTTTATGAAACCTGGGATACAGAGCTAGCACTAAATTTTCATATAGAATGCATAGTATTCTGTTTAATGCAATATTCCAGACAGGTTCTGAAATTTTTGTTTAATGGAATAACACTGAGCATTAATTCCATTAACCCTGATTGTTAGAATAAATGATTTGTGTTTTTAATTGTTATTGTATTGAGTGGAATAGTATTTTTGTTTCCGAGCCATTTTTTGTGTGCTTTTTCTCTAGACTACGATGATGAATCTCCGATGCGAGTCTTACATAATTTGCGCTCTGAGATAAAGGATTTGAAGGTAAAGCAGTATATATGTATCTGTATGTTTACCAGTCACACTAGTGATATAACCGTTCTCATTTACAATTATAATCCTGAACAGCTGAGCCCATAATGGGGAAATGGACCCACTACTGAAATTCACTAATTGCATGTTTTTTTTTACACAGAATGAGCTTCAGACCACTATTGACAAAAAACATCTTATTGGTCAAGAACTCCATGCCTTTATAAGAGTTTGCAAAGTACTGCAGCAAAGAACCTCTACGGACATTCAACAAATAAAAGATAGTTTCCAGAATTACGGATATACACCTCTCAGCACTGACAAGTCAGGTAACTATATGATATCCGTTAAAAAAAACTATAACTCACCTTTTGGACTTTCTTCTAGTTCACTTACGACTGGAAGCATTGTAATACTTAGATATAGACTGCAAATGTCAGTGGTCAGCTGATACTCTTAGCCAATCAGTGACTACGCATTGACAATACTGGTTTGAAAAGAGACGTATCTTTTTTTTTTTTTTTTTTTGTGAATGCCCCTGTCCAGCAACTGGAAATTTCAGAAGCCAGGTGCAGACTGGGGGGAGCTGAGATCGCCGGTGAAGGCATGTTTGGGGTTAAAACATTTGAAAATCGTACCCCATGGATACAAGGTTTCACGATCGTAGGAGCACATCCCTCACGATCCACACACAACCAAATAGCGACACCATCCCTAAGATGGCTTATCTATGCCTTGTGACCCACTAACGCTACTACTCGACTAGACCCCCACCACTAGTAATCCACAAACAGGCTACACCACAAGACATATCATAGTCCAGTTTTATGTAGGCATCATTCTCTAGCACACACCACTTCACAAACCAAAGTGATATTTGCCATGCCAACCGAAGTACCCTCTACTATCCAAAGGACTGGCAACTGCACACAACCTTCTAACGACACAACTAAAATAGGGCTCTATACAGACTAGACTTACAAAATTATCACGACAAAGAGCATACTCGCCACTAATCCTGAAGGTCAAGGAACACCTGCGTCACATAGTCACCACATACAGGCCTCTATATATCTCCAGGGCCACAATTTCACAGACGCTGGTGCTGTTAACACAAACAGACACGTGGTCCACACTCTCCCAAGTTCAACCCACATCCCTCGTTATAACTTCTCAGCCCATTTAACCCACAAAAGATGCTATATGTAAATCCATGATGCCTTGCATTACCTAAATTATATCATTCTGTAACATGTCATTACTGTCGTATGTCTTTGCCTTGCTCGCATGAAAAATAAAGAATTAAAAAAATTTTAAATTCTTTATTTTTCACTCGATAGATGTCAAGTGCACAGAAACCTTCGGGCCAACATGAATATCGTAAGTGGTAACATAATTCAATTTGCGTAGGCAATGCAAGTCCATCCTGCATCCCTGCACAATTTGTCTCCCACCGAGGGATTTTTGTTTTTATTCAGGCATGTGGGCGGCATAAGGGCCCCCATCTTTTCTCATTTTCACATAACTAACCCTGCTAATGGGCTTCCCAGTTCCTCCGACAGCTTGATCATGCCTGGTATAAAATACCTTTCCCTCGAAACCAAGGGAAAAGAGAAAAATATATAACATGAAACAAAATAAGAAGTGAAAAAGAAAGTGTAGGAAAAGGGAGTGAGAAAAGACATAGAGTCGAGAAAAGATGAGAGGAGAGAAGGGGGGGGAGAGGGCTTCCCTTCTTATAGTATTATAGCCATAGTTTCCATGGGGGGGCCTCCCTTAGCTGTCCGAGTCCACTCTCTGATCTGAACCCTGTCAGTCTCCACTCGAGCCTACTGGACTATTGTCCCATGGTTCCCAAAGTCGTTGGAAAGACACCGTCGTTCCCTTTACCCTAGCTGTCAAATCATCCATAATTCTACATTCTCGTATCCTAGAGATCACCTCCGAGAACTCTGGACCCTCTGGTTTTAGCCACGCACTCGCTATTGCTCTGCGTGCACTTATGTATTAGTTTCTGCTCTCTCCTAGTCCACCCATCTACTGATCTGTTTAGCAAGTATATCCAGGGGTCCATCTTCAGGGGTCTGTCAAATGTTTGTTTCAGCAGATCCTCCACCGCCTTCCAAAAGCAGCGTATCTTCGAGCAATCCCACCACATGTGGATGTACGTTCCGCGGGCTCTACAGCCCCTCCAGCAGTCGTCCGTGTCCAGTTTGTGCATTTTGTATAGCTTTATGGGTGTAGTATACCACCTGAGCATGGTCTTCCATGTCTATTCCTGGAGTGTGACACATGGAAGCATTTTTACTCGATTCCTTCCAAGACCTCCCCTAGGTCCGCCTCCCATTGCTCGGTGTATGTCAATTTCCCCCACTCTTTATTTTCTGCACTAAGGTGGGCATATAGAAGTGTGATCATTCCCTTAGGTGCCACTTCATCCATGTATAATTTTTTGAAGAAAGTCAGCCTTACTCAAGGCTGCTGCTCTAATATGTGGTCTTCTAACAAAATCTCGTATCTGAATATATCAAAAAAAATCTGCTGGGGTTAAATGGTTGTCTTGTTGTATTTCCCCAAACTGGATGATCTCTCTGTTTAAATATAACTGATGAATCCGCTGTAGTCCAGTTCTTTCTATGTTTCGAAAGTCCCTTGGAGCCATTCCGGGTTGGAACTCCCTGTTTCTAAGTAGTGGAGTAAGAGGGGAGGGGGTCGACATCAACCCGTACTTGGCATTATTCATATCCCACATATGGAGCGAGTGGAGTATGGCTGGACAAGTCACTCTTATCATAGGTCTATGTTCCTTAGGAACCCACATCGTGAATTGGGGGACATCCGAGCCCACCAGCATGAACTCAATCTCCACCCATCTCCTTTCTTCCGGCGGTGAGTGCCACATGGCATAGTAAAAATATAGGCTAGGTAGGCCCAGCCCCCCTCTATCCTTGCATCTATACAGGATTTGTCTGGAGATCCTGTGCCTCTTATTCTGCCAAATGAAATCCCCTATCGATTTTTGTAATGGTGACAGTTGCGTTTTTGCGACTCGGACGGGCAGTGCTTGGAATAGGAATAAGAGGCGGGGAAGGATGTTCATTTTAACAGAGTTGATCCGTCCTATCCAAGAGATGGGTTTGTCCGTCCATTTTTCCAGGTCTCTTGTTAACGCCCTTATCATGGGAGTATAATTGGCAGAATATAGACGTTCCGGTTCTGCCGTTAAGTGAATACCTAAGTATGTCAAGGAGTCTTTTTCCATCCGGATATTGTAAGTCTCCTGTATTCTAACTGTTTCTGCCTCCGTTAGGCCTACTGCCATAGCACTGGATTTGTGGATATTCGCTTTATATCCGGACACCTCCCTGTATTCTGTTATTACCTCCTGCAGTGCCGACATCGAAGCTGTTGGGTCTGTAATGGTCAGGAGGACGTCGTCCGCATATGCCGAGACAGTAAATTCTTTATCTCCCACTCTGACTCCTCTGATGTTCGGGTGTTTGTGTATCGTTTGTAATAAGGGTTCCAGCCCCAACACGAAGAGAAGAGGGGAGAGTGGGCATTCCTGTCTGGTCCCGTTGTATATCCTAAATGGTCTCAGCGGGGCTCCTGTTATCTGTACCTGTGCCCTCACCTTATGATACATCGCCCTTATGACAGTTATGTATTCCTCTGTGAAGTCCAGATGCTTCAACACTGAGAACAGAAATTGCCACCTAACCCTGTCGAAGGCCTTTTCTGCGTTGATGGACACAATCAGGGTGGGTGTCCCGGTGGCCTTTTGCTTCCAAATCAGGTCGACATTCCTCCTGGTATTCTCAAATAATTGCCTACCTTGGATAAAACCTACCTGGTCTGCGTGTATAATTGAGTTCAGTAACGGGTTTAATCTATCCGCTTGTATTCTCGCTAGGATCTTCAACTCTTGGTTAGTTAGCAAGATGGGCCTGTAATTCGCGGGCTGAAGTGGGTCCTTTCCCGTCTTAGGCAGTAGCACGATCGTGGCAAGGGACATATCAGGGTCTAGACTCCCTCCCCGCCTCAGGTTGTCAAGAAAGCCTCCCCACGCGAGGTGTAAGCGCTTCCCTAAAGGTCTTGTAGTACGTGCCATCAAATCCGTCCGGTGCTTTGTTACCTTTCAGGCCCGATATGGCTCTATCCACTTCTTCTTCGGTGATTTCTGCTGCTAGACCATTCACTACCTCCCTATTTAATTTTGTCATTCCTAAGGCATCTAGATATTATAGTATATGTTCCTCTTCTTGCTCTTTGTGATTATTCCCCTCCGGTGTGTGATGGTATAGACGTTTATAATACTCCTCAAAGACCTCTGCTATGTCTGTAGGCTTTGATTTTGTCGTGCCATCTGGGTGTCTTATGGCCGTGATATGAGACCGATCCTGTCTGGGTCGAAGGGTCCTGGCCAGGAGAGTGTCCATTTTGTTTGCTTTTTCGAAAAATGCACGTTTTGACCATACCATGGACCTGGGTGTTTCTTCTCACTGCCTCTAACTGCATGTAGATCTCCCCATTCAGGGTCGTCTGGTGTTTCTGTTCAAGGGTTCTCAGTTGTCCCAATAGGGTCTCCAGCTTTTGATGTTTAATTTTCTTCCTTCTGGTGATCAGTGTCCCTCGCACCACCACCTTATGTGCTGCCCACACCGTACTCGCGCTTACCTCCGGGGTGTCGTTCATGTTGAAGTATTCTATTATCTCTTTCCGGATCTGTTCTACCGCCTCCGGGTCCCGCAACAAGGACGTATTCAATCTCCATGTCCATGGGGATGCTACGCATAGGTTGCCCAGTGTGATGGAGACATCTGCGTGGTCCGACCACGATATGTTACCTACCTGTTACCCCACAATGCAGGACACGCCCGTAGCGTTTGCCAAGAAAAGGTCTATCCTTGAGTATGTTCCATGAGGAGCCGAAAAATAAGTATAGTCCTGGTCTCCCGGATGGTGAGCCCTCCATACATCTATCATCCCTGTTTCGACAATAAATTCTCTGAGCAGCCGGTCCTGTCTGCCTCTCCCCTGGGACCTTGGGACTCCGTCTTTTGAGCTCCTGTCCGCAGCTGGGCACGAGGCCGCATTAAAATCACTCCCCATTAAAGCCATGCCATGTGGCAGCGCTGAGATTTTATCCCTCAGCGTGTGCCAGAAACTGGAGTCCGGCTGGTTCGGCGCGTAAATAGATGAATGGTGTGTGAATGTAAGGTGCCTGACACAATAACGTAATGGCTCTCTGGGTCGGCCTCTTGGGATGTCAACTGGAAGGGACAGCTGTTACTGATAAGAATGGCCACCCCGTTACGTTTTCGGTGGGACCTAGCTTCATATGATTCCGTATAGGTGCGATCTCGTAATCTGAACTTGGTCTGTTTAGGTATATGAGTCTCTTGAATTTACGCAATATCTGATCCCATTCTCTTCAGTTCCCTGAACATGAGACGGCGCTACTTAGGGCCGTTAAGGCCCTTAACGTTCAATGTAGTGATCTTGATCTCCATTGTGTGTTATTTTCGTCTCTACCGTATGACTTCGTCACCCTTGCTTTTCGATCTCGCTGTTAGCTATAGTCTTCCATGACATTTGGTCTTGCCATCCAAACTGTAACCCTCTCGTACCTTGCTGTCGGGCCCGGGTCATCCCCCCAACCCCCCCCCCGAGAAAGGGGGGGGGGGGGCGGGGATGGTAAGTACTTGTTCCCATTCCTGCTCCCAAGTGTACAATATTATGTGGAAGGATAAAATGAGGGCTTCAGAGTATCGGCTGGGGGTTTCCCTTCCCGCGCTAACAGTGTGTCTTTCCCCCCAACAGTGGCCATGCCACTTACTTATTAGGGAAAAAACAATCCCCCCCTTTTGACTTACTATCTTATTCTGTGTCCAATATGTTGCACACAAGTCCGTGAACTAAGATACCCTTCTTTCGGTTGCAATTACATAGAGCAGGAGACCAATTGCAAAATTACAAACTAATAAACATAAACCTGTAGGAGTAAATATTGCAGCGGTTACATCCTAGTTAAGATCACATTTTACATCGGATCATCACTCCTGACCTGATGTTTTTGTCTCTTTTTTTTTTTTTAATTGTAAATCTTTTTTATTTATTTTTTCGGTCTTGTTTTCTCCCTTTTTTTTAAACAATTTTTCTGTAGAAGGAGAAAAAGAAACCAAGAAACTAGTAACAAGGAAGAATAACCATATTATATTATGACCTCGGTTTCCTTTGTGTTCCTGAGAACTGAGGGTACCACTACTTCAATTGTCTTAGCGAAAGATTGTGTCCCCCAAAGTCTAATTATATCGCCAGTGCCGTGATGTTGGGGGAAGACATTTCCACGTGACGCAAAACCCATAGTTAATCAGCCTCCATGCCCAGTCATGAAATCATATCGATCCCAGCATGTAAAAATAACAAATTTAAAAAAAAAAAACATTTTTGAAAATCGGTTTAGGTCCTTAAGGTAAGAGTTAGCCTGGGTGCCTCCTGGCACCATAATAACTTCATTTAGATGATGTTGTTATGTTGCCTACACTGTCACTTTAGAGCTCCACCCTTTCTCAAGATTGCTAAAGGAAAAATACATAAGATAACGTAGTACCTACTTGTCTTATATTTTAAAGAGAAATAGATCATAGAGGAAGAGAAGAAGAACCACCACCAATAGGAAAAATGTAAGTTTGGGGTGACAGAGCCACTTTAACTATTGGCCCAGACAAATCTATTCACCTTGTCAACGCTCCTGTTCACATGGTAAGTTGATCACTGGCAGTGACGTCTTGCAGCAATAATGCTGAAGGTGCACGGAGAAGATGGCATCTTCTGCAGGTTTCCTTCAACTAAACTGTCTTGGGAGTTTTCACTTGTGTGTTTTTGCTTGAGGGAGGAACATTTAAGGAGCAAATCTAGTTAAGATATTTCAATTCAAATATATATGCATAAAGTTGTTGTGTGTTTTTTGTTTTGTTTGTTTTTTTTTAAAGATGCTGAGGTGTCAAATGAAAATGTGAAGTCTGAGAATGAGGAACAAATCTCACATGACTCGGAGGCTGATGAACTTCCATCTATGCCAACTGTTGAAAAGCCATCAAACTCCTGGGATTTACTGCGTGGCCCCCAGCTCTCTGACTTTGGCCTGTCCCACTATCAGCTTTCCTCTGCATGGGATCTGCAAAGTAGCACATTGCATGTAAAGAAGCCAGTGGAAGAGAACGGTAAGCCCATATTTAAGGATATCCGCACAGTAAATATGGCAAAGACACCAAAATGTGCCCTGAGGATGGAAGATGACTTCACACAGGTCGCGCACTTTGGCATTAGCGAATCAAACACCAATTTCAACGATGACTACACAATTGCACTGATCAACAAAAAAGCACAGAAAAAGGCAAGGTATGGATTTAAGGAAACCTTTTCAAGAAAAAAGCAAATGTTTTCATATTGAGCAATATAAGCTTAGAATAAAGTGTGGACTGAATTTATATTTTCAGATTTGTCATGTCTAGAAAATTGTTACAATGTTGGTTTGACAGAAAAGCTCCCAATTCCATCAATGCTTACTCATTCTCCATGTTAATCCAGATAGGATTAACACTATAGCATATATATCCAAAACTGTATTTCTAACGCTATAGTGTCCCTCTGCCCTAAGGTTATTGTCCGGTCCTCCGATGTTGGCAGTGGGGGAAAACCTCAGCACATGCGCTGTGCACGCATTAGGCCTTCCCATTAGGAAAGCGTTGAATCAGTGCTTTACTATAGGGGATGATGACGCTGGACGTCCTCATGCTAAAACATGAGAACGCCAAGTGTTGTTTCATCGAGTCAAACTCTGTGAAACTGCAGAAAGCGGCGCCTCTAGTGGCTGTCTGGTATGCAGCAACTAGAGACAGTTTTATCCCTGCATTGTTTTACTTTGCAGGATAAGGGGACGGGGACACTGCGCCCAGACCACTTCAACGAGAAAGTGTTTTGGGTGCCTATAGTGTCCGTTTAACCAAACTGTGAAAAAGTTGTTGCAAAAATGGCAATAAAGTAAAAAAAAATGTAGGTCAAAATAGCTGCATTGGAAGATGTCTTTGCTGTTTTGAGGATTCCCCACTTTCCTTCTTTCCTTCTAAATTCTGCAACAGTGTCATTAGTTACCATAAATTAATATTTTAGTTAGTTAATAAGCCATTAATTCTATAAGGTCTGTATCCAGTATACCAGCTGAACTAAAACATGATATATATTCTTTGGGATAGGGATCGACCGATTATCGGTTTTACCGATATTATCGGCCGATATTCGGTATTTTCGGCAATATCGGTATCGGCCAATTCAGATACCGATATTGCCGATAATACCTCCTAGGACCGCAAGGCTCATTACAAGCCCGGCGGTCCTGGGGGGGCGGAGAGCAAGCGCTTACTCACCTCCCAGCAGCTCCTCCAGCTCCCCAGTGCAACTCTCGCGAGACCCGCGGCCGTCAGAGCGTTGCCATGGATCACCATGGCAACGCTCCGCGCTGGCCGCAAAAGTTGCACTGGGGAGCTGGAGGAGCTGCTGGGAGGTGAGTAAGCGCTTGATGCCTGCTCCCCCCCAGAGCTCAGCCAATACCACTGGACCACCAGGGACTGCTATATCCCCCTCCCTGGCCAGGTATGAAACAGGGAGGAGGGACAACAAAAATAAATATTAAATATATATATATAAAAAAAGTAATAAAAAATGCCCCCCCTCACACACACACTCCATTATATACACATACACTACACAAACACACTGTGTATATAATGCAGTGTGTGTTTGTATAGTGTGTGTTTGTATACAATGCACACAAATACACTGCATTATATACACACACTATACAAACACACACAAACTGCATACACACACACAAACTGCATTATATACACACACACAAACTGCATTATATACACACACTATACAAACACACTGTGTATATAATGCAGTGTGTGTATATAATGCAGTGTATTTGTGTAGTGTGTGTATATAATTCAGTGTGTGTTTGTGCAGTGTGTGTTTGTGCAGTGTTTATATAATGCAGTGTGTGTGTTTGTGTAGTGTTTATATAATGCAGTGTTTGTGTGTAGTGTGTGTATATAATGCAGTGTGTTTGCATAGTGTGTGTATAATGCAGTGTATTTGCGTAGTGTGTTTATATAATGCACACTACACAAACACACTGCATTATATACACACACTACATTCACTATACACACACTCTGCATTCATTATATACACACACTTTGCATTTAGTATATACAGCATTCACTTTACGCACACTACCCACACACTACACAAACACTCTGCTTTCATTATATACACACTACACTAATACACACTGCATCCACTACACACACTAAACAAATACAAACTGCATCCACTACACACACTAAACAAATACACACTGCATCCACTACACACACTAAACAAATACACACTGCATCCACTACACAAACACACATTGCATCCTCCACACACACTACACAAACACACACTGCATCCACAACCCACACACTACACAAACACACACTGCATCCACTACACACACACACACACACTACACAAAGACACACACTGCATCCACTACACACACACACTACACAAAGACACACACTGCATCCACTACACACACTACACAAAGACACACACTGCATCCACTACACACACACACACACACAGCTCCCCTGTCACACTGCATCCACTACACGTGGCATGTATATTTTGTGCATTTACCTTTAGAAATAGTTTTTATTTTCCAAAATGGTAAATGTACAGAATATCGGCAAATTATATCGGCTATCGGCCTGAAAGTTCACAGAATATCGGTATCGGTATCGGCTCTAAAAAATCAATATCGGTCGATCCCTACTTTGGGAATAACCATTTTCCAAATCGGTTCCTTCCACTACACCTCTGAGTCTTTGGAGGTGACCACTATATCAGTTAAAGGTGGTGGTGGTGGGAAGGGGAGGGGGGTAAAATGGAACTGACACCAACAAAAAGATAACCTTTCCTCTTTAAAATACATGAGATCACACATTATAAGAAAAGGTAGGAGACGCAAACAAGCAAGGAGTTGATGTTTCTTCAATAATATTTTTTTTCTTACATTTTCAGTACTCCTAAAAAAGATGGGACAGAAGGCGGTTACTCGAGAAATCTGAAAACCTTTCTGGCTACACCTTCACACCCGCCAAACAGGACAGGTGAGTGCAATATAACTATATAGTGACACGATTGGCGCTAAACACTCCAGCATTGCAGGCAGTAACCAAGGAAATTGTGCCACGTGCTCCGTTCAGTAAGCATGTATTCCACCCCATCTACAACTTGTGTATATTTACTGTAAGGGAGGTTTGCATCACTCAGGAAAAAGGTGGAGTCCTATGTGATGCTCCTAAAGACTGGCTAGTAACAAGAAGATAAGTCTAACTGATACAGAAATATACAGCCAGGTAGGGATTGAAAACATTTCTTGGTTATTACTGAACTTCATGCATAAATGAAAATTTGCTACTGCAAAGTATGGATTACATTGCATAGTCTTTAAAGCAGATTTGTCACTTTCAGTTTTTCAATATTTTGCAAAGACTTCTGAAGCAGCCATCTCAGGTGAGGGTTTCACCTGTATGTTTCTGTAAAATATCACAATATTGGGCAATATTTTGCATGTGAATTGTCAGTATGTAATGGGATCAGTTATCCAACATTTCCCATAACTTTAATAAACCGTGAAGCCATCTTTGTATGATCTATTGTAGAATTTGACATTGCGGACTCTCCAATGCCACCAGTGTTCGTCACGCCAGGTTTAAAGGTCCACAGAAAAAATATGGAAAATGTGTCCACGTATGAAACAAAACCCCTCCAAAGTGAAGATGCAGACGAGTGAGTTTCTCATGAAGCAGTGTATTCTTTATGATATAAAGCAAACCAAGAACATTTAAAATTGCTTGTGGATTGGTTTTGGGAGTTATCTGTCTGCTGTGCTACTCACTTCCTGGACTTCATGCTCAGTGATAATTCTTGCAGACTATTGAAAGATTCCATCTGATATAGTTCTTTGGGTGGTCCTAATTATTTGTTGAACATAAAAGTGCTTTGAGATCTCTAACTCAAGCTGATTAAAACACTATTTTATAGTACTGTATCTTAGTTGGCGTTTTCAAACACAAAACATAGCCATGGAGTATGTAGCAATTTTTTAGCATAATGCATTATACATTAATGCATACATTAGGAATACTTTTTGCAAAACACAATGTTCCATGTAGCAGTGACTGTACTTTGTGTGTTTTATTATTAATGAATGTGTTTTCATTTATGAAAATAAAGCAATGTAAACGAATATTTTACATAATGTCCTTCTACCTAAAGGTTTCATAATTAATCTACAATGTGAGTTTTTAAAAAGTCACAAACCACCCAAATACCTGTACGACTTACAGGTTTATTTACTTAAAAGGATACTATATTGAAAGGAATACAAAACGGTATTAAAGCTCCATGAGAAGTATATAGTTGGGAATTGCTGATGTCCCTGCACCCCCTTTGAACTATGTTTGGCTGTCTGACAGTCAGGACGTGAGATAAAGCTGTTTTATAAAAATGTTGATTTCCAGTAAAATCTCATTTTTTATTTTTTTTTATAGAAAGTAAGCCAGCAGGGACAGGCAATATTGCCCTAATGCAAGTGCTTTAAATACTTGGACTGTTCTATTAAACTGTGGAGGTTAATTTCTAAACAGACTTCACAGGTTATCGGGCATGGTAATCTGATTCAGAAGTAGATTGGTTATCTGTTGTAGAAATCATGTGTATCCTACTAATCATGGGATTGAATCCTGACATTTATGGGGTGTAGTTATATATGAAATCCTTCTTATGTGCACAGATTTATTATTAAAATGTGTTACAGAAATATCCTAGAGTATATAGAAACTGAAATACTGTCAATAGTAAATGGATATTCTTTTTATAATGGTTTTCTTTCTTTCTTTATTTTTTTATTATTATTATTTTTTTTTTAATCTTGTTTTTTCCAGAGACACTGAAATTGTCTCCCTGACGAAAAACTTGAAACATGGCCTAGCTACTCCGGCACATTTTACTCTCAAAAGCAGTAAGTTGCAATGAAATATATAGACTGTAGCATTAGTTCAATTCTTTCTATTTTAATATGCACTCCCGATAAAAAAAATATGTCAAATTCACTTTGAAGTGGCTCTGTCACTTCTCATTATTTCATAAAGATCTAATCTTTCTAAAATACTGATTCTGACTGTGTTGTAAATTCAATTAAATCCAAAGATACCATAATATAAATTAGGTACTACTCATGGACAAGCCTGAGTTTGACAAAAGTTGTCAGAATTCGGAGCTCCACTGTCAACATTTGTCCAATCGCAGCAGCCCAGTAGAAATCAAGGAGTGGTCAGCACAGGAGTCGTGTTAAAGAAAACTTTAATCTGATCAAAGGATGAAACAATGATTCGGCTCAAATTAGCTTTTTTGTTAAGTCTAATACACACTGACAGGATACCTCACTATGCAAGGATAAACCAGACAACACTTACATGGTCAAGATCATTAAACAGACACTAGATGTGTGAGAAGGAATTTATATTATCAATAGGAAACTGGGGCTTATAGCACTATACTGGTAAATGCCAGCAAAGTTTGTGTGTCTGTATGAGCATCTTTGGGATCGTGAACTGCGGTGGATGTGTGCTGTCCCTGTGTTTGTGCAATGACAGCTGTGGGAACCAGGCATAGTCTTGCGGGGTCCTCCCTAGACCTCAGTGTTGTACTTTCACACATGCCCAAGAGTATAATGCTGATGCAGCTCCTGGAATATTAAGCACCAGGAGCTTAAGAGGACCCCCAGATGAATATGGCGGCGGCCACTAAAGAACAGTTTCGGGTAAGTAAACTATACCTTTGACTGCGCCTCACCTGAGATGTCTGCTTCAGAAGTCTTTGCAAAATATTGAAAGAACACCGAAAGTGACAAATCTGCTTTAAAGACTATGCAATGTAATCCATACTTTGCAGTAGCAAATATTCATTTATGCATGAAGTTCAGTAATAAACAAGAAATGTTTTCAATCCCTACCTGACTGTAAATATCCCTAGTGCCCCAACCCGGTAAATGTCTCCAGTGTCTTCTGGCACACTGTAAACCCCCCTGCCAGCCTATAAATTACACCAAGTGCCAAAGGCCAGTAAATAGCCCCAATTCTCGCACCACCAGCCGGTAAACATGCCCCGTCCAATAATGACATACCTTTCTTTCACACTGTTAAAGGCCTTTAGGCTGTTCCAGTGGCAGTATTTTAGGTTTGGCCATTCCTTTTGGAATGTTACATAATAAGAGTGGAAGCATACAAAGATTAAACTTTTCTAGTAATATCAAGAGCCGATCCGGACATAAGCAGACAGTTGCAGTAAAAGTAAACCGATTAATTTTTAGATTATCATAGGGGGTGTTTATGATGCTTCACATGAGTCAATGAGTATCCTGATCTGTTCTGTTGTAGATGATTTTGTTGTGGACTCTCCGCTGCCACCAGCTTTTTGCACGCCTGGATTGAATGTTCAAAAGAAAGAAATCCCTTGTATTGTTGTGGGAACATCAATTCCAAAAGAAACTGAAAAAAAAGCCACACCACCCATACCAGCCTTTCAGTCAAACTGGCTAAATAGGGACACGGTAAGCTGTTTGGTTTTATTTGGTGTTTTTTTTTTTTTTGTGGGGGCGGGGGGATCTACATTTATACTTGAGATTTTCAGAACTAGCTCAATGTGCTCAGTAGCTTGATTGTTGCCTCAAGTCAGCCCCTAGTCAAGTTACACATTACACGTAAGACCTATTTTGGCTGAAAATTTTCTGACTAAACCTTGGAGATCCTTCAGAAAGGAAGGCCAATGGATTTTAATGGTTCCCACCCTATCATAGTATTTCAGACTGGAAGTAACCCTGATCTTTTATTGTATTATATAGATCTGTGGTTCCCAACCTACTACTTTTTTTTAAATTCATATATTTATTTTTTGGGGATCAAGGCCCATCTTCTCTCAGCCAATGAGCTTGTCCTGCATGATGATCACATGGCAGGTCCATGCATTGTTTTTAAGTGCCCAAATAGTCCACTCCAAGAGTGCTGCATATTCTCGAGGGACATTTAACAGCCATGTTGTCATCACTTCTGCCAAACACCACATGACGAACGGGACTGAATAGACAAATAGTGTCAAGTGTTGCATGGCCAGGGCCCAAGGTTTAGGAGAAGCTTGCCAACTGGCTGCCCAGTATGGAACTTTGTGGTATTAATGTGGCTTGATGTAGCTGATGCATTTTTAAAAAAGAAGTGCAAAATATTCCCCTAGCAGACAATCTTGTTTTCAGTGCCGGTGTTCTATCATTCTGCTATACCCCGTCAGATTGCTATACCCCCGTCACTTCCGGGGAGGGGAATCAGCTGGATCCTGTGCTGCACATGCGTGCTAGCACTCCTGCTACTCCTCCACAGCAAGGTCCTGGAAGGTAAGTAAAACTAGTTTTACACTTTCATTATAGTTAGTGCATTCACTAAGCTTAGGACATGGGACATTTAGGGTTAATGTTAGGGTTCAAATTAGTGTTAGGATTAGGGACCTGTTCATATTTAGTGATATTTCACATTAGAAGAATATCACTAAATAGTGATTTCTCACACTTTATTCTTACCCTAACCCTTGGGGTAAGGGTTAAAATATCACTAAATATGAACAAGTCCCTAATCCTAACACTAATTTGAACCCTAACATTAACCCTAAATGTCCCATGTCCTAAGCTTAGTGAATGCACTAACTATAATGAAAGTGTAAAACTAGTTTTACTTACCTTCCAGGACCTTGCTGTGGAGGAGTAGCAGGAGTGCTAGCACGCATGTGCAGCACAGGAGTCAGGTGATTCCCCTCCCCGGAAGTGATGGGGGAATAGCAATCTGACGGAGTATGGCAGAATGATAGAACACCGTAATTGAGATTATGCACGTGCTATGACCAACTTGGATGGATTTGCACAACAAACACTTCAAACTTCCTCTTCTTCCAAATAAAAGAATATAGCTGCAGTTACAAGCAGCTGTGTGCAGAGATGCATTGACCGTTGCTGTAACCTTTTGTAAGGTGCTTGTTATGGTGCTTTGAGTGAGCTTTTCACTGGCCGCCTTCTGGAAATGCATTTATCCAGGCTGTGGTTTAACATTGCATGGAGTGATAGCGCCAAATTGAGATTAAATGGTTATAGTGCCTAGTGTCCCTTTACATTGGATCTGGGTTTTGTTACATATCAAATGCATTTTGTTCAACAGACAAGGCAACTGGACATCACAGAACCCATTCCAAGACCAGTGATGACCCACAACCTGTATTTACAGGACAATACCTTGGTTCTAAACTCTGATAAATACTATGAAAACTCAACCAAAATGGCTTCACCTCCTCAAATGAAGACATACTCTTTAGATACTCCCCAGAGACCTGAAATCACCATGTCTTTGACTGAAGATCTTCTCAAGGTACCAGTGTAAATGGAAAATAAAGTCAAATTGTATGACCCCAAAATCACAAAAGAGGTCCAAGTTAGCTGAGATCGTTTAGATTTACGACAGAGTTAAAGAAGTTAGAAAAATGCTAAAACTGTTTTGTAAAGAAAGAAATATATAGCTATATAATTTTTTTTATATTCATTGTTGTATGTGTGTTATATCTAGCCTACTTTCGAATTTATTTGCTGAGTACAATTCTAGGAAGCCATGTGTATATCTTCAAACAGCTACAGCACAAAGTTGGTCATTACTGGGGTAAAACTACTGCTTATTTCTGTCTTCTGTCACAGTATAACGTGAAGCCATCGTCCCCTCCCAAGATGTCGGAGTATGAAAGTCTACTTTGGACTCCAACACGTCCTGAAATGACATCCTGCATTACCGAGGACATTTCACAGGTTATTAATTATATGTGAACATGAGGCTGTATTTGCATGGAGTCTGTCTGGACGGACGCAGGGCTGTATTTGTACGGAGGGTGTGTGGAAAAAGATTTCTATTACACACTTTGTTTATGAACAGGATATTGCATCAGGGCCAGAGGTATTAGTGAACAGAATACATGTTTGCATATATTTGTGTACAGAATAAATACTTTGCCTTTTTCTGAAAATATATTCATCCTGTCAAAAATCCCCTCTCTTCATAAACCACTTTATACTCTACCCACTCATGTCCAACCAATCTCCAAAACTTCAATCTGGCCACTTGTGACTAAGTCTGAGGTATCCCAATGGGGGATTTTTAAATTTTTATATTTTAAACTTCACTTCTAGGTAAAAAAACATAATTCCGTTCCCACCTCCATGTAATCTGTGATGAGCATGCAACGATTTTTAATAGCTTTTTCTCTCTCTCTCTTGTTTTAAGATCTTGTCACGTTATTGTGATAACAAAATGAACCATCTAGAAACTGTGGGGGGAAATAAAGACAGTTTTTCATCCAGTAGAGGCAGTGTGTCGTATACTAACAAAGAGAACAGGTGAGTCTGGATAGTGTCTACATAACGCTAATGCTTGATACCATGTCCATAAAAATATGATGAAGATAAGGGAGAAACAAGTCACCAGTAGTGAATTTATGGTGCCCTGTTAAACCTTACTAAGCTAGTAATTACAAGGTTTTTACACAAAGTGATCACATCACTTGTATCCATGTCTTCTAGGTCCTCAGTGGAGTTGAGTAACCTGCAGTAACCTTGACCTAGCTCTCCCAGTCTGCTGCATTATTTTTATTTTATTTTTAAGTAGGAGACAAGTCCATATTTTTCCATAGCAGAATGTTTCCAGTGGGCATGCCTTGGCCTAAAATTGTCAATTCTCCACAAGACCCCATAGTCTGTTTGAGTATAGCACAGCCAGCCCTATAGCCTACTTTCCTGATTTATGCATCTGGTTTTCCACTTCCCAGAGACACCAGAGGATATATCCCAAAAGTGCAGCACGATGCAACATTGAGTGGTTTCAGGGCCATGTTATACCATCTATATTTTTTTCATTTGTGCCTAGTATGCAGGATGGCAAGTCCTGCCAGTGATGCCCCTGAATGTTAGGCTTGCCAGTCATGATGTATCACCCTCAACGTACCCACTCTCTTCCCAATTCCAGGGACAAAAGTATTCTACCCCTTAACTCATTGGGAAGTATTGAAATATGTATTTTTATCATATTTTAATTCTAATTATTTTATTGCATTAATCACAAAGACCCCCATGCATCGTTCTATGACTGTTGCACCTAAATAAAACTTTTTTTTTTTTTTTTTTGCAGATTTTAACAAAGATCCTGGTAACCTGAAGTGGAATTGCCTCAAGAACATCTTAAATTTGTATCTCTATTGAAGACCTGTTGATGGGATTACCATTTTAATATTCTTGACACAAGAATGAGGGTTCCAGTATAAATAATCTTTTACATTAATGTGTATTTCTAAATAATAAAGATAGCATTCTATGTAAACAGAACTGGCACCTTGTAACCAGAGACAGTGAGCATGTGTCATGGGTACCAAGATGATTTTATGGTAAAGATGGTTTCATTTAAGTAAGATTCAATGGGTTATTTTTTTTGATAAGTTGTAAATATGTTAATAAAAATAGCTAAACATTTCCCGAATGCTTTGCATAGTTATTGTATCCAGAGAATCTTCATTTTTATGCAAACCACACATTTTAATTATTCTGTCATTAACTCAATATTTATAGTTTGTCTACTTCAAATGTACTTTAATATTACTCATATGGAAGACACTGTCATAGGATATAGATTTACTAATTATCGTTCACTGGCTTTTATACAAACAATTATTTTAAGTACTATTTGCACTCCAGCGGGCATATGATTAAAAATTCTTTGGCAGTGTGTGGGCTAATTATGTGGTGGCTGGTAATTGCTTGCCAGCCAGCCACGACATTTGTATAAATAATTCTATGGGGGTCAATAAAGACTCCCCCAATACTACTATAAAGCAGGTTAAAACCCCACCTGCCATGTGTCAAGTGAGGGCATGTCTACTAAATGTCAAACTAACTGGGCAGCTTAGTCTCACCCAATTACCGCTAGTGTTCAGCTCACTGTGCCACAATAACTGCAGAGATCCATTTAACAGTAAAATATAGCAAGGCATAAAAGATACAGTGCACATTTTTCCCTTCAGATTAGAGGCAGTGCTTTACAACTGGGATTTCATAATGTGGAGGGAAAAAAACCTTTGGCCTTATATATTGCTTCCTACCCAAGACATACCCAGTTCTTTGCCTGCCGCCGGCAGAGGTGGGTATCAGGTTCAGGTTTTCTCCCTAGAAGTATGGTGAGAGGGCTGAGGCTCTGGAGGCTCTACTTCTTTTAAATACATTTTTCAGAGATCGGCCAGGGTTAACACACCAGACGGCTGTATCTCTCCGGGTTGTATTACTTCTGTCTATACCGAGCCAGGTGCAGGGCAGACGATTGTGCGAATTTGGGCACTAGCTGGGAAGTCCTGGCGGTGGAACACTTGTACAGGTTACGTTTATTTCCAACGTGGAATCGTGTAATGCGATTTAAAATTCAGGCGCCAATATCTTTATTTTTTCTCTCTGGGGTCAAGATATTGGTTTCCAGGACTTAGAGAGGCTGTTTACCCAGCAGCAACTAACTGTTGCCAGGTGCACTCAGAATCTGTTGCAAGTGTGTTCTCACCAACCTCCAACACACTCTGAGGACATTTAAGGTAAGTTATCTTGGGGCAGAACTTTTCCTGTGCTTCACTCCATGGTTGTACATTTTATGTTTTGTCTTAAATTCCAAGTCCTATGTTGTTCGTTATAAAGACAGGATTGAGCTAACTGACTGTTGGAATGGCAATTTGAAAGAAAATGCTTCCTAATATTGGTTCCTGCAGAGTTCGCATCAAACTGGTTTTTAAATGCAGTTGCAGCTATTCTGTCTGCTCTAGCCTCTGCTTCCCAAATACGGCTAAGGAAAGCCTATAGCCGGTAAGGCTGATGGTTGGAATTGCAATTTTAAAGAATTACTTCTAATATTGATTCCTGCAGAATCTGCATCAAACAGGTTTTGAAATGCAGTTTGCAGATATTCTTTCTACGCTAGCCTCTGCTTCCCAATTACAGCTAAAGAAGGCCTGGATCATGGGTATTGTCTTATGCAGACTGTGTATCTATGTAATCAGTTTCGCTTCGGCCAATAAAGAGGGTAACCTGTATGAACTGGTCTCCATGGAAAATTATTTCTTCCTCATGTTACTGGGCTTGACACAAGTTCTAGTACAGCTGCAGGCCTATTGATCAAGGTGTAGTTCCACCAGGTTCAATTTGTACCCTGCATTGCCATAGATACGGTATGACAGGGATGGTTTACTGCCTAGGTTTGCCGTTTTCTTTTAAGAAAGAGCTTATGGCGGGGGGCGTGGCTTGGACTCCGAGAGTGATGGTAGCCTAACTCCGGAGCTCTGCACCGCAGGCTCAGCAAAAAGCCCGGCAAACAGCTTACCGACGACAGTCCCCTTACAGCACAGTCAGTGATCCGGGGCAGCCGACCCCAATGCCATGTCACACCGGAAGGTGGCGGCGAAAAAACAGAGAGGGGATAATCCCTCCGTCGCGGACATGCTGGCCGCCATTAAGCCAGCGCCACGTGGGACGCAAGGCGCCAAAAGCCCGACGGGCGCGTCCTCTTTAAGCCCCCCTGCTACACCAAAGTCTCTCTATGGCCAAGCAGAGGACCCCCACTGTGCTATACTGCAGTCGCTGGAGGAGGTAAAGGGGTACCTGGCAGGGGAGATAGAGCGCACGGCCAGGGAGGTGAAAGCCGAAATCCAGGCCATTGGAGTCAGAACGGAGGCCCTGGAAAGCAGATTGGAGGAGGTAGTGACAGCTCACAATTCCACCACCACGGCCACCAATGCACTTCTGACCAGGGTAGCTGCACTGGAAATGGAGCTGGAGGACAGCTCCAACAGAACAAGGCGCAACAATATGCGCGTACGCGGCTTACCAGAAGAGGTACAAGATGGCGACTTAGAACAAGTAATGGCGGAATGTTTCCGCGCCAGTCTGCCACAGATCCCAGACCACTTGTGGCACATTGACAGGATCCACAGAGCACTCCGTGCGAAGGGCCCACAAAATAGTCCACCCAGAGATATAATCATCAGATGGCACTTTTACTCCACAAAGGAAGCCATACTTAAACGGAGCAGGAACCACCAATACACCTACAAAGGGAAGGAGCTCCAGATCTATCAAGATATCGCCCCAGCGACTCTGGCGAGAAGGAGGGAATGGAAACCCGTCGCGGACCTCGTCAGAGCAAAAGGCCTACGCTTCGCCTGGGGATTCCCCTTTAAAATGCTGATCTTCAATGGCCCGAGACCTACAGTCCTGTTGCCGTCCATGGACCCCAGGGGGGTCCTTCGTGACCTGGGCATCCAAGTACCAGATGATCTCACCCTGCCACCGAGAGGCCCCCGGGCACTGGACCATCTTCCCAGGGACTGGGTAGAGCATGGGTCGCGCCCCACCTAGGCAGAGGCGGTGGAGGCCCGTGATGGAAAGACACACATCACGGACAGTGGGACACACAAGTTGCTTTTATTATTGCATGCTGACTTTAAATTTTTTTTTTTACTTAGGACACTAACGCTGACAGTTATGACATGGGGGACAGCTGGGGCACTGGGGTCACAGCACTAGGAGACGGCGAGAGGGGGGGAAACGGCAGGGGGTATCTATTAACAAAAAAAACAACAAAAAAAAATATATATATATATATATATATATATATATATATATAAAAAAAAAAAAACATACCGCCTTAGGCATGGGATACCTCGACTACTACGGTACTACCCCCACAGCAGGCTTGGGGATGGCTGTCCCTCTCTTGTCGAGGCGGGTGCAGAGCCTGTGGTGGATGGGAGGGAGGCCCCCTATAACGCGAACCTCTGACAGTGTGGCCGGGGTCCCAAGGAGACGAAGGGGGGAAGCGGGGTTACCCAATACTAGGCTTCCACATGGCTTACGTCACAAACACTACTATACAAGAAAAAAAAAAAGGGACCCTACCGCCTCGACAGCAATCCATATAAAGGGAAGGTAGTCAAAGGCGGACGCAAATCAGTAGTGAGAACCAGGTCTGAGGTAGCAAACAGGACATACTACCCCCTGGAAGGACATTAAATCGCCTGGCAGACTATAAGACCGGGATGTTAGATCCGAAGAGACAAAGGATCGTGAGGAATCAACCTCAAACACACCTAGGTTATGGTTGTATCTGTTATGTTTTTACGTTACCAATGCAAGTTTTCTTAACACTTTTTGTTTCTTTCCCTATCCCTTCCCACACCCCTACCACGACGAGGTTCACCCGACACCTACGGGGGGGGCCGCCGGATCGCACACCGCACGCTGGGAGGTGCACAGCGCCACGAGCAGGCCACACGCCGAAGCACGAGGTACAACACCACACTACACATAATACAACATGGCGCTTAAACTTACATCACTAAACGTCAACGGCCTCAATGTCCCGAATAAATGCAGACTGCTAATGAGAGAGCTACATAGACATAGGGCAGATATAGCGTTCATTAAGGAGACCCACATACCGACCACATCTAAGATACAAACCACAGACCACGTCTACACGCGAGCTTATGCAGCAAGAACACTCCGTAAAACAAGAGGGGTAGAAATAGTTATACATAAACGATGTCCACTGGTGATACAAGCCATACAGAGGGACCCGGAAGGCAGGTACATAATAATTACGGGAACAATCAACTCAACTACATACCACCTCGTTAATGTATACGCCCCCAACACCCCAGAAGTACTATTCTGGAAGACGCTAGAAACTTTAATAACCTCCCTGACAGGGGGCATACTGCTCCTAGGAGGGGACATGAACGCAGCGCCGTGTCCCGCGGGTGACCGCAGCGGTAGGGCGGGCCAGCCCAGATCGCAGGGTATGGGGGGACAGGACCGCCTCTTTAACAAATTCCTCCAGAGCACGGGGCTTTTCGACCCCTGGAGACTGCAGCACCCGAGCACGCGTGATAATACCCACTACTCAGCAGTACACTCCACATACTCTAGAATAGACCTATTCCTCACAAACCAGCAAGGCATGAGATGGGTTGAGACGACAGCAATTAACCAAATATCGTGGTCAGATCACGCTGACATCACACTAACCCTGAAGACACCAGGACCACAGACCCCGGGGAGCTGGAGACTAAATAACTCCCTTCTTAAGAACCCGGAGGTCCTGGGGCAGCTCCAAACTGAAATAGCCAACTACTTTCAGCTTAATGCCACGGAGGACTTATCCTCGACCACAATATGGGCGGCCCATAATAAAAATAAAAATAGCGACTTACCTTAAAAAACAAAAATTAGCCAAACTCACAGAACTGCAGACGGCACTGCGCACAAAGGAAATGCAACATAAACAGAACCCGACACAGAACAAGCTGGACGAAATACAGAATATCAGACGTACCCTGAGAGACCTCCTCTTGGACGAGGTGAGCAGGGATCTCACCCGTTCAAGAAGACTCTTCTATGAGAAGTCCAACAAGATGGACACGTTGTTAGCTAGGGCCCTCAGACCCAAACAAAAACGCAAGCACATTACGTCCGTCACCAACGACAGGGGCCAAACCCTCACATCCCTTTTTACAAAAACTATATAACCACTCGCCCGGACTGGACGGCACGAACAGGGAACATGTAGAGGAGGTGGTGAGATTCCTGGAGGGGGTTAACCTCCCCAGGCCCACTAGGGAAGACGTCATTGAACTGCAGGCACCCATCACAATAGAGGAGGTGGAAAGGGCTATAGGGGCGATAGAGGGCAACAGAGCTCCGGGTCCAGATGGATTCAATGGGGTCTATTATAAAACACCACGTGCAGAACTGGTACCACACCTGACAGCAATGTACCAGGAATGGATGGAAGGGGGGCGACCCAACGCAGAGCTGGCCACGGCGGCGGTGATCCTAATCCCAAAGCCGGGGCGTGACAAAATGAAAGTTACTAATTACCGCCCCATTTCCCTAATCAATGTTGACACTAAAATATACGCTAAAATCCTGGCCACCAGGCTGGGACAAATTCTGCCCAGATTGGTCCATGCAGACCAGGTGGGCTTTGTACCTACCAGGCAACTCTACGAAAACACCCGGCAGGCGGTGGACTTGATCTGGAGGGCCGGGCAGACTCGAACGCCTTCTCCGGTCCTTTCGTTGGACGCGGAGAAGGCCTTCGACAGGATCCAATAGCATTATTTGTTCGCCCTCTTGCGCCATATCGGCCTACCAGACAACTACATTACAGCGGTTAGAGCATTATATACGAACCCACAGGCTCAGATCGCCATACCAGGAGCGACCCCGAAACCATTCAAACTAAGCAATGGCACACGACAGGGCTGCCCGCTCTCGCCACTTCTCTTAATACTGGCCCTAGAACCCCTCCTGCACAAGATCAGGGAACACCCCAAAATAACGGGGCTGACAGTAGCCACAGAACAATTTAAGGTATCCGCATATGCGGATGATATCCTACTAACGCTCACAGATGTGAAAAGCTCCCTCCCGAACCTGATCCACCTATTGGGGGAATTTGCGCAAGTGTAGAGCTATAAAATAAATCTGTGAAAATCAGGGGCCATGCCGCTGGGGCTGACGGCAGAGGATGCAACGCTGCTAGGGACAACGACACACATTAAACTTAACCACCAGCACATAAAATACCTGGGAGTGCGATTAACGACGGACATCACATGACTATTTCAGGAAAATTACACACCAATGATAAAAACATTAATTAAAGACCTGGAAAAATTGCATGAAAAGCCGATCTCATGGATTGGTAGGCTCCATGCTATCAAAATGAACGTCTTACCGAGGATGCTGTTCCTGTTCCAGGCGCTGCCCATCAAAGTTACAAAAGGGGATCTCCAGCTCTTACAAACCACAATAGACAAATTTATATGGGCGCACAAAAGGCATAGAATAGCCCGAAACACGCTCTACCGCCCTAAAGGACTGGGGGGATTGGGTCTGCCTAACTTCCACTTATACTATCAGCGCAATTAGCCTAAATAAGTGGCACTCACCCCCAGAGGCATGCAGATGGGCAGACTTGGAGTCCCTAATGATGGGATCGGATCTCCCTCAATATTGGATCTGGGTTCCAAAATTAGACAGACCTGCCCTGCGCACAAGCTGCCCAGCCATATCTAACTCCATCAGAGTCTGGGATGCCACCGCACATAAATACGCACTGACCAGCACTCCCTCACCCCTCATCTGAGAAATAAAGCATTCCCTCCAGGCTTACGGGCACGGGACTTTAAAGGGTTGGAATACACAGGCCTACAAAGGTACTACCATTTATATGATGGGGACACATTTAAATCGTTTGAGGAGCTGAAACAAACTGCACCGCTGCAAACAAAAGACCTATTTAGATACATTCAACTACGCGATTTCGCGACACGCCCTGGAATACGAAAGGTAGCTAGGACCCTACTAACTAGCTATGAGAAACTGTATCACCGAATCAACCCATAAGGGCCTGATCACCACATTATATGCACAACTTAGCGCCCCGGGGAGAGACGCAGCACCCCTTAATTATGTCACCCAATGGGAACAGGATCTCCATCAGACACTGGAAGGGGAGGACTGGAGGGACATATGGGAAGCAGAAGCGAAGGTGTCCGTGTGTGTAACATTTCAGGAACAGGCATACAAAACCCTCCTGAGATGGTACACCACCCCAGCTAAATTATTTAAAATGGGGAAAACCACCACGGACACATGTGCGGGGATCATACGTCCACATGTGGTGGACGTGTCCCAAAGTGGCCAGATACTGGTCGGACATAGAGAAGCTGATGACGACGATACTAGCACGACCAATACACAAAGACCATTGGACTTACCTGCTAGCTAAACCACAAGATGACTTGACGGCAAGAGAACAGAAACTAGTTAATAAAATTACCTTAGCGGCCAGAAGGGTGCTGACCCAACAATGGCTCAGCCCGGACGCCCCCTCTATACACAGAGTAATCCATAAAATAAAAGACAACTGCCTAATGGACAAATTGACAGCGCGGATTCGGAATACCATGGGCACCTTCTCAAACGTGTGGCAACCATGGGAGGACTATGTGGACAGAATGGCGCAGACGCCATGAGACACACCAGCAGAGCTGGGTGACGCATTGCCTCGCGTGTGCGGTGGGCGCATCCGGTATGGCCCCGACCCCACCCCCACCCCCCATTTACCTTACAAACAAGTTCAGTATGGAGCTATAATTTCAACAGCCGATAGGAAGACACACTCTCTGAATAGCGGGCATCTCATGGGCAAGGGCAGTCCCTGCCAATACGGGAATAGCAAGGCCCCACAGCAGTAGAAAATGCATATATACCGTATATAACGAGGTATAGGCTCGTCTGAGAAGGCCCTTTAACAGACCCGCACAGACAACGTACGGTTAACATACATATTGACGTGTAATCAACTGCGGTATAGACCCAGACATACCGGGTCATCCTGAAAATGGGCAAAATCAGAGGATTGTAGTGCTTGATAATTCCATATGATGCGATATGTTACCGAAAGGATATCTGGGTATTTCGTTACCATGGTATTGTAAAGATGACACGATACATGTATGATATGTGAAGCTCCATGCCTGAATTCAAAAATAAAGAATAAAAAAAAAAAGAAAGAGCTTATTGCAATTGCCACTTGAGATTCTCTCACTATGCAAAATGTTGCCATCCATAAATTTGTTGAATCTCTACAATACTGCTTCCTCAGGGGCACCTAATTAATTTTGTACACCAGCCCCTAAAGGTTAGGGTGTTTTTCTACAGCATACAGGTGGATGCTAATCAATCTTCTGATAAAGAATTCCCTTTTCAAGAAGTGTGAGGTTCTGGTATTTGTCAAGGAACAGTTCAGGTGTAAAAATTTTGACAAGGGTTTTTGACTCTCAGAGAATAATTCCCTTAAGAAAAAAAATATGTGGTTCTCTCTCACTCCTTATCACCTGAAATCTCTCTTCTACTTCAGTAGACAAGATACTAGGGAAATAATAATTGGTTCCCGTCTTGAAAGAACCTGCTTGGTCTCTTCAGCTTCTTTAGGCATAGCACTGTTTACAGGTCCTTCAGAGGCCAGATAGAGTTGCTGGTAGTTTTGATAAGATTTTGCAGTAAAATCCAATACTTCAGTCATTCCTTTCTGAACCAGGCAGAAATTAAGGATGCCAGACGGTTCTTACTTTTTGTTCTAGTTCTCAAATCGATCGTTCAGAATTTTACGACTGATGCTTCAGGTCTCAGCTAGATTCTCATAGGATTGAAGGGAATTTAGCTGAGATATTTTGAAAAAAATTAGCCTTCGCTCATATGTAGTTGGATATCTGGCTAGCTCTCTTTGCCTTTCAGATAAAGACCAGGTATTATCTTGTCCAGATCTGGTCGGATAGTTCTACATAGGTAGCAATTATGTACATACAAGGTCATCTTGTTTGAAAAATCTTGTTCCAGGATATGCTTGGGTTAGTTTTTCTTAGGTCTATTCACTTATGCATAAAACTTAATATTCCTCTGTTTAGCAGTAGCATTGAGTAGTCAACATTTAATACGAAGCATATTGGGTCATACTCCCTGATCTTCACCCAAACGATAGGATGAATTTGATAATCCAGTTATGGAACTGGGAATTCTAGATCATACAGATAACATGAAGTGTTTCATTGGACAATCCAGTAAGCTTTGGTTTCCTTTTCTTTCTTGGGAATTCCAGTCTAACCTATAGTTCCCTATTCCCCAAGATCCTATAGGATGGAAAAGGTGAGAATGATAGTCTTCCTCCCTTGGTGGCAAGTAGCTGTTTCACCGTTCATCTAAAACTATCCGGAGGAATCTTTGGGGACCTTTCCTGTAAATAGGCATCCTGGAATTCTCAAGGGCACCTCTTCTCAACTTTGTAGTAATTCAAGCCGACGACCTGGTTTATGTATACCAGATACTGAAGGATAATGTTTTGTCTCAGGAAATTGACAATTTATTTTACTATAAATGGATCTTGTTCCAAGATTTATTCCAAGTATGGAAGGTGTTGTTTTTTAAGATATTGGTTCAAACAAAAACAGGCATCCGCTTCCAAGTTTTTAACTTTTTTTTTTTTTTTCAAAAGGGCTTTGCGGATGGTTAAAGCCAGAGATCCTCAAGGTCAAATTTCGTTTATCAGTTGATTTTCAGAGGTTTGTCTCCAAATCACCAGTATCTGCCAGGCTCTTCCGTGGTTAGTTCCTATCTTCAGGGAATCTTTTCCGCAGGGGATCTTCTTTTGGGGTTTTTAACTCTGCTGATTTGAGTCTTCACTCTAGGTCTTTTGGTGGTAGTCACCCAAAATATTTTTGGGAAGAACTTCAAGTTCAAGTTTCCATTTTCAGCAGGAGAAAGTGGAGTTAAGTTGGATTCTTTAATTCTTCCCAATCTTACATCTATCATTATTTTTCTAACTTTTCCCAACAGCGTCTAGGGTCTTGGAATTCTAATTCCACTGCCTGGGCGTTTAGTTCGCGTCTACGGTACCTTAAAGGTCTGCGTTCATTTGGGTTTTTTCTTATCGAACACCTATCTCCATTGAAGCTCCTTCGATCACAGTTATGTTCGGATCGGGTGCCTGAGGGCTTCTGCTATACATTCACTCGAATTCCGAACTCTTCACTCATTTTTGGTCTGTTGACCTTGGAAGATACAACTTTGGTCGCAGGTTTTTTGCAGTGAGAATTGAGTCCCGCCCTAAAGGATTGCTTTTGTATATCCCAGTTTTAAAGCACTGCCTCTAATCTGAAGGGAAAAACTAAAATTTTTACTTACCGTAATTTCTTTTTCCAAAAGATTAGAGGCAGTGCTCACTTCCCCCCAAAACATTTTTAATAGTCTGAGTGGTACGATTATTCAGCTTATGTAATTTCTGGGGATATCTTGGGTAGGAAGCAATTCATAAGGCCAAAGGTTAATTGGGGGAGGTTCTTGAAAAGTTTGGGAGATTGCCTGCCTGTTTTTTTTTTCCCTCCAGATGATGAAATCCCAGTTGTAAAGCACTGCCTCTAATCTTCTGGGAAAATAAATTTACGGTAAGTAAAAAATTTTGTTTTTTGTCAGATGTAAGGTAACAGGCATTAAAGTCCATATTAGGCATTACAGATACGATTTTGTCAAAGCATGCCACAGGGTGTAAACTTTTCCATTGCTCTGTGCCAGTAGTATGTGTTAAATTTTGTGCTTAAAAGTACATGCTGCTAGTGCGTCCAGACAGCGGAGAGAGCACAGCGAGCGGCACGATGGTCCGGACTAAGGCAGACAGCGCGGCAGACAGCGCGGCATCCAGCGGGAGCGGCAGCTACAGGAAGGCTGTTGCTGCCAGAGCCCCAAGGAAATCATTTGGAAGCTCTGGTCCCTCTAATAATGTTACTTCACCAACTGGGAAAAAGGCTGATAAATATGCTGGTGGTAATCCAGTGTGCGTTAGACCAACTCCAAAATGGCAGAAAGGTATAGGGGAGTTCTTTGGCTCTCCCTCAACAAGTCAAGGAGAGAATGAGAATCAACCTGAAAAAGAAAACCGTATTCCTTCAGAAGATGAAGAGGAGGCTGGAGGCAGTGGTACATCTAAAGCTCCAAGAAAATCTCGCAGACTTCCCTGATGAATAAGACTTTTGGACAAGTTAACATGTTTGTCATTTTTTACTGTTGTATATTTGTAAATAAAGTCTGTAGGTTTTTTGTACAGAACTGTTGATGTTCTCTTGGTTGTGGTCAAGTTGGGTTTTATAAATGGTTTATCTTAAATTCAACCTGCCATTCATAAATGCACGAGTAGATTCTCTGCATACAAGCTACATTCAAGCTGTAATAAATTCTGAGGTAATCTGCTTTACACTTGAATTATATGCAACCTTAACAGATACTTCATTTTTCTTGCCATTCCTTTTGAATTTTCTACTTTTGTAGAAATCGAGACTTAAAATTAGTTTTGAATATCTAATGTGCCGCAGCTTTTTTTTTTTTTTTTTAAACCATGCAATATAGTTTGTATGTATTAGTAAGTAGTAAGTCTTTATGAAAGTCTCAGAATTACCCATCTCTAAGCATATTTCTGACTCATTTTGAAGTAATGAAAAAACACTTAGCATCTTGCTTCCTAGCAAAATGGAAAACAAACCGTGGTGATTGTAATATCTAAGCTTTAACGTCCCTAAAGGCATCCCTTTTTCCCATGTTAAAATAAATTAGACTAATTGTTAAAAAAAAATTAAAAAAAAGTACATGCTAGGAAAATTAATATTCAGTGTGTTATGTGAACAGGCTTAGGCATAGGTTAACGCTGTCATTCCTTACAACGCTGTTGCCCTGTTATTGAAAATGTATTCAGGGGGGTAGTGAGACAAGATTATTCCATACACTTTATACTAGGATGCACGGGTCATATTGGTGATAGCTTTGACAAATTTACATGTTTATAGTGTAGGTTTATGACTTAATATGCTCGGCGTGTTGGTATATGGTTAGGGGTCGATTTAACTTCTCAGTAGCTTTTGAGATACACCCTTTTCCAAATTATTATGCATATATTTTTTTCATTTACCTAAATAATTGATGTATATAACAGTCAGCATAATTCTCATGTTAACTATTAAGAGGACAATTCAAATTTTATTGAACAAACCTCCTAATGATAACAGTATTTTTTTAAAACATAAAAAACTTACAATGAACTGTTCCAAATTATTACGCACAGTAAGTTTCAAAACACTTTATAGGTTGTAAAGCACTGAAAATTGTCATTTGTTGTGTTTAAGCTATTTCAATCAAACTTATAACAACATTTTAACTTTTTAAACATTTTAACAGGTCACGTTACTTTTTAACATAGGACCCCTTATTTGATAGCAGCTTCACAAGTCTTGCATCCATTGATTTTTTTGGACAGATTCTGCTTGAATTTGTTTGCAAGATGTCAGAATAGCCTCCCAGAGCTGCTGTTTGGATGTAAACTGCCTCCTTTGAGGATGCTCCAAAGGTTCTTAATAGGATTGAGGTCAGGGGAAGATGGAGGCCACACCATGACTTTCTCTCCTTTTATCCCCATAGCAGCCATTGATGCAGAGGTATTCTTTGCAGCATGAGATGGTGCATTGTCATGCATGAAGATGATTTTATTACGGAAAGCATAGTTCTTCCTTCTGTACCAGAGAAGAAAGTGGTCAGTCAGAAACTCCACATACTTTGCAGAGGTCATCTTTACACCTTCGGGGACCCTAAAGGTGCCGACCAGCTCTCCTCCCATGATTCCGGCCCAAAACATGACTCCACCACCGCCTTGCTGATGTCGCAGCCTTGTTGGAATAGGGTGGCCGTCCACCAATCATCCATTACTCCATCCATCTGGACCATCCAGGGTTGCACGGCACTCGTCAGTGAACAGGACTGTTTGAAAATTAGTCGTCTTGTATTTTTCTGCCCAATGCAGTCATTTCTGCTTGTGAGCATTAGTTAGTGGTGGCTGAATAGAAGGTTTATGCACAGTTGCAAGACTCTGGAGGACTCTACACCTTGATGTCTGTGGGACTCCAGAGGCACCAGCAGCTTCAAATATCTGTTTGCCGCTATGTAATGGTATTTTAGCAGCTGCTCTCTTGATCCGATGCATGGATCTGGCAGAAATCTTCTGCAATGTGCCTTTATCTGCACGAACCTGTCTGTGCTCTGAATCAGCCACAAATCTCTTAATAGTGCGATGATCACGCTTACGTTTTTGTGCAATATCTAATGTTTTCATTCCTCGTCCAAGGCATTGAACTATTTCACTCTTTTTGGCAGCAGAGAGATCCTTTTTCTTCCCCATATTGCATGAAAATGGTGCTCTGCTTAATAATGTGGAACACCCTCCTTTAGTAGTTTTTCCTTAAATTGAGCTCACCTGGCAATCTAATTATCACAGGTGTCTGAAATTGTTTTCCGTGATCAAAACAGCCCTGAGACACAATACCATCCATGAGTTAAACTGAAAAACAAAATATTTAATCTTTGTGACACTTAAATAGAATTTGCATAATAATTTGGAACAGGGTGTATATTAAGTGAGCTCAGCAAATACATCTAGGTGGATATTAAAAGCAAGAGAGTACAATCAGGTTGTATGCTAGGCAGATCAAGTCATGTGTGTAGCTAGTAGTCATAGTTTAAGCAGAGTAGTTAGATTGTTTTTATATATATGCTGCTGGGTACTGGTGAAGTAAACATAAGATGATGAAAAAGAAATAAAACAATACGGTGCAGTGTTAGTAACACATGCCACATGCAGGCCGTGATAGAGAGTGCACTGTATCGTCTGCTGGGCAGCCTCCTATCACCTCGGGGCACCGCTGGGAGCAAGAATTGATCGGTTGTCGCGTGAGTCCTCTCTGGTAGTGCTGGGACCACACCGATCCCCCGGGCCCGGTTTGGAACGGGAGTCACTGCCCTGTGTCCCGCTAAACAAGTTCTTCTGGTGTCGAGTTGCTGGAGCAGGGTCCCCGCTGATGTGGTGGACACCTGAAGAGGCCCTGGCTTCTCCGGTCCCCTCCGCTTTGCACGGGTGAGGTAAGTGCTGAGCTCTCTGCCTCCATCTTACATCTCTGCAGGTTGTTGCTGGGAGGAGAGTGGTGGTTGTCTAGGTGAGTGGTCGTCCAATATTTGTAGTGTCCCTTGTTGCTTCTTGTGCTTAAGGGAGGAGCGATGCGGGGTGAGCTCACCTGTGGTCGAGAGTTGGGGTGCTCGGGCTTGCAACTTGTCTCCCGCCTCCGTCTCCCTGCTCTCCAGGTCCATATTGCTTTTGCAGGCTCCTGTATGGGGTCCCTTGTAGCTGATGCCGATATGACCTCCTCCGGGGTGTCCCCGTGGCCCTCTATCTCGGCCAAGAAGTCTGCCAGCAGTCAGGCTATTCTTTCCGACAGCGGGAAGAGGTAGGGCTCGGGTGCGTGGCGTCCGCCATTTTAAGTGTTGATGGCCGAGCGGCAGCAGTATGCTGGGGTTGGTACCTCTGCTTTGGGCTACTTGTTTTGGTTGCCAGGATAACCCCTGCCGGCAGGGGGGTGGGGAAAGAGAAGATGATGTTCCGGGCAGGCCTCTTGCGTATTTGGTCACAATTGGCTGGGGGATCGGCCTTCTCCCCCATGCCGTCTGGGTAGGCCTCGGGGCTATTTTCCAGATGCAGTTGCCAGAGTTGGTCCGGGTCTCGGGTTAGCTGTTTTTCCATCGTGTACCCCTGGTGTTGGGGCTGGAATGCTGGCTGTGTGAGTACATTTTCAGTAGTTTTAAATCAATTTTAGGCTTTTAAGCCAGGAGCTCATCTGCTGTGCAACCACTCTGCTCCTGTTTTTTTTTGTGTGCAATGTATTGGATTTATTCATTATTTTATTATGCAAATTCATCCATTTTATATACCGGTATGTACATGTCTAAGTGTATATACAGTCCTGTATAATCACATTTGGATGAAACAACATGTTAAATTTGGCTTTTGTAACCCCACAGCTCAGAGAAAAGGCAGTGTTTACATTGCCCCCTTGGGATACCTACTGTGGCCACTGGAGGTGCTTCCTGGGCAGCACTGACATTCAGCGTCTCCACGCTCTGCAGGGAGATGCTAAATTTTCCTCAGAGATGCAGTGCTGCGGATTGGCCAAAACTATTTAGCCCCACTCCATCCTACCTCCTTGTCAATTTCAGCCAATGGGAAAGCATTGGATTGGCTAAAAATGATAAATTCTGATGTCACCAAGGAGGCAGGGCCAGCCCAAGCAGACCCGCTGGAAATAAGGTTAATACATTTTAACCCCTTCTAAGGAGGGGCAAGTGGGTTTAAAACACTATAAGGCCAGAAATACAGGTTTGTGTTCCTTTAAAACTTTTAAGTGCACTTTCCCAGGACAAGTAGCCAACACCCAGCTATGATAACTGTAGTTATGTGGACACAGCCACCAGCTTGGAGAAAATAAGTATTCTATACCAAATAAAATTAAAGCGGCAGTGTCCCGTTTGGGGCCTTTGTAGAACTACACCTACAACCTAATTTCTTGTAGCAGTTGAACTGGGAACAACTCATCGGTCAACAGCTATTGATGTTCCTGTAATGTTTGGAGTGTGGTTTAAATATTTCATTGAAGATGAAGCCTCAAGTTGGCTTTTTAGGAACCAATTGTCAAGATAAGGGACAACTAAAAACAAATCTTGAAAATTTGTTTAAAATGCTTAGAAATAAAAAAAAGGCTGGTTTTCACTGGGTTTTTCCATTCGATGAGACCTAAGAATCTAGGAGACACAGAGAACCCCTTCCATTTCTTTTTTCCCCCCGTTTTTTCCATAACTGAAATTTATTCAGTTATGCCAGGAATCAGAAAGTGATTCTTGGCTGGAGACTTCAAAGGACTGTGAGTATTCACCAGATGCTAACCCAGAGGGAGAAGACCTTTCTTTTCCTTTGAAAGACCTATCCTGTACAGTTGCGGTTTCTGTGGAATAGATTCTGATTCAGGAACCTATGCTTCTCTATTTACCTTTTACTAAGGACTCCGCTGAGACTTGCTTACTTGTATTTTTTACACCCATCAGGCAAAGTGGTGGCACATTTTCTACAGGCCAGGTGCTTTGATTTAAAATAAGCTAAGTTTTAGAGCAGGAATGTCTGCTTTGTTTAAAGTGACACGAGGCACTCCGACCACTTCAGCTCATTGAAGTGGTCCGGGTTCTGTGACCCTTTTGCACTTAGAGCTACAATGTAAACATTGCAGCACTAAGTCTGCCCTCAGTGACATCTAATAGACAGCCACAAGAGGGCGTCAGGAATCCAAACAAACTTTTAGTCCGTTGCTAGACGTCCTCATGGACCTCCAGCATCAAATTTTCCCCATAGGAAAGCGTTATTCAATGGAGGTCTAAGGCCCGCGTGGCCATTGCCGACATCAGCCGGCGTGGGAGGAGCGTGAGCAGAGCCTGATCCAGCAACGTGGGACATCGGCGCTGGATTCAGGTAAGTAGCTGAAGTAGCTGGTTTTAACCACTTCAGCCCCGGTTTGTTTTCCTGGCACTATAGGATCCCTTTAACTTATCTAGGGAGGCAGGACTAGACATCTGAAAGACAAAAAGTAAAAGAAGAATTTCCCTACCCTCAGATTGAAACTACCATGCAAACACAAGTTAGACCCAGTCGCAGATACTAACCCTTACCTCCCTAACCTGGTTCCAAGTTGATAGCCACCATTACCAAGATATGACACATACAGTGAATCTGGCAGAATTAAACTTGCCAAGAGAACACTAACGGAACTCAGAGATACCAACATACAACCGACCAACCATACATACATTCATACATATATGTTCGGTCTGATCGAAACACAGTGATAAACATGTCAAACAATAACTACTACAGCCTTTTGCTTCTCACATCTCTTTGCTATGTCAAGTATGAAGCCAAGTCTGAATATTTAAAATGTTCACTTTCTTTACCATAAGCTGTAAATAAAGTATGCAAATAAAACATACAAATTCAGAGATCAGTTAAAAAAAGAGAACAAATGTATGATTTAAAATGCACAGATTACATGAATGTTAGTTGAAACTGTAAATGCCTACATAAATCTGCAATATGCGGAAGTATTTTATTTAAAAAAAAAGTCCATGGTGAAAAAAAATAAAATAAAATGACAAAAAAATATCCACATATCCTCAACACTCAATATGGTCTCATGCGCCCTTGAGGGGGCGGTGCTCTGTTAGGAGGAGTTATCGCTATGTCCAGATAATCTCCAATATGGAACCTCTGAGACTGTAGAGTCATGGCATCATCTGTTCCCTTTCTTCCTGAAATCGTGCTACCAATCTCCTTTACTCTGTAATGAAATAGATCAGTTAGCATACTGGTTAAACTTAATGTATTCACTCCTACAGTCTAACTATATTTAGAATACTACAGAAAGCACCAAAAAATGGGGTCTGTGTTCAGCATTTTTGAAATTGAAAACCCAATTATTTCTAAATGGAGAAATTAAAATCGTACACAAAATAAAGGTGTGGACGACAAGGTCCCATTTAGACAAAAATAAAAAATGATCCCATATGCAGTGCTAGCGAAATCAGAAGCAGATCTATAGAAGATAGCGTGCAGAACACGTGCATAGCATTACAACAGCGGCATAAACATGCAGCTGATTCTACAGCAGTCTTTTTTGGTTTTTGTGGTTGTAGTGCTTGAAATATTAAGAGGTTAAGTAACCTGGATACATTTAATATTTCCATACCTGTAACCAGGTCGTTGGGGATCTGGATAAACAATAGCAAAACTGAAATGAGTGCCTTTTTTCCGAGCTTCTGGGTAGACTTCTTTAACTAAGCTGGTTAGTTCTTTCAAGGTTGCATCCATCCTAAAACAGAAATCAGGGGGAGGGGGGGAGGGAGAGGGGGGTGAAACGACCTTATAAACCTAGATGTGAAGAACAGTTGCAGATTGACCGTCATTACTTTTAAAACATCCATCCTTGAGTAGCTTTGTTTCATTAAATGGGCATTAAGCACCATAACCCATACACAAGCACAACATCCCTTTAGTTCCCCCTCCATATTAAATGTATCACCAATTACATCCTCAATACGACTGAATTTGCAAGAGACCGATGGAATGTATTAGCATATCTGAAGAGGGAACAGACTGCGGCACCCAGGTAAGTGTCAAACCATTTAAAAATGATTTGTATTCTTAACCATGGGATAGCGCCAAGGGACTCCTTGGTCACCATAACCACTACAGCCAGCTGTAGTGATTATAATGCTTTGGAAAGTGACACTATAGTCACCAGAACAACTACATTGTATTTGTTCTGATGAGTATAAATCAGTCCCTTTAGGCTTTTTGCAGCAAACACTGTCTTTTCAGCGAAATGGAAGTGTTTACCACTCCTCAGATGGCTAGATTTGCTTCCTGGGGCAGTGCTGCACAGTGTGAATGACCTCTGCATGGAGACACTGAACTTTACTCATAGAGATGCATTGGTTCTATGAGGTGTGGCTGTGTTTGGCTTGTGCTGCCTCTGCCCCAATTTGCCTCCTTGACAATCTAAGCCAATCCAATGCTTTCCTATAGGATTGGCTGAGAGCCTAAAGGATTGGCTGAGATCACCACTTCTGATCTCAGCCAAAGAGGGAGATTAGGGGCATAGTCCGCATCAACAGTATAAAAGTAAGAATGTACTATATTTAGGTGGTGAGGGACAGGCAGACCTAGATGGTGTTTCTAACATGTTTGTGTTCCTGCACCTACAGTGTTCATTTAAAGCAGCTTGATAAACTTACAGTGCTGGGGGAAAAAAGGTTTAACATTCCAGTTTTATATTGCTGAAAATATGACTCACCACGTATAGATCTGGAGCTCACTGGATGGGACATTTCCTCTGGCAAATTCATCCATTCTGTGATGTCTACCATGGTTTGTAGTAAACACTCTCAAAAGAAGAGGGCATGTCTATAAAATGAAATAAACTTATTATAAAAAAGATTAACGGTGACAAAGATAGATGTAACAAGTATATGTGTAAAAAGTTTCAAACATCTGCAACTTACAGGATTTTTGATGTAGTAAGAGATTTGACAAATAATGATAATTATATAAGACAATTCTGAAATAAGTAACTTTTTAAAAGATCATTAAATTAATCCAGATCACTTAATATTAATGAAGTGCTCTGGGTGCACTGCCCCTTTACCCTGCAATATTAAAATAAAAAATTTAAGTTTCGTAGAAAGGGTTACGCTCTATTTGAATAGACTTCAGGCTATCCCTATTAGCAGCCCCCATAGCATTACAATATTTGGACCCAGGATACAGGTCTCAGTCTATCCTTATTAGCAAGGCACCCCTTGCATTATAATATAATATTTATACCCAGGATACAGGTCTCCATGGTATCATTATTAGCAGCCCCCCTTGCATTATAATATATTTGTACCCCGGATACAGGTCTCAGTCTATCCTTATTAGCAAGGCCCCCCTTGCATTATAATACAATATTTATACCCAGGATACAGGTCTCCAGGCTATCCCTATTAGCAGCCCCCCTTGCATTATAATATATTTGTACCCCGGATACAGGTCTCAGTCTATCCTTATTAGCAAGGCCCCCCTTGCATTATAATACAATATTTATACCCAGGATACAGGTCTCCAGGCTATCCCTATTAGCAGCCCCCCTTGCATTATAATATATTTGTACCCCGGATACAGGTCTCAGTCTATCCTTATTAGCAAGGCCCCCCTTGCATTATAATACAATATTTATACCCAGGATACAGGTCTCCAGGCTAAGGGGTTCCCCATATTATAATATAATATTTGTACCGTGATACAGGACCTAGGCTAATCCCTATTAGTGTGCTCCTCATACTATTATAATATTTGTACCCAGCATAAGGTGACCTGCAGCCATCCCTATGAGCATGTTTCTCCCCATAGTATTATAATATTTGTACCCAGGATATACAGGACTCAGGCCACTCATTAGTAGCCCCTAGTATTATATGTAAATACTAAAAATTCAGGATACAGGACTCCAGGCTATCCCTATTAGCAGCCCCCATACTATTATAATATTTGTACCCAGCATACAGGACTCCAGGCTATCCCTATGAGCAGGCCCCCATAGTATTATAATATTTGTACCCAGGATACAGGACTCCAGGCTATCCCTATTAGCAGGGCCCCCATAGTATTATAATATTTGTACCCAGAATACAGGACTCCAGGCTATCCCTATTAGCAGCCCCCATAGTATTATAATATAATATCTGTACCCAGGATACAGGACTCCAGGCTATCCCTATTAGCAGGGCCCCCATAGTATTATAATATAATATTTGTACCCAGGATACAGGACTCCAGGCTATCCCTATTAGCAGGCTCCATAGTATTATAATATAATATCTGTACCCAGGATACAGGACTCCATGCTATCCCTATTAGCAGGGCCCCCATAGTATTATAATATAATATTTGTACCCAGGATACAGGACTCCAGGCTATCCCTATTAGCAGGGCCCCCATAGTATTATAATATAATATCTGTACCCAGGATACAGGACTCCAGGCTATCCCTATTAGCAGGCTCCATAGTATTATAATATCTGTACCCAGGATACAGGACTCCAGGCTATCCCTATTAGCAGCCCCCATAGTATTATAATATAATATCTGTACCCAGGATACAGGACTCCAGGCTATCCCTATTAGCAGCCCCCATAGTATTATAATATCTGTACCCAGGATACAGGACTCCAGGATATCCCTATTAGCAGCCCCCATAGTATTATAATATCTGTACCCAGGATACAGGACTCCAGGCTATCCCTATTAGCAGCCCCCATAGTATTATAATATATCTATACCCAGGATACAGGACTCCAGGCTATCCCTATTAGCAGCCCCCATAGTATTATACTATAATATCTGTACCCAGGATACAGGACTCCAGGCTATCCCTATTAGCAGCCCCCATAGTATTATAATATAATATCTATACCCAGGATACAGGACTCCAGGCTATCCCTATTAGCAGCCCCCATAGTATTATAATATAATATCTGTACCCAGGATACAGGACTCCAGGCTATCCCTATTAGCAGCCCCCATAGTATTATAATATAATATCTGTACCCAGGATACAGGACTCCAGGCTATCCCTATTAGCAGGGCACATAGTATTATAATATAATATCTGTACCCAGGATACAGGACTCCAGGCTATCCCTATTAGCAGCCCCCATAGTATTATAATATAATATCTGTACCCAGGATACAGGACTCCAGGCTATACCTATTAGCAGGCCCCCATAGTATTATAATATAATATCTGTACCCAGGATACAGGACTCCAGGCTATCCCTATTAGCAGCCCCCATAGTATTATAATATAATATCTGTACCCAGGATACAGGACTCCAGGCTATACCTATTAGCAGGACCCCCATAGTATTATAATATAATATCTGTACCCAGGATACAGGACTCCAGGCTATCCCTATTAGCAGCCCCCATAGTATTATAATATAATATCTGTACCCAGGATACAGGACTCCAGGCTATCCCTATTAGCAGCCCCCATAGTATTACAATATAATATCTTTACCCAGGATACAGGACTCCAGGCTATACCTATTAGCAGCCCCCATAGTATTATAATATAATACCTGTACCCAGGATACAGGACTCCAGGCTATCCCTATTAGCAGGGCCCCCATAGTATAATATCTGTACCCAGGATACAGGACTCCAGGATATCCCTATTAGCAGCCCCCATAGTATTATAATATAATATCTGTACCCAGGATACAGGACTCCAGGCTATCCCTATTAGCAGGGCCCCCATAGTATTATAATATAATATCTGTACCCAGGATACAGGACTCCAGGCTATCCCTATTAGCAGCCCCCATAGTATTATAATATAATATCTGTACCCAGGATACAGGACTCCAGGCTATCCCTATTAGCAGCCCCCATAGTATTATAATATAATATCTGTACCCAGGATACAGGACTCCAGGCTATCCCTATTAGCAGGCCCCCATAGTATTATAATATAATATCTGTACCCAGGATACAGGACTCCAGGCTATCCCTATTAGCAGCCCCCATAGTATAATATCTGTACCCAGGATACAGGACTCCGGGCTATCCCTATTAGCAGCCCCCATAGTATTATAATATAATATCTGTACCCAGGATACAGGACTCCAGGCTATCCCTATTAGCAGCCCCCATAGTATTATAATATAATATCTGTACCCAGGATACAGGACTCCAGGCTATCCCTATTAGCAGCCCCCATAGTATTACAATATAATATCTTTACCCAGGATACAGGACTCCAGGCTATACCTATTAGCAGCCCCCATAGTATTATAATATAATATCTGTACCCAGGATACAGGACTCCAGGCTATACCTATTAGCAGGCCCCCATAGTATTATAATATAATATCTGTACCCAGGATACAGGACTCCAGGCTATCCCTATTAGCAGGCCCCCATAGTATTATAATATAATATCTGTACCCAGGATACAGGACTCCAGGCTATCCCTATTAGCAGGGCCCCCATAGTATAATATCTGTACCCAGGATACAGGACTCCGGGCTATCCCTATTAGCAGCCCCCATAGTATTATAATATAATATCTGTACCCAGGATACAGGACTCCAGGCTATACCTATTAGCAGGCCCCCATAGTATTATAATATAATATCTGTACCCAGGATACAGGACTCCAGGCTATCCCTATTAGCAGCCCCCATAGTATTATAATATAATATAAATATCTGTACCCAGGATACAGGACCCAGGCTATCCCTATTAGCAGCCCCCATAGTATTACAATATAATATCTTTACCCAGGATACAGGACTCTGTATTATACCTATTAGCAGCCCCCATAGTATTATAAGTAATATAATATCTGTACCCAGGATACAGGACTCCAGGCTATACCTGCTAGCAGCCCCCATAGTATTATATAATATAATAATATCTGCACCCAGGATAAGCAGGACTCCAGGCTATACCTAATAGCAGCCCCTATAGTATTATAATATGGGGTCTGCACTCCAGGACAGGACTCAGGCTATACCTATTAGCAGCCCCATAGTATTATAATATGCACATCTGTACCCAGGATACAGGACTCCAGGCTATCCCTATTAGCAGGCCCCCATAGTATTATAATATAATATCTGTACCCAGGATACAGGACTCCAGGCTATCCCTATTAGCAGGCCCCCATAGTATTATAATATAATATCTGTACCCAGGATACAGGACTCCAGGCTATACCTATTAGCAGCCCCCATAGTATTATAATATAATATCTGTACCCAGGATACAGGACTCCAGGCTATCCCTATTAGCAGGGCCCCCATAGTATTATAATATAATATCTGTACCCAGGATACAGGACTCCAGGCTATCCCTATTAGCAGCCCCCATAGTATTACAATATAATATCTGTACCCAGGATACAGGACTCCAGGATATCCCTATTAGCAGCCCCCATAGTATTATAATATAATACCTGTACCCAGGATACAGGACTCCAGGCTATCCCTATTAGCAGGCCCCCATAGTATTATAATATAATATCTGTACCCAGGATACAGGACTCCAGGCTATCCCTATTAGCAGGCCCCCATAGTATTATAATATAATATCTGTACCCAGGATACAGGACTCCAGGCTATCCCTATTAGCAGCCCCCATAGTATTATAATATAATATCTGTACCCAGGATACAGGACTCCAGGCTATCCCTATTAGCAGCCCCCATAGCCGGTTACCGACCTCGCTCCCGTCCCCAGACCTTTTACCTTCTCTCGGTCCACGGGTTTCTCCGGTTCTTTCTTAATCTCCTCCTGGGTCACCCGGGATTCTACCGCCATTTTCTCCAGTTTTCAAACCACCGTAAGACCTCGCGTCCAGCGACCAAAAAACCAACTTCCGGCGCTTTAAGTGCACGTCATTCCTTTCAGGCTTGTGGGCGGTACGAATGGTCCAGATAGGCGGAAAAGGATGAAAGGCCATTTTGGGGGAGCCAATAGCATTGGTGTAATGGTCTTCAGAAAGATGGCCGCCGTACAAATAACGTGCCCCTGGTAGTAGAGATAGGGCGGCCATTTTGTTGGAGCCTGGGGTTAAGCCTGCTCTTGATAGAGAAAAACTTTCTCCTCAATATCTGTCTGTGACTTGCATATTCCATGGCAGAAAAGGCAATTTCTTTGTGTTTGAATGTCATTTTTGGAGGTTAAGAAGGATGGTTATTTTTAAGTCACTCAACTAACAGGATTATTTACTAAAGTGAATTCTTAGAGGCATGTCTGCCCACATAATCAGACAGACTTTCTATTTTTATTTGCTCACCAAATGTTTTCTTTTTTTTAATGTAAAAGTTGCTTTTTCTTTTACCGCTTAAAAAACGCTTATTATACCCAAAGTTGATTCTAATTTTACCAGAGTAGCCGATTTGAAACAATAGCTGACAAAGGCACCCAGCTCAATGAAGTGGTCTGGGTGCCAGGCCCATCTAGAATTAACCCTGCAGCTGTAAACATAGCAGTTTCAGAGAAACAGCTATGTTTACATTTGGGTTAATCCAGCCTCTAGTGGCTGTCTCATTGACAGCTGCTAGAGGCGCTTCCGAGAAGACGCCAGCGTCCATAGGAAAGCACTGAGAAATGCTTTCCTATGGACTGACTGAATGCACGCGCACGTGGCTCTGGCCGCGCATGCGCATTCAGCTGGTGATGTCGAAAGAGGGAGGAGAGTCCCCAGCGCCAAGGGAGCCCGGGGCTGGAAAAAGCCTTTAACCCCTTCCTCCCCTAGAGCCCGGCGGGAGGGGGGGCCATGAGGGTGGGGGGACCCATTAACACTATAATGCCCTATTCCCTCTCTTCCCAGTCCCTTCTACAAAAATACTCAAAGTGAATTATTAAAATATATTTTTACTTACCTTATTCAAGCACTGGGCGAAGCTCCCTGGCGCTGCTCAGTGCACCTCCGTCTGACGTCACAGGAGCCATTTCGAGGTTTAATCAAAGGCTTCTCATAGAGAAGCCTTTGGAGGATTTGACCGTCTGAGAGCGCATGGTCTGAGCCGACGAAGGGGAGAGGGAGGGTGACTTGGAGCGGGACAATCCTCAATTCACACATTGCAGCACTTAGAGGAAGTGATCTCAGAAAACTTGTGAACGGGAATCTGCACTGGAGTAGAGCCCACAGGGGCTATCGCACCTCCTACCCTTGTTCTCTACCGGGCCATTTCGGTCCATATTAGACCCCAGGGAAGCCATCCACACTGCTAGATATAGATAGAGCCGTAGAAGAAGTCTCCCCCTCATACAAATAAGACAAACAACACACACACAAATACAGCCCCCACACACACAACCCCACTGACAATCTACATACATGCACACAACCCAACAAGCAGCCTCTCACATGCAATACCATTCAGCCCAATACACACACACACTGCCAAACACACAATATGAAATATCGTGCAAACACAATTCCACAAGCAGCCCCCCATACACAGCCCACATTCATGGGTATCATATACAATACCACAAACTACTCATGAACATATTCAGTATAACAGCCCACATATGCACAAATACAATGCTACAAAGCAATTGCAGTAACCATAATTAACACAAGTACAATATAGGAACATACACAATTTAAAGGGACACTGTAGTCACCAGAACAACTACAGCTTAATGTAGTTGTTCTGGTGAGTATAATAGCTCCCTTCAGGCATTTTCATGTAAACAGTGTTTACATTGCCCCTAGGGACACCACCAAGTGGCCACTCCGCGCGGCGCTGGAAATAAGGTGAGTTTTTTAGAGGGGCAAGCCACCTATATGGTGGGTTTAGCACTATAGGATCAGGATTACATGTTTGTGTTCCTGACCCTATAGTGATCCTTTAATTTATAAAAAAAAATAGGACTGACACACCAAGGGATTTCAGGATTACCCATAAGCAGACTATTTGACTATTTTTAGTTAAAGGGACACTATCGTCACCAAAACAACTTTAGCTTAATGAAACAGTTTTTGTGTATAGATCATGTCTCTGGTGTTTCACTGCTCAATTCACTGCTATTTAGGTGTTTAATCACATTTGTTTCTTTTTATGCAGCCCTAGCCACACCTCCCCTGGCTGTGACTTACAGAGCCTGCGTGAAAAAGGATGGTTTAATTTTCAATCAGATGTAACATATTTTAGATTTTTTTATTTCCTGCCCTGTAATTTGAACTTTAATTACATACATAAGGCTCCTGCAGGGTCTAGCAAGATATTAACAGAGCAGGATATAAGAAATTCTAAATTAAACATAATTTGCAATAAAGGAAGTTTAAACATTACATGCCTCTTTACAGGAAGGGATTAGAAAGGGTGTGTAAATCACATGCAGAGAGGTGTGACTAGGGCTGTCTTAATAAATTGATTTAACTACTAAATGGAAGAGAATTGAGCCGTGAAACTGCAGAGGCATGATCTGAACTCCAGCCCTGCTTCATTAAGCTAAAATAGTTTTGGTGACTATAGTGTCCCTTTAACTATTATAGAATACCTACTGTGGTGGAATCTCGGTAAAAATAAATTTAGTGGGCCGAGATTACCACGTGGCATGTGTACGTGCATATGCTGACGTATCGATCAGTTGGTTGCACGAGGCAAGATACGATCAGTAGTGTACGGAGCATGTGCAAGAATACAGGATGTAGTATTCCCCTCCTCCATTGTGCTGGACAAGCCATGCGGTCAAGCAGGAAGTTAATTCTTATTTGTAATGATTGGTCAAGAGAATGTGCGGGTGGAGCTTAATATGGGAGGAGTTATGTGCCTATATAGGGAGCCTGCACTATTGTTCAGGGCTCAGAACTTGCTGTATTTTTGGTGACATTAGTCCCTCTGAGTCCCGATCGGTGATCCAATAAAGAATCTCTTCCTTCCTGAAGAAACCTGTGTCCATCCCTCTGTGCTTTGCTTCCGTCAGTTTCTCCGGTATCATTTGGTGCATTGGCCGGGAAGCTCATCGTTCAACGGTAGCTGAGAGGCAGAGGCGTGAGACGGTCTATCTTTGCCCACGTTCTCTACGGCTGCACCCCTGAACTTCTGCGTGGACCTCCCTTCGTCTCGGCGCCACTGGTCTGTTGTCCAGGAGATCATCGGCCTCTACGTAAGAAGTGCTGGGGTGTCCCCGTCGATGAGTGTGAACTCAGGTTCAGGAACGAGGAGGTAAGACAACTGCTGTTTTAGACGGCAGACCCACTAGGGGTATACCGATTGTGCGGTAGGCCCAAAAGGGGTTTAAATCTGTGTATGGAATCTGCCCCCTCTGTCGGAGGGAAGGAGCGAAGGCGCACCGCTCGATCGAACGCTCTTTAGTAAGACCGTTTGATCTGGTTAGTCAGGCGGGGTCCTGTGTAAATAGCCCTAGCCGGACACCGGTGTCTTGTCTAGACTAGCGTTCTAGGGTGTATATTACGTTCGCTAGGTCGGAGGGACCGGGAGACTAAGCGGCGCCTGTGTAAATTCGGTTCGCTAGCTCTCAACCTATCTTGGCTAAGTGGGAAGGCGTGTAAATTTGGAACCCACTAGACTTTTGATAGAGTAAATAGACTAGAAGGGCAATTTTGTAAATTCCGCCCTCTAGTTCGCTATATGTGGTGCTTGGGCAGTGTGGCTAACCAAAACGGGTGTATATAGTTTTAGGTAGTCCATTCAAGGTACTGGCCAATAGTTTAGTTGGGATTGTAAATGTGTTAAAGATTGTTAGTAAAGTGTATATCTTGTTAGATAGCGCGAGCTCAGCCGTCTAGCGAGAGTGTTAATAGTGTGTTGTTGTATCATAGTGCACGGTACCATAACCCTGTATATTTACTGACACTGTATATAAGTACTAATCATTGTCGTCTATTGCATGTTTAACACCGTAACCACTAATAATTGTATTGTGACCTTAAATTGTGCTTTGACCTATGCTAACCGTACTGTAACCGATACTAGTAAAAGACGATGTTACTGGGGTGTGTTATAGACGGGTAATTCATATATAGAGAATTATAGCGTGGGTGACTGTATAGTTTCGCCAAAGGGCATAATATTGATTATTTAGTGACTGGTGTAACAGCTGTGTGTGTACGGGAATTCCCTGAGTGATTATTGTGTTATTGTGTACGTTTCACTCGGTAACTGTACCACGTGGTGCTGTTGCCAGAGGAAACGGGTGTGACTGTTGAATAAGAACGCGTGCATAGTATTCGTTGTCAACGACGTTCCATTGATAAGTATGGGCGCGTCAGAGTCAACGATTTCGGATCCCTTAGGTTGTATGGTAAAGAATTTTAAAAAGGGATTCAAAACATGTGATTTTGGGGTTAAAATGTCTCCTGTACGTTTGGTCACTTTGTGCACTAGGGAGTGGCCTACTTTGGTTGCGGCATGGCCGCCGCGTGGCAGTTTGGATCCAACCCTGGTACAGCGTGTACACGTGGCTGTATCAGGTAGGCCTGAACTTTACGGACAGTTTCCATACATTGATTGTTGGAGGCAGGCCGTAAACGACTCGCCAAAATGGATCCGGATATGCCACGAGGAGCAATGTCGCCTCATGGTGGCCAGGACTTGTTTGTCCACTAGGACTGGTGTTAGGCCCATTTTGGACACGCCCCCTGAGTCCGAGATCCCTTTGCCGCCCCCTTACTTTCCTTTAAGAGGAAGTGACGCGAATGCAGGAAGTTCTGCACCCCTTCCCCTATTGCCCCCATCCACTTCCGCTTCCTCCTCCAGTACAGAATCCACCCCCCCTCGTATTAAAACTCCCCTTCCGGAACCAGGACCAACCCCCATTAGATCTGAATATCCTGATTTGGCGCCACTTCAAACTTCCGGTCAAGCTTCTTCTAGCTCGGCTCGGAGTATACTATTCACTGACTTTTCCCAAAATCAAGTTCCCACATCCTCATGCCCTATTAC